CAACGGCTGCCCGGTACGTTCGCCTGGTTGTTTTGTTCGTTTTCCCGCCATATCGTCCCCCATCCTAAAATTTCGCTTTTCGTGATTTTTTTTTTTTTCGGATTGTTCCCATGCAATTGGTGAGACTCTGGCCAACCAGTCCACGGTCGCAAAAGAGATGAGCGACATCACAGACAGAGCCAACAACAAAAAACGCAGTCGCTGATTGATTCTGGAAAGAGTCAAGAGCAATACGAACAACCCTAAGAAGAATACTCTTCATAATCCTAAGCAATCGCCGATGAATCATCCCCTCGTCTGCACTCTGCACATCACACAATCCCTTCGTTACTTGATCTGCTGACTGATTAGAAACCTCCAACTGCTATTCACACGCTGGCCGTTTTGCCCTGGAATTGAAAAAAACCCCCAAATTTTGTACTCAACGCACGCTTCAAATTGTATCCGATTCTAGGACTTGTTGGACGATGGAAGCGGCAGCGCGCACCCAACACGCGTCTTTGTGATGAAGTCAGACTTTCTCGAGCTCAATCTGAACGGCCAGTTCAAGAGCTATACCCGCTTGTTCCTGTTCAGGTACTGCAGTTCTGTCGGTTTTTGATTGGAACGTTTTCGTTCGTTTTGCTGATCAGCTCACCTCACAACATGCTGTGATTGTTCTCGGCATATTGCAACAACAACGCTTGGACCCTCCTCAGTGACATTCTCATTGTTACGCGACGCAAGCTGTGGGGCGCAACAGAGAAGGCTGTCAAATTTGACGCGCTCATTTCGCTGTCTACCGCTACCGTCGTTCCATACAACGGCATCTGTCAGTTTCACAAACAATACATCATGAATGGCCGGCTTTGGTTGATCTCTTGCATACACCTCACTTTTTGTTTCTTGCAGGTGCGGGCAAGGCATTCAAAGTCGCATCGATCGCGGGTGACATCGTCCGCATCTTCCAGCATGCCAGTGAGCCAGAAGTGGACAAGTGGATTGAGCGCATTAGCCACGAGCACGACAATTTGCTTCTCCCAACGGGCGGCGCCATGCCTGTGCCTCCGAGTGGCACTCAGCAGCTCGGCTTGGCAACAGGTCACAGCGGCAGTTCCAGCAATAGTAGTCTTGCAAGCATCAACAGTGCCGGTTCTGGCAATACTCGAATCAGCAGCACCAGCAGCACTAGCAGCACCAGCACCAGCACCACCGCCACCACCTCCAGCGGCAGCGGCAGCAGCAGCAACAGCGGCCATAACTTGGTCAGCGCGACACTCAGCGGGCTGGCTCGACGCATCAACCCTTCCAAGCACAGCCAGACCGAAACTGCCAATGTCAGAGAATCTGTAGTACGCGATCAGCAACCGCAAGTCACCACTCGAAAGCGAGCATCATCCGTGGGGTCGGCGTCCGCGGCACTGGCCAAACAAGAATCCAGCCAAAGCGCAGCAGCCGTTCCGGATCCTTCGCTCGCTTTGCACCGCACTAACAGCGGCGACAGCAACAACAACACCGACCCAACTCTGGCAATGCGCCACCCAGTGCCAACGCGGCGGACATCGCTGGCGACCGAATATGTCGGCAGTTCGACCTTCTCGGCCCACCCTGCCGCTGCTCGACGCACCTCCCTGACTTCTCCAGAGCACGTCATCCCAATGTCCGTCAGCATCAGCCCGTCTCCGCCGGCAGTGGCGCCAACTGCCGTTGCTCCGCTCGGATTTCCAAAGCAGTCAGCTGCCGCCTTGCGGTTGCAGGAAAAGATGGACCGCTACATGAGCAAGCGCAATACCCCTTCGCCCCTCTCGGAGAGTCCGACGGCATCCATCGCCGAGATACCAGCATTGGAGGTCGCACTGCCCTCGCCTGTTGACAAGACTGCGCCAGCATTGCTTCCAACCGCCACGGCGGGAGTATCTCCGAATCTGCGAACGGGGCGAAATGCAAAGCCGCGCGTGCCGCTCTCCTTTGTCGGGTTGTCGGGCGTTTCTTCAATGGCGCCGCCATCCATTCCCGCACCAGCAGCACCCGCTTCGCCCTCGGCGGAAGGCGTTGCTCGCGGCCAGTCGTCGTCTTTGCCGTCAACTCCTTCTCTCCGTCTCAGCGAAGCTGAAGTTCCGCAAATTGCGGTTTCGGCAGTAGCATCGCCAGCGACAGCGACAGCGGCTAGTGAATCTGGCCGACCGCGACTGTCGCCAGTCCCAATGCACAAGAGGCTGATGGCAGTCAACTCTGACAGCTTGCTGGAACTGGCTTCAGACCAACAGCGCGCTCGTGCGTTGCTATTAACTTCGTTTGAGCAGACGATTGCCGCCCATGTGGGCGATGCTTTGCGCTCGATGGATTCGAGCTCCCTCCTGGATGCGGCGACAATGATTTGCGCTGCTGTCGACCAGTTTGTGGCCACCACCACCGACTGGATGGCCGATGTCCTGAGGCAGGATGACAGCCGATCCTCTGACGCCCAACTAACGCCAACACTGGCTCCAGTTGACAACCCAGATGCGCCTGCGAGCCTGATTCCAACGACCTCGTCCAATATTGTCCAGCCGCCCGATGTTGCCAGCCCACGACCGCTCGTGCGGATTGCTTCCAGCAGCTCGACCGCGAGCATGGAGAGCAGCCTCTCCTCATCCGCCCCCAATCGCTGGTCGGGCGCCAACTCGCCAGTCCTTGCCGGCACCTCACGGTCTGCGGAAGGTCGCGGCTTCCCACGCGCACGCACGCCCACCGTTTCCCGTCGCGTCTGGGCGGCTCAAAAGTCTGCGCTACTGCGAGCCTCGAAGGAAATCTCCACGTTGGCGCGGAGCTGGGCGCACGATATTTCCACGACCGAGCGCGAGTTCCATCTGCGTCGAAGAGCCTCTCGGCATGTGCGGGAGCTACGGCGGTCGTCCCGCGACTCGAGCTCATTCCATCTAATATCGCAAGCCTTGTCATCTGGTGGCGACAGCGACGCCTCCATACTCGGTTCACACGCGGGGAATGTTGCGAATGAGGCAAAGCATCTGTCCGACACGTCTTCGACTTTGCCGGTTTTGCAACTAAAGCAGCGTGCACCTTCCCCTCCTGCTGCCACCGTCAAAGCTGTCAATCCTACCAGCAGCGCTGAACGAGAATCAACATCCATTGAGCAACGTTTGAACGACAGTGTCGTTTCTGACGACCTGCTGGACGAGCTCGAATCTCGCTCGAGCTCGGACTCGGACGAAGAAGAAGAAGAAGACTTGCACTCTGACTCTGAAGGCAGTGCCGACGATGACGATGATGAAACAGTCCACGTTGAAACATCTACCAACAGTCGCGTCCGTAGCACCCTGACGGAGCGATGCAAGGAGCTGATGATTGCAGCCCAAACACACGTCGAGTTTTTCCAAGTCGCCTTCGGCATTAGCTCGCCGCGGGAAATGCGCGCCTTGTCCGGCGCGTCAACGCCCACGAACGAGGCTGCGCGCAGCCTGCAAGCGCGCAGCTCGGGATCCTTCCAAACCCATCTGTCTCCAGCGCTGACGGGCCACAACGTGCTGCCATCACAGCATGTCTGGCGCGGTGCATCCCCTCTGTCGCGGCTGGGCCGTCGGAGCAACTCCACGACTGACTTGCTCCACTTGCTAAACGCCGATCTGACGTCCTCCATCACCTCCTCGCCCCTTCCGCTCGCCCCAGACACGTTCTTTGCATCCCCACCCGTCTCGCGTTCCGAGTCGCCAGTGCCAACGCTCGTCGACCCTACACCCTCCGCCGCACCCGATCCGCTCCTTTCTTCTGCGGCCGATGCTGCGGAAACCGGGCCGAGCGCCATCCCTCGCGACGTCCTGCGCCCTTCTGGGCGGTCAAACTCAGAGTCTGGCTTCTGGGGCACCTCCAAGGCGGAATCGCCCGTCGTCATTCGCCGTTTGCCTCCGTATGCGCTCCGGCGGCGTCGGAGCAGCGAGCTGATCCTGACTACCAAAGTCGCTTCAACGACGGCAGATCGTCCGCTGTCTTCCGAGTACGCCCTGGGAATGTTCCCTGCTCCCCTCGGAAACCAAAAGCCCCTCGCCGCCGTCACCAGCAGCGAGTCGCCTGCACCCAAGCAGGATTCACCAATACAGACTCTCCAGCAGCAGCAGCAAGACTCTCCCGCCGCTTCGCCCGCTACTCCTGTGGCAACTGGCTCCAGCCCTTCCATGCGCCCGCGCAAGTCTTCCCGCCCTGCGGCGCTCGATTTCAGCAGCATTTCCTCGCAGCACGACACGGACGACTCGGCGACTGTCACTGCCACGGAGACGCTGACGTCCTCTTTCAGCGCACTCCCTGCATCGGCACCAGCAGCTGCGGCTACAACAGCCACGCGGGACGGCGAGCAGCAGCAGCCCAGTGTTGACGCCAGAGTTGAAGCGGCGGCAGACGATACCGCCAAGCTGTTTGCTCCATTCGAGCATCAGTATTCTGCCGAGGGTCTGCCAAGGGACTTTTCACTCGAGTACTCGCTTGACCACCCGATCGTCAGCGATAGTTCGTCTGATTTGGCGCAATCACGCTCGTCGTCCGTCTCCTTGTACAGCGTCAGCTCTGTCAGTTCGGAAGCAGACTCGCCGCGACATCGCCGTTCGGAGCCCGTCTTGAGCCTGCGCAGCCGCGCTTCGCCTTCGTCGGACAGCCTGGCGTCTTCAGAGTCTATCGAGCGAACGCTGCTCGCAGGATTCAAAGCCAGCAGGGTTTTGGGCATGACGACGCCAAACAAAGCGACTCGGGACACGAGCACTGGGCACGAGCCACACGCAGACCACTCTGTTGAGCTCTCTGACAGCAAGTCTGGCAAGCGTCGCGGCCACCAGCGCTATCACAGCGAGGGCATCAAGGCCATCAAGCTGGAGCGCAAACAGTCCAATAAACTGCCAGCGTCCGCTTCTGCCGTTGAAGAGGGAGCACTCTCCTCTGGCAAGGCAGCACGTTTGAGCCGCTTGTTTACTGCGTCTCCCAATTTGACGCACTCTGCCAGCAACGCATCCTCGTCGTCCTTGTTCTCCCGGTTTAAACATCGCTTGCGTCTGGACGAATCTGCGAGCGACGTCCCGAAAGCATTCAGCTATTCGAACCTGCAATCACCGACGGCTCACTCTGGAGCTTTGGCCTCCCCCGCTTCGTATCAGCAGCTCGCTTCTTCCCTGGCTGCTGGCGCGACCCCTCCACGCGACAACAGCAACAGCAAAAAAAGCTCCGCCCAGTCGCTTCCTCTGGCCACCAACTCCACCGGACTTGCTCGCTCCCAGTCTCACCAAGCCATTCGGGTTTCGCAGCAGCCGAGCGGCGACTCGAGCGGCAACGTCCCCATGAGCAGGTACTTTTTGTCGGCGCCGAGCTCGTCCGCCAGCGTCTTGTTGCCCTACACGACTGGGATTCTACTCCCAGCGCTGGCTTTTGCGGACGACGGATCCGAGTTTGACATTGTCAAGATGCAATCCAGCCTCGTCGCGCGGCAGCTGTGCCTCATGGACGCCGACCTCCTGTCGCGCATCACCTTCTCAGAGTGCATGTCGCTCGGCTGGACGCACAAGGACAAGATGGAAAAGTCGCCGAACGTGATGGCCATGATTGATCGGTTCAACCACATTGCCCTGCTCGTCACCTCGGAGATTCTGCGCCGCGAAGATGCCGAGCGTCGTGCAGCGACCATTGCCAAGTTTGTGTCGATTGCAGAAAATGTTGCCAAGTTGGGCAACTTTAACTCGCTCAAAGCCGTGCTCACCGGCCTGCAATGCACCCCGATCTATCGCCTCAAGCGCACGTGGGCGGTCGTCTCCCAGCGCAAGCGCAAGACATTCCAGGATTTGTCCGAGCTCATGTCGGAAGAGGCCAATCACTCTCGCTACCGCGAAGAGTTGCAGCGGCTCCACAGCAAAGGGCAGCCTTGCGTGCCGTACCTGGGCATCTTCCTGACAGACCTCATCTACACTGAGCAGTTCTTTGACAACGTGCCCCAGAGCAGCTCTGCCAGCACTGTCAGTGGCAGCACCAGCCTCACGAGCCTGTCGGCCACCAACGCGTCTTTGCCTGTTGGTGCGACTGCTCGGCCCAAGGAGCAGCGAATGGCTGCGACCATCGAAAGCTTCCAGCACTTCCAACGGATTGGTTATGCCTTCCCGCCGATCCCCGAGATCCAGGCCCTGTTTTTGAACACGCCGCACAACTCGGAAGAGGTCAACTACTCGGCATCCCTTGCTCGCGAGCCCAAGGAGTCGGCCAAGCCCAAGCCGCCCGTTGTTGTGCCGGATGCCGACGAGCTGGACCAACTCGATCTTGATGCGCTCAAGCTTCGACTCGAGGCGCTCGACCGCGAGCTCAGTCGCCGTCTCGCGGACATGGACAATCCAGCCGCTGATAGCAACGACATGTGGGAGTTGACCCGTCTCTTGACTCAGCATCGTCGTCGGGTGAGTGATTTTGTTTTTTTCGTTGCTCATGTTGTTGGATTTCGATCCTTGTTGGCTCGACTTTTCGTTGCTGTTGTGCTCACTTTTGTGATTGTGCTGACGCGACGGTCTCTCTTGAACAAACACAGCTCAAAAAGCTGGAACGCGCCAGCAAGGCGGCAGCTCGGGCACCCGATGATCAGGCGGCCGCACTGGACGCATTGGGCGCCGCCCAGGAAACGCATCTGTCCACCTTGCCAGATGAGGTTTCGCGCTCATCGTCGATGCACTCCTTCCTGAGCGAAGACAGTTTCATGCTGACCCATTCCCCGTCGTCGCTGTCGAACAGCGTCAGCGAGGAGCGGGCGAGCCGGACAAGCTCCACTGCGGGTGGAAACGTGTCGGGCATGACTTGGTACAACGTTGACTCTGCGTCGTCGGATGATGCCCCGCGTCCGGCTGCTGCGCTGCACCGGTTGCCAACTTTCACCATCACGAAAAGCGAGAGCATGGATACGGACAATGCGCTGCTGCGAGACTTGTCCGACGCCTCGACCTCGTCCGCGAGCGAGGCGATACGAGGAATGCATGCATTGGAGCCTGACGAAATGAATGCTGCCGCCAACAGTATTTCTGCGCCGAGCTCGGTTGTCGCAACTAGACGCGTGGCGCGTTCTCAACAGCGCCCGTACTCTGTCGGGACGGAGCTCTCGCCCTATTCCCGCATTTTGACTGTCCCTGCTGCGTCTCTTTCAGGACGAACGTCGCCGAATAGTGCTGCTGACGAGGAGGGGGAGGGTACACCGGTCAATGAGGATTCGTCCCAGCCAACCAGCGCATCCTCCTCGCGAGCTGCCTCGCCTCCTCCCACTGCGGCACACATGCTGCGTTCTCGCTCGAACAGCGCTATTTCTACCGATAGCACCGACGTGTAGCGGCACAACTACACTTTGTTTGTTTCTACATTGCGCTTTTTGGCATATGTTGCCTTCCCGCACCGCTCCCTCTTGTGGGAGTGCTCACCATCCCCTTTTCCACGGACTCGATGCCTGTGGTTGCTATACATTCATTATTTTATCCTGTGTTTCTGCTGTTTTGTTTCATGTCAACGATTTGTTTGGTTTCAAAAAAGCAAAGTTTTGATTTTTTTTTCTCATTGCTCAAACCACTCAGCAGGCAGGCAGACGACCATCAAATAGAACCACCGGCCGAGTGTGCATATCGTATTGAAGCAGCACCAACCAAGCCACGAGATCTCTACTTGGTCTTTCTTTGGCGTCCAGCGGGTTGCTGCCAAACCGCGAGCAGCCGACGTCCGAACGACAGTTGGAAGCCCTTGACAACCACGAGGAGCGCTGGCAGCGCAATGCCCAACAGGAGATTCTGCTCGTGGCGGACTGTCGCAGTGAATGCAAAGTAGATTGCCAGACCGACGGCAGCGAGATCGAGGACGACGTGACCGAGGAAGAGCCGAATGAACATTGTGTTGTTCTGCACGATGGCGACGTTGCCGAGCGCGAGTGCGATCAGTGACGCAGCAAACGACGCTCCGACGAGCCACGGGTGGAGTGTGCCCGACGACAAGTCGGACGACGCGGCAGACGACGCGGGCGCCATGAAGGACGCGGCGACGACCAGCGAGAGCCAGGCGCCAGTCAGCCCCGCAGCGCCCGCGTTCAGCTTGCGGAAGGTGCCCTTGACGCTAACAAGCAGAGGTCGGGGGTGGTGGTGGAGGTGGAGGTGGTGGAGGGGTCGAAGGACATGTACGGTGAGTGAGTTGGTCTGAATCTCAGAACTGTCATCATCTTCTCAGAGTTGCCAGAGTTGGGTGGTCATCTACGCACCGAACGCTGTCCGAGTACTGCGACTCGACCCGCTGGCGGAAGCCAAAGTCAGATCCATCCGTGCCAGTCGGTCGCGACATTTCCACAAAGAAGACGAGAGAGAGAGAGAGACTGAGAAAAAGCTTGGATATGGAAATGGAAGCTGTCAAAGCAGAGCAGTTTGAGCTCGACGTACATAGTTGTAGTACTGCTGTATGTTATGACTTTGTTGTTTTGCGCCAGTCTTTTGTAGTGTCTGAGAACTGAAAACTGAACCCAGGACCATGAGTGAGTTTGCGACAATGTGCTCCATGATGATGATGATGATGCAGCGGGAATCACTTCGCGCTCTTCCGACCCTTGACTTTGCCTGCGATACTGATGACAATGACTCTAACGATGGCGATGATGCCCCCTCCAATCTGGTAGACTACGACGAGGAGCAGGCAATGGAGGTCGAGGCGCTCATGTCCATCTACCCGGAAGAGTACCAAGGTAAAGCGAGCCCCCAGCGCTCAAACCCGCGTGTGTGGCCCACACAAGGAGCCTGTCCATCCACACACATGGATGCGAGGCGACGGCGTGCGTGGAGAGCGAGAGGGAAAGCAGCAAGCAGGGGAAATGGCGAGATCCCCGCCTTACTCGACTGCCAGCCACTCCACGCGACTGCAGAGTGCGACTGGACTTTTGCTGCTGAACAAGCTCACACGATAGAATGGGGGCGGGGACATCGGGAATGATGGACTTTTGGCGGGCACCTGCTTACTTACGTCTGTGCTGTGCTTGGTCGTTGCCAGAGATCGAACAATCACCGCGCCAATTCGAACTGCGAATCAACGCAACGCCATCAACAGAGCCCGACATGATTAGTAAGTTGGCAAGTCCAGAAGCGAAAGGTTGTGTGTGGAGGGGTGTGATGGACCGCTGTTTCTGACTGCACCGAACTCTTTCACAGTCACGATCGTGTTCAACTGCACGTTCACGCCAAAGTACCCAGAAGAGCTCCCAAACTTTGAACTCACCGTCGAGGAGGGTCTGGAAGAGGAAGACGTAGAACAGCTCAAAGCAGTCGTCCAAGAACAGGTCAGTCAGCCAACTTTTGACTTGCATTTCGACCATCTCCGCTTTTCGACACTTTCTGACGTGCAGTGCTTTATTTTTTGAACCCGTACCATTTGAGCAGGCTTTGGCAAATATCGGAACCCCAATGATCTTTACAATTGCTTCGGCTGCAAAGGAGTGGGTGGAGAGCACACTGGAGGCGCGCCACACTGCCGAGCGCGAGGCTGCAGAGAAGGAGGCACAACGGTTGCACGAGGAAGCCATCCGGGCGCAGGGCACCCCCGTCACACGCGAGAACTTTTTGTTGTGGAAACTACACTTTGATCGCGAGCTCGACGAGCAGCGCCAAGCAAATAACGCCCTCAAGGCCTCTGACGAACGCAAGAAGAAGCCAACAGGTCGACAGCTCTTCGAGCAAGACAAGTCACTCGGCACGTCCGATGTTGCCATTCTAGACGAGAGTGAGTGTTTTTCTTTCAATTTGTGGCGTTGTTGTTTGCGTTTTGTTCCAGGTTTGGATGTTTTTGCTGACTTGTCCTCTTTCTCACCCTCCAGACGATGTCGTGATCGACGAGTCGCTATTCGACACCACTGACGAGCCGGCCGAGGAAGAGGACGAGGAGCGACCTTCGTTTGAGATGGAAGACGATGATTAAGCCGATTTGTTGTGAGATTAAAGCATTGCCTACAGTAGACAACGGCAAAATACATACTGGACATGATGAAATTCGACTCTGAGTGGAGTATCTGCTTCATTAAATCGATAGTTTATGTGCTAATATACAAGGGAACGAAACGAGTGAATCGTGAACGCGCATCACAAATGCTTGGCACTGTCCAGGACGCCAAAGACGATGAACGTATCGCCAATCTCGAGCAACGCGCTTGCGTGACTGATAATGTTGAAAACAATGGTGACGTACTCGAAGAAGGCAAACTGGCTGTACACTATTTCGCATGAAAACATTTCAAAAATTCAGAGAGCAACTCGGCAAAAAAGAAACAAACTTGCTGCACTCTACCAAGCAGCGAACTTACTGTAGGGCTCGCAGTAGTCGTTGTGCCGGAAGAAGCAATACATGGCGGCAGCGAAAGAGGCCGCGTGGCCGACCAAACAAACCAGTTTCAGTTTGAACGAAAAGGCCGAGTTCGCCTTGGCGTTCACGCGTGCCAACGGGTATTGCAACACTAGCTGGATTGTCATGTGTAGCACGGAAAAGATGATAAATCCCACAAAGCCCACTTCGTGCACCGGGTAGTTTTCGGTCGACGTCACGAATGAGAGGAGGAGGAGAAAGAACAATTCGGCGTTCTGACAGCGTTTGGTTGCAAAGCAAGTGAGTTGCAATGCCGAGACACAACCGAGCGCACTTTCGCCATGATTGGCATACCGCAAGCAGGAACTTTAGGAGGTTACAAACCCGAAATAAGCTATTTTGAAGCATGGGCCGGGACTGGTAATACTGGACGATTTGAACACACTTTGTCAGCGCTTGTCCAAGGTTCTCCCGAAACAAGCGCGATCCAAGCAGTGTTTCACTTTCAACAGCACATACCTTGTAAATCAACACTGATTGCAATACTCGAGGAGCGCAGACAATCGCCATCGCAAACTGCCAAATGCACTTTTCCGGCAAAAATCCACCAATGCTCGAGCTGATGACCATGCGCCGGAGATAGTGAGCATCAAAAGTTCGATCATTTCCATATGCCAATAGTGATAGTGATAAGGTTGAAACAGCGTGAGTACATTTGCCATGTTCCATTGGATTTGCACTACGTCAAACGGGTCGTTTTCATCCCCACTCATCCCACTCCCGCTCCCACTCAACGATTCAGCTCCAATATTGTTCCCCACACTTTTCTTTGCTTGATCTCGACATGCATGTTCGGACGATTTGAGTGGTGCACAATCTTACCTTACGCTCGGCAGTATGTTTGGGACGTTGCAGTGCGTCCGCGTCGCCTCTTCAAAGTGCGCGACATACGAAATGCCAATCTGCAAACAAAGCGCAATCGGCAATGTGTGTGGACAATGACACGAAGGGACGCGGGTTTGGTGGAAGTGAGTGAGCGTCCTACTTTGAGCACGTCCAATTTTCAAACTACCGCAACGTACACACAAGACCAGCGCAATAAACGCGGGGAACGAGGCCACAATCTCAACATGGCTGGATCGGATGGTCAGCAGCGGAGCGGCGGCCGGCGTATGTGCCATTTGGGATTCAAGTTCAGATTGCGACGTTTGTGAAGTTTTGGATTTGGAGGATTTGCGTGGAAAGAAGAGTGATGGGTACAGTATTTAGGATTTAGGGGGTCGAGAATTACAAAAAGAAACAAACTGAAAAACCCAGAGATGTTTACATGTTCCAAGGAGAAGGACCGGAGAGCTCAGCGCCGACGAGGACTTGGGCTGCGCCGACGATTGGAATGGTGGTGCGATGGACTGCGGCTGCGGCTGCGGCTGCGACTGTGGTGGCGCGATCGATGGCTTTGCTCGGATCGTCGGGGACTGCGGCTGCGGCTGCGGCGGGAAGAGTGACGTGAAGGAGGGCTTCGGCTTCGGCTTCGACTCTGGCTTCGACCGCGATGCCGTGGCGCTGAATCGCGAGAAGGGCTGCGAGATCGAGATCGCGCATATCTGCTTTGGTGTCGAGAATCTGGACTGCGACTACGGCTGCGACTGCGATCTTGTCGCGGTGCAGCGGAACTTGAAGAACCCAACTTGCTGAACGGCGCGTCAGACTCCGACTCTGGCTTCTCGGCTTCCCCGTCATCAGCTGAATCGTCGCCAGCAGCTTCTTCGTTGTCTTCCATGTCTTCTTCGAGTACACTGACTCGGGGCTCCAGTTGACCGCTCACTTCCAGAACATGGCGCTGCATCAATCGCGGAAGGGCAACGTCGCAGACGCGATCATCGCGCAGCATTCGGTCGATAAACTCGTCCATGTGCGTCAAGCCGTACTCGCCTTCCTTGTTTCGCGTGCGGAGTTTGCGAAAGTCAGTGTACAATGGCTCGAGCACCTCGTAAATTTCCAAGCTTTGCGCCGTCAGACGCAGGTAGAAAGCGCCCAGCGCCCGAAGATACCTACCAGGATGAGTTTAAAAGTAAGCGCCGCAAGCGTGAGATCCATCCATCAATGGGGATGAGGATTTGGGGGTATTTTGTCCAATTGGCTCAGAAACCAGAATCGTTGCAGCAGCCAGTACGCAAACAACGCAACCCCCCCCCCTTTTCGACTTACTTAAAGTCAGTGTTTTCAATGTAAGTCATGATGATGTCATGGCTGGGCTGCAGCTGCAGCAGCTTGAGCGTGAGGCACAGGAAGGGCGATGGCTTGACGTGCTGTCCGAACGTGCCTCCGACATATGCGAGCTCGACTGCCTTGTCGATCACCGACTCGGCTGCATGATGTGTTTGAGTGAAGCACAGCGAGTCCAAGTTGACGAGGATGCATCCGTTCAGTGTCAATGCTGCTGCTGCAGAGCTGTCTCTCTATTCTCGCTTACCAGTGAGGGCAAAGCAGTGCTCCTTCCAGTACGCGTCCTCCACAATGCGCTCGCGGAGGATCTTCTCAATCAGATACTGTGGGTTTGTGCCGTGGACGGAGACGGCGTCGCGCACGGTGCGGTTGGCCATTGACTGAAGACTGAGACTGAAGACTGAGACTGAGACTGAGACAGCCATTCTGAGCATCACTATCATCTCACTTCGTTCATAGTATTATTAGTTTAAGTATCCTTTTGATTCTAGTTTATGGATCAGTCGTCTTCTCTTGTCTGAGCTGCTCAATGGCCAACCTGCAGCAGATGCATGCGCAGGCAACAGCCGTTCTGTTTGGGATGCCCAAGCCGCTGGAGGTCGACGCACTGTACACGGCACTCACTCGATCCATCAACGTAAGTCGCTTGGCGGGGAAAAGAGAGACGCCGGGTGAGATTGGGAGGCTCAGGCGGTTTTGGTTTTTGTATGACAGAACATTATTCAAGCGGCCAGTCGCGCGTTGCTGCCAACCACAGCCATGTAATGCTGCTTGACAATTCTTATAGAACCAATGACATGTCTTTTTGGTCCACGGCGGCGAGACAACAGCGGACGGGATTTTGTAAGCGCTGACGATTTGTGAGCGAATGATGGTTGTTGCAATGGCAGGTTCCAGCAGGACGAGAGCCAGCTAGCTACAAGCTTTCTCGAGTTCGAGGCATTATGCGACGACATTTATCATCGATTGGTACGTCAGACGACACGCGCACACGAGATGCGAAAACGCAAAACGTAAATTTCAAACATTGAAGCTCACTTTGATCTCTTTCGCTACAAAACCGTTCCGATCAACCTACAAGGCTGTGACTCGTGCTGGAATAGCGGCAAGCCCAGGATCTGCATTGCTGCCGCAAGTCCCAGCACAAAAAGAGCTCGCACAGACTGACTCTGCCGAATTACACGCCCAAACTGCGCGCGCGCACGTCGAGTCTCACAGTGCCTTCCTAAGTCAGATACAATCACAGTATGACAGTGCTATCGAAGCGCTGCGATTGCTGGACAAGTTGCCGAGCAGCGAGACGACGGGTCCAACGTCCATGACGAATTAGAGTTGCAGAATGTTTTGTTGTTTTGTTTTTGTTTTTGCTCGCTTGCGCAAACATTCATCTGAACCGAGTTCGTGTATGTATGGATTGATTCATTTATTCTCTAAAAGTACAACAACACCAAACTGAAACCGATCCCTCAAAAAAGAATAAAAAAGGGGGCGGGAAAGAGCGGAAATGAATACCCAAAAAAGCAAGCCAACGAAACGAAAGAAGAAAGAAAAAGCAATGTAGCCGTGGAGCGAGCATTAACAATCAAGAGAGACGAAAAGCCCACAGAGAGCAACTAACCAACAACAACAACAACAAAAAAACCTGTCCCTACGAGCGAGCTCACGCTGCTTCCTCGTCATCCTTCGGAACTACAAACTCGCCTTCTGTGACTGCAGTGCGTGGCAGTATCCGAGGATCCACGTCACTCCACTGGGCAGCATTGTTCAGTTTTCGCTTCGGACCGGTTGCGCCCGAGCCGGGCGACTTTTTGTCCGAGCGCGGCAGCTCGAGAGCATTCAGGGACATGTCCAAACGCAGCTCTCGTCGGAAGTACTCGATCGTCTTGTGGATGCCTTCGCGGACGGGGACCTGCGGGGTCCATCCAAGGAGCTGCTCGGCGCGCAAAATGTCGGGTTTTCGGCGCTGGGGATCGTCGCGGCTGGCAGGCATGAATGCAATGGCGGCGTCGGAGGCAACCTCATCGCGAACAAACGTGGCAAAATCGAGAATAGAGTACTCGTCCGGGTTGCCAAGGTTGACCGGAACAGACACGTTGCTATTCATGAGCTTCATCAAGCCCGAAACGAGGTCTGACACGTACTGGAACGAGCGAGTTTGCTGGCCCTCGCCATAGATGGTGATGGGCTTGCCTTGGAGTGCTTGGATGATAAAGTTGCTGACAACGCGACCGTCGTTCGGGTGCATGCGCGGGCCAAACGTGTTGAAGATGCGCGCAATGTGGATGCTGACTTGCTCCTGTTGTTGGTAGGCGACCGCCATCGTCTCGGCGACGCGCTTGCCTTCGTCGTAGCAGGCGCGGGGGCCAATAGGGTTGACGTGGCCCCAGTACGACTCGGGCTGCGGGTGCACCTCGGGATCGCCGTAGACTTCTGATGTCGACGCCAGGAGAAACTCGGCCTTGACGCGACGGGCGAGGCCCAGCATGTTCAGCGTGCCGACGGCGTTGGTTTTGATCGTCTTGATCGGGTTGTGCTGATAGTGCGGCGGGGACGCGGGCGAGGCGAGGTGGTAGATCTGGTCGACCTGCAGAAAGATGGGCTCTTGGACGTCGTGCACAATGAGCTGGAAATTTGGATGCCCCACCCAGTGCTCAATGTTCTGGCGGCGACCCGTGTAAAAGTTGTCCACCACCGTGACCTCGTGTCCTTGCGCCATCAGCGCGTCGACAAGGTGCGAGCCGACAAACCCCGCGCCTCCCGTCACGAGAATCTTTTTGCGTTCGCCGGCGTTTCGGTACTCGGTTGGTGGGTACACCTGCAGTTTGAAGCAACGAACAAGTCGAAAAGGACAAAAAGTGAATCGAATGAGTGATTCGGGTTTCAAGAGAGTGATGTATGAATGATGATGATGATGATAAGGCTGCGTGTTGTGGTCTTGACGCGACGTTTTGCGCTTCGCTCGCGTTGAGACAAATGCACAGCGACGGCAAGCTCACAGACAAACCAACACCCCTCTAGACGAATGAAAAAACAGCTGTGGTTTGGATTCTCTCGACACGACAGGACGGCTCTGCAAGCGCGTCTCGTCATTGGACACGAGAGAGGTCGGCCGACGCGGAAAACCGCGAGCGCAGCAGCGGCAAAGTTCAAAAGGGCCGCAAACCTCAACGGACCGGGCCGCTTGCGGCACTGCAGTTGGAGCGAGCGTACCACTGCCTGCTGCGTATGACTGCAGACTACTGCCAGATTGCAACGCCGCGTGGAATGGGAAGCGGGACTCGCAGAGAAGGGCGTCTGAGGAGGCGAAGGAAGCGGAAACGCGCTCACAAAGAAGCCACGTCCGTCTCCTCCGACCCAGGCTCAGAGTGGGGGCCCAGCCCAGCGCGCGATCGGGATGCGAGTGTGATGAGAAGGTTGATGCAGAAGTGACGCTGCGGGTTCAAAAAGGGAGGAGGATAAGGAGGGAGGGTGGACGTACCTTGCCAACTTGCAACGCGAGCTCCTTGTTCAGGGTGAGCAGCGACGCGTGCATGCGCCGTTGGATCTCACGCTCAATGTAGTCTGAAGTGGCCACGTCAATCTCGGCCGGGCCATGCGGCTGCGGGTGCGGCGTTGGCTGTCGAACCCAGCTGACCAACGCCCCGAGCGCTGTCAAAAAAAAAAAAAAAAAAAAAAAGGTGAGCAAACTTGCCCATGCATCGTCACATCCAAGGCATGGAGAGGGGGGGGGGAAAGGGGGCAAGGTTCAATGCGAACATGATGGTTTGAAAACGTATGAGAACGCGACGCCAAGAACAGAAGGAAAAGGGGACGAAATGAAACAAAAGCGCAGAAGCAAACATGGAAAAAGAACCATCGCCGTTGAAGAGTTTGACAGGTCGTGCTTCCACATCGCCGTTCGCTCGCCGCTCGACAACGAGGGAAGCGCGCACCACGGGTCTAAATAGAAAGCAATGATCGCACACACACACACACAGCGTCCTTACCAAGAAGACCAAGGGCAGCAATGGCAATCGTGTTCTTTGTGAGCTGGATTTTCGCCATTTTGTGAAAAAAAAAAGAAAAAAAAAAAAAGAAAAGATTGACACATGCCAAAAGCAGACACGCCACGTTCGTCAGCGTGGGCGTGAAGTCCATTGCATTTCCGCTCAAAAAACGACACACAATAGGCCGACATTGGAGTGGGAACAAGAGCAATGTTGACAGAAATAATAATAATACAAAATCAGCGACGCCCGCGAAGACGCAGCAAATAGTACAAGACGCCAAACGCAGTGCCGCCCAGATGCGCGGGAGACGCCGTGTAGACAACGCCTGTCGCACAACGGTACAGGTCATACGCCACAATGCCCAAAAGTGGAATTGCAGTTGGAATTGCAATTGGCAAGAAGAAGAGGGAGGCCTTTGATTGTGGGAACATGGCGACGGATCTGCGTGAAACGAAACGCAAGGCAAAAAAGGTCAAACGCCCATTTCGCACTCAAAGGGAGACGACATCACAGATCAAAAATTCTCAACCAGAATCTTACAAGGAAATCAAGCCGAGAACCGCATCAGAGGCACCAATCACCGAGTGGCGCGTTTGCGTTCGGCGCTCGTACTCGAGCTCAAACGCAGCGCCCAAACCCGCGGCACCAAAGTAGACGGCCAAAAACCTAGCAGGAGACAAGTAGCTTGCCACCTGCAGCACGTGACGACGAGTCAAAGGTGTTGGTGAGCTCAAATCAAACGCCGGCGCGAACGGTCGAAAATCGAAACCAACTCAAAAAAACATCAAAGCACGCACCTGCAGGCCAAATGAGTACAATCCAACCATGTTCATCAACAAATGCATCGGATCCTTGTGCGTCAATGCATGCGTGAACATGGTCCAGTAGCGATGACGACGAATGTTGTCCCAGTGCAGGGTAAAGTTCAGCGCCAGGAAGTTACTCAACCGGTAATCTCGCTGAGATCGAAGCGCATCTCCAATGTGCTGCAGAGCAAATACCGTGCAGTTGAGGCCTACAAGACCAATAACGACCGTCTTGGGCTGAAGCCGATTGCCAAAGTTCCGGAACCAGCCGCGATTGTGACTGCCGCCAGACCAGCGACCACCCGACGACGACGACGACGACTCGTCATAGTAGGACGATCCACTCGGGTCTCGGAACGTAGCACGCGTGTATCTGGACTGGCTTGGGCCTCCTGCAGCTGAAGTGCCAAACCACCGCAACGCAGACCTCGATGCGCTAGTGCGCGGCTCCATCACCACCGCGGCGGCGGGCGATCGCGCGCTCGTCAGCACTGTGCGTATTGACCAGTGGGTCTTGCTGCATGGCATGGCCAGCCGGGCGAGCGCAGCACTTGAACTCAACGGCATGGTCATCGATGACCCATTCGAGGTGAAGATTCTCAGCATGGAAGACTGCCCAAAACGAAGACTGTCTTGCTGTTTATCGTATCGAATACAATGCCAAAATCACATATGAAGTGCTTTTGTGATCCCTTCGTAAAGTGTGAAGATGTCAGGATGGACGAGGAGCAGTGCATTTGAGATGAAACTGAAGGAGCAACAAACCAACAAAGTGATGCTTCACTTGGAGATCACCTGCGCTCAGCGATACATGTATTGTGAGATCAGCGATATTGGTAGATCAGTCCACGTTTGTTTGACTTTCTCGAACACAACCAAAGATGTCCTCTGACGACGAGTCCTCTGGCAACGAGTCCTCTGACAACGAGTCCGGGTCTTCTTACACTGGGTCTTCCGACACCGGGTCCTCTGAGAACGAGTCCTCTGACAGCGAGTCTGAAGACAACGAGTCGGTTTCAACCAGGTACGCAAACCAAAAAAATGCCATACACGCGCGACGACAGCTATACTGACAACATTGAGACAGGCTGGACTGGTTGTCTGAGCACAGAGCGACGATCGTTGAAGAACTCAAGACGAACACGAGGTTGACCACGCTCGGGTACGACATCTCAGTTTTGACTGGTGCATGCGCGACAGCGTACCTCATAAAATGGATAGTGTGTGCAATTTGGACGATGCCGGATTGCAGGAAGTTGCCGAAGCCCTGAAGGCGAACACGACCCTGACAAAGATTGGGTAAGTCACCACCACTGACTGATGTACGAGAGTGCAAGGCTTTCGTAGAAGGCATTTTCAGAGTGCTCACCGAGAACCGAGGGAGACAGTCTGCAAAACAATCAGATCGGGGATGCTGGAGCGCGCGCGATTGCCGAGACATTGAAAGTGAACACGACGCTCACTCAGGTCTAGTAAGTCAGGTCACTGTTACGGAATGCTTGCAAGTGGGTGGTTCCAACAGAAGGGTTGTTTAGGAGTGCTGACTGATGGATGGCACGGGGGCAGTTTGGACTGGAACGAGATTGGCAACGCTCGATTGCCGAGGCTCTCAAAGTGAACAAGACGGTAACTGAGCTCAGGTAGAGTCATCGCACCGCGACAGACACATGCGACTGGGCTGTTTCAACAGGGCGCAGAAAGGAGAAAGGGTGCTCACTGATGGGGGCGGGATGAACAGTCTCCACGCAAATCAGATTGGCGACGTTGGAGCGCGGGCATTTGCTGAGACACTCAAAGTGAACACGACCTTGATTTCTCTCAAGTAAGTTAGCTCACTCTGGCTCAAAGTCCGAGACAAGGTGACGCTGCTACCTTACTCTGTCCCCTCCCTCGACTGTTCATTGCGACAGTCTACCGCGCAATTGCATTAGCAAGGCTGGCGTTCAAGCGATTGATGAGGCACGCAAGGTCAACTCCACTCAGATGGTGCTTGCGTAAGAGCTGCCAATGTTTCAGGCAAAATTTTCTCCAACTTATCGAAAACAGCTGCTGCTGACTGCTCTTCAATCTTCCCTGTTCGTTGCACAGCAGCTCCGCTCAGATGCACCCTCTTGTACTTTGCTTGCACCCACGACTTGCAACCGCCGAGGACGTTCAGACCGTGCTTTGCCTCTTGACCTGCGGAACAGAGTTGGACGAGCAGCCCTCCTTGGTTTTACCTGCACTGCCAGTCGAGCTCGCTGAACGCATTACGGACGAGGCGACCCACTGGCAAGGCGTGCTGCGCACCAAGCGATTGCGGTTTGATGCCGATACTCCCGCTCATGTTCTGAAAGCCACGGTGCCTCGAAGCATCAATGCGAATCCGATCCGCGTGAAAGCCATTCAAGTGCTCCGTGACAGGAAGTCATGCCACAACTCCGACAGCACCGGCAGCACCGGCGCCTTTGACGTGATCGTTCGAGATGAGCATGGTGCTGTTCGCCACGAGTGTACTGTGAAACCGACCTTCGTCGAATCGACATTGGAGTTTATGTCGATCTCGCCTGCGGACCATCCCATCATCCGACAAATGCGAGAGGGCTGGGAAGTTCAAGTGCGACGCAGTGCGTTTGCCCTAGATCTGCATTTCGAGTCACTTTATGTTGGATACACGACTATCTGACGACGACGCGATCCGTGACGTCTCGGTCTTTTGCATTGTGCAAACAACTGAATGCTCCCCCTACTCGGGCAATCTGCAACCCGCACCTTCAATGCAATAAAAAAATAAAACACAGTCTCGAAAGGGCAAAGCTGGAGTGTGACAGCTCCATTGACAATGCACGCGTTCGTTGGAAAGGGCAGTCCTAATTGTTCCAACAATAATGCTGTCGTATGAGAGTCTGACTGAGAAACAGCGCGAGTTGTATGACAAAGTCAAGCATGCGACCGGATGGCTCGAGTAAGAGGGAAAAAACTAGCTTGACAGTGTGACAGCGCGCGAACTGACGACAATGGAGGACAGTCTGGAACGGAGAGAGGTTGGCGAGATTGGAGCGCTGGCGGTTGCTGAAGCACTCAAGGTGAATGCGGCCGCAGTTTCGCTCTTGTAAGGAATATCTCGCCTTTTGATGCTGGTGCATGCGAGTCGGCGATTCACTCACTGAGGGGGGCACCGAGGCCGGCCGACAGCCTGGGCAACAGCCAGATTGGTGACGTTGGAGCGATTGCGATGGGTGAAGCACTCAAAGTGAACGCGACGCTCACACAGGTGTAGTAAGTCACGCCACTTGTACCGATGCATGTGAGTGGGAGATTTCAGCAGAGGGACAGCAAGAGTAGCTCACTGATCATCAGCTTGAATGGCAACCAGATTGGCGATGCTGGAGTGCAATGCATTGCTGAAGCACTCAAAGTGAACACAAAGCTGGTTTCACTCGAGTCAGTCATGTCGAGGGATTGGTTTTTTTGTTGTTGTTCGGCAGAATGCGTTTAGAGTGCTCACTGATGAAGGGAACGGACAGCCTGAGGAGGAATCAGATCGGCGATGATGGTGCAAAGGCAGTTGCCGAGGCACTCAAGGTGAACGCGACGCTGGAAACGCTCTAGTAAGGCATCTCACTTTGACTGATGTCGGTGAACGGGTGATGATGCTCCATCAGAGGGTAGTCAGAGTGCTCACTGATGGATTGGGATGGACAGCCTGTGGGAGAACCAGATTGGCGATGCTGGGGCGCAAGCGATCGCCGAATCACTCAAATTGAACAGGACGCTCACTACACCCGGGTCAGTGATTCTCACATTGACTGATGCTTGGAGAATCTATGGGCAATGTCAGCGGAGGGGTGCTCAGGCGTGGCTCACTGATGAGAATGGGTAATGAGAAGTCTGGAAACGAATCAGATTGGCGATGCTGGAGCGCAAGCAATTGCTGAGGCACTCCAAGTGAACAAGACGCTGTCTTATGTCCAGTAAGGCATCTCGCTTTGACGGATGTGTGAGCGGAGATTTCGGCAGAGGGAATTCAGAGTTCTCAATCGGGGCCCATCCAAAGTCTGCAATTTAATCAGATTGGCGATATTGGGGCGCAGGCGATTGCTGAGGCACTCAAAGTGAACAAGACGCTGTTCTTTATCAAGTAAGCTGCCATCTTGGCCACGGGTTTGGCCAAACTTTTGCCCCCGCGTCATCCATTACTCATCTTGCTCACTTTTTATTATGCTGCACTACAGCCTGCGATATAATTGCATAGGCACTGTCGGTGCGCAGGCAATTGATGAGGCACGCAAGGTCAACAGCACGATTGATGTTGCGTAAGTTTGTCTTTGCGAATGGGAGCAAACCCAACGAAATGGCCCTGCTGACGTCTCAATGATCTCTTGCTTGCTTGTTCGTTGCACAGCATTGACGACCAGATTAGCCCACTAGCCGTTTCCCTACTCCCACGATTAGCAAGTGCTGAAGACTTTCAGAGCGTGTCTTGCTTGCTGGCCAGTGGACCGGAACTGGAGGACCCATCAGCATTTCTTCCAGCTCTACCTCTCGAGCTTGTCGAGCGCATTCTGGATGAAGCGTATTATTGGGAGGGCGTGCAACACACCAAACGAGAGCTGTTTCATGACGATGCCGATCGTCCCCTCAAAGTCAGAGTGCCTCAGAGCATCGATGGACGCTCAATCCGTGTGAGGGCAATTCATGTGATTCGTGACTGGAAGAAGTGTCCAGAGAACTCCCTTGACAGCTTTTTTGACGTGCTTGTTCGAGATGCGCACGGTGCTGTGCAATACGAATGCGCCGTGAACCCGACGTTCGTCTATTCGACCACCGAGCTTGTCACGATCTTGCCCGCAAGCCATCCCGTCCTCCGACAAATGCGCGAGAGTTGGGAAGTTCAAGTGCTATCGAGCGATTCTGCTCCACAAGATGTGCGATTCGAACGGCTCTACATTGGATATTGCGAGCGCCAGAGTTCGGGCGTCTCCCTGCCCTAGTTGTTTTGAATACATCTTGACTTTTTCATTTCGTTGACTGACTGGTGAATGCAACACGGATGTTGGAGTGCTTTTGAGAGGAACGGAAATCAATCATTCTGAAGACTTTTCGAGTCGATCTCCTTCCATCATCAACCCTCATGATGATCACTTCTCTTTATATTTTTCTCACTCTTTATATTTCGTCTCCTACACACACTATTCTCACTCATGTCGAGGCATCGCAACCTGCGTCACTTGGACTACTCTGACGGTGAGCGCGCTGTTGTGACTTTGATTTCCGCTCCCTCGACTCCCTCCGCCGCCTCGCGCTCGTCATTGCGGATGCCCACTCTATCTGTGCTCATTCCTGCGTTGATGCTTGCTCGCACACGACGCCGCGCTCTACAGCAACATCAGCAGCAGCAAAGCAGCAGAAATCTCTTGCTTTTTTTTTTTTTTTTTTCCCTCTTTGGTTTTGCATTGCTCCTTCGCTCTTTGTGCTATTCTGCGCAGTCTCATCATCCATTACCAATCATTGTCCTGCTTGCTTGCTTGTTGCCAGATTACGACGTGGACGATCAGGACTACGACGAAGACGACGATTACGGCGATGGTAACAAAGCAAACAAAAAGCACGCGTTTTCCTTCACTCTCGTCGATGCATGACGTCGCTTTGCCGAGTGAGGCTCAATCGTGTTTGTTGGGTTTTGTCGTTTTGCGCTAGATCGATACGCTGGACGAACGGGCGGCGCATCGTTTGGCGCTTATTTTGACACTAGCAATGCGACGAATGCTACGGCAGACGACTTGCCCGACTTGTCGACGCTCACATTGAAGGAAAAGGGTGCGTTGACATGGCTCATGCTTTGCAAACAGTGTTCATCCCAGATTCCGAGCGGCCGCTGTTTGCGATTGGGGCGAGACGCAGAAATTTTGTCTCGCTCCTCCTTCCGTCACTCACTCACTCACTCTCTCGCTCTCTCAACCCCTCATTCGATGCCTCTATTCGACATTTGATACGTGGACACAGACCTCTTGCGGGAGGCTCGGGCGAAAATCGAGCCAGTCGTCGGAAATACCGTCACCAATGCAGAGATTGTCGACGCGATCTTGCATTACAATTTCGACGTGGAAAAGGCGATTGTTTGGCTCCTCGAAGGCTACGACCCGGACGAAGATGCCGACAATGATCAAGGTGATTGCTTGCTTTGTCGCTTTTTGTTTTGCTGTGTTCGTTGCTTGGGTACTGGTATTAATCGGTTTTTGCTCTGCTTGTCCGTCCGTCCTTTTCGTTGCTGCATCTCCGTCCCCTTTGCTGGATTGGCTTCTCATCTTGCACCAATGCCTCGGAACCTATCTCCTCCCCCAATGCAACGTTTGATTGTATCAAGGTAAGTTTCTGGGCCAATCGCTTGGCTTCCATCCTTTCTCTTCCCCACCCCCACTTCCGACATTGCCGGCGGGAGAGTGGTGCGATCTGCCAGAGTAGGGGGTCCCATGTGTGCAGAGGCTGAAGAGTCGTCAGAGCCGCCCAGCTCGAGTGAAAACAGTCAATCAACCCCCGCGACTGCGGCAGCGGCTCCAGCGTCGCTGTCACTGTCGCTCGGGTCGTTGATGGCGGCTCCACCAAGCGCCAATGCAGTGGCTGGGCAGTCGTTCGGCATGCTGTCGTCGCTAGGGGCAGGCTTGTCTGGAGCCAGCAGCTTGGGATCGACAACCAATGCATTCGGCTCTTTGGCTTCGCTGTCGACGTTTTCGTCCCTCTCTTCGCTTGGAACTGGCCCTTCCTCGTTGATTGCGCCCAATCCAAGCTCGAGCTCGGGTGGAGTCGCCCCGACCTCGATCGCATCCTTGTCTTCGTTGACAGCGCCGCTTTCCCTTCTGTCCTCTTCCTCTCCCTCTTCTCTGACCCCTGCTCCTCCGACCATGTCGCTCCTCTCGGGCGCTCCTGGATTGTTGAGTGCAAGCAGCATTCCGGCAATGTCGACGTCGTTGGCGTCGCTCTCGTTGAATGCCCCCTCACCCAATCCGCCATCGCTCTCCGCGTTGTCAACGGCGCCCATCCCCGCTGAGACGAGTGCTCTTTCCCTTGCCTCCCTTTCGCTGGCTTCGTTGTCATTGATGACACCTGCGGCATCGGAGCCTCCTCAACAGTCGACGGCGCCAAAAGCAACATTATCAACCTCTTCTGTTGTCGGGGCTCAGACTGCTGCTCCGATCACGGGAACAGCCCCTAGCGTCAATGTTGCAATTGCCAAACCGAAAGTCTCTGCTGAAGTGGCTTGGGGCTCGTTGCAATTGGCCATGCCTTCGCAACTGGCGCAAAGCATCTGCGCCAAACCTTCATCGACCGATCACACTCGTGTTTCCTCGGTTGCGCTTCGAAACGTGCTGCGAAACCACGCCTCTCATCCACACGGACTCTTCTTGTCGACTTCTTCATCAACTCGATCTCTCCAAGCTTCAGAACGATTGTTGACCAATGACACTCATTCTTCTCTCCCGCCCTCTTCTTCTTCTGCTCTCCCTCATTCTTTGACGACACTCTCTCCTTCTGCCGACACTTCCGTCGGTGCAAATCCGTCATCGTCTATCGCTGTCTTTGCATTCGACACACCTTCGCCAGACGATGTTGTTTTGGCAAAGCGGAAGCAGGCGTTTGGCTCGAGTGCAACTCAGCCGACAGCCAAGTCAGGAAGTGCAAACTCTGCCGCATCTGGCAAAGCTGCTGGCAAGAATGTCTCCTCGACTGCTTCCAAAGCCAACTCGGCCAAATCCACGCCAGCCGCCGCATCCCCTGCAAAGGGCGGCAGCGGCAGTGGCAGTGCTGGCAAAGGTGTGTAGAGTGTCTTGGATTGGGTGTTTAGCGACTCTTTTTGATGTTTTCAAAGAGTTATGATGGATGGATGGAGTGAGTCGTTCATTTTTCCCCCTTCTGGATTCGGTTTCTTTCCTATACCTCCACCCTCTTTCTCTTCCTCCAACCCCTCTCCACTTTTCCCCCTTTCTTTCCTTTTCTTCTTTTCTTTTTCTTTTTCTTTTTCTCCTTTCGTGAAATACCCTCTTTGTTGAATTTTTTTCTTACAGGCACCGCTGCCAGCGCATCAAAGCCTGGCGCGACCAATCTCAAGCCGCTGGTGATGCCTTCGTCCCAACCGAAACAACAGCAACCACAACAGCCCACCGATACACACCGAGAGCCCTCTCTCGCGACAAAAGACGTTGTTGCAATGGGGTTCTCGCCCGCCGTGTCTGCCAATGCCAGTCTCGTCTCGTCTGCCACGGCTTCCCCACTCTCCCTGTCGCCCTCACTTGCATCAAGCGGCGATAAATCCAAGGGCAAGCTCCCTTCGTCGAAAGGCGTCGATGCTGCTCTTGCGTACGAGGACAATTTCGCGGGAGGCAGCGGCCCGAGCAGTGGCACGTCCTCTCCTCGTCCTGGTGGCGGCCACCGCGCGCCCCGCATGGACATTCTTGAGGAATATAAAAAGCGAGGAGCTGGCAAGGCGCATCTCAATATGGTTGTGGTTGGGCACGTCGATGCTGGCAAGTCAACCCTGATGGGCCACATCCTCTTCCAGCTCGGCCATGTTTCGCGCCGGACCCTGCACAAGTACGAAACCGAATCTCAAAAGCTCGGCAAGGCTTCCTTTGCCTTTGCGTGGGTTTTGGATGAGACTGATGCCGAACGCGCGCGGTATGTTGGGCTTGTTGTTTGTTTGTGTGAGAGGGCCTTTTTTTTGCAAATGTCGCGCAATGCGCTCTCGTTTGTCGCTCATCTACGAGCCTTTTTTGGTCGTGCATACAGAGGCGTCACCATCGATGTGGCAATGACCAGCTTTGAAACGAAAACAAAGCGCATCACGCTGCTCGATGCGCCAGGGCACCGCGACTTTATCCCCAACATGATTTCTGGCGCAGCGCAAGCGGATGTTGCCGTCCTTGTCGTCAATGCGGGCGTCGGCGAATTCGAGGCTGGATTTGAAGGTGGTGGCCAAACTCGAGAACACGCCCTGCTCGTTCGGTCCCTGGGCGTCAACCAACTGATCGTGGCCGTCAACAAACTCGACGCTGTAAGTTTGAGGAGAGATGAATATGCTCGTTTTGGGATTTTGTTTTGGCGTTTCTGGTGCTTTGACGAATCAGGCGAATCCTCATTTTTGTCTATTTTGTCTGCTCTCTGAAAGTGTGACTGGTCGAAGGCGCGCTTTGATGAGTTGGTTGCGCGCCTCTCGCTCTTCCTCAAGACGTCTGGCTACCGACTGGACAATGTCACATTCGTCCCGGTGTCTGGCCTTATCGGCGAGAATCTCATCGAACGAAAAGAGCCGAAGCTGACGCAGTGGTACTCTGGTCCGACGCTGGTCGAGCAAATCGGTAGGCTGAGCTGGCTCTAGGATTTTGCACGTGAACACACAGTCACTCATTTGCTTTTGTTTCTTCTCTTGTGCTTGCTTCAGATCAATTCCAACCGCCGGAACGCCCGATTGACAAGCCGCTGCGGTTTTCAGTGAATGACATCTTCAGTCGCCCTAACAGCGGTGTTTCGCTCGGCGGCAAAGTCATTTCCGGCTCTGTACAAATTGGCGATAAGGTGCTGATTGCCCCGATCAATCAAGAAATTGGCACGGTGAAGGGTGAGTTCCGATGAAGGCGTGTTTTTTTCCCTCGCTTTGGTTTCGTGTATGTGTGTATGTCCGAGTATGAGCTCATTCTGGCATTCCCCCCCCCCCCGCTTAGCTATTGAAATTCATGAAGAAGGTGTCACCTGGGCTGCCGCGGGTGACGCTGCGAGCATTCTCTTGGACAAGGTTGATCCGATCCACTTTGCGTACGTTTCGTTACTTTGTTTTTTAAACACCGTCTCAAAGCACGATTTCTTTTGCTGTGGTCTTTTGTGTGTCCATGCTGACCGAGTTTGGTTTTTTTCTTGTCTCCCGACGACCGTGGCGCGTTTGATTTGATGGACTCGCAGTGTTGGCTGCATGCTGACTGAAGTAGACCGTCCCGTACCGGTGCACTCGTCGTTCCGAGCCAAGATTATTGTCTTTGACGTCAAAGTTCCCATCACACATGGTTTCCACGTATGTGCGCTGTGCAAGGTGCTTTGCGAGTCTTATTGGCGCTCAGCTCGATTTGTTTGTTTCGTTTCTTGCTTGTTTGCTTGTTTTTTCCTCTGTAGGTCGTCCTCCACTACCTCACGTTTAACGAGCCCGCCGTCATCACACGACTGGAGACCTTGTTGGATCGAAGCACGGGCGAAATTGTCAAGAAGCATCCTCGGTACCGATTTCCGACTTTTGCACCTGTTTTTGAATTGTTTTGAATTTGAGTCCGATCGGTGCGTTTTGCTCACTCTTGCATCTGCTGTTTGATCTTTTTTTTTTCTCTTTTTTCCTTGTGACAGTGCTCTCCCGAAAAACTCGTCGGCAATCGTGACCATCACACTCCAACGACCGGTTTGTTTGGAATTGTACGAAAACATCAAGGACATGGGCCGCATCACGTTGCGGAGCAGTGGCGCTACAATCGGCGCTGGTATCATCACTGAATTGATTCCATTAGCTCCAGCTTCGTCGTCCACTCCCGGACTTTTAGTTTGATGGCATTTCAAATAGAGAATTATTCCAGAGTATTAAAGTATCTTCTTTTTTTTCTTCAGAAGATCTGTAGGTCACAGTCTTAGAAAAATGACATCTGTCACTTGAAGCGAACACAACAAGAGGAAAACGAAAACGAAAAATTCAATGATGAACGAAAACAAAAAGAGAAAACAGACGACAACAGAAACGAAACGCTAAAACTCATTCCAACGCGGCACTAAGGTGACTCATGGGTACAGATTGAGTGAGCTGTACCACAGATTGGCAGCTATCGCAGACACGGACACTGCGATCGTAGCCGAGGAACGGCAGAGGAATCTTGGTTTTGCAACAGGCTTTGCAAAATACTCTGCCGCAGCATCGGCAATGATGCCTTCTTCGCTTTTTGGAAAAGTCGAGCTTGCATGTCAAGCAAAAAGCGGCAGCTGGCAAGGAAAAGAGAATCCAACAGCAAGTGAGCGTTGTTGTTGTCAATAATTCGCTGCAGCCTCCAATGATCGTGCAGCGCCGTTCACCTTCATCTGGCACCCAGGTGAGCTTTTTTGAAGCATGCAGAGTCATTAAATCTCGCTTTTCTTCATCAGCTTCCTCGAGATCCTGCATCAACTGCGGGTGAATAGCAAAACAGTTTTCGAGTCAGTTGGCGTCCTAAGTTAAACTGCAACCACAATAGTTTGACGTACTCTACGAAGAGCATCGACAGTGTCTTGAGATACGCGTGCGATGCGATTGCTGAAAGCATTTTCACACTGCAAGCACAAAAACGGGGCACCAAATGTTAAGCCCAAAATACACCGCCAATCACATGAATGAAAAATCTTACTCGCTGGACGGCGGCGTCGCACTCGGGCTGAATCGATCGAATAGCAGCATCTTTGTCTTTCACCGCTTCGCTCGCGGCTTGTTTTGTGGCCTCCAGCTCGGCTCGCAGCGCTGCGACAGCCTCGTCATGCTCAACTGCCGCGCTCGCCAGTGCCATCATCAGCGTTTTGCAACGCCCGGCAAGGGCATCGCGCTCGGAAGTCAGCGTCTTGACTCGCTCGGTTTCGTCTGACAAGGACACAGTGACAATCCGCTTTGTCGATTTGGACGGGCTTGAAGGGGGCTGCATGTGATGCGACGGCGGCTGTAGTTGCAGCTGGTATCCCTCTAGCGAGCCATCGCTGCTGGCGGTACTCATGGGCCGCTCGTGTCGCGGTGCTGGGAGGTCGTTCGCAGATCGCAGCCTCTTGATGGTGTCCTGTTGTTCGGTCGTCTGCGATTCGAGGAATGCAAGTCGTGCAAGCACTGTGCGAACAGACTGCAGCACTTTGGGATCGCAGTTGTTGATGGCTGTCGAGCTGCCAGATGCTGACGCATTCGTCGCATCGTTCAATTTCGCAGACAGCTCGGCCACAGCTTCGGCGACTCGTGCTGCCTCGAGCTGTGCAAGGGTTGTCTTGTTCTTGCCGCACCGCCGCGCGAGATCCATGCACGTTTCACGATTGTTTGTCTCGGCCCAAGCGTTCGCTCCAGCTGCGAGCAGCATGTCGACGCACTCGGCATGCTCTTGCGAGCCGCCCATGGCAGCAGCGTGCAGTGCTGTCCAGCGCTCCGTGTCGGCACGGTGCACATCTGCGCCTCGTTCGAGCAACAGCGCCAAACACGGCGGATGCGCGGCCGAAGCGGCCCACCAAACCAGCGATCTGCCCGCTGGATCGCACACGTTCGGAGATTCGTCGCAATTGAGAAGCACCATCAGCAATGTGTGCGAGCCGCTCTTGGTGACGTCAGTGAGCAATGCATCCGAGTCCAGCTGCTGTGCGCCGGCGTTGGCAGCTCCCGGCGGCGGCGGTGGCAAATTGTTGCTACCACTGGACGACGACGACGGCAAACCAGCGGAAGAGCTCGGCGATTTGCTTGCAAACAGATTGCCGGCGCTCTTCTTGCGAGAGAACAGCGTGGTGCCACTTGACGACGACGACGACGACGACGACGACGTGGGTGCCGTGGAAACAGAAACAGCGGCGGGCGGGTTTGCCAATGCGAAAAACCCATCTGCAGCTCCGGCTCCAGCTCCAGCTCCAAGCCCCGGGCCGCCACCGCTCCCGCTGCAGATGCAAGTCGCAGCAAGCCGCTCGATGATGGCGGCTGCGTGGGTGGCCTTCGCGCGGACGGCGGCCTCGAGTGGCGTGAGGCGGTTTGCATCCCGCATGGCGAGGCTCGCGCTCGCGCACTTGGACCGCAGCAGGAGCTCGACGCAGAGGCCGTGGTCTGCCGCCGCAGCGAGATGGAGCGGGATGGCTTGTGTTGTTGGGTGCGCCGTGTTCATGCTGGCGGCTGCACCGCGACGGAGCAGCTCGTACACAATCTCAATCGACCCGAGCCCAGCGGCCAAGTGTAAGACGCTCGCGCCAGTCGCGTCCTGCACAGTGCGGACCAGCGCCGCTGCCCCGGGCTCGCTGAGGTGTTTGCGGACTCGCGCAATGTCGCTCTCCTGCACTGCGTCCAAGAGCAAGGCGCCTGCTCGGTTGACTGCCATTTCTCTGCTGCTTCAGTACGGAGTGGGGAGTGGCGTGACAAATCTGAATCCCAGCAGCTCAGTATCGAAAGATCACAAAATGCAAACAAAAAAAATCACAAACTGGAATGCCTGCAACGTTAAACACAAAACGCGTCGGTTGTTTTGCTATTTGTAGGAACAAAAAAGTCAGGGACAAAACCAACAAGGATGTCTCGGTGAAAACAGCAGAACGCATCACAAACATCGAAAAAAAAAAAAAAATCAACAAAAACTGCACATCCAGTACACTTGCGAAAACCACAAGGCAAACCAAAAAAACAAACAAGTTCAGCACCTCGCGTTTTAAGCAGTGGCAGAGACAAGCTGAGACGCTTTCTGAACCAGGGGCTCGACGAACGGGGCGGCAAGCGAGCGCGGCTGCAGCTGGCGGATTTGCTCGAGCTGGGCGGCGTGCTCCTCGGCGGTGATGAAGGGCAGGCCCAGAATGTTCCAGACGTCGGTGAGCTGGGCGACAAAGACATCAATCATGGCAGCCGTGTGGTGTGGGGTCGGGGTGATGCGCAGACGCTCGGTGCCGACAGGGACGGTGGGGTGGTTGATGGACTGCACGTAGACGCTGTGGCGGGACATGAGCATGTCAGACACGAGGCGGCAGAGACGGGCGTCGCGGACCATGACCGGAACAATGTGGCTGGGCGAGATGAGGACGGGGAAGCGGGCGTCCGTGAGCTTGCGCTTCATGAGGGCGGCGGCAGCCTGCTGACCCGCGCGCTCGACCTGGCTGTTCTTGAGGTGGCGAACCGAGGCCAGTGCGCCGGCGGCAATGAGAGGAGGAATGGAGGTGGTGAAGATAAAGCCGGGCGCGTACGAGCGGACCATGTCGACAAGATGCGCGGTGGAGGCAATGTAGCCGCCGACAATGCCAAAGCCCTTGGCAAAGGTGCCCGTGACAATGTCCATCTTGTCCATGACGCCGTCGCGCTCGCCGACACCAGCACCTCGCTTGCCGTACATGCCGACGGCGTGAACCTCGTCGACAAACGTGATGGCGCCGTAGCGGTGCGCAACGTCGCACAGCTCACCGATGGGAGCAATCGAGCCAGACATCGAGTAGACGCTCTCAAAGGCGACAATCTTGGGGACGTTGGGGTCGACCGACTGCAGCAGCTGCTCGAGGTGCGCGACGCTGTTGTGCTTGAAGACAAGCTTTTTGGCGCGCGAGTTGCGCATGCCCTGGATCATGGAGGCGTGGTTGAGCTCGTCCGAGAAGATGACGCAGCCGGGCATCATCGAGCCGAGGATGGAGAGCGTGGCGTCGTTGGCGACAAAGCAGGACGAAAAGACCAGGCCGGCGTCCTTGCGGTGGAGATCGGCGACCTCGCGCTCGAGGCGCTCGTGGAAGGAGCCGTTGCCGGCAATGTTGCGCGTGCCGCCCGAGCCCGCGCCGTGTGTTTCGAGCGTGTCGTGCATGGCCTTGAGGACGGTCGGGTGGCGGCTCATGCCGAGGTAGTCGTTCGAGCACCAGACGGTCACGTCCTTCTTTTGCTCTGGCTCGAGCTCCTCCGAGGCCTTGTTCTTGACGAGGTGGGTTTCGGCCTGCGGGAAGTGCTTGGCCAAGCGATTGATGTTGTTGAAGACGCGGTACGAGTGGTTTTCCTTCTTTGCGCGGATTTGGTCGTGGAACCAGGCCGAGTAGTTGAATGCGTTTGCGCGTTGGTCTGAGAGCGCAGAAACAAAAACAACGACAAGGTTTTGTTTGTTTGGTGAGTGTGGCAAAAGTGAGATCGAAAAAGGAACAAAAGAGGGAAAGAGATCGATCAAGAACAAGCTAAAGCACAAAATGGTACTTTGCGGTGACACTGATAGTGAGTAAGCTTCGTACCATACGATTTAAACTCCGAACTGTTTTTTTTTTTTTTTTTTTCTTCTGCTCAACTCTGCTCGTCTTCTCACTTTGCAGATGCTGATGAAACACACACACACATACTCTGTGCTCTCACATTCATCAGAAGCCACTCGACTCGAATCAGCCAAACCCCTCCCCAAAGATGAAGAGAGAAGAAAAAAAAAAAAGGATTTTCATCGGCTGATGCTTGCTTGTTTGAATTGGGGAGGACGGTGCAATTGAGGATAGGAGTGAAGAAGGGAAAGCCCTAAAGCTCTTTACCGATGGGGAGCGGGATGGGAGTGGACGCCTGGTCGGGGACGAGCGCAGGATCATCGTGCAGTCCAGCAGCGGAAGCAGAAGCGGAAGCAATGGAAGAAGACGAAGAAGACGAGGCAGCCAAGGCGCCGCTGCCACTGCCACGCGCAATGATGGGCGACGCAGCGCGAGGGTGCTTGAGAGTCAATCCAGAAGACGAGGAGGAGGCGCGGGCGGCGCGGATGCAGACATCGCCCATCACAGGGCAGAGAGCGGGATTGTCGAGCTTGTGCATTGCGAGGTGGTTGACGAGAAAGTCATCGCCATCGCCAACGAGCGTGCACGGCGAGGATGACGATGAAGAAGACGATGACGAAGAGGAGGAGGACAGGGCGGACGGGCACGACGAGTACGAGACAGTCACTGCGGCCGAAGGAGAAGCCACGCTGCTGCTGCTGGTGCTGGTGCTGCTGCTGTTGCTCAGGCTGCGCTGCTGCTGCTGCTGCATCGCCTGCGCCATGTAGGGGCACTGGGGCATCGCACTGGCGGTCATCGAGCGCAGAAGGACGGACGGCGCGGTGTGGCCGCCGTGGCGAAGGAAGGGGCAGGCGCGAGAGAAGGTCGAAACCACTGCTTCAAGCATGATTGGATTTTGGCTAAGAAAGAAAACTCAGAAGAAAATAAAAAAAGAGTAAACAAATCCGCCACAATTGGAAGTTGACTTTGTGTGTTTTCGATTTTGGAACAAAAAGAGAAAGCGAGCACAAAAGTGTGTGCCTCGCTCATCGCTGCGTTGGGTGTCGTTCAGTCCCAGAGTTGAACCAGCACGCACTCGCTGCGTCAAACTCCACATCACCAGTCGAATCAAATGTATTCAATCTACAGCAACAAAAGAAACGAAGCTTCAAATCTTCAAATCTCAACAAAAAACAGGGCACTTTCTACGCACGACTGCTGCTGGTCGTCGTGCCGGCGTTTCCAGCACCACTGTGGAGCTGCTCCATGATTGCGTTGAGTTGCAAGTAAGGGTTTTCGAGAAGGAGCTGTGCTGTACTGTCCGAGTCGTCGCCTGCTGCTCTTGAGCCATCCGCCCAAAACTTGAGAAATTGCTGGTATTCTTTGGCATGCGCGCTCTTGAACATGTCAATCAGGAATTCGCTAGCATGACTGATCAGCGGTGAAAGAGCGCCCGCGGGGAGAGAGATATGGACACAGAGGTGAGAAAACAGTTTCTTGCCCGCCAGTTTGCATCAAGACCAAAAACGTCAAACTTACAGAGCAAGGCGAGCATCAGGCGACGCACACAGGCGACGAAAGTAGCTTCGACCACCGACAGAATCAAGCAAAGTGGGCGAAGCCTTGCACAGCTCAATGATGAGCAGCAGCAGTGCAGCTCGCTCGGCTTCAAAGGCATCGAGCAAGTGCTGCAGCACAACCACGTGAAGCGACTCCAACAGATTACGAGAAACGTAAGCTTCTCCGGCCAAGAAGAGCTCGACCATGCTTCGGGACTTGTTCTCGCGCAGACCGGTTTCTGCGTGCGGCAAAAGAAGGAAAGTGAGCAAGGAAACAACAACAACAACAAAAAAAAAAAGGCCCAACAAACGCAGAAGACACTCTCGTGCTGTCTCACCAGTAGGAACGCAGAGAAGATTGAATAGCAAGTCAACCAACACCGCAAGATTGCCTTCGTCTCGCTCTTGAACAAGCAGCACAAAACCGAAAAGCTCGTTGCACAGTTTCATGACGTCGTACACGGCATTGACGTTTTTCAGAGCCTACAAGCAACAGCATGGTCAGCAACAGCGGCTATTTCATGACAAATGGATTCAGAAAGCGCAAACGTACTTGGCTTCGGTAGTAAAGAAGCACTCGATCGCAGATGCGCAAGTAAATCAGTCGAACCTGAACGCAATCCAAGAACAAAGCGACCAGCGTGAGCACAAACAGAAAAGCAACACGGCGTGTGGCACCCGCACCCGCACCAAAGTGTTCTCATACCTTGGGGTTGGATGATGACAAAAGCTCGAGCAACATGGTTTCAGGTGTCGGCTTGGACGATTTTTTCAGTTTGAGCGAGTTATTTTGCAATGGCTCGAGCAGCAGGTTGAACAGCCATCGCTAAGCACCAAAGACGCAAAGTGCAAAGACAAGAAGCAAATGTCAGCAACCGGGTCTAATTCACGAAAACACCGCAACAACGGTGGGTTTCGCACCTCGCCCTGGTTGCGGTCTGAAGGCTCCTCGCTCGTCAGGAGGGCTTTCAAAACTCCAACGCGATCAGCCTCAGGTACTGTTGGAATGGATTGTAAGAGGGTAGAGTGAAGCTGCCAAACGCAACAGAGCGTTAGAGAAATTGTCAACGCGGACGCAACGCAAAAAACTAAATAAAACGACAAAGCCACCCCTCTACCTTCAAATACGAAACGGCCAACTGCTCGAGCTCGCAAAGCACAGCAACAAGGACTGTGCGCGAGAGACGGGCGGCCACACCGGCCGATTCGCCGCCTTGTTTGGGAATGTCGACGAGCAAAAAGCACGAAACCGACTCGACAAGGCGCTCGGGAACAAACTTGAAAAGAGCATCAAATCCCGAGTAGGCATGCACATGGTGGAGAAGAAATTCAAACACGTTGGTCACCTCGGAAGCTGCGGCAAAGTTGCGGTTGTGCCAAAGCAAAGCGCAAGTGAGAATAAAAACTGGCGCATATCCCGGCTCCCTCTGCACACGACACCACCAACACCACAACCACACCCAAAACTCTCATACCATCCGCTCGCATGGCACTGTTGCTGGGAGCTAGCTTGGATACAACATAGTAGAACAACAGCGTAAAGATGGCTTGTTTGGCTTGCAGCGAACGAGTGAACGAGAACAGCCCCACAAGTACAGCCACGCCATGCGGACCGCTGTCTGGAATGGAAGAAATCGAGTACACGAGCTGAGATGTGTCGAGCGAGCCAAAGCGGAAGAGCGCCTGCTTCCAAAGCGTGGCGAGCTCTCCTTCGATGGCTGGCGAGAGATACCGCATGCTCGCGACGCCCGTCGATAGTTGCTGGAAGGAAGGCGAAGGGGCGGCGATGCTCGACACGATGGGAGCGTCGGCACTGGCGTTGAAGGCAAAGGCCGACTGCGTGGCGGGGAGCGTGCGGAAGAGCAAGGTGGGCCAAAGCCTGACGTCGACCAAGGCAAGCAGCCGTTGACGTGTGCGAGCATCTCGCTGGGCTAGGAAGAGCACACACTTGATGGCCGACTCCCACACGTCGGGCGAGGTGACTTCCAACTGCACGAGCGACAGGAGCATCTCTGCCAGGGACGACAGCAGCGTCAGCCGAGCAAACGCGACAATGTCGGTCGTCTTTGTGGGCGTCATGGAGGTCTTTCTCAGCGCTGCCGTGCCGCCGAGTCCAAAGCCGGGCGATTCGTACGACGAAGAGTTGGTGCGGGAAGAGTCGACGGAAGAGTCAGCGCTCGTGTCGCCATCGTCATCATCACCAGGCCCGAAATGCTGGCCCAGCTTTGACTGAGACAGCTGACGGCGGGCCGTGCGGGTCAAGCCCGGCGACTGGGGATTGGTGGACGCAAACAAGTCCTGGGCAGAGGTGCCCGAGCGTGCGGTGCGCTGGATGTGCACAATCACGTCCAGCCGCAGCGCGAGGTTGAAGATGATGTCAAAGGCAACAACCTGACGAATCGGGAAGGTCGCATCGGTGACCAGCTCGAGCAAAGGACACATGGATTCGGCCATGGATGTTGGGTTGCCCGCCAGGTAGATTTCCAGCAGGAACTGCGTGAGCTGGTGCGTCAGCTGCTGCAGCAAAAACTCGGTCGTGGCTACAGGAATGCTGCTGGGTGCAGCCTTGGAGGCGCCGTGCTTGCCCGACTTTTTCGCAGCTGCAGAATGGGACGGAATGGCGGAAAGAATTTTGCAAGAGGCGAGCATCAGACTGGCGACCGTGCGTGGCTCGCCCGCCGCTCCGGCTGCCGTGGAGCCGCTCATTGTCTGCGCAAGCACAGCCTTCATCTTGGCTGTGCGGGCTTTGGCGGCCGCTGCCGTGCCCATCGTGCCCTGAAATCGTGCGGTTTGGCCGCCCATTGCCGCAGCAGCGGTGGCAGCCGCGGCCGCAGAGTCGGACTCTGACTCGAACTGACTAAACGACATGAATGCCGTGACTGCAGCCAGCTCGTCCATCACTTCCGAGATGCTGCAACGCGCAACGCGATCGCGCAGAAAGTCGCGGTCGGCCTGCTCGGCGAGCTCGGACGCCGACTTGCCACCAGCACCAGCACCAGCACCAGCACCACTACCGTCCTGACGACGTGCTTGCCCAGCAGAACCAGCAGCGCCAGAGTGAGCGTGATGGGCGGGTGCGTCGCGCTCGAGCAGCTCGTCCTGCTTGGTTCGGATGACGGGCACCAGCAGCTGCGGAAGCCGCTCGGCCCCGCGGAACCAGACCTGCTGCGTCTCTGCGCACGATACAAGGAGCAATGTGGTTCAACGTGAGTAGTCGTTTGATAGGTTCGGTGGGGCTGGCGATGGTGTTGCAATGCATTTCCCACTCAACAATCTGACATGAAGAAGAATTCAAAATCGCATTCACTCGCTGCGCACTCGGTCACTCAACATCAAGGCCGCAACATTGGCAAATAAACGCCAGAGGAATAATAGCATAAACATATATTTGTGTGTGCGTGTGGGGGGGTGGCCAGATGGAGGTCAAACGCAGCAGAAACTCACCGGCGCCGTCGTGAGCAACCAACCCGCCAAACAGATAGCGACCGAGAAGAGGCATCCGTTTGAGGTGAATGATGAAAATGAAGAAAGACTGGGGAACAAAAACAAGTCACAGAGGAAAAAGGAAATCGAGCAAGAGTCAAAGCAAATCAAAGCAAAGAAAACAGAAACGAGAGAAATGAAACGAGATTGAAAACTCAGACAAGCGGAAGCACTCAGCAAAATCAGACTCTTGAACAAACAACATGAAATCACTACTGGATGGTGTGGTTTTATCACGAAAATGCATTTTCCTCATCCATCAATGAACACCTCGAGCTGCTGTCGCAGCTCCATTCAAATCACATCGTCCAGATGTTTGAGTCAACACCGTGTATATGGATCAACGCCATCAGAATCCGACTGATCGTCATGAAGGCCGCGCAGGAACAAATTCATCCATGGCAAGTGCACAGGCTGGTCTTCCCGCGACTTCTGATCATGCAAGTACCAGTCGCCGGTGTTGTCAAACAGCACCGACCGAGAAGGAGCCGGAAAGCTTTCAAAGTACGCGTTCGCAAGTCTCGCTGTGGGTAGCTCTTGGAGGGCGAACTTTGTGTACTGCCTGTCGTCAGGTGAGATGCTGATTCCCTGACGCCTAAGATTGTCTCCAGGAGAAGCGGCGACTGCCCGCAGGAAGCTTGACATTCTCCCATACGCTGGCAAGGCGTCCACGAATGCGTTAAGCTTGACGACGAATGAGGCACGACAACGCAATGCATCGCTGGTGTTCATAGACCAAGTTTTGGCGCTGAACACGAGCTGCTGCAAATAGTACAGAACGATTTTGATTTTGGTCGCAATCTCATCCGAAGGATCTGATTCTGGTGCTTGAAACGGCCTGGGAGCGGCGTCTCCTTGCCGCGCGACCAGGTTACAATAGCCACTGCGGAGAGGGTTGACCAATTGTAAAACCAAGCTCAAGATCGAGGAGCGAGTGGAGTGGAGCCGAAGGTTCTTGAGCTCATCGTCAAGGACGCAGATGAGATCACAAAGAATGTCCCCGACAGCGCCCACAGGAAATGCGAGGATGAATCGCAGCACCAGAGCAGCAGTGTCCAAGATGCGGCCCACCGGCGGCTTGCTCTTAGAGCTGATCGCATGCTTCAGCTTCACCAACAGCCCTCTAGCACCACAGAATCGAATCTGAGGATTGTGCCAGCAAAGCACAACAAACTCGTTGTAGAACAGACTAGCAGCGATCGCCGTCTGAAGGGACAAATCTTCAGCCGGACAAAGGGCGAAGAAATGATTCACGGGTTCAAGCCAACCAAAGTAAGCATCTTTCAGCATCAGCAGCCACTCGTCTTGCGAGCTTGCAACATCGAGGCAAGTGTGAATTGCTTGTAGAAGGTACTCGTAGGCTAAGACCAGCCGTTCGCCGATTTCTGCGCGTGGCAGACGGTTGTCCTCTTGGAAGTCGGCGATCAGAAACACGATCACACCTTTCGACAACGCGAGCTGTGCTGCAGCAAGCGCTTTGCTCGGCTGCATGCTTTCCATAAGTTGTGGCAGACGCTCCAAAGCACGATCTGCCAGTTGTTGAGCTGTCTGGTGGTTTTGAGCAACAAGATGCAGCGCGGTCTCAAGCGTAGCGCTTGTCTCGGCAAGCGACAAGGTGGCGAGCGGTTTCTCCAACCATCTGCGTGCATCGGCAAGATGTTGATCTTGAGATTTGGCAGGAGCTTGTGGTTGTTGTTGTTGTTGTTGTGCGACTTGAGGAGCACCTGGGGTGAACCGGAACTGGACGTGCATGGTGGGCGCGAAAACGGGTTCACAAGTGAATCATGACTGGTGATACGTTTTGTATTCTGTGATCCTGTTAATAAACATGGACATGCTTTCGTTCATTTGACTGTACTTGTTCGAACGATCTCTGTTATGATCAGAGATCCTTCCACGAAGATACGAGTAATGGGTTGATGATGAGAGTGATAATAGGGAAACAAGAGACTTCACTTAGACAAAGCGACGAGTGAACACACTCCAAATACAGATACACATCATAACAATCTCTGGTCACACCATCATCGGGTGCAGTCGAGCATCATTCAATGATGTCTCCTTTGTTGTGTTTTCGTGTCACCATCGTCTGCCGCTCTTACTTTGCCTTTCGGTTTTTTTTTTTTTTTTTTTTTGTTCTTTTCCACCCCGGTGCAGTTTCCCTCTGACTTTCGCCCTCCCCTTTTCTCTCTCTCCCTTTCTCACTTGACTCTATCCAATAATAGATTGATCTCTCTTTTGCTTTGCTTTGGTTAAAATTTTGTTGGGATTTGTTTTGTTATGGTTTTGATTTTGTTTTTGTTTTTGTTTTTGTTTTTCGACGTCGGTTTCTTCCAAAAGCAGATCAAAAAAAAAAAGCCCCACTTTTTTTTTTTTTTTTTCGTTTTTTTCCCGCTTTTCTTTTTCTTTCTGCGCTCAACAACATCAACAGCCAGAAAGTCATTCACTCGACGCAAAGCCAACAAACGAACGAACGAACGGACGAACGGACGGACAAAATGAGCGACACACCGAGCTCGGTTGCGGCGCTGGGACGCGCACTCGTCAAGGCGATCGAGTACGTCAACATCAACTACGAGCAGACGAGCCGCCTGGCCAAGCGCGTGCAGGCGTGCATGCCTGCGATCGAGAAGCTGCCTGCAGACACGTCGGCCAAGCTGCTCGGGGCACTGGCGCGCACGTTCGTCGACGCCAAGGAGCTCGTCGAGGTCTACTCGGCTGAAGAGTGGGCCCACACGGTCGTCCAGAAGGGCACCGACAAGGCCGCCTTCACCGACATCAACGACCGCTTCCTCGCTGCCGTGCAGGGCCTCAAGCTCAACATCAAGGTCAAGAGTGTCTTTGACCGCTCCCAGGACACGGACGACCAGAACAAGGACGCAAAATTCATCACCAAGAACAAGCAGCAGATTGAGGCTGCCATCGCGCGCCTGGCTTCCCTGTCCCTCCAAGGCAACCAGTCGTCCGGGGCGAGTGGCAGCAGCAGCAGCAGCAGCGCTCCGAGACCCGCGAGTGTCATTCCGCCGCCGACGGGGGGTCCGCCTGCCTTCTCGCTGTACGGCTCAACCACGGCTGCCGCTCGTCCTGGCAACAACCCGCCTGGACCCCCGCCGAGCAACCCCATCTACCAGGCGGTCGATAACGTGACGGTGGTGTCGACCTCCACCTACGGCTACGGCCAGGCGGCCAGTAACAACGTGACGGTGTCAACCAACACGTACGGCTCCACCTCGAGCTACGCCGCTGTCGGCAATGGTGCCGGCGGTGCCGCACCCATCTACGAATCCACCTACCAGGCTCCCGGTGCCACCCCCAAGTCCATCTATGGCGGTGCCGTCACGTATCAAACCGGAGCTCATCAGCAGCAAACCAACTACCAAAATCCGAACGACCCCGGCTACGACAGCGCCATCTACGGCTCCTCCGACACCTACCAAGCGCCTGGCCCTCATTACCAAGCGACGGACATTTACCAGGCGACAGATGCAGGCTACCAAGCGACGGGCATCTACCAAGCGACTGACTCTACCTATCAAGCGCCCGGAGTTGCGCCTCCTGGCGGCTCCATCTACCAGAACTCTGGTGCCGGTGCTCCTCCTGTTTATCAGAACTCTGGCGTCAGCGGCAGTGGTCCGGTTTATCAAAACTCTGGTGCTGGTGCTCCTGTTTATCAAAACTCTGGTGTGAGCGCCGGTGGCCCTGTGTATCAAAACTCGGGTGCTGGTGCTGCTACTCCTGCTGCTGCTGCTGGCGGTGCCATTTATCAAAACTCGGGTGCTGCTGCTGCTGCTGGCGGTGCCATTTATCAAAACTCGGGTGTGAGCGGCGCCATTTACCAAAACGCCTCGGTCGCTGGCAAGCCTGCTCCCACCGCCAGCAACATTTACCAAAACTCTGGCAGCCTTTCAGACGGCGTCGACTCGGCGAACGCCAGCTCGCTGTCCATCCCGCACGCGACTCTCAAGTTTGAAAAGGCTCTCGGCAGCGGCACCTTTGGCAAGGTCTCCCTGGGCAAGTGGAACCAAGAGACAGTTGCCATCAAGCAGCTCATCCTCACGCAGCTCGATGCGCGCTTGCTTGACGAGTTTCGTCGTGAGGTTTTGGCGCACGGGCGCATCCAGCACCAGAACATTGCCATGCTGCTCGGCGCCTGCTTTGACGCCAACAACTATGCCTTGGTGCTCGAGTACTTCCCCAGCGGCAGTCTGCGCCAACTGCTCGCGGACACGGCAACCCACCCGACGCTCACACTGGCCGTGCGCGGCCGCATCTTGCAGGACACTGCGCGTGGCATGACCTGCCTCGCCCGCGCCGGCATTGTCCACCGCAACCTCAAGTCTTCCAACGTGCTGATCACCTCGGAAATGCGTGCCAAGGTGTCGGATTTCGGGTACGCCCGCATCCGCCAGGAAACTGCCGCTGCGCATCCGCCAACCGAAGCCACCTTGCACTACACGGCCCCTGAGCTGCTGACGTCCGAGAATGTGCCCGCAGACGAAAAGTCGGACGTCTTTGCCTTTGGCATTGTTGCGTGGGAGACGGCTGCGCGCCAACTGCCGTACAAGGGCATGAACGACAAGGCCATTCGCTCGGCTGTCAACGAAGGAGATCGCCCGGACATTCCCGATGACGCCACGCCGACTTTGCGTGCTCTGATTTCGCGCTCGTGGGACCAGTCTCCCGAATCGCGCCCGACCTTTTCTCAGCTGGGCGACTTGGTGCAGCAGATTGCCGACGTCTCGGCCAGCCCGGCGTCGAGCTTTTACGGCACGGCGTCAAACTTTTACGGCACCGCGGCAGCGCCCAACGCCGGCCCCCTGTACCAGAGCATGGACGGCGCTCCGCTTCCGCCGGCGAGCAGTGTGCAGGGAGGCGCGGCGCCTCCGCCGCTGCCGCCCAAACGCACTTCTGTTGCGGTTACTCCGGCTCCTGCAGCGCCAGCAGTCCCTGTCAAGACAGTGTCCAACGCCCTGCCTCTCCCTCCTCGTGCGCCGCGCGGAGCGGCTGCAGACTCGGGCCCCCAGCCGCTGCCGCAGCGTCCAGTCTCGCAGTACGCCGTCGGCTCTGTCGCCGAGGCTACCGAGCAGCTCCAGTATGGCAAGGACCTGATGCGTCGTGGTGCCACGAAGCAAGCCAAGCCATGCATCGAGTATGCGATGGACGTGTACACCAAGCATTACGGCCCGTCGCACGTGCATGTCGCTGGCATCGTTCTGGAGCTGGGCAAGGCGTGCTTGGTGTCTGGCGAGCACGCTCGGGCCCGCACGCTCATCCAGCAGGCCCTGACGACTCAGGAGAAGATTTTCGGCCCCAACCACGTCGTCACCCTTGCTACGCGCTTTGAGTTTGCCAAGTCGTGTCTGGCCACCGGCTCGCCCAAGGAGGCGATGGAGATTTTCCAGCAGCTGCTTGCCGTGCAAGAGACAACGTTCGGCCCCAAGCACGAGCGCGTGGCCAACACGCTGATGGAAATTGCTCGTTGCGAGAATGCTCTTGGAAATCACGCGGCCGCCCATGCTCTTCTGAACCGCGCCCAGCACATCAAGGCGCAGCGTCACCAGGCCGACCACATTGAATTTGTGCTGCTCACGTTCGAGATTGGCCGCACAAACAATCTCGTCGGCGACTACGCCGTTGCCTTGGGTCAGTTTGACCACGCCTTGGCCGTGCTGCGTCAACACCTCGGTGATGGTCACATTACGCAAGCCGTCGTGTACGTTGAGAAGGCGCGTGCTCACGCTGGCTTGAATGAGTGGATTCAGACGCGCAACGAGCTTGAACGTGCTTTGGGCATCCAGAGCCGCGTCTACGGCACCGAGCATCCCGAACTCGCCGTCACGCTTCGAGAGATTGGACAGGCGTACAACAAGCTCGGCAACCGCGAAGCGGCCATCTCCTACTTCCAGCGTGCAAAGGTGATCGAGGAGCCCACCTACGCTGTGGGTGGCCATGTCCCCACGCAACCCTCCAACCCGCCGAACGAGTACTCGATTCTCACCAAGCCCACCGTCGAAGAGGAGGCGGATCTCTACGCCTCCACGCCCGCCACCATGTACTTGAGCACGGCCAGTTATGCCTTCGGCGGCATGCTTGCTGATGTTGAATCCGAGGCTTAAAGTTTTGTTTTTTGTTTGTTGTGTTTGTTTTTGTGCTGGTTTCTTTTTCTGTATGTTCTGCTGTTGGGGTACAAGGCAAGGCCTGCTCTCTCTCTCTCTTCTGTTGTGTGGTCCCCCCTCTCAAAATCGGCCATCCGTATTTGAATTGCTTCTGTCCAACTTCAGTGTGCACATGAGTTTTACAGCTTTTGTATTGTTGTTACAAGGGCACAACAGGGCAAAATTGGGGAAAAATTGCCTGCACCGTTGCGCGTTCGGATGCCCCTTTTACGACGATGCTGTTTGCTGACGAGCCAGCTTCGAAGTGCGAACCATTTCGACAAAGTATCGGTGAAATCGGGAATCGCCAGTAAGCTCGGGATGGAAGGCCGTGGCAAGAAGGTTGCTCTGACGGGCTGCAATAATCCGCTCGTGCTCGTCGTCGGCATTCTTCTTTTCAAGCTTGGCAATCACCGTGACATTCGGCTTGTGGCTGACAATCACTGGTGCGCGGATGAACACTGCCTGGAAGGGCTCCTCGCCGAGCACGGGGATGGATACTGGCATCTCAAAGCTCTGCAGCTGCGCGCCAAAGTGGTTGCGATCAACGCAAACGTCCAGTCCACCGAGCAACGGTTGGCCGCCAATCTTCATCTGCAGTGCGCTATTCGCCAGCAGAATCATGCCTGCACACGTTCCCTGGTGTTGCAAAAAGGCGAGAGCGGTGAGTTACACCTTGCTCAAACAATTTTGGAAATGCAATGACGCTTGCGACCTACCCAGACTGGCTTCACTCCTTGGTGTGCCCATAGCCTGAGTGGCTCGACAATGCCACTCCGCTCTGCAACAAGGCCCATGGTGGTACTTTCGCCGCCTGTTTGCGTTCAAACCCAGAAACAAACCAAAAAAAACATCAGCGTTTCAGCACTCATCCAAGAACCGTTGAACAGCCATGATGCGTTCTTGCGTGAAAACGTACCTGGAATGATGAGGGCGTCCAGTGTGGGATCGTTGACTTCCGCTGGTGTGCGGATTTGGACGGCAGTGACATTTTCGATGCGACCGAGCACTGAACATCAGAAATGCAGCCAACAGACAAGCAGGTAAGTTTACAGAATACGAAGGCAAAAGAAAGCACTCGATGACGCGTTTTAATGAGCTGGTGGAAGACACACACACAAAAAAAAACCGGATTGCGACTCAGACTGAGCCCATACTCAGACTGGTGCCATTTGTCCCATTATTGTTCCGTTGTTTCCATTCATCGAACTCGACCTTCCCCCCAACCTCAACTCAACTCAAACCCCGATCGATTCGGTTTTTTTGTTGCCCAATTCAACGACACAGCAACAGCATGATTCAATGTCGAGGCTCGACTGTCGGTCCGGTCGAACCCCGTTCTCTGAGTGTCGAGGCCACGCGTCACTTTTTCGTATCGTTTCCACATTGATCTCCGCCAGCCTTCCCCCCCCCTCCATCAAGTCCGCTCTCCTCCATTCCCAAATCCCCAATCCCAACTACATCCCCCACTAAGCCAAAGAACCAACCTGCTCAAAACCAGCCACTTGACGTGCTTTCATCGCAATACAAAACCAGAAGCAAATTGGTTTTTGCAGCTTGTTCGATGACCAGCAGCGTCAGTGCAGCTTTGTTCGATGTCTCCAAATTGCTCACTGAGCTATCCCTCCAATTTGTGATTTGGAGCTGTAGTGTGGTTGTATGGATGGGCTGCTGAACAGCTTGATCAATGGATGGCTGATAGCAGGATGATAGCAGGCTTTTGCTCAATGAGAAGGGCCACACACGCTTCACTTCTTCACTCTCAGTCACAGTCACTGGTCACGGATCACTCTCCACACTGGTCAACTCGCAACGAAACCATTCTCAACTTCACTCTCAATGCAAGTCAAAACAAGACAAGCAAAAAACCAACCCCTCCTCGACGACAACCACCAACGACGTCGTGATCAACGGAGAATCTCTCCCTATTCACCGCGCACTGCACTGTTGCTGCTGCTTCCACCACCACGCTCAAATGCTGCGAGAATGAATGCAAAAACAACAAAAGAAGGCTTCTCTTTTTGTTACCGTGGATGTGCTCGATGAAGGCGCCTTGAAGCGCAAGGACGCCAATCTTGACAGCCGGCGACGCCATTTCCGAAAATCTGAGACAAAAACTCAACAAAAATATTAAAAAGACTGATGTCAAAAAACTCTCAATACAGTATCATAATTGTAAATCTCACATCCATTCAGTTCTCTTTACAATCAGACATGCTGGGAAGAGCGACGGCAGCGAGATCAGCGTTGATGCGATTGTATGCTGTGCAGCAACCCGCGCTGGCACTCGGGGGAACAAGAACCCGCGCTGCCACTCTGAGCATGGGCATGGCACTGCGACAGGCATCAGCGCAGCCCGTGCACGGAGCGCGCCTCGGCAGCGGCGGGAGTGCGCGATCAATGACAACCAGCCTCAAGATTGGTAACAAAACCCAACAACTCCATTCTGCAAACCACCCCCGACCCGCGACTATGCTTTGATGGATGGATCATGGCATCCCTTTTTGGCCAAGGATGGTTGTTTGCAGCGTCGTCGGGAGGCTGGAGAGCTTGAATCCGGGATCATCCAATTCCAATTCTTGCTCCAATTCTCAGCCGTTTAGAACCTCGACAGCTCACAAACTGATTCGATTTTTGTTGTTGTTGTTGCTTTGCTGCTTTGCTGTTGGAATTGAAATACAGCTCAGACACACGTTGCAGAGGAAATCGCAACGCACCCGGAAGCACCAGCGCCAGACCCAGTCCGGCTCACAACGCGCGACTCTGTCCAAGGTCGCCTCATCGTCGAAGGTAACAAAACGAGAAGACAAAAAGACACATAATGTAGATCAAACTACGGGTTATATGTGGCTCCAAGTCACAAATGTCTCGTCCAAAACGGCTCATCGCGGTTGCGCGCGCTTCATTTGCCACTAGAGCTGGGCATTGTCGCTGGATCGAGCGCACGAAGCCGAAACTTTCTGGTCGACCTGTGGACACGTCTCAGAGGTTTTCTGGGAGGCGAGCTAACATCGTACAGCGTGAGTTTTTGACTCGAACGCGGCTTTTTGAGCAAACTTCGCCCTGACTGACGGGCCAATTCCGCTTGAAACGCTTAGGAAATGTTCACTGAAGCCACCAACGAAGCGACAGAGCAGGCCATGAAAGAAGCAGAGGCCTTGGTAAACGAATTGCTTGTTCATGAGCTGTGCTCTCACTCTTCGCCACGCCATGCTCACTGTAACCCGTGTGATTGTTTTTTGCACCGCTCCATTAGGGTGCAACAAGCATTATTCGCGTGCGCTATCAGAATGCCTGCACCGAAACCAAGATCACGGGCGTGTCCGTGTACGTTCTGTGCTACGGAACCGCCGTCCGCTGTGTCGACCGAACGAGCGATGCGGCACACGAGTACCTTCGCCAACTCGAGTCAGTGCCCATGTCGTTCAGCAAGCAACAGAAAGAGAAGGCCCCGGAACCAGGCAGCGCATCGGCCGATGCGATTGCCGCAGCCAAGCCGCCGGCAACACCTGTCCCGACCACCATTGCTGATGTAGCTGCTCCGACTGTTGCGCCATCTCACATCCAGCAGCAGCTGCTGTCTCATCCGGCGCTCCTGCAGCAGCAAATTGACCTGCAGCACCACCAAATCCAGCAGCTGCTCGCCCTCCAGCAAGTCCAGCTCACCCAGCTCCAATCCAAGCTCGAGGCCCCAACCCCCGAGAAGGAAGTGATTCTCAACGTCGCCTCCTCTGCCAAGTCGACCATTGTCACTGCCGTCCAAGAGTGATATTGAGGGGAGAGCCTCGTTTTCAATTCTCGGATGACTTTTTCGTCTGCTGTTGAAATGTTGCATGATTCTGTTCGAAACAAAAACAAAACCTGCCTCTCTGTGTCTATTTGCTTTCAATCAGTCTTCAAGTCATTCCTTTTTGTTTCTCCTTATGCGAGTGTCCACTATGCGTTGTTGGCTGAATCTGCTCTTGGTCGTGCTTCTGGTTGCCACTGCGTCAACTTCGCTCGTCTCTGCCGCCTTCGTCAAGCCACTGACTCCCTATCGCTCCTACGACAAGGTAACACACACAAGCCTACACTCATCGCTGTGACTCTGTGTGGACCAGGCCTGGGTCTTTGGTCGTCGTCACCGGTTGACAGAGGCGTTTCCCCCGCCATTCAGCACCGCCTCCCCGCTCCCCAACCGCCGTTTCCTCACTCATTGTGGCAAACTCAACTGTATGCATGCTTGCTTTTTTGTTTGCTTGGGGCTTGGCTTGAATAGGGCGAACCGGTCGTCGTGCTCGCGCATCCGCTGCGATCCATCTTTGTGGACGTCTTTGCGCACGACCACCTGAGCCTGGGGTTCTGCGGACCGACTTCCGAGGCTGAGCAGGACAAGTTTGACGCAACGCTGGGCGAACGGCTGCTCGGCGACAACGCGCACGTCCTGCCCATGAACGTAAAGCTCTCTAAATGTTTCGGATTTTGCTGAGCTGGCATTCGCGACGGGCGTTTCCCCCCCCCCCTTCAAAGTGATTGCCGCTGCGATGCATGGGCCGATGGGCAAATGGGTTGAATGATTTCCAAGCATCGAATGGAGCCGGCAAAACGTGGCGATTTGGAGCTATATTGGTTGAGAAATCCATTCATGTCGATTTTCCTGTTGTTGTTTGTAGGTCACATTCATGCAGAACACGACCTGCCAAGTCATGTGCACCAAGACGTACAGTCCTGAGCAATCAACTCGAATTATCAAAGCCGCCGAAGCCTTAGTGCAGCATCACTGGTAAAAAACGCGAAAAGCATGTATGAGCACTTCCCGCGACGCAACTCACGAGTCTGTCAACCTTGCTCTTCCTCTTCTTGTTCTTCTTGAATTACGATGCTTGATTTGTTTTTGCTGGCAGGACTATCGGGGACATTCCAATCAACAATGGATTTGAAAACTATCGTCGCGCGAGATTCCCCATGGGCAACCTGGCCACAGCGCTCGCGCTGAACAACGACTTTACCATCACAGTCTATGTGAATGAGTACGACATGATTACAGCAGCAGAGGCCCGTGTTGCCAGCTTGCGGCACGCAGCAAGCGCTGAAGACTCGTGCGCAGAGTCTGCCGGCTTGGGCCATCGTGTGCTGACCATGGACACCAACGCGACCGTCACGTACTCGTACTCTGTCTTGTTCATTCGCGGCGACCCGTCGTGGTCGTACGAAGATGAAGCGAACGAACTGCACGTGTTTAGCCTGGTGAACAACATTGTCGTGCTCCTGGTCATCCTGGCCACCTTCTTTTTTGTGGTCATTCGTGCCCTCCGTTCGGACTTTGCCCGCTACGAGCGGCTGGACGACGAATCGCCCGCCGAGGAGGCTGGCTGGAAGCTCGTGCATGGCGACGTCTTCCGCGCGCCGCGCCGACCGCTCCTGCTCGCGGCCCTTGTCGGCTCTGGCGTGCAAGTTGCCTTGGCTGCCATTCTGACTGTATTCTTTGCCGCGATTGGCGTCGTGTCCGAGTTTACGCCAGGCAGCATTGCATCGTGTGTCTTGTTCACCTATGCGATTTTCGGCGCCGCTGCCGGTTTTGTCGCGGCTCGCTTGTACAAGTCTCTTGGTGGAGAGCGCTGGAAGTCCTTGCTGCTTGTCACGGGAACTGCCTTCCCTGGGTATGTCTGCGGCTGTGCTCTTGTTGCAGGCGAAGGGGTTAGATGTTGTGTAGCTGAACTGACGGTTTTGCTTCGGTTTCTTGTTTTTTGAACCCACAAACAACTGTAGACTGCTCTTCCTGCTGGGTGTCATTGCCAACGGCGTCAAAGCAGCTCACGATGCAGCTGATGCGGCATCCACAGGGACGGTGTTTGTTGTGCTTGCGGTCTGGATTTTCCTGCTGCTCCCACTGTGCCTGATTGCCGGCCTGATCGGGTTTCGAACTGCGCCGATTAGCTTCCCTGTCAAGATCAACACGTTGCCGCGGTTTTTGCCGCAGCATTCGGTGAGAAAGAACCTCCGTCTGCAGTTTTTGGTCGGTCAAAAGAAGGTGTGTTTGCTCAATTCCCTCTCTTTGCATTGATGTGATTGACCAGCCATTCTTCGCTCGGATGGTGCCCATCATTGTTGTCTGCGGATTGGTTTCGCTTGCCCCGATCGGTATCGAATGGGTCGCAATGACAAGTGCCCTGTATTCGTCCAACCTTTACGTTTGGTTCCCGTATCTTCTTACGGCCTTGATCATGTTCCTCGCGCAGACTGCGACACAAGTGGTTCTGTTTGTTTACTTGCGGCTGCGAGCAGAGGTAGGGAAAATTGGAGGGTTGGCTTTGAAGTTCCTCTTCTTGTTTTTTTTTTTTTTTTCTTGTTTTTTTTTTCCCAACTTGGCTCACTTTGGCTTTGGATTGTGCGGGATGATCCTCTCAGAACTACCACTGGTGGTGGGTCTCATTTATTGCTCCAGCAGCTGTGGGCATTCCAATCTTTGTCCAAAGCGCCTTCAACCTGCTTTCGCATAACGTCGTGTTCGGCTCGGGCGGCAGCGGCGTCTTCAACTATTTTATCGTCGTGATTATTGCAGCTTTGACATTTAGCATCATGGCCGGTAGGTTGATTGGTTTTTAATGTGTCTTGTTTGCGTTTCGGGTGGTGTTTTCTTCGGAGAATGTCATTCTCATTCATTTCGTCGCTTCCTGTTGACGCTGTTTGCACGTAGGCGCTGCCGGCATGCTGGCTTGCTTGTGGTTTACTCGCAAGATCTATGCCTCCATCAAGATTTCTTGATGCTCCTGTTGTTGTTGTTGTGTGTTGTTGTGCAGCGATGTTTGGACTGGATATTGTCTTTTCCCAATTGTATTATTTTACCGTCCTTGTCCATCTGACTTTTGATTCTCAGTCTCTATTTCTCAACATCATGAAGATTGTCATTTTCGGAAGGTCAGTGATCTGAGTTTGAAACATCATAAATTTTGACTCCAAAACCTGACGTTGTCTCGTTTTCTGGTTGAATTGGATCACAGTGGTCTCATCGGCCGCTGCTGGGCGCTTGTAAGTGCAATTGTGTTGAATTTGCAAGGCGATCGGATGCTGCCTTGAAACCGTGTGGCTCTGTGGGAGGGAGGGCGAAGCGGGCGGTAATTTGAGCCCGTCCAAAAATTGAATTGACCGTTCGCGCCCCGATCGGCTGAAGTCAAGTCGCGTTGCTCACGTCGACGACATGCATTTCAATGCGTGGATGTGTACAATGTGTCTTGGTGTGCTAGTTGTTTGCGCGCGCCGGCAACACGGTGCAGCTGTACGACAAGGAGCCAGCCCAACTCAACGGCGCGCTGGACGACATTGAATCCAAGCTCAAGGGCCTGCAGAGCTCCGGCTTGCTCCAGGGCCAGGCCGTGGCGGACGTTCTGAAGCGCATTTCAACCACGACCGATCTCGATGGCGCCATCACCGGCGCCGACTATCTTCAGGTACAGCCAGTCGAGTCGGTCGATTGAGATTTGTGGATCAGCAATCGGGGTCAATCACATCCGTATGTCCTGAAATAACTCGATGCTGAACAAACTTGCTGAACGGGAAAAACGTGGAAACGTGTGAAACTCTATTGTTTTCTAGGAATGCGTGCCGGATATCGTTGATCTCAAGCGCAACGTGTTTGCTCAACTCGACGCGCTGGTCGAGAAGACTGGAAACTCAAAGATTATTCTTGCCAGCTCAACGTCGGTCATTCCCGCGTCCACGTTCACCGAACCACTCAAGCACCGTTCGCGCTGCTTGGTGGCCCATCCTGTATGGCGAGTAATAGCGGCGCGAATCGGCACCCAAACCACTAAACTAACTTGTATGTTTGTCATTTTGATTCTGCTTTGTTCGCAAAAGATCAACCCGCCCCACTACATCCCGGTCGTCGAGGTCGTCCCGGCCCCGTGGACCAGCCCCGAGGTCACGGCAGAGACGCGTCGCATTCTGGACAGCATCGGTCAAGCGCCAGTGGTGCTAAATTGTGAAGTCGAGGGGTTTCTCGTCAACCGCTTGCAGTTTGCCTTGCTCATGGAAGGCTATCGCTTGGTTGAGGTACGAAGCCGTGTTTGAACGCCATGTGGAGTGCTGTCGAAATGGTGACTCTCTGATAACTTCCTCGCTCACACGATGACTTGCGGTCGTGACTGCAGGCTGGTGTGTGCTCGCCAGCGGACATCGACACCACGATTAGCAAGGGCCTTGGTCTGCGCTGGTCGTTCATGGGTCCGTTCCAGACGATCGACTTGAATGCGCCTGGAGGTGAGTGGGAAGATTATTGCAATTGTCGTTAGCGCCGGCGTGAACAAATTCTGATTCCGCGAATAATAATGGTATTTCAATTTGGCAGGTGTGGATGACTACTGCAAGCGTTACAACCCCGGCGTCGTTCGCGTGTGCAAGGACTTTGGCGAGACAAAGGATCCTTCGCCCGAAACGGTCGCCGCCATCAACGCCGCCATGCGTGAGGAAGTGCCGTTCGAAGACCTCGCAAAACGTCGTGAGTGGCGCGACAACCGTCTGGCTGCGCTCGCCGTGCACAAGCTCCAAATGGACCAGCTCGACAAGGCATCCAAACAGTGACGACGCGATGATTGTAGCGAAAATGCATATGAATTTTTGTCGCGAAAAAACAACAACACACCCCTCTCGTCCACGCATGTCATTGATTTTATTTCGTTTTGCTTCCGAAACAATTCGCTCTGTACACAACACGGTTCGTAGCCAAGCGCAAAACAAATGCAGTTTCAAACGGAGACAACCAAAACCAGAAAAAAAAAAGAAAAAAAAAAAACATGCTCAGAGCCGAACCTCTCCCGAAATCAGGCGACGATAAAGTGCAGCATCAATGCGCACATAGGTATTCTGTGCCGGGTCGGCAAAGTAAACCTGAGGGACGACTTCGGGGTTGAAACCATCGCGGACGTACTGCGGTTTGCATTGCTTGAAGGTGCCGGTTCGGTCTGCTTGGTCTACATCCACCACTCTCAAAAACCGAGGCATGGCATACGCTGGGAGCTGCGCGGCGACGTGCGCGTACAGCCCTCTCCAGTCAACGTATGGGAGATCCGGGATGAAAGTGACTGCGGCCATACCTGCACGACCTTCAAACCCAGGCACGTTGACGCCATAGACGTTCGCCTCCTGGTGCAAACAAGCGAGAGTAGATGATAACAACGAGGGTGAGAAGGCGAAAGGGACTCCCAGTTTGATTGATTGACCGAGTCAACCTACCTGAATGCTTGTATGCGATCCCAGAACTTCGGCAACCTCAGTCGTGGCCACATTTTCCCCGCGCCATCGGAAGGTGTCGCCAATCCGATCTTTAAAGTAAACGAATCCGTCCGTATCCATCACCATTAAATCGCCGCTGCCAAAGCAACAACAAACAATTCCACCAAAAGTCAGTCGTGGCGTCGTCCCATGTATTATGCCCTTGCGGAGCAACTCGATACTCACGTGCGGAAGTACATGTCGCCCTGCTTAAAGACATTGCGAAGAATCTTCTTTTCGGTCGCATCCTGGTTTCCGAGGTACCCATCGAAGCGACGCGATGGATCGGCCATGTCAATCCAGCCAACCAGCTCGCCAATCTCGCCGGGGCTGCAAGTCATGCAAAGACCCTTGGAATTTCGCATGACAGCATCATTGGTCACGTCATACTTGAGCAGCTTGACAGGGTACAATGTTTGAACAAGCGGCGAAACAAAGCCGATGGCATTGGTTTTGCCAGTCGCGTTGAGCAGGACAGCATTGCCCTCTGTTGACGCATAAAACTCGCCAATCATGGCAATGTTGAATCGCTTTTGGAACCTGGACCAGACATCCGGACGGAGGCCGTTGCCTGTTGCAAGAATGGTGAGGGAAAAAAGAAAGAACAAAAAAAAACGCACCAATGCAGCTTGAGCTTGCTGCTCAACCTCGGAGAGCAGAAATCAATAGCCAGCTGAACGACATACCAATGGCCAATCGGACAGAATGCTTGGTGTCGGCAGAGTCAGGTGGCTGGGAAACGAGGAAACGAAGCAACTCGCCAATGTACTGTTCTCCGAAAAGAAAACGCGCAAAAAAAAAAAAAAAAAAAAGCAAATAAGGTCGGACTGCATCGATTCCGCTGCTAATTTTAATGCTCGTACGTTACACACGAAAACCCATACCTGAATGATGGTCACGTTGTAGCGCCGACAGTCGTCCCAAAAGTGCGACGCCGAGAACTTGCGACGCAGCACGACTGGGATGCCGAGCCCCACCATGCAAGACATGCCGAGGAGACCAGCAGACGAGTGATACATGGGCAATGTACAGTACATCACATCTTTGGTGCCATCCATGGGGAAAAACTCGTTGAAGGAGCGGCTGATCATGATAAAGCGGAAGTGCTTTACACGCGCGGCCTTCGGGGTGCCCGTGGTCCCGCTTGTAAAAATGTACAGGAGATCGTCGTCATAACGTGTGCCAAGCTCGGCGATCGAGATGGGCTCTGCGGAATTGGCCGTCTCCCACAAGGGCGTGACGTAGGTTGCCCAAGAGAGCTGGTGATCCAAAGCCGGGCCCTCGTAAAAGATGGGCAGGCCACCCAGCTGGGGCAAGATGCCCTCCGTGACCGAAATGAGCTCGGTTCCAATCAACAGGAGCTTTGGCGAGCATACTTTGATCGAGTGCGCCAGCGGACCGGCCTTAATGTGGTGGTTGATCAAGGCCGTGACTGCTCCGATTTTCGCAGCTGCAAGCCAAGTGATAAAGTACTCTGGTCTGTTTTCCATGAAGAGGGCGATAATGTCACCTGTGTGTGTGTTTTGCAATGCGCCATCATCAAAGGTTTGTTGAACAAAGAGTTAGATGTTGTAAGACTTTGGCCGGCTCTTGTTTTTTCGACTCTGTTACCCTTCTGGATGTTTCGAGACTTGAGCCAATGCGCCTACCAGCATGTCCAATCGCATAAATACAGTGTGGTACGAGAATTGAGTGCAGCGCAATGCGAAAAACTCGCTGCGAATCGACATTGCAACCAGCAACAACAACAACAGCAGCAAGCGCAGCCCCCATACCGCCTTGTTCGACAGCTGGTCGAGCTGACGGAATGTCAGGGTTTGGTTCTCAAAGATGATGGCAGGGCGGTCTGGCGTTGCATGGACGCGCTGAGCCCAGTCGAAGAGCACCGAGAACGGCGGGTTGGCTTGGTGCTGCTGCGCCCGCGTCATCCGCAGCAACCGCACCAGCTTGACGAGGAAGCTGGCGTCGCGCACGACCTTCGACCTGCCAAAGAGTGACAAGTGCAAGTGGCAAGTGGGATGGGGCGAGCACGCCAATTTCGCCAAGTCAGTCCAGAACGCTGGTCAGTAAGAAACCCACATACAGATACAGACAGAAGCACATCGAACGACATCATCAAACGAGTGCATGAGAAGCGATCAACAAACAGCGTTGCTTACGAGAAGGAAGAAATTGCCGATCCGGCCGACCAGAGGTAGTCCATCAGTGATCTAGTACAGTACAGCACAGTGCTGTAGTTCCAGTACAGTGCAATGTGTAAAAATGACTGCGTATTGATTGCTCTGCTTGCTCAATGTAATGAATGAAGATGACATTGACATTTTGGAAAGAACGCTCGAATTCGTATCTGGCATTTGATCACTCCGCTTGTTGGCTCGCTTTGGGGACGAGCAAGTATATGTCGTCCCTCGTCGTGACTGTCTCAGTCGCTCAGCGAATCTCTTGGCAGAACATTCGTGCTTGAAGGTGATCGAAGCCTAACTCGGTGAGAATAAGCCAAGACAATCCAAGTGTCTCAGTCTCCCAGTCTAAATCTCTTGGCTCCAAGTCAAACTCTACTCCTCACAGAACCAGAACAAATGTCGACGTCCTCGCTCGCTCGCGGTGCACTGATCGTGTTTGAGGGCTGCGATCGCAGTGGCAAGTCGACGCAGTGCCTGATGCTGGTCGAGCGGCTCAAGGCGCTGGGCAAGCGCGTCCAGCACTTGCGATTCCCAGACCGCTCGACGCCGACCGGCCAGAAGATCAATGCCTACCTCGCAAACGCAAGTGAGATGCAGGACGACAAGATCCACCAACTCTTCTCCGAGAACCGCTGGGAGGCCGTGTAAGTGGAGCGCCACAAGGTGGGGGGCAGAACAAAAGCGCGGGAAAAGTTTGGCGGGAAATCCGTGTCCTTTGTAGGCTGTGCCAAGACCTGAATCGAGTGCGACTCACAATGGCGTGCAACGGATCTAATTTGTATTGCACCTTGTACGTGTGTGGTGGGAACAGTCCGTCCATGCTTGAGGCGCTCAAAAACGGAACGACGCTGGTTGTCGATCGCTACGCCTTCTCTGGCGTCGCCTTCTCGTCTGCAAAGGTAAGAAAGACCAAGTCGCCGCGATTGTAATGCTTTTTGTGCTTGTGTCTTGAACACTTGGATCGCAGGGAAGTCGAGAGTACGTCCAGGCGCCACAGCTCATTCATTCACGCATTCACAAACTAACTCGAATGCGACAGGGCCTTGATCTCGAGTGGTGCAAGAAACCCGACGCCGGACTCCCTGCTCCAGACGCTGTCATCTACCTCGACATTCCGATTGAAGCCGCGATGAAGCGAGGCGATTTTGGCAACGAGCGCTACGAAACGCGCGCCTTCCAAGAAAAGGTGGCTGCGCAATACAAAAAGCTCCAGACCCCGTCCTGGATGGTGCGTATTTTTTCATTGAGCAGCAGAGTGGCATTCATTGACGATGCGAGTGAGGCGCTGTAGTGCAAAGTCTAACCCTTGGACACATTGTTGCGATTGTTTGTTTTATGGTTTTGTTTATTTTGTCATTTCATTGATAGATGATGGACGCACGCCTCCCAATAGACCAGCTTCAAGCGGATATTTTCAACATTGCATCCAAAGTGATTGCGGATGCCCAGAATGCCCCAGTCGGCAAGCTGTGGTGATGTCCAGATTTGCTGCAACAACAAATATTCACAGATGACGGATGCATCGCGCAAAAGAGTGGTCTAGGAGTTGTTTCAGTACCATGAGAGGGAGTGTGTTACGATTGAATAAATAGTCTTGACGCCAGTTGCACACAAACGCGCGAGAGAATGATGCTGGGGCTCATTCGCTCTGTAGCCGCTTGTGCCAGGCTTGGAAGTGCCGAAGTTCGCTCATCACTTGGGCACAAAACCGTGCATTCTCCTTTTGCAACTCTGGTGAGCCGCACGCATCAGCAGCCTTGACAATTGTTTCTTGAATCAGAACGTCGGTCAACTTGACTTGCACACTCCGCTCTCGTGGCGACATGGCCGCAAGCCGCTGTGTCTCCCATTCACGTACGCGCATTGCGATAGCTTCGTTCTGCAAGAACAACAAAAAGCACCATCCCACGCGCGATGAGTTGCCCGAAAGACTCGGAAGTATGTTTGAATTTTGACCGACATATTATTGCATACCCTCCGATTCCGGCAGATCAAAAAAGCCAGCAACTGATCCTGACAGATGGCCTCCGATTTCCCTCGACGGAGACAGGATACCATGTCCTTGAACGTGGATTCACTGCAAATGGTTGAAATCCAGATGAAAAGCTGTAGTGAGAACAAGCACCGATTTCTTCCCGCCGACCCCTCCCTCTTCTTTTGTTGTGTACCATAGATTGACCCCGTTGAGAATGTCGGCCTTGGGAGCGCCGCTGGGCAGCATGACGAACGGCGCGTCGTTGAGCTGGTCGGGCGTAAACACGCGCGCATGCATCTCTGGCTGCTCTAGCGTGACGGACGGCGGTGGGCCTCTGGGCGTGGGTTCACTGAAGCTTGTGCTTGTAGAGCCTGCGTTCGGCTCGACCGGAGTCTCGGACATGTGTATTTGAGGATTGAAACGAAAAGAGGACTGAAACGCGAATCTGAGAAGTCTGAGACAAGCAACGCATGGATGGAACACTCGCCCCCGTCCCCTCATCATCAATACTACAGGACTAGATCTACAGTGCAAACGCTGAGATCAAAGGCCCATGCATCGATCACTTTGGGATTCCGTGCGATTTGTTACTCCAACCCACAAGCTCACAAGCTGTCCTCAACATTGCTCGTCAAGCATTGAGTAGTCGATGCAACAACTTACACTACACTATACAATAGAGCTTCACTCTCATTTTGTTTGATCGTTCTTCCATTGCAAGGAACGATGCCAAAGCAGGACTCGTTCTTCCTGCCTTCGTCGGGCACCAAGCGCAGGAGCGACGCGCCCCACTACGACTCTGGCTCTGGCTCTGGATCTGGATCTGGATCTGGCGCTGGCCGTGGCGGGCGCGGTGGGCGCGGCGGACGCGGGGGACGTGGTGGCGGCGCTGCGGCAGGCGGATCCACACGTGGCGGCGGTGCTGGTCGCGGCCGCGGTGGCAGCGGCAGTCCACGCGGCGGGCGTGGTGGCTCTGGCTCCATGGGTGGTCCTGCGCGTGGTGGCCGTGGCGGCGCGTCCGGGGCGGCGGCTGGTGGCTCAGCGAGGGGAAAAGGCTCTGGCTCGAGCCATCCCAGCAAGCGATCCCGCGTTGACGACGACGCCGACGACGACGAGGACGACGATCTGGAGGCGATTGACCATGGCGACGACGATGACGACAACGATGCCAACGGCGCAGGTGCCGCGGACGACAGGTAAACGCCAACGGAGGTGCATGTTCGTGTGGACGCGAGTCCATGTGCTCCAATGCAAACCCTCACCAAAGCCAGCAACCGAGGCGCAACGACTCTCAGCTGCTGTGGAGGGTTTGGATTTTGCGTGTTGGATTTGGAGAACTCACGTTTGTTTTGATCCTTTTGGTGTCCGGCTGGTCTGGCTGGATGATTGGAACTTGTGCAGCGAGGAAGAGGTCGAAACGGCTGCAGAGAAGGTGAGTCGAACGCTGAAGATGGGGGACGGGCTCAAACGAGCATATGGACGGCATGCAAAGTGTAGCAAGGGTACTAACTAGGGTGGTTCACCGTTGCGCTTTGGGCTTCGCTTTTTTCGCTTTTTTGTTTTGGTAGCGCATTCGGTTGGCTCGATCGTACATTGACCACCTCGAGGAAAAGCAACGCACAGACCGTGATCACGACGAGGTCGATCGTGACGCCATTGCGCACCGGTAACCGACAGTCGCAGCGTTGTTTGATTGCAGTGCATGTCGGTTGCTAGCCGCGTTGAAAAATGAGTTTCTGTCAACACTCATCTTATCTCCTCCTCCTCTCTTGATTCCGAACCCCCCCCCCAGCTTGCAAGAAGACGCACTGGAACAAGCTGGAAAGCTCCAACGTGAGGTTGCTGTTGAATACGCTGATTGGGACTTTGGTGCGGCGGCAGAACGCGCTCGAGTGCTGCGAGGACACGATTTGCCAATCACTTGCTTGTGCATAAGCGCGGACGATCGATTCTTGTTTACTGCCGCCAAAGACTGCAAAATCATCAAATGGGACTTGCAAACGGGTCGCCGGATGCGGACGATTGAAGGCGGCAAAAAGCAGACCAACCGATTCAAGCGATTGGAAAAGCAACGGCAACAGGGCGGAGCTCCTGCGCCACCGCCGTTCCCCGGCCACACTGAGCACATTCTAGCGATCGCCATTTCCTCCGATGGGCGATATTTGGCCTCCGGCGGCCGCGACAAGAGCCTGTTCATTTGGGATCCCCAAACGCTGGCTCTGATCAAGCGGTTTGAAGGCCATCGAGACGCGATTAGTGGTCTGGCATTCCGACGGGGCACACACGAGCTCTACTCTACTTCGCATGACCGAACACTCAAAGTCTGGAACCTCGACGAGATGACCTATGTCGAGACAGTGTAAGTTGAGAGCGAGGACAGGTTGAAATTAATTGTTTGCATTTTCGTTCCTCCTCACAACATGATATCCTTTGCTTTATGCATGTGTGCACATGCAACAGGTTTGGCCATCAAGATCACATTACCGCTGTGGACTGCTTGTACAAGCAACGACCGCTGACTGCAGGCGGCCGTGACAAGTCCACGCGCGCTTGGAAGATTGTGGAAGAGTCGCAATTGGTTTTCAACTGCACCATGACCTCTCTGGACTGCCTAAAACTTGTTAATGACGAGACCTTCATCACGGGATCCGAGGACGGGTAAGTCTGGTTTTTTGATGTTTGGGGGCTGCGAACTCGTGCCATCCACAACAAACACACTGCTAACATACGAACAAACGTTGGTAGCATGGTCGCACTATGGAGCTTCCAGAAGAAAAAGCCACATTCGTTGGTCCATCACCACGTGGAAGATCAAGATTGGATGAACGCCAGGATGCTTGCCGAGGCCAAGGCTCCCTTGCCCGAATCCGATGACGAAACTGAGCCAGCTGCTCTTTTTCCCCGCGACAACTGGGTGTCTGCTGTTGCCAGTCTTCCCTACACGGATCTTGTTGCGTCCGGTACGTGGGACGTGGGGTCGGGACCATGCCGAAGTACACTTGTACCAACCTCGTGTTTGTTTTGTTTTGTTTTTGTTTTCGTATTGCAGGTTCCAATGACGGTGTTGTGCGCTTGTGGCGATGCACAAATGGGTTGCATACGCTTTCGCCCCTGGCAGCCATCCCTGTGGTACGTGTTTGTCCCCGTTTTGGAAACTTGTGGTATTTCTTGCAGGCTCATTCGTTCCATCCTGAACTACGACTCTTTGTTTTTTGTTCTTTTCACCTTGCTTGTCATTCTTTTTCGCCTACAGCTTGGCTTCATCAACTCCTTGGCGTTTACGAGCGACGGCTCGCGTCTGATTGTCGGAGTTGGCCAAGAACATCGTCTTGGCCGGTGGTTTACTCCAACAAAGCTCACTAAGAACTGCATCAAGATCATTCCTCTGACTGCGGCGGCGCTGGCGAATGCGAATGGAAATCACTCTGCTTCGAATTCGCTTGCACCCAAAATGCCAGAGGCACTCGATGGCGATGAAGAGGAGGAGGATGAATAATGTCTTCCTTTGAAAGCTGAAGTTGTTCTATCTTCATTGGCTTTTTTTGTATCAACATTTACATTTTGACAAAATTACACAAGGACACAAGTCGCAGCTGCAGATGCATGACAACATCGAAAAAGTCGACACTGCCAACAACAATGAAATCACTTGTTCGGCTTGGATAGGAGGGTTTCCCAGAAAGTGTCGAGGTGATGTGTTTGGGGTATTCCTCGGGAGGAAAAGTACCTCGAGTTGCGACCCTGATGCGTTGTACAAAGTTGTTTTGTGCAAAGTGAGAAGAAGTGAGAAGAAGAAGCGTCGCTTTTCTGGAGGGGAGAGAAAAAACCACACCGAGCACCACATATACACGACACGACAATGACGACTTGTGTCACTTACCATCATGTACCACTTGGCGACGGGAGTGAGAGCGACAAGCAAACACAAAATGCAGAGAATGGTCATGAAAATGTAAACCATGGCCTGTGTGTTTCACCCCCACCAGCAAAGAAAATATCCACCACGGTTGTCGGGCATGCCAAAGTGTTAGTGTCGAATAGAACAAATCACATCCCGAGTTGACGGGGGGATGAGCGCTGTATTACCTGAATCATGCCGTCGTTGCGGGCTTGGTAAACGCACGAGCAGGCCATGCAATCCGCACGGTGCAGCAATTGGTCGCAATCGCTATCATGGTTTTCAACAATACAAAAGTAGAGCATTGGTTTGGCATGGTTTGAGTGAGTGCATGCAATGCAATGGTAGTGCAATCATAGAGCAAAGGAGAAGCGAGTTGGACCTCCACCAGTCCCCTCTCCACGGGCTGCCTCACCAGTCTGCCTCGGTTGCGACTTCGGCAATGGTCGTGTTGTTTGGGCATGTGCACTTGCAGCGGTACGGGTTGTTCGTGTCCGACACGTTGCCCTGCGCGGCCAGTTCAGTGTCGAGCAGCAGGTTGCGCGTCCCTCTCCGCTCATTCACGCTGCTCTGCTGCTGTTGCTGCTTGTTGTTGCTATTAGCCAATGCTTGGTTCTGGGTCTCGGCGGCGGCGGCGGCAATGGTCAGCCCAGCCACCGTCAGCAAAACCATCATAGCCAAGCTCCAATGCAAGCGTCCCATGACTGCAAAGTGTGTGTGAATAGAGACTGAAGGCCAGCCAAATGTAATGTGAATGATGATAAACTGAGATATCCGTCGTAGATCAAGTCGCGGTGGATAGAGCTCCGTTGATTGGATTTGGATTGAGTACTGAACTACCAAATTCTAACAACCACTAGTGAAGTTTCCGTATGTTTAGTCGCGTTGGTTCACTCTGAATCGGTTACTCTTTGCTCTTCCGGCGTTTTGTTTTTCAGCGTTGCGTTTTCTCAGACTGGCTGATTTTTCATCCAACAACAACAACAACAACAACAAAAACTGTCACTCTTCCTTTTTTTGTATATTTCAGTTTGTTTTTTTGTTTCATTCTCTCGTTCTCTCAGACTCCAAATGTTTGAGGGGTTGAACGCAGCGCTGAGCCTGTCCAACACTGCTCCACCAACCGAGCTGCAGGTGAGGCCAACAGCATTATTGACTACTAGTGCTTGGTGAATAGCATTGCATACGGGGTCGATATTGGCAGGGGCATTCATTCGGCTTTTGACATCAGCCCAACGGCCAACATGAAAGCTCGTCCATCTTGGCCATCATCATGCACGTATCCTCACGATGGAAGCCTGCTTTGCTTGCTTGGTTGTCAGGGCTCGCTGGTGCTGTGCGCTGACACACTCGAGGCGGACGGCGGCTTCCTGCTGCACCACTGGCTCGCCACGCACCTCAAGACTGGCGCCGCCGTCGTGCTCGTGTCATTCGCACACATCCAGAATCACTTTGCACTTGTGGCACGCAAGCTGGTAAAAAAATTGGTGCTTCGATCGGGCTGCGCATTGGCCGCACTTTTGTCCCATTCTCGTCGGTTCATAGCACATGAACTCACATTTGCCAACACAATTGTGTGTCTATGCTTTTGGGAATGCAATATGCAGGGCATCAACCTGGCACAACTCGAGGCGCGTGGCATGTTTCGTTTCATCGGAGGGCTCGATGTGCCGTCGACCGACGCTCAATCGCAACCTTCTTCTGGAGACTTTCACCTCGATTTGAGCAACCCTGCTCCGCTCAAGGAGCTACACCAGAGGATTCAAGACACATTGAAGGCGATGGAAGCCAGTCGGCGCGCGGCAAATCCAGCTGGTGAAGACGCAACGCAAACGCCCGTTTGCATCATCTTGGACTCGGTTGACACCCTGTTCCATGCAACTGGCGGTGCCATCACCCCTGCTGCGCTACTTGGCTTTATTCACTCTTGTCGGTCATTCCCACTCGTTGCCCCCGCCCCCTGCTTGGTGGTTTCTGTTCACGCCGACGCCCTGTTTGGCGGCGCCAAAGCCCTGTTTGCCACTCTCAAACATCAGGCCCAGGTCACACTAACCGTGTCTGGCCTGCCTAGCGGCTATTCCAAGGATGTGCATGGCCAGGTGAGAATTGTTTGTTTGGTCGATTTTTGTACTTTGTAGTTTTGGTTGCCGCTTCTTTTGTGGTTTCCTTGTTTCTGCCAAGCACATCTCACTGTCCTTTGGTCACCCTGGGGATCTTTTTGCCTCCTCTGCCTTGCCTCCGCAATCAGTTGTATATTTCGCGCGCTTCAGGGCTGGACGAACGACCAGCGCCTCAGTCCAAGCTCCACTACAAAATTCAAGACCACACAGTCACATTCTTTGCTCCAGGCTTGTCGCGGGCCGTGATTTGAGCAAATCACTTTGACTTTGTCTGTCACTATCGTAGTTGTTGAATGCTGAAAATCACAGATCCATCGAAAATCGTTGTATGTTTAAATTATCACAAACGCGTCCAAGAAACGCAACTTTACAGTGTAGTAGCCCCTCGCTTCAGTACTGATCAAGCTTGGCAGAAAGCAGTTTGCAAGCGGCAAGTTGGCCTTCGCAGGTGGCATGGAGTGAGGCTCGTCGCGCGCTGCACGGCTCGCCTTGTTGCGGCTCTTCGCCGAGCACATCCGCCAGTCGTTCAAGCTCGTGAATGGAGCTTTGCACTGCGGCCTCGATTTGATCCAGAAGGGTCAATGTCACAGTCAGACGCTCGATGGTGCGGCGCGACTCGGATGACTCGGCAGTTGCTTTCGACTTGGACGCTTTGCACAAGAGCTCCCACAACTGTCGCACCTCGCTGCAATGGGGAAGTTTGCAGTGTGCCAGGGTGTCAAAATCCGACGTCTCGCAATCTTCCACACAGTCGAGATACACCAACACTTGCTGACACTCGTCGCAAGCCACCGCGCTGGCGAGATCAGGAGCATTTCGGATGAGGGCAAGGTCGTGCAGCATGTCCTGCACCTCCGCAATACGCGCTGTCAATTCATGTTGCAGCTCGGCTGCGGTCAGCTGCCTTGGTGTGATTTGAGCCTCCGCCTGATCGGGAGACGCGAGCATCTTTGGGTTGGTGGCAGGCTGCGCTGATGGTTTGTCCAAAGCTGTATCGTTCGCCTCCCCTGTTCCAGGCGGACGATTTTCTGCACTGGAGACAGAGATCCGAGAGCCATCTTCGTCCGGCTGACCCGTTTCTCTTGCCGGGGTCTGTTCTTCCTGGTGGATCGGCCTTGTCAATGGCACACCTCCAGTAGCGAGCGTACCGTTCAAAATACCCGGAACAAGGTCTGTCAGCGGCCGAAGCACTGAGCTTCGTGCAGGCGGATACAGCTCAGACCCAGCGGGAATGCGAGAAAAGTACACGGTCCGGTTTTCGCGGTCAAAACGCGCCTGTTGTGGCGAAATCCGGTCTCGCAGTGCGATTGCCCAGTGCTTGGCGCTCTCGTTGAGAACCCTAAAGTGTGCAGCTTTACCTACTGCGGCTGTACCGAGAGATACTGCCATGGCGGAATGAACGACCGCGTCACCATACGCCTCGCTGTTGAACAGTGCTCGGGCTCGAAAGTGGTGGGCCTCGCTCAAAAACCAATCGCGCTTGACATCAAAGACCGATTGCCAGTCTGCCGGAAACTGGAATCGATCCTTGGCCTTCCGCTGGCTGGCCCGATGCACAAGACTCTCCAGCGCATCGCACGTTTCGATTCGAACGTGCTTGGTTGGACCCGTTGGCGTGGAGCTCGCGGGCTTGTAAAAAGTGCCCGTCTCGTATGAAGTCGCGGCAAAGGGATGCGCAAGCGTTGGAACTGCCCCGATCACGGCGGGTGTGATGGCTGTGGGAGAAACCCCCAGGCCAAGAAGGAGAAACCGGTACTCGTCCGCGATGTGAGCAGCGACCTTTGAGAGCGTGACTGCAGAAATCGTCGACGCCAACGAAGCAGGCATCGCTGCCACGGCGTCACTGGACTCCTCGCGTTGCATCCCGTCGATGAGCTCCTGAGCCATCGCGTCAAGTCCATTGGTAGCCTGCCCAGAAGGAGACGAGGGTGCCTGCTGCTGCTGCTGCTGCGATGACAACACCTGTTGGCGTGCAAGAGGGTCGCTGCTGCCAGGGGAAGAGTCACTGGGAAGGGTGCCAGTTGCTCCGGCAAATACAACAATGGCAGTCCACAGACACTCGTGCGCTTGAACAATGGCCAGGTGTGTCATGACGGCCAGTGTCTCTTGCTCGAGGTCGCGGGCCGTGGTTGGTGATGGACTCTGTGCCAACTCGTCTCGCAGCTGCAGGAAGATGGCTGCTGAGATTTGGAGGTACTTGCACGCTTGGCGAATGCCATCCGTATCCCACATGACCTGGCTCGCCGCCAGCAGCGAGTAAAGAGCGCCAATGTTATACACAACGGTAGCACGCTCGGTGGCCAGGCTACTATGAGCGACTTCGACTGCCTTGGTTCCGGCTTCGAGCCAATGAAACACTGCCGGGAGCGTCGGCACGCCGCCCTTCTTTTGCAGCTTTTTGCCCTTGTCGGTGCTCGAAACAAAGGACACGTACTCTGCGCACAGCTTGTCCCAGGCGTCGCCGGACTGGTCGAGCACTTGGAGATAGGCGACGTGCCGCTCAATCGCGGCGGCGACTCCCGCGCTCGAGGTCAAGCTTGTTCCCGCAAGCAGCCTCCGTGCAGCCTCCAAACGCTCGATTTGACGATGCCACGCATTCCACTGCTGGCTTACATCGCCGGATTGGTGCTTTGACGCTGCAGTCGTGCTGCTTGCAGAACTAGGATTTGAAGCGGTTTTGAAACCGTTTCGCGCTGCTGTTTCACGCGTCCCTGCGGTTCCACTGCCAGCAGCTGCAGTCGAGCCCGCCCGACTCTTCATGCCCGGTGCACTTCTAGCAGCAGAGGCTATTGGAGTAGCATGACTGGCGATGGATGTGGGCGTCGGTCGTGCTCTGGGATGCAGTTGGTCTTCGGGAGCAACAAGTAACGGCGCGACAATCCGCAGCGATTTGGCCGTCGTCGCGTTGATCGGCTTCCGAGCCGGGATGCTTTGGATCAGCATTTTTGGGAGGTTTTGGTTTTAGCTAAAGTGCCGATCTTCAGTCAGGTGTCTTTTGAGACTTTGGAAGCGATCAAACAAAAAACAAAAAGCAAGAATGACAGGCGGTCAAAGTTTGAGAATGGTGTCAACCCTGCTCGGATTAGCGGGCTTTCAGGTCACGATTACAAATACATTGTTGTTGTGCTTACCTAAGTGACATGATTTTTTGTTGCAGCCACAGTGAAAAAAGAAACCGTTTTACCGGTCTACCCCGTTATGTCGAGCTCGATAAAAACGCGTCCCTGGGCTCTGTGCCTTTGACAGTGTATTGTCCTGCGTGTGTACATTCGAACACTGCAACGGGCGTTCGTGTAGCTCCATCCAGAGAGCAGATCCAGGCGAAAGCAGTTTAGAGTGTCTGGTGCAGGCGTGTTTTCCGTCGGCTGTGTGATTTTTTTGATTTTTTTTCGATTTTATTTTCATTTTTTTCGATTTTTGCGAATTTTTCTTTTTCATTTTTTGTGGCAGTCGTCCCGTTTGGGATTTTTTTCATTTTTTTTATTTTATTTTTGATTTATTGTATTTTATTTTTGATTTATTTTTTTATTTTTTTATTTTTTTCAATGTGTTTCATTGTATTCCTACCAATCATCAACGATGCAATTGATACAAGCGCAGACGTACTTCTCCCTTGGGAGCAACTGATCACGGACATGTCTGGCGCAGACAACCTGTGTATGCCACACAAACGGACATCGTGGATCTTTGTCGAATATCGCTGTGCAAGGCCCGCAGCCGCAACGGAAAAGGACGTGAAACAGATTATTGTTCATTATCCTTCAATAATCGGACGTGTTTCCTGTATCCATTTCTTCCAATCGGCATGGAGCAGTCAGCCTCGAATCTACCCCGTAATGATTCAAATATAATTCATGACCATATAGTCAAAAATCGGTCTCGGTGGTAAGCTCTAGCATCGCAAATACGTGTGCAGAATTCTGCGTGCGACAATCGAGGTCGATGCCAGCTGACAATCTCGTTTTCCGGTACACTCCTGGGACGGAGTGATTGGCAGTGATATGTTCTTTGCGTTTGTGCTATGGTTGCGGTCAAAATAGTGGAGACTGGTTTGGCGCATCATCAGCAAGTGGGCTGTGAACATAGCAGTTTCAGTCGGATTCATTCAAAGTATCGCCCATGAACATGTTCTCATCATTATCGAGAACTACAACTGTCCAACACAAGCATACATACTTGTTACAATTATACACATCATAATTGATCATGAGCTGCGAGGTAGAGAGCCGTAGGACGACCAAAAGGCCGTTCCAAAGTTGCCGGTAAACTTTACGAGCGAATTTCCAGCTCCTGCTTGCCGCAATCAACCAGCCGATTGGCACATTATATTCTAGAGATTAATTATGTGATTGTCAGACGACGGGACGTCAAAAAGTCTTGAGACGTTTCACATTTAGGCACTGATGCATCAAGTAGCGTTTTGCCCAACCGGACAACAGTTGAGCCGTCACTGTGCATCTTTCGCGCCTGACGAGGTTCGATTCCCTGCTTTTGCTCTTTTTGCCTTTTTTTTTTTTTTTTTTGACAATGGAAAAAGCAATGCACTCAAACAAAAAAATAAAAGAAAAAAAAAAGAAAAAAAAGAAAAAGAAAAACCAATGTCACTCCAATGGTTTTATTTTATTTTTTTATTTTTTTATTTTTTATTTTTATTTATTTTATTTTATTTTCTGTTCTCCACAGTCTTTGTATTTTATTTTACTTACTTTTATTTTATTATTTCATTGCAAAAAGCATTGTATTTTTTCTTTCTTTTGCATTGCAAATGTCGAATCAGCACCAACAGATTCCGAGCGAGCGAATCGTATCTGTCCTTCGCAGTGCGGGAACGTAAGTCATGACCAATTACAATCGTTCTCCTCCTGAGAGAGCAATTCTTTCAACACACATCAGAAAGAACAAAGAACACGCATGGTGAAAGAAAAAAAAAAAAAAAGAAGAAAAGCAAAAAGCGCGCGAAAACGAGCTTTCAGTTTGCTCTCGGTCCTGCAGATCAGCAGCCGTTCGCCGGAGCGCGCTGCCGCCAAGCATATTGTAATTGTCATGGCTTCCTTGACGGAATTGCGTCGCGATTGGCGTGAATTCGGGGAACGCGGACGCTGGGGAGGGTGAAAAGGGATTTTGAGCTTCAATTTCAATCCAGTTTTTGAGAGCACGGTGTTGAAACTGATAGTAAAAGCGCGGGAAACACACTGTTCTTGAGATGGTGAATTTTCAGCAAACGAAAATTCAACTTGGCTAATTTTTTGATTGGGTTGTTTGTTTGGATGTGTGGATCAGATCAACAAGCAAGCCTTGAATTCATTTCAAGACTGTCAGCGGAGAACGGAGGAAGCGTCTCTTCTCGTGTCGGCAGCGGATGATGTAAGTCTGCCGTCCGTAGCGTTCGCTCTGGTCAACAATGAAGCAACAGCCCAGTCCCCTCTTCCAGCCACTCCAGTCGTGGCGGATGCGGCACGGCAATGGATACAGATGCACGACCAGCAGCTGCTTCACACGCAGGAACAACCACTCTCCCACCTTCGACCGCATCCTCCAGCACTGTGGATGTCGACACGCGGGACAATGCGACAACCTCAAGTGCGCCCGTTCACTTTTCTGCCCGTCCCAACACCTGCACCGCTTCCCGTGTCTCGTTCTCGTTGTGCATTGGCTTCATCGCCATCGAGACGCAATGGCTCGAGAATGGTTCTCGCAATCGCGGATGCTCTCGTTCACGACAGCACCGCGATCAGCGAGCAATGAATTTATTTATGGCTCAAAAAAAATAAAAATAAAAATAAAAATATTATTAATCGAAAAAAATAATAATAATAATAATAAATAAAAAAAAAAACCCTGGAGGCGTGAAAAAAAAAGGACGGAGGAATGTTGTGGTCTCATGAGCACGGCTATTTGCCTTTTTATGGCAACATCGAAATCTCCGTGACCGTAAAACCTGTCTATCGAGTCAAAAACGACAAAACCCATCAAAATGACAAAAAATACCGCGGTAGCTTTTTTCACTGTGAGCGGCTGTGAATGGCAATTTGGCAGAATCCTGGTTTTTTCAGTTGACATGAGCAATATTCACCAAAGTGTCAATTTTGTCAACCAATCGTCGTTTCTGGACCAACGACTCTAAATCAAACTTACAAAATCCGAGATATCACAATTATCAAAACTGACGGCGGCGCGACGAGTACAACGGTTGCGTACTGTACTTTGAATTTCCATCCAATGTTCACCGTCTCGTTTCCCCGCGATCAAGTCCCCCACACTCGACAGACACACTGTCAATAAACATGAAACCATATTTCACACCGAGTGCATGCTCGATTGGGACGGCGACGCAGCGTGCCAGTCGTCTAATCTGGCGTTGAACGTGAATGAGTGCTGAAGCCGAAAAGCCCAGAACTGCCATCCCAAAGGCCGTCTTCATTGCAAGTGCCCTGCTCTGCCCTGCCCCACCCTCGCCATTCCATATGCACACTCGGCACAAGCTCATCCAGCTCAGCTTTGCACGATTCCCTAACCCTGCTTCTCTGTCCGTTGTTGCTGGAATTGTGCAGACCGACATTGAGGCCTTCCTCGCCAGCAACGCCAGCGGTGGCCTCGAGGGCGCCATGGAGCGCTTCCAGACCCAACACCAGCAGTACAAGACGCTCGAGGCCTCTCTTGCACAGCGCAAGCGCACCCTCATCACCAAGGTCAGTGGGGGGGGGGATTCTCGCTTGTGTCGTGCTTGTGTGTTCCAGAGATCTCGATCGCAGTGCAACAACTCTCTTTCGCGCGCTCGCTTCCGCCACAACACTGCGGATGACAAAAAAGCCACATCTGTCTCGTCTCTGAGCTCGTTGATTCGAGCTGCGCACAGAGACAGGCCGAGCGTCGACGAGCTTTGCCAGCATGTGTTTCAGATTTTTATTAGTATTTTTTGTATTTTTTTGTTTTTTGGGTCGAAAAGCTGACTTTGACGTTTCTATGAATTCTATGCACCCTCACTGTCGCTCACTTCTTCTTGTACATGCTATGCATTCTTTGATGACATTGTTTGAATCCTACTGCAACGATTTTTTTTTCGGCTGTGTCCACACACACAGGTTCCGGAAATGCAGTCTGCCCTCGATGCCATTGCGCACCTGAAGGAGAAGCAGCACGATTCCGAGCCGATCCGAACACAGTTTGAGCTCTGCGACAACCTTTACGCCACCGCTGACATCAAGCCCACATCGAAAGTTGGCCTTTGGCTTGGTGTACGTGACAGAATTTCCTGCTCCCCTTGTTTGTGTGTGTGTGTGTGTGTATTTCTGGTCCTAACACTCCTGCGGGTCGTGTCCCATTGACAGGCGAACGTCATGCTCGAGTACGACATCGACGAGGCCCAAACTCTGCTGCAAGGCAACCTCCAGAAGGCCCAGCGCAACTCTGATCAGCTCGGCGAGGATCTTGGGTTTGTCAAGGAGCAACTCACGACAATGGAAGTTAACATTGCACGGCTGCACAACTGGGGCGTTGCTCAAAAGAAAAAGGACAAGCAAAACGCCGCGGCACCCGCTTCAAGCGCAGCACCAGCAGCCAAGAAGTAACTCGACCTCAACCAATTTGAACAAAAGAATGAAAAAAAAAAAAGGCCAACTTCTCGCATTCGTTGTTAGTGTTTCTCTCTCAGCTCTTTCACGTTGCATCATGAAATTGAAAAAAAGAAATCTTTTGACAACAATACACCGAATGACACGCAAACGCCACACAACAGAAAAACAAGCATGGAGGAGGACACCAAAAAAATCCAAAGTTCGCCACCAAGGTACAGCCACACATACAACCCAATCACGATACGGGAAAACTCCAGTACACACACACACACACACACAAACACACCCCACAAAAGAGAAACGCACGAACAAGCAGAGCTATAAACGCGTGCTGGTTCGCAGCAACAAAACAAAACAAAGGTTAACAGCGTTAAGAAACATCATGGGCGAATAGCGGAAGAATACCGTAACGCACACTCTTGCGAGAAAAGATGGCAAGAAAACGGCGAGAAACAGGCCAGAAAACAAAAGAACAAGAGAAAGAAAAAAGGTGTGTTTGTTTCCAAACCCCCCTTTCTCCCCTCCCGCATTTGCCGCCTGTTTTGCTCTCCGAATGACTGGGTTGCCACTTTTTGACTTGTTTAGCGCGGTGGGGGCTTGGCACGCAGCGCCGTCTGGACGTTGTCCACTTTGGCAATGTACTCGAGGAATGGGATGAGGTCCAACAATGCAGTGTCGTTCTTGTCGTCAAACCATGTGACGATGGGAATCGCATAGTCAGGGTGGAAGGCGTACGATGCGGGGGAGTTGTCAATGATCACCGTCTGGCTCAGCTCGCGACCCAGGCGGCTCAAGTCCTTGACGTAGTTGCCACGGTGCTGCACACACGACTCGCGGAACAAGCGCGAGCGCAAAACCCGATCCTTGTCCAGTAGATCGGACACTGGGTCGGCATACTGTTTGTTGGCAGGAAGAGAATCAGAAGAACGAGGGGCAATGGTGAGTATTCCACATTATCAACCAACATGTCTCACTCGACAGCAGTATCGCAACACACAAGCTCCGGACATACCTTGGCAAGACTGGCAGTGAATAAAACACACTCAAACAATTGGCCGACTCGTTTCAAAAACTCATCCACGTAGGGGCGCTTCAAGACATAGACTTGGTGGACAATGCCTTCAATCTCAACAGGGATGATGTAATCAGGATTAGGGATGGGCTGTGAAGGTACCAGAGACAAGAGTGCGGCAGGTGAGCAAGTGAAAGGCCGTTGGAAACAAACAAACAAAAAAAAGCAGTGCCAGCCCCGTATGTATTTACCCGGAAGGAGCTGTGGACCAGGGTTTCGTCGAGGTCCAATACTAGACATTTCCTTCCTTTGTCATCCTTGCGGAGTGGCCCAAGAAGGGGTTCGCCATTGTAGTCCGATTGCTAATTTTTTTTAGGAAGGAACAACAGAACAAAGTCAGCACCACCGCCCTCGATCACATCCAAAGAAGAAGGGCATCGGATCGAAGCACTTACAGATTCAGTAACTGTTCGGTCTGTGACATGCTCGGGGCTCTCGGCTTCTTGCGTGCCCCGACCGCAACAGAACAGCAACGACCAGATTCCTCGCCTTGCTGGGTACTTGGCTTTTTGGGCAGATTTGCCTGGAAAAAAAAAAGCACCATAACGGTGAGCAAAACGTGTGTGTGGGGTGTTTGTTGAAGGATCAAAGCGAAACAAGCGACAATCGTTATTACCTCCTGCTGCTGTGTGTGCAGGCGTGCCGTCCCGGTTGACCTGGGTTATAATAGAGGGTGCATCACTCATTGGTGGATTGCGTGAAAATAAAAGCAGCGCGACGGGTTGCTGTTGAGACTAGAAAGAGCTACTTTGCTTGGCTTTTGGCTTTTTCCAAAAGACAGCCAAAGACTCGGCAAAAATTAAAGGTGGACGGAGCGAGAAAAAAAAAACAGAACGACCCGGGAGGCAAAGACGAAACGAACAGAGAGCAAGTTGGAGTGTTTCCTGCGTGTACAGACAAAGAACAAATGCAGAGCAGGCTGAGGGGTGAGTGCCAAAAAGAACTCTATGGGAAAGAAAAAGAAAAAGAAAAAAAGAACCGCACACAAGCATCAAGCAAAGGAAAAAAAAAAAACACTCCGCAATAACATGCCAACGACAGAGACACAATCAAGCAAGGGTGCAAAGCGGTGGAGATACAATGGAGCCAAAAAACAGAGCCGCCCATCCCGTGGCAGACACACGCAGGCAAGAGAGAGAGAGTCACAAGGGGTGCCAAGGGATTGCTCATTCGGAAAAAAAAAAAAGACAAGGAAAAGAAAACCAAAAACAAGGAAGAAACAATGCCGTGCTCGCGCCCACCAGACACTCGAGTGGAGCATGCATGTAACAAAACAAAATAGTGCAGTCGCCATCAAAAGCAACGGATGATGGCGAGGAAGAGACGAGAGGTCGTGACGAGGGGCTGTTGCGATGGGGCGGATTGGGAGTGTGGCACTCAGCAGCGCCAACGTGACGAAAGCGCGATTCGCATAGTGTTCGCTCCGCTCTGCCGCGGGTGCAGGAGTAACTCTTGCATTGGGCAGTCAACACCCGTCCCACACACACACACAAAAAGAAGAGACAGATCGATAGAGAGAGAGAAACACAGCGAGATGGAACGAGAAACAAAAGGAAGGAACATTGAAAAAAAAAAAAAAAACCACACTTCAAAAAAAGAAATAGAAAAAAAAAAAAAAGCACAACAACAACGTAAAGTTGGATCGAAACCAGAATTGCAACCGGAACCCAACCCCACCGGCCACCAGTCGACGTAGCAACCGCCCGCCCGCTCCTCATCTTCCAAGGACAAGCCTGGAGAAGCAATCGCACGTCGGACGTACAACGACAAGATCGAAGGAGAGCGATGCAAGCGGAGCAGCAGAGGATGGCCGAGGACAATAAAAAAAAAAAAAAAAGGAAAAAAAAAAAAAAGAGCAAAAAGCCAGTGTGATCGCTTTGCACCTCAAGCCAAAGATGACGCCTGAAAAGCGAGCGAGCGCAGACACCGCAGGGCGACGGAGCAGCGCATGGATTGGTGCATCCAAGCAAAGCGCCCAGAGCCAATTCCATGCAACCGCACAGTCACAAGCTGTTGAAAGCCATGAGACAGATTGATTCAAACGGATTTTTTGTGTTTTCTTTGATGGGCGATTTGGAGCAGGAATGGGGCGTCCGGGGGGCAATGGCGGGCTGTTGGCCTACAGAGCCTCAAGGCGTTTGCCAGAGCGAAGACCAAAGGAGGATTTGGGATGGAGGAAGAAAAGAGGGCGACCGGAGAGCGATGAGATTTTTTTTTTTTTTTCGTTTTTGTGGGTCCAGCTACTATCAGTCACTCAAACCCGTCTAAAACGAGAAAGCTCATACGAAAAATGCACTACTGCATGCAATTGCCACCATCAATCTGTTGAGTGGTTAATTTTTGTTTGATTGCATCGCAGCTTTTCCCCCCCCCTCTCTCTCCCACCCAACACTCTCTCGCCTCTATGATGGAGAACATGTGCGCGGTGGAAAGAGACACGGTTGAGAGTGGAGCATAGTACGGGTCGAAAGAGTTGAAAAACAAAAGATGAAACCGAAATACTGATAGAAAAAAATAATAAATACAAAAAATAAAAAGGATGCGAATTTTGATGCCAATCTGGCTCTGTCAAAACGTCGGTCCTCTCCACAACGACGATGGGCGGGGGTCGGGGGAGGTCAAGGCACCGCAAATGAATGACTGATGCACGCGATACGGCCAGACGCCAAAGAAGTCAAAGAAGAAGAAGAAGAAGGGAAAAAAAAAATGAGCTAAAGAAGAAGAACAGGCAAAAAAAAAAAAAAAAAAAAAAGAGGAGGGAGGGGTGAAAAAAAAAAAAAAAAAAAGCCACTGCCACACATTGTGCGCTGACGGACGAACAGCAGTCAGTGGGCTGAAGAGGAGACACAAGAAAAGCCGGTTGAGTGCAGCAGCCTTGAGAGCGGCAAGACCAGCAGGCCAACACACCGTCGAGGGCAGCAGCGGCTGAAAGACACGAAAAATCCAAAATAATAATAATAATAAAAATAAAATAAAAAATAAAAAAAGAACCGAAAAATAAAAGGAACACAATCACAATAAATAATAAAAATAGGCTTACAAAAACTTGACTGACTTGCTGAAATTCATGATTTTCGGTGAGTTCTATAGCGAGAGTTCCATAGGGTCAACTCCGTGGCAGTGGTGAATTTTGTTGCCTTCTTGTTGTAGCTTTTTTTTTTTATTATTTGCTCTGACGGGTGGTTTTGGTGTTTTTGGTGCTTTGGTAGTTTTTTTTGTTGTTTTGGTGTGATGTCGTTTGGGCCTTTTTTGGGTGGCAGTTTAGATCCCTGCGACTAGCGTCACTGCAGACTGCGTGCCAGTGAACTAGTGAGAGCGAGTGCACGCTTGCTGCTCCGTTGGTTGGGTCTGAGGCACGGCAGACCAGGACTGAGAACAAGCCAATCTGCGAATGTTGCACGCGCGCCTTTAAATTCGCACCCCAAAAGTCCCGAAACAAGAAAGTGCAACAGCATCAAGGTCTTGGTGACACCGAAGAACCAACGTGAGCAGAGCTTGCGGCTGTTCGAGCAGTTCTTTCGACATCTATCATATTCTGCCAAAAGGTCCCGCCAAAAGTCGGAGCCGGCAACAAGGACCAGCCCTGATGCACGAGCGCGGCCACGACACGCAGCAACAGCTTGATACAATAATCAACCCATGCTGTGTGCTGCTGCTGTTGTCATTACTGCTGGTGCTCTGATGGGACAGCTGACAAGGTGTATTGTGCAAAGCTGCTGCATGGTTGGATTTGATATGAATTGAGCTCAATGCCGGTCCTAGAGTGGCTCATCTTTACTATATTCTTCGTACACGATAATTCTGCCTCCATGCCAGCATACTTTAGTAGCGACCCAGGCTGCAGGACGTTTCAGAGCTAAAGTCGAGTCAATCAAAAGTGTGGTTCTTTGTGGTGCTACATTCACTTCAAACCCCCAGACCTGGAGCGAGAAACTGTAGTGCAAAAAGTGAGCACCTCATGTTTGAAACTCGATCAAGCGGCTTTTGTCCCGATTTGTCCAATTCTCAGTCTATTCTCATCTTTTGGTTTTCCAGGTAAGGCCATCGAAAAAAAAAAAGAATTCAAAAAAACAAACCCCCCCCCAAAAAAACAAAAAAAAAAAACAAAGCCGTTTTGAATGAAAGTTTGCCCGAACGCGCTTTCCGCCTCCATTCACGAGCGCATTGGGGCGCCCGCGCCATCACGCGCGTTCTTGGGTGGACTGGAGCAGGGCGTCACTGAGGGCATGCGCGCTCGTCATGCGTGCGAACACGAGGCTCATCCGAAAAGTGTCCCTGCTGTTGTTGTTGGAGATCTGTTTTTATTTTTTTATTTTTATGGTTCAGTTTGCAGCGCTGCTTGTGTTGGCCTGATCCTGGGATCGGCTGGCGGCCCGCCTGTCCCTCAGTGCTGGCTGTAGCGGTCTTCCACTCTGGTGCCACGCGCGCACGGTCGCCCAGCAGCAACACCAACTTCACAAAAACAAAACCAAAACACAGAAAAGAACAAAACACAACAACAAAAAAAAAAAAAAAAAAAAAAAAGAAGAAGAAAAACCATTACAAATCGCTTTTTGGCTTTTTTTTTTTTCTTTCGCCGTTTCAGCTGTGGCTGGCTCTCATTCGGGCACCCTGCCCCATCTGGAGCCCTGCCAGTGGTCTGTTTGCAGTTCCATGACCGTTCCGTTTTGGGCCATCTCACTCTGTCGACATCAAGCATCAACCGTCAAGTTTTTTTTTTTTTTGGCTTGTTTCTTTTTGTGGTTGCGCTTTTTTTTTCTTTTTGGGCGTGTTTTTTTTTTTTTGATTTTTTTTTCTGATCTGTTTGTTGAGATTGGGATCCAAGTTCTGCGATCGCGTCCTTCCCCTCTTGTCCATCTTCTCGTTCGAGCAACCTTGGCATCAAATGCGCGCCTGTCTGTTTGCTCTGTTTTTTGGGGAGGGGGGGGCGGATCGCGAGCGACTGTTTGTGGTCGGCCGCCTCCAGTTTGTGATTGGCTTTTGATTTTTTCTTTTTGCCTTTTTTTTCTTTTATATTTCTGGTGCACGCTGCTGCTTCGCGACACAGTTCTTCCACCACGAAACGTGATCTGCATGCTGCTGCTTCACTTGCATCCAACAAACACCCGACCTCCCCATTCGGTTGACAGCGCGCCCCGCAAAAGCAACCCGACACCTTTTTTTTTTTTTTGTAACCACAGTGTTGCCACAAAACTGACTTTTTTTTATTTTTTTTTTATTTTTTTATTTTTTTGAATCCTTCAACAGATCTTTCAACCCCAACATCCATCATGGAGGGCAAGCGTGTCTGGGCGCCAAACACCAACGAGGGCTACGAGCTCTGCGACATTGTCGATTTCGCAGTCGAGACCATCACTGCCCAGCCCGTCTCTGGCGGTGGCGCGGTAAGTCGCAACCTTTGAATGGTTTCCTTTGTTGTTCCTCTGAAAAAAAAAACTCACTTTTTGCTGCGACTCCTCCCTCCTGCTTTTTTTTTGTTGGCCCATTGTCCAGGCTCGAGAGGTCTCGTACGATCGCGTCTTCCCCGCTGACGACGCGGACAACAATGATGTCGACGACAACTGCGCGCTCATGTTCTTGAACGAGGCGTCGCTGCTGCACAACCTGCGCAAGCGTTATGCCAAGGGTGCCATCTACACGTACACTGCCAACATTTTGATTGCCGTCAACCCGTACGCCTCGCTGCCCATCTACGACGGCAAGTCGATTGAGCGCTACCGCGGCAAGTCGCTTGGTGTTGAGCCTCCGCACGTGTTTGCCATTGCCGACAAGGCGTACCGCGACATGAAGGCGTCCAAGACCAGCCAGTCCGTCATTGTCTCTGGTGAGTCTGGTGCCGGCAAGACCGAGTCGACCAAGTACATTATCCGCTACCTGACCGACTCGCTCTCGTCCAGCGGCGACCTCGAGCAGCGCATTCTCCAGGCCAACCCGATTCTCGAGTCGTTCGGCAACGCCAAGACCACCCGCAACTACAACTCGTCGCGCTTTGGCAAGTTTGTTGAAATCCACTTTGACTCGAAGTCCACGGTTTCGGGCGCCTACATTTCCCACTACCTGCTCGAAAAGTCCCGCATCGTCTCCCAGGCGTCGGAGGAGCGCAACTACCACATCTTTTACCAGATGTGCCACGGCGCCCCCGCAGACATGGCTGGCGCGCTCGGCCTCTCGACCCCCGACAAGTTCCGCTACCTCAAGTCGGGCACCACCACCCCGCTCAAGGGCCTCGACGACAAGGGCGACTTCCTCAAGCTCACCACGGCCATGGGCTTGATTGGCATGTCGCAGGAGGAGCAGGTCAACATTTTCAAGACTGTCGGCGCTGTGCTCCAGCTCGGCAACATTGACTTTGAGGAGAGCACCAAGGACAACAAGGGCGGCTCGGAGGTTGCCGGCAGCTCGATCACTGTCGCGACCGCCGTCGCCAACCTGCTCGGTGTCAACGTGGACGACCTCAAGGAGAAGCTCTGCTCGCGCGTCATGTCGACCACCCGCGGTGGTGCCATGGGCACCATCTACAAGGTGCCCCTCAAGACTGGCGAGGCCTCGTCGGCTCGTGACGCCATGGCCAAGACCATCTACTCGCGCCTCTTTGACTGGATTGTCGCCCGTGTCAACAAGTGCTTCCCCTTCAGCGAGTCTGTCAACTACATTGGTGTCCTCGATATTGCCGGCTTTGAGTTTTTCCAGCACAACTCGTTTGAGCAGTTCTGCATCAACTTTTGCAACGAGAAGCTGCAGCAGTTCTTCAACGAGAAGGTGCTCAAGCAAGAGCAGGAGATCTACGCCAAGGAGGGCATCACCTACCGCGAAATTGAGTACTTGGACAACCAGGACGTCATCGACATGATTGAGGACAAGAAGGAGGGCATTCTCGCCGCCCTCGACGAGGAGGCCAAGCTGCCCACCCCGCTCGACAAGCACTTCTCCCAGACGCTGCACAACAAGTTCAAGAAGCACTTCCGCTTTGTCTCGCCCAAGAAGAGCAAGGTCCCCTCGCAAAAGAAGCTGACCGACGACGAGGCCTTTATGATTCGTCACTACGCCGGTGCCGTCTGCTACGAAGTTGTCGGCTTTGTCGACAAGAACAACGATGCCCTGCACGCCGATCTCGAGATGCTGCTGGACGAGACCAAGGACGCCTTCATCAAGGAGCTCTTCAGCAAGCCTGCCTCCGCGGAGGGCGACGCCAAGGACTCTGGCAAGGACAATGGCAAGCGCGCCAAGCTGCACTTTGAGTCGGTCGGCAAAAAGTTCTCGAGCCAGCTCACCGAGCTCATGGACAAGCTCCGCGCCACCCGCTCCAACTTTGTCCGCTGCATCAAGCCCAACCTCAAGATGCTGCCCAACATTTTCAGCGGTGCCGAAATTCTGTCGCAGCTGCAGTGCGCTGGCATGGTTGAGGTGCTGACGCTTCTCCAGGGCGGCTACCCGTCGCGCACGGCCTTTTCGGATTTGTACGAAATGTACAAGGGCTTCCTGCCCGCCAAGCTCTCCTCGCTGGACCCCCGCACGTTCTGCCAGGCGCTCTTCAAGGCGCTCGGCATGGACGAGACCCACTTCCAGTTTGGCATGTCCAAGGTCTTTTTCAAGTCTGGCAAGTTTGCCGAGTTTGACAAGATGACCAAGGCCGACCCAGAGAACCTCAAGGCGCTTATCGAGACTGTCACACGGTGGCTTGTTCGCAAGCGCTGGCGCAAGGTCATTTTCGGCGTCTTGTCGACCATCAAGCTCCAACGAAAGATCACCTACCGCGGCAACGCTGCGCTGCTTGTCCAGAGCGTCATTCGTCGCTTTAACGCACAAAACAAAATCCGCCCGCGCATCCGCGCTCGCCGCGAGCTGCTCGCCATCCAGGAGCACCTCAAGATTGTCAACGACATTATCAGCAAGCTCAAGAAGGACGGCGACAAGTTCACCAAGAAGCTCAAGCCTGTCGAGGACTCTATCGAGGAGGTTTCCAAGGGCCTCTGGACGATCGACCCCAAGACGATCTTTGCCAAGCTGAAGGATGCCAACGACGAGATTGCCCGCCAACTCACCGAGCTCAAGTCCAAGAAGAAGGAGCAGGAGGAGGAGGAGCGTCTGCGCAAGCTCGCCGAGGAGATGGAGAAGGAGCGTCTCCGCAAGGAAGAGGAGGAGCGCAAGCGTCGCGAGCTCGAGGAGGAGCTCCGAAAGAAGGCCGAGCTCGAGGCTGCCCGCAAGAAGGCCGAAGAGGAGGAGCGCAAGCGCCAGGAGGAGCTCCGCAAGCAGCGCGAGGCCGAGGCTGCCAACAAGAAGCTCCAGGAGAAGCTCGAAAAGGAGCGCCAGGAGGAGCTGCAGCGCAAGCAGCAAGAGGAGCAGGAGAAGCGCGATCTCGAGCTCGCCGTCCGTGTTGCCGAGGACACGTCGCAGGGCAAGGATGTCCTCGAAGATGCTCGCAAGGAGGAGGAGAAGCGCCAGAAGGAGGCCGCCAAGGGCAAGGAGAAGAAGAAGGGCAAGCACGATCTGTCCAAGTGGAAGTACGCCGAGCTCCGCGACACGATCAACACGTCCGTCGATCTCGAGCTGCTCGAGGCCTGCCGCGAGGAGTTCCATCGCCGCCTGAAGGTCTACCACGCCTGGAAGATGAAACACATGAAGAAGAACATGGCGACCAACGCTGCCACGTCGGGTCCCGGTGGCGCGCAAGCTGCCGAGGTCGTTGCCGAGGAAGACCAGCGTGCCCCGTCCGAAGTGCTCGAGAACGCTGCCGAAATCAACGACACTGGCGCTCCCCCGCCGCCACCACGCACTGCCAGCAAGGCCGAGAACCGCGAGCAGCGCTACTTTAAGATCCCGTTCATCCGACCTTCCGACCAGAACGCTGCCAACAAGGCCAAGATGTACAAGAAGAAGGGCTGGTGGTACGCCCACTTTGATGGCCAATGGATTGCCCGTCAGCTCGAGTGGCACCCCGAGAAGGACCCCGTTCTCCTGCTCGCTGGCCGCGACGACCTCGAGATGTGCGAGCTTTCGCTCGAGGAGACTGGTCTGTGCCGCAAGCGCGGTGCCGAGATTCTGGTCGAGGAGTTTGACGAGGCTTGGACCAAGTATGGTGGCGAGCCCTGGACGCCTGCCTGGAAGGAGAAGGCTGCCAAGAGCAAGAAGAAGTAAACACCAAACAAGAGACAACCTGCGTTTCTTTCAGCCAAGGAGTTATTTAGTTTTGTGCAATCACTTCACTTATTTTTCTGTGCCTCGCTCTGACTGGCTTCCTTTATTCCTTTGTTCGTTTGATCTGTGTTTTTTTGCCTTGTTTTTGCTTTGTCTTTGCGTGTCATCTGCTGTTTCACACTTGAGCCTTTGTTGCATTTTGACTTGTAATAATTTCATTGTGTCTCGTCTCGTCTTTTCGTTTTTTTTTGTGGGGACAAAGTCACCTTGTACGAACCCGTCTGGGTAATTTCTTGCCTTTTGGCTCACGAGGTCTGGCCTGACTATGCGGGGGAAAAAAACTTGTTGGAGAAACGGGGCGAAAAACCAAAAAATTACACGATTGCACAAGATTCTGATGACGCTCAGCGTTGACAAGTGGTGGTCGCATCCACGACGCCATGCGAGCTGCCCGCACTCCCAAAACGGTTGCGTAAGGGACTGTTTGTGGCGGTTATGTGACCGGGAGCGCGCTGTCTCGAGCCGGGGCGGTCCAAATCGATGGTCTTCCGAACGAGTTGGTTGGCCGAATTTGGGGGTGTGAAACCATTCCTCTTTTTTTTTTTTTTTTTTTTTTTTGTCGTTCTTGCTTTCTTTTCATTTCCAACTCAACCTCGTGCACAATTCTGCCTGTCGGATTATCATCCCGTCTCACATCCGATATCGTGCTCTTGACTCCGTGGCCGAACTTGCAACCAACTCAATGGGCTGAGCCAAGCGTTTTGTCGTTTTTGACGCATTCTTTTTCGTTTTTTTTTTTTTTTTTTTTTTCGGTTTCGTTTTTTTTCGCTTTGCTTTGATTTTGTCCCGCATGCCTGTTCAGCATCTGCCTGCGTCGAACCTGTCTGACAATTCAAAGTTAACGTCGCAACCGTCGTCTATTGCTGCTCTCGGTAAGCGAACTAGGTTTTTTTATTCATTTTTTTTTATGCTGGTGTAATGACGCGACCAGTATTGTTTTGGGTGACTGTTTCTTTTTTGTTTGTCTTCGCGTCGCTCCCTTTGTGCCCTGCATGACTTGTACTTTTTTGAGCAAGAGGGGGGTTTTTGAGCTTGCCGAGTCTCCTTCTCATTCATTGGTGCTGCTTGTGTCATTGCACACGCGTTGCGTTGTCGTAAAACTGAATCGTCTGTTCTTCAATGCCAGCGTTCATTTCGAATTTGTTTTTTTGTTTTTTTGTGTTTTCAAATTTTGGACGCTGTCATCAAAAATAGCCACTCCACACATCCTATCGAAGTGGGCTCGCACTTCAGCGCGCAACAATGCAGACAAGTTTTGCTCGGGGGACGTCTTGTTTTGTTTGATTTACAGAGGCAAAGCTCACTTCTTATTTCACATATAATCTTTTTTGTTTTTTTGTTTTTTGTGTTTCGCTGGCTCGCAGACACCTCCCAGCCGCACCATACATTTACTACAATGTCGCAAGAGGTGCCGCAGCAGGCATACGTGGCGTTTGACCACGCACGCATCTCCTCGAGCAACTTGAACTCGTCTGTCGTGGTGGAGTATTATGCCGGTCCTACCGCCGCGGAGCATTTTGCCAGCGCTCCGTTGCTCCAAGGTCACTCGAGTGCCTTCAGCGATGACGAAGACACTGTGGAGTTGAGCGACGACAGCAGCGATGAGCTGCACGCTCACGAGGAGAGCAAGAACAACAACGACAACGACAAGGAGTTTGGCAGCGCACGCAGTCCTTCCAAATTTGCTGCCATCCTCCAAGTCCTCCAAGTCCTCCAGGTCCTCCAAGTTCGTACCAAACAGCTCGGCGGCGCGGCTTGCCAGCAATAGCTACAGCCGCAAGTACATTCGCGCGGATGGCTGGCGCACGCGTTCGTATTGGCGCCTGGCCGGATGCATCCTCGTTGTCGGCTGCCTTGCGTTTGCAGCGGCCATGGCTGGTACGCACTTCTCCGGCTCTTCATCCGGTACCAGCGTGAATGCTCCCCCGCAGGTCAACCCCAATCCCGATCTGGCCACCTGCCCTTTGAACGGTCTGCAGGACCACGCCTTTGCTGGTGCCACGACCCCTGCCCAGCAGCATCCTCTGGAAAATCTCTCGCCTGACGAACTCGAAGCCGTGCGCGATGTCATGCTGCGGAATGCCTCATTGGCGTTGACGCCGTTTGGCACGGCTGGCGTGCGCGACTCGTTCATTTATGCGATGGAGCTGCTGCCCCCGACCAAAGCTGCCATGCTCGACTTTCTCGATCACAGTGGTCCGCGCCCGAAGCGCTACGCCCGCGTCATTGTGTACCACGGCGCGTGGGACTCTCCGGTGGTGAACGAGTACCAGGTTGGGCCGCTTCCCATCAAGGAGAGCGACGATCCCTACGATGAGGATGGTTGCCGCGTTGTTCTTTGGCGCGGACCCATTCCGTGGGTCATGAGACCGGTCGCTGCAAACGAGTACGTTGCCTGGGACCCCATCATTCGCGGAGCCATGCGATCCCTGACCACGCTGCTGCAGGAGAGCTACGGCACGACGTACGACGACGGCGGCATCTTTTTCACCGACAATGCGCCGCGCGGCTACACCCGTCTGACCCGCCACAGCTGGATTTGGATGATGTACGCTGTCGAGGGCGAGTACATTAACTGTCTCGGTCTTGAAATGCAAATCAACCATCTCGACCTCAACCCGGCGAATTGGTTTATCACCAACTTTGTCTACAACAATCAGGGCCCGTTTGCGTCGGCCGCAGAGCTCATGTGGCAGTACAACAACAATGCCACTTTCCAAAAGATCAAGATGACCTTCCCCGGCACCGAGGCGCAGCATTTGGCGCGTGAAGAGGCTCTCAAGAATGGCAACCGTGCTGCCGCCGCTGCCTCCTCCTCCAAGCCCCTGCAGCAGCCGGACAATTCCGTCCCCGTCTGGAGCTCCATCCGAACTCGCGAAAACGCAGAGCGCCGTGCCTTTGCCACTCTGCAAGCGCCGCGCACGTACTATCCCGACGGCGCGCGCTTCCGTGTCGACGGCTCGACCATTTCGTATCTCGGCTGGGAATTCTTGCTGACCTCGTCTATTCGTTCTGGCTTGAACCTGCGCGACATTCGCTTTAAGGGCGAGCGCATCATTTACGAGCTTGCCATCCAGGATGCCTACGCGGGCTACGCTGGTCGTCAGCCCTCCCAGGCCACGTCCAACTATTTCGACTCTGGCTGGGGCATGGGCTGGTCGTCCTACGAGCTCATTCGCGGCGTCGATTGCCCAGAAACGGCCACCTTCCTCGATGCCCATGCCTTGGCCAATGCTGGAAACGTCATGACCCAGCACAACGCCATCTGTCTGTTTGAGGTGGACGCATCCGGGCCCATGTTCCGCCACTACTCAAAGCCCAAGCTTTCAATGACGTACTCGAGCGCTGGCGGTGTTCGCAGCTCGCACATGATCCTCCGCACTGCCGTGACCGTGTACAACTACGACTATGTCTACGACTACATTTTCCATCTGGACGGCACCATCGAGGTTGGTGATGGTCTGCTGGATTATTGGTTGCTGGGAGTCTCTCAGTTGTTGAAGATCTGACTAAGCGTATGTACGTGTTGATGACTTGATTACAGGTGCGAATGTCAGCGACAGGGTACCTGCAAGGTGGGTTCTACGCCGACAACTCTGACAACATGTACGGCCAGCACGTCCACAGCGATACGATGGGCAATCTTCACGATCACATTATTGGATACAAGGTAACTGATGGGCAGAGTCGAGAGCTCGCCGTGATGTGTGTGGCACTTGACTCACTTGAATTGTTTGTACACATGCTTGTACGCCACAGATTGACTTTGACATTGGCGGCCTCCAAAACTCATACCAAAAGATGATGTTCCGCACTGGCGTCTTCCCCAAGAATCCTTACCTGCCCCCGAGCAAGACGATGAAGTATGTCGACCGCGTGACTGTTCCTTCGGAGAAGAATTCGATTTCCATTCTGAATACGACCTCGCCGTCCTACTGGAACATTGTCAACCTGGACCAAACCAACACCTGGGGCGTGACGAAAGGCTACCGCATCCAGCCAATGGCGACGATTGTCAACATTATGCCCCCGGAAACCGAGTTCATGAAGGCTGCGTCGTGGTCCAAGTACAATCTTGCCGTCACCGTTCGCCACGAAAGCGAGGAGCGCTCCACCGAATCGTTGTACGACATGCAGGCCCCCGACGACCCGATCGTCTCGTTTGACGATTTTCTGGCCAACGACGAAAACATTGTCCAGCAGGACATTGTCGCTTGGGTGGCTGTTGGCATGATGCACCAGCCGCACGCCGAAGACGTTCCCATCACGCTCACCGTGGGCTCCATGACTGGGTTTGTGCTCAAGCCCTTCAACTTTTTCGATACCAACCCCGCAATGGACCTCGCACAGGGCCGCTTTGTTCAGGCAAATGGCGAGCCGGCAGGCAACGTCCGTCCCATGGTTCCTCTGAAGGAGCAGCTTGCGTCGCCGCCGGAACGCAAGCCAGGCAACGTGCTGGAAGACACACTGGCCATCAAGCAGCAATGCGTTGCTCCCAAGTTCCCTTTCTTGTATGAGGGTACTCCTCACTTCCTCTGAACTTGAACATGAACGGCGTTCCGCGTTGTGTTTGCACTCCTTTGGGGGAGGATTAGTGTAAAGTTTTTGGTGTTTTTGTGTGTTTTTTTGTTGTTGTTTTTGTTACTTGTTGTCAAGTGTCTGTCGGGCTACAACAATAAATAGCCTTTTTACCCACCACCATCCCTACGCCCTTGACGTTACTCAACCACATGGAAGCAAAAACGAAAGGAAATGGCGAGGGAGGCTTGAGGCGACCGAAGCAGAGACCTCACAAAATGCCTGAAGTACTTTGGTATTAAGAAGAACAATCAATTCTCACACAGAATCACTGAAAATAAACAAGAGCGTGCTACAAAATGTTGTCGCCGGAAAATCCGCCGTCTTTGATGGCGAATGCAACCATCGTGACAATCGCCGCCGGATAGGCATAAACGATGGCAGCACACACGGGCCGAGCGTGCTCCACTATCAAGTCTCGGCTGAGGGTTTTTCGAAAGACATACAACGAACCGATGGTCTGAATCGCAAACAGAGCGATGGCCACAGGTGCGACGTGCCCTTGCAGCCCAGCCAGACCAACAAACACGCCAAAAAAGAGAGAAGCTAGCACAAGACCAATCCTGTGAGCCAGTATCCGGCCAGCTGTGGCGTTCGTGATTGGGAAGGTCGGGAGACTGGTCGAGTGTCTAAAAAGCAGAAGCAGGAGGTAAGGAGCACAATTCTGTGAGCCAAATTCGACCACCAACCACCACAAGCAGGCCTCCAACGCTTTTGCAACCCGCAAAAGAGAAAAAAAAGGCAGTGGAAAACAACTCACCGCCACACCAATGCGAGGAGCATCAAGTACAATCCCGCCATCGACACATAATGCGACAGCTTCTCGTCAAGAAAGTCGGCCACGATAAACACATTGCTGGTTTCGGGCACTTCCGTCTTGAGCAAGCCCTTGATCCTATTGGCAAATGTATGTGCGCCGTGGCCGGTAGCGTAGATGGCGGCTGGAATGACAAAGCAGAGCAATTCGAGCATGGTGACTGAATAGCCGGCAGCAAGCGCGCGCGGCTCGGGCACGAGAACAGAGCTGTCCGAGCTCAGCAAGCCACCTCCGCCGGCTGCCGGGTCTGCTTGAGCGGACGGCGGGAGGTCGAGATTGGCTGGCATTGGACGTAGTTCCTCCTGATTCGCGCCGCCGTCGCGCCACGGCTTGTCGCTATTCTGCCGGCTCCTGCGGCCGCGCAGCATATCAGCCATGGCACCAAGCGTCTGGCGCACTCCAGTGACTTGTGCGTGCATCAGCGTGAAGAGCAGTGCGCAGACAATCAGCGGCACGGCCAACTCGAGCGCGTCGCTCAACCGCATCCCGCGCCAGATCTGCACCTTCAAGACGGATGGGAACCCGTGCAGAATGATGATGGCGACCATTGTAACGATCAGCAATGCACGCAGACCCCTCGCCGTGCGCAGTCGTCCCGGCACAGGCAGCATTCTGGGGTCTGAAACCAATAACTTGAGCACTACTTCTTAGCAAAGCCGGCTTCTGAGAATGGAACGCTATTCGTCGTTTCGTCGTGCGTCGTTCGTCGGGGAAGACCAATAAAAATGTGTCAAAATCCTACACACAGCAGCAAACTCAACCAAACCACACTTGGGAACCACAACGAATGACGAGTGAGGTGAGTGAGTCGATGAAATGGGGTTTCAAACATCAATGACCATCTGCTTCAAAGACAAAATTCGTCTGTTTTGAATGAATTTGAATCGTAGTCTAGTCCTTTTGTTGGTGGGTCGTCTGTCTGTCTCCTTGAGAGAGAGACAAGCAAACAATGGAAGCAGTTTCAGCCCCAGGCCCGTCGCCCGCCACCGCCACCGCCACCGCCACCGCCGCCAGTGCGAAGGGGAAGAACAAGCGCTCGGAAGCAACAGCCAAGCCAAAGCAGGCGGCTGATGCAACCACAGTGTCAGGCGCAACCACCGCGGCAACACACCAACCACCACCGCCCAAGAAGCCTTCGTCGTCTCTGCCGCGATCGGTCGTCTCGCTGGAGGGGCTGTACGGGAGCGACTGTGGCTACTGCGACCAGAAGGGCAAGATCGCACCCGACAGCAAGAACTACGGTGCGGGCAGCAACACGAGAGCTCAGAGCGTGGCAATTCTGAGCAAGTCTGAGAACGCAAGGAGAGATTGACTTTTTGGATGTGTCGCGTGTTTTGGCAGGAGCTCATGCACACCTATTGCTCTGCGATGACTATCAAGCCATGATTGACTGCGGCTGGCGACGGTGAGAGTTGCTGCTTCGGCTCGTTTAGCTTTTGGTCGAAGATTGTCTGAGCGTTTGGCTGCGTTTGCGCGGTTGGTAGATCTGGCAAGTTTTTATACAAGCCTCAGCTCGAGAGTACGTGCTGCGTATTATACACAATCCGGTATGATGCACAGGACACAGGCTGCCAAAACAATGACACTTTTTGTTCGTAACAAAACTCACTGGGTCGCTGCTTTTCATCATAGATGCGACGCAACCAACATTGCGCTTCATCACTCTCACAAAAAGCACATCAAGCGCATTGCAAAGTACTTGCGCACGGGCGTCGGCCTTGGCGATCACACTGATTCGGATGGGGAGGAAGAGGGAGAAGCGGCCAAAGCCGACTCGTCCGACATGAATCAGCACGAACGCAAGCAGAGCGAGCTGTTTCAGGCCAAGAGCATGTCTCTCAGTCCTGACACCACGTCAGAAACGACTGCATCGGTCGCGGCCTCAAATGACAGTCCTACACCAAGCACTGGAGCCGCTCCACAACCCGTCCCGCCAACACCGATGGCGACCACGCTGGAAGACATTTTGGCCGTGCGGGCCAGCAAAAAGGCACGAAACCAGCCCCGTTCTCTTGAATCGCTGATGAGTGAACTCACCGCTCCCGACAACAAGCACAAATTGGAGGTATGTTGAAAAGTACTTTTTTTTTTCTTTTTTTTTTTTTGGTTTCTTCCCGACCCGTTTCCAAATCATACTGAATGAAACTGGCCTGAACATTCCCCCATACCTGCTTTAGGTCTCGCTTGTGCCTTCTTCCTTCTCAGATGAAGAATACGCCTTGTACCTCAAGTACCAATCGACAATCCACAAGGACCATCCCACGCGCAGTTCCTACAAGCGATTCTTGTGTGACTCGCCATTGGTGCCTACAATCACCCAGCCAGACTACACCACGTGCGTGCCACAGCCTTCGGTCGGTTACGGCTCTTTCCACCAGCAGTACCGAATCGATGGAGTTTTGGTGGCCGTGGGAGTGATCGACCTTCTTCCGCACTGCCTGTCGTCCGTCTACTTTTTCTACGACCCCGTCTACGCCAAGCTCGGCCTCGGCGTCTTCTCTGCGCTGTATGAGCAGTACACTATTCGCCAGCTGGTTCGCACAACACCATCATTGCGGTACCAGTACCTCGGCTACTACCTGCACACTTGCCAAAAGATGCGCTACAAGGGCCAGTACGCCCCGTCCGAACTCCAGTGCCCCGAGTCGTTTGAATGGTTTCCCTTGGCGCAATGCGTCCCGAAGCTCGAGGCATCGCCGTACGCGCGGCTCAACCCGATCCCTGGGGACAACCTCATCGCCCGTGCCAAGATAGCGACCGTCAAATTGGCCGGATTGCAAGTGCAAATAGGCCAATCTCGCTATGAGTTTGAGGTAGGCCGACAGCTTGGCTCACATGTAGTTGATTCAGTTGGGTTGGTAAGTTGTTTGTTTTGACTGACCAGTTTCGCTTCTGTCCTCTTTGGTGAAACTTGCACAGACACTCTTAAAAGCTGGCATTCTCCCGGTAGACTTGATTCGCCTCATCAAGCATTTCGCCGTGCTTGTCTCCCCGCAGCAGATGACTGATCGCTTTGTCTTGTTCGTCAACGCAAGGTAGTTTTGTGGCCAGTCGTTTCGCTTTGGTTATTTCCCCCCCGCCTCCCTTTTCGATGTGTCCATTATCTGCGTCGCGCCTGAATAAACAACACTATTCCAACATGACAGACATCTCAACACCAAGCGAACGGATTCAGTCTTACCTTTTTGTTTCACAGCAGCAAAGCATGTCGACGATCAATCTGTTTGTCACCAGCTCGCTCTCAAGTCAGGCCATTGCGCGCCAGGCTCGGTTTGACAAAGCACTTACCATCCGTCAACTCAAGGTAGCCCATCACGCACAAACCTGCGTTCGTTCGCTGATGCGGGATGCCCGTTTGCAGATGCTTACCGTTCCCGCGCGTTTTTGGGTTTGTCCCCCGACCCGCTCCCCGACTCTGTGCAGGTCAAGCTTGAGATGATGGTTGGATCAAGCAACTCCAAGATGCAGCTGCAGCTGTTCGATCCGCGGGACAAGCTCGCTGGCGACATGGCTGACGACGACGCCATGCTCGGCGCCTACCCAGCCGAAGACAACTGGCGCATTCATGTATGGCAAGCCACTTCGCTCTGTCCATTTTCATTGAGTGGATTTCTGTGCATGCTTTGCGGGGAAGAGATTTGCACGGAGACGTGACTGCAACCAAAAAACCGGGCGAACTTGCTCATGCTGATGACATCCTAGGTGGTTGACCTCGATCCATCCAAGCGTGTCGGCGAGTTTGAGGATTTATCTCAAGTGGAAAAGTTTGAACTCAACGAGGAGCAATATGATCAGCGAGCAGGTTTGTGATACAAAGTTACCTCCTTCTTGAAGTCCACCCGGCACTTTTCGTGGTCTCACCGCTTTGCTATTGGGATGTGCAGATACCGTGCGATCGTTCAAGCGCAATAACAAGCTAGGCCGCTTTGCAGACGATGCAAAGGACCCGAATGACGAAGGCAAGGAAGAGGCGGCTGCCATCACGGTCGGCCAACGTTGCGAAGTTACTGTCGATGCGTCGATGGCAAAGCGCGGCGTTGTTCGATTTGTTGGGCGGACGCAATTCAAGCCAGGATACTGGGTTGGTGTGCAGTATGACGAGCCATTGGGCAAGAACAATGGATCCGTAGACGGCGTCAAGTACTTTGTTTGTCCCCAAAGTTATGGCGCGTTTGTTCGCCCGTCCTATGTTCGCGTGGGTGACTACCCTGAGGTTGATCTTGATAGTGATCTAGACGAAATGTAGATCAAGTTGGACAACAGTAGACATGCTTTTTTTTTTTCGCTTCTTTATGAAATTATTGCAGATGTAAAAAACACAAAACAACTTTTCTTTCGTAACATTCAGTCTATGACACCCCCCCCAACACAATCATCTATTCAATGCTCGGACTACTGGCCGCATTCCCACCCTTGAGACGGCTTATCAAAGCACGAAGTTCATCGGGCGATGCGCCGTAGAGCGCGGTCGAAATGGTTTTGGCATACTGTTCTCGTAGTGAGATCTCGGCACCAGGGGCGGGCGGCGCAGATAGCTGGTTGAGGGTAGTTCGGTCAGAGTCGGAATTGAGAACATCGGCCAGCAACCTCCGGTCGCCAATGGATTCGAGGCCGATGTTGTAGTAGAGATAAATCTGGTCGCTAAATGTCACGTAAACGAGCACTGGAACGTTGTTGCCGCGCTCAACAGCAAAATAGCCGGCGGCAAATGCGCAGACATCCTCTTCAAATTGGAAGCGAATGGCGCTTGGTCGAGAGTCCACAATGTAGGTCATGCCATCCCATGCGCACGCTGCGACGTGGTGCATGGGGACGAAAGGCGCGTTTTCTTCCAACTGGGCCGTTGGCTTGTTGGCAGCGCCATCTTGGATTGTCGAATCGAATCGCCCACGCGGAAGATCGGAAGTGACGTTGAACGTGGAAATGGAAAACAGCTGGTGATCGACGCACAGCTCCCACAAGATCCGATCAAAGTCCATCAGTCGAAGACACCCGTCAAGCGTGCACACGGCGATTGCGGTGCTCTCCTGGTCACTGCTGGCAGCCTGCAACGGATCATACACGCCAGACGAGCGCACGACGTTGCCAGCGACTTCAGTGGATGCGCCAAGGGCCGAGCCCGAAATGCTTCCCATCGATGCCGCTATCAGAGGATCGCGGTCTCGATCGCGGAGGGGCAAGAGGTTGGGCATGGACGGATCGACGGGCGAAACTGGCAGCGTGGGATCGGGCGAGGACGCAGTCACGCCGCTCTTGGAATCCACGGGACTGTTTGCATCGCTGACACCGCCAACGCTTGTATTGACACCGGTGCCTGAGTGATGCACGACCTTGCCGTCCGGCTCGATCGATGCAAACGTGCCTCCTGGCTGCGAAATGATGAGCCGCAACGTTTTCGTGACGGGGTGCATGCTCATCGACATGGAGCCAAGCTGTCCAGGCATGTCCCATCTGGCATCAAAAGAGAGAGAGAAAAAAAGAGGAATGGAGACGTTAGGAAGGCAGTTTGAGGCGAGGACACGCAGAACATTTTGCTGCACTTACTTTCGGACAGCAACAAGTCGCCCCTTGGCAAACTGAAGATTACGTATCCGGGCGTCGGCGGACAACGAAGCTATTCCTGCATCGAGTCCACCACTACTACTGCTCGGAAATCCGCCGCCCGAGACGGGAGGAATGGTGGCAACTGAGGTCATTGAGCTGCGCGTACTTGACACTGCTGGTGGTTGAACCGTCGTCGGCGCCAGCACATCCGGTTCCCAGCGGTACGCATGGACGACACGATCGGTACGCCCGACCACGAGCTCGTTATTCCCATCTCCATCGATGTCAGCAATCAGCATGGACTTGACATTGATTGCAACACGCAGAGTCATGACCGGTCTGACCATTTCGCATGGAAAGTCGCGCGTGCTGGAAGCATTCGGGCCACTCGCGGCCGTGCTACCAGCCGCTGCCGTGCCAGACAAACCACTAGCTGAGGCTTGTGTGGTGGTGGTGGTGGTGGATGTGCTTGAAGTGGACGGAGCGTTCGCGCCTGGCGTCGGAGTTGACGCGGCCGATCTCGGCACCGGAGTTGCACTTGCACTGGGCGCACCTGGCGCGGATCCTGACAACCCAGCAGGGAACGGCGTGGCAGAGGACGGGGCTCCTCCAGCAGCACCCGATCTGCTTCCGGGTCCGCTGCTGGCCGGCGGCTGCGTCGCATGGTCGAGCGCAAAGACAACGCACTCGCCAATCGCGTTGATGGCGACGAGGACGTTCTGGCCGGACTGGAGCAGATCGCCGACGCCCAGACACGCAATGGTGCCCAGATCGCTCGCCATGCGCCACGGAGCCATCTGCGCGGCGGGGTCGACGAACGGGCCGCCCTTGAAGATGGCCAGCTCGCCGTTGACGTTCGCGACAACCAGCTCAGAGTCGCCGTCGTTGTCTACGTCGGCAAGGCAAATCGCAGGCGCAAACATGTTCCCGTTGAAGCCCAGCGAGAGGCGGTCGACCAGCGACACTGCGCGCATCTGCTGCATTTCGTCGAGTGCTCACGAAGTTGAACAAAGAGTAGACTGCGCTGCTCTTCAGAGATCTATTCACATCTATCACCTCAACGTCCAAGCAGCAATGCCTTAGAATGAATCACTTTTGTTTTGTAAAAACAAACAAAAATCACTGAAGCGACAGCGGCAAAACAACCAATGAGAACACAAAAAGACACAGGAACCAAAACAGCAACAAAACAAGCCAGACCCAGATGAAGCTCTAATCCCAAAGGTGAATGTTGCCGTCCCAGCCGCAAGAAACCACCTTGGACTTTTCGTGTGGATGCCACAGCACTCCAACGCACGCACCGTCGTGGCCACGCATCTTTTTGAGCAAGCGGCACGTTTTCCAATCCCAGATGCACAGCTTGCCTTCGCCATCGCCAGAAATGACATGGGAGCCGTCCGGTGACATGTCAGGCTGGCATGCGTAGCCGGCAGACAGATGGCCTCGGAAGTTCTTGGTTTTGTGCGCGCGGAACTTGTCTCGCGTCGAGTATACGTTGATGGTATTGTCCATCGATTGCATGAGCATCCACTTTTCTGCAATTGGTTGGATTGAGTACAGCGAGATGAGATGGCGATGGTCAGCGTTCAGGCGCGAGATGCAACAGCTCAAACATTGACAATCGACCTCTTACTGTTGGGATGGACAGCGACCGCCGGCATAGAGTGCATTCCTGGATCGGCAATGTACTTGATATCAACGGGAGTGTCCCAGTCCCACACGCGAATGCTCTTGTCATCCGAGGTCGAGACGAATCGGCGGTTTTCGTCAATAAAAGTAATCGAGTTGACGGCGGCCAAATGGCGATCGTATTCTTGCACAACTTCACCAGAATTGACATCGTACTAGGAAAGTCAAAAAAGAAAATGCGTCATTTTAGTGAGTAGACGTGCGTATGGAAACTGCCTCACAGAGATTTGCATCCAAAAAAACAAAGTTACCGTAACAATCTTGCGGTCTGCACATCCTGCAATGAACAAGTGTTGCTTGTCTTCGTCTGGGTTGAACTTGACGCAATATGGCACTTTCTTGTTTGTGAAGCGACTGATGCATTGTCCTGCAACGCAGTTGGGCACAAAAGCAGAACAAACAAAACACACAGGAAAAAAAAAAAATTCAAGGGTCAGTTTGGCTGCAAAGTCTTACCGCAACAAAACACCAATCAATCGATGTCACATCCTCACCTGTTTCAGTATCCCAGAGCTTGACATATTTGTCGTAGCTGGCACTCAGGAACTTTGTGCCATCGTTGTTGAAGCAGACATCTCGCACTGCCTTCTCGTGACCCGAGTATGTAATGATGCAGCGACGTTTGTGATACATTTCCCACAGCTATCGGTCCCAATCAAGGATGAAGGGGGTGGGGGAAGGAAACAGCAAGTCAGCGTCGCGCAAAAAAAAAAAAAAAAAAAAAAAGCAATAAAAAAACCGCCAACAGCAAAAGCTCCTTCTTACCTTGATCTTCGAGTCCATGCTGCAAGAAAGAATAAGATGCGCAGAGCCAGGATTGAAGCGAATGGCGTTGACGCCTTTGGTGTGTCCAGTCCAAGAGTACACGATGCGCTTTGGCATGAAGCACTTTTCTGGCGGCTCGGACGATTCGAGATTGACCTCGAGATCGCGTGGCGCGGACATAAAGTTGCGGCCTTGATAGTCGACCTCCTGGAAGTGGATGGTGCACTTTTCGTCAATGGTTGCGGGGGCTTCTTCCTCCTGCTGATCCTGGCCGGGCTTGCGCCGTTGCCGAGAGTTGGCCGCTCGAAACTTGGCATACTCTTCCAAAACGGCAGCCTGCTCTGCCGTTGGCTTTGTGCTCTCGTTCTGGTCGACGAATTTTCGCCACGGGCCTTTGTATTCGGTCGGATTTGCTTCAATATCGCCGCGGTCTTCCTTCTTGCGAACATCGGCGTGCTTCTTTCGCACGCCAGGATCCATGACGTTGGGGAGTTCGTCGGGGTGCGAGGCGTTGGCCAGCTGCTGTGCAAGTTGCTCCTTGATCGCGGCGACAGCAGGCGAAATGTTGGACAAGAGCATGGCGGATGTGGGACCCACTTCGGCCGACAGACCTCCGCTGTCTTCTGTGGACTCTAACAACTTTTGGAGATCCTTGTGGATGGAGCGTGCCTGAGTCTCTCGCTGTGCCTGTCGGACGACGAGCGGGTTGGCTTGGCTCAAATTTCCAGCCGTTGCCGACGGATTGGCCGCATAGCCAAAGCTATTGAACGTGCGACGCTGCTGCTCGAATGAAAAGTGGGACATTTCTGCATCTTCGACGAAACCTGCTCAGCGGTAGCAGGCGAGAGAATGGGGGGAGGAGGTTTTGGAGTGTCGAAAATCAGAGCAAGTGAGAGGGGGTTGGTCGGCAGCATAACAGCCCCACGCAGCGCTCCCATAGAGCTTGTCACGCAATCACAATCATCGCATTTCATCAATAGCAAGTCCATCACAGCCGTTGCATGGTTGAATGGTTGATGCGTGATCTCAGATTGACCTACCAGTCAGGACGTTTCGTTGGGCAGCAGTCTGCTGCGTCAGCCCTGGCTTTGCAGGACCTTGCTCGGCTGCATACAGCTCGTCCACGCGCGGGTTGTAGTAGACTTCATGGTCGCCTGCGCCGAGGCGGGACATTGCGCTCTGGCCGAGCATCTCGCGCTAACGAAAGCAAAAACCAAGCCAGACAAACGCAAAGTCAGCTTCAGCGCGAACAAGCAACACATTGACTTGCGAGTCCAGTTCAGCATCGACAGGCTGAAGGAGAGTCGAGGGGTGGGAGCGGGGGAAGTGGACTCGAAAGCGAGATCTCGGCGCAACGACGTCGCAGCTTCATTCATCGCTGTGGGGGGTTTGAAGCTGGATGTCCATCCAACCCACTGACGCAGAATGGGAGGGGACAACCGTGATAGTGGGGTGCTTGTTGGATGTGTGGATCGACCAGGAGCGGGGGGGGGGGAAACTCGGCGTTACCTTTGAGACGACTGCAGGCGCGAGTGCGGATGTGGACAGCATGGGCAGAACAGCGAGCGGCACAGCGGCACTCGACGATGAGAATGAGGATGAGGATGGTGTTGATGATGACGACGACGACGACGCTGGCGGTGCGCTGGTCGACGCCGACGACCGCTCCTGCTCGCCGTCCGACTCGTCTGAATCGCTGCCGTAGTTGGATCGCAGCGCAAGCATCTGTCTGGGCAAAATGAAGGAGGATTGAGCTCAGCTCACTGACCAAGAAGTAAGATTCGAACGAACAAACGAACGAAATTTCACAATGCAAAAGGGGGGGGGGGTGGATGACTTTGGTGACAAGAGGGGGCTGATCTCAAGCATCCTCGGTTTCAGCTTCGTTCAGCCTGGTTTGATCTCGATCTATTGAGGTAACATGGATGGGTCATTGTGTTTCCGCAGTACTCGTAAGACGTACAAGTGTCAGACGGTGCACAAAACTTTTGTTTCCAACTGAAGTGACCAAATTCTGCCTTTCGAGAACCAAGAAAAAAAAAACAAAAAGATCTCGATGCGCGAGTGCGTGAAGTCCATCCACGAGGCTCGAGTGCGAGAAAATGGTTGCGGTACAAGCAAGAGCAACACACAACAACGATCGAGGAATCTGCATCATGCGCGAGTGCAGCCAATGGTTTTGACTCGCTCTTGTTCCCAGTCCGACATCGCCGGTGTCAGCTCACCGAGGTGTTTTGGGCAACACTCGACATGCTGCAACGTGGGCTCGAGTAGGGAATCGATCGAAACGGCGATTGGCGATTGGAACAACAACAACAACAGCAACAACAACAACAACAAACAACAGCAACAACAAAAAGAAGAACGCGATCAAAAACCTGAAACCTCAACCAATTCAGAGTCCAATAGGCGATTTCGCACGTGCACCAAACAGAGCGGGGTTGCCATGAGGATCTGAACTCTTCTTCAATCCACAGGCCACGATACTGCTCGTCGTGATAAAGATGTGTCACCGCTGCACTCGACCCTTGCGGATCATGTGCTTGCTGCTTGTTCCCAGATGACCAATCCGCGCTTCCTACTCCTTTCGACACTTACTGCTTATTCGCCATCACCTTCCTGTCATGGGAACAATTTCCTACCTTTGGGAGGTCGCGCTGAGCCAATTATTCTCATTATTCTCGATCTGGCGAATGGATCGATCGGAGGAATTTTCAAAATAAGAACACCTCTGGCGTTCTTCCAGCACCCTCCGCGCCAGGAAGCTCGCGCCGTGCTCGTACTGGCCCCCATTCGTGCGAGCCCAGTGCTGTGCAAGCAATGGGCAGAGCTGCGCGTGCCAGGTGGCGAGAAACAGCGCTCCGGGAGCAACTGCCGATCCTCTGAGAGCAAACCGCAGTTCCGCTCGGGGGTTTTTCAAAGTAGGACTACTTCTGGCTCCTCCACTGCCGCCCATGCCACCGCGGTTTGCACTGTGCCATCCATGCAAGGATGCTGCTGGATGAGCACCGTGCGGAGCTACCGGTGCGAGGTGGCGCACGGACAACACACGGGGGAGAAGCATCGAGCATCGGGCTCTTTGGGAGGAACATCGGGCCATTTGGGAGCAACATCGGGGGATTTTTACATTCCAATGAACCTTTGACAGTTATTCCTACCGTTCGTCATGCCTCGCGCACTATAAAAGCAGATCCATTTTCGGTCACTTCGCTTCAGTCTTCTTTTTCACTCCTCCAAGTCCGCTTGAGTAAGGACCAAAGAGCGGTTTGCGCTGCGTGCTTTCCTTGCATACTGCTGGCTTGCGTTCACGTTACACTGCGTGCATAGTCCTCACGGGATTTGATTTTGCAGCTCTCTCTCTCTCTCCTCTCGCAACTACGATATTCTCGAAAATGCCTCACGTCGATCAGGTTCTCCTCCCCCTCATGTTTCAAGTCCTTGCGCGTCGTCTGACAAGAGCCGAAATGGCCAACATCCGCGCTGGAAACAGCTTCCGATTCTCCCGTCGCCGCGTCAAGCGCTGGACTGACGGTCGCCGCTGGGGCCGTGGGTACAGGTTGGCATCCGGCTCGTTTGTTTACAAGGAGATCGACGAACACGGCTCAATTTTGAGGAACGGTCTGACCAAAGTTGTTGGCGAAGACGACGACGACACGAGCGTCGGGACTGTGACTTACTCCAACACCGACAACAACGCCGCTGAGCTGAACAACTTCGTCGCACCCCCCGATTTGTTTGCTCCCCTTCTGAACGCCCATGCACGTGCTAATGATGAAATGCTGCTGCCGCTGATTCATCGTCTGATTGACCTCCTGAACGTCAACGTTGCCGACAACATCAATCCCGCACCGCCCCCGATTGCTGAGGCCCCCGCGATTGTGCGTGCTGATGTGCCGTTCGACCTCGATTCTCTCCTGCTCCCGCCTTTTCTTAACGACCTTGTCGATGACGAGCCCAAGTTTGCCGATCTTTTCATCGACAATGTCAACTTTGATGCTCCTGTCCAGCCCGCTGACTCGCCGATGGCGGCTGGTCTTCGCTTTATGCTGGATTCGCCCGTATTCCAGTGATGCGACGCACGCAACGAGCCTGGTGCTTTTTTGTTTTCGGTGGCGCGGAGACCATTTTGCTGTTTTTGTCTGCTTGTTCGTTGGTTTTCTGTTGTTTGTTTTCGTTTTTAAGCTTTGGCCGGTATTGAGCTCCCTGCCTTCATGTTAGCCTGCGTTTGCATATTAAACTATTCGGTTGTTTACTTTCACTTGTTTTGGCTTTGAATCGATGAAGTTGAGCGCGACAACATGCGACGTATGAACTTGATTCGAATTCGGACATTCGGACAAAACAAATCAACCGATCACTTTTTTTTTTTTTTTTTTTCCTTGTGTGTGTTTTTTCGGGCGGGATTGTTCTCCGTTTGCGACGCAAGTAAGCCACCGTGCATCACCCAAGGAGCGACCCACTCTTCCCTTCAGATCTCTTTGCTTCGGCTGGACGAATGGAGCGACACCACGCAAGAGCGCAAAAAGCATCGTCATTGCGCAAACAAGGAAAAAGCCGAAATCTTGGCACCATCACGGCACCTGAGTCGTCTGCTTTTGCCCCACCTCTCCTCGTTCGCCCCGCCGCCCTGATTCTTGGATGAATCCTGCTGCAAGCAGGCTAACAGAATCTAGCAGACGCACTTCACTGATGGATTGAATGGACCAGCCCGGCCCCCTGCTCAAAAACGAAATGGCTAAAATAACACAAAAACACCAAAACAAGGAAGAAATACACATTCCAAGCTCAGATCCTGCAATGGTCCGGGTTCACGCGTTGTCTCATTCCGCCGCTCTCTTGCGAGCGCAGTTCGTCAACAAAAAGTAGTGGAAGTGATTCAAGAAGCGAGCGCTGGGAGAGGGCTGACAGACAACGCGCTCAGGGGTGGGTGTGTGTAAAGCGGGACCCGGACTTTGCTTTTGCTCACCCAACACAATGCTCGAAGCCATCCATCCATACACATACCACTTGCTCTCAGCACTGCCATGTTGCGAGCAATGTTGAAAATGCTGCCAGCTCACTCTGTAAATGCCTGTTTCGCAGCACAGCAATCTTCAAAGATGGCAACAAAAGCATCAGCCTTTGGACTGCCTCTGCTGCTGCTGGTTCTGCTGCTGCTGCTCTGCGTGATAGGCCACGTCCAGTTGGCACAAGCAGTCAATGCGTGTGGCACTGGCGGTGTGTGTACTTGCACGGGAACTGCTGTCCAATGCATTGAACTATCACTCTCAGCCATTCCGAGCGGAATCCCACTCACCACGGATCAGCTGTAAGCGGTATTATCGTGAATTCGATCCTGACCAGAAACATTGACCTCCTTGATTGGCCTACGGTTGACAGATATCTGCAGGGCAATCTGCTCACCGGCATTTCTGCAAACTCATTCACAGGCTTGACTGCGCTAACTTACCTGTAAAGCAAGAGCCATGTAGGAGTCCCCACAAACCACTCACTCGATGGCCACTCTATCTTTGTAGGAATCTTGGCGACAACCAGATTACCAGCATTGCTGCCTCTGCATTCGCAGGCCTTAACGCGCTGGCACAATTGTAAGCAAGCAAAAGACATGAAGAATCGCACACAAGCGGCTCACTGTATTCTGTACACTGTCTGTAGGACTCTGCACGACAACCTGATCACTAGCATTTCTGCCTCTACATTCACAGGCCTGTCTGCGCTGAAGGTCTTGTAAGCAAGCAAGCAACAACAAATCACACACGAGGTACCCACACAAACGACTCACTCATTCGTACTGGTGCTGCATCTGCAGAGCTTTGAATGGCAACAAAATCGCGAACATTCCCGCCTCTGCATTCACGAGCGTGTCTTTGCTGAATTCTCTGTAAGCAAAATACAAGCATGAAGAACAGTTCCCAAACCGCTCGCTCACTGACGACTCTATCTGCAGTGACTTAGCTGCCAACCAGATCATCAGCATTGCTCCAACCGCTTTCACAGGCCTCAACGCGCTGACAGAATTGTAAGCAAGCAAGGCAGGACGAATCACGCACAAACGGCTCATGGCGTCTGTCTGTAGATACTTGTCCAACAATCTGATGGCCGCCACCCCCGCCTTTCCCAGCCTGAACTCGCTGAATATGCTGTAAGCCAGCGCAAACAGGAAGTATCACACAATGGCTCACTTTTTGCGAGTTAATATGTAGGAGTCTTTCTGGCAACCCAATTACTAGCATTTCGACAAACGCATTCACAGGCTTGACTGCGCTGAACTCCTTGTAAGCAAGCAAGCAAAGAATGAAAGAGCCTCCCAAACCGGCTGACTTATTGGTGACATTATCTGTAGGTATCTGAACAGCAACCAGCTCTCCAACATTTCGACCTCTGCATTCTCAGGCCTGACTGCGCTCAGTTTCATGTAGGCAAGCACAGATGTAAAGATTCTCAACTACCGCTTACTCGTTTGCGACTCTGTTTGTAGGGATCTGTCCGCGAACCAGCTCGCCGACATTTCTGCAACCGCCTTCACCGGCCTGGCTGGGCTGAAGCTATTGTAAGCAAGCTTAGGTGCAGGAAGAATCACAGACAAACAACTCACTTTTTGGCAACTCGATCTGTAGATATCTGCAAAACAACGTGATCACCAGCATTTCCGCTAACGCGTTCACAGGTCTCACAACTCTGACGACACTGTAAGCAAGCAAAAAATTGGGACGAAACACACACTGACACGCAAACAAATCTAACTCGTTCGTCACATTGTCTGTAGGTATCTATCCAAAAACCGGATAACTAGTCTTCCCGTAGTCACAGGCATGAGTGCGCTAAAGACCTTGTGAGTAAGCAAATGCCGTGAAGAATTGCACAAAGCCGACTCAATCGTTTGACCTGTAGGAGTTTGGAGAATAACCGGATCACCAGCATTCCCCCCTCTGCGTTCGCAGGCGTGAATGCGCTGAATATCATGTAAGCAAGCAAAGAGGAACAACAGCATCACGCGCCAGCGGCTCACTCGGATGCGATTCTTCATGTAGGAGTTTGACTTTCAACCAGATCACCATTATTCCCGCAAACGCATTCACGGGTCTGACGGCGCTGACTTATCTGTAAGCATGCACGCTGAATGCAAGTATTCGATTTGCTTCTTACTCGGTGGTACTTTCAGGACTTTGAATGACAACCCCTTCACCACTTTGCCGCCTGGTCTGTTCCAGGGCCTGCCAAACAGCCTGCGCCTGTCGTTTGGTTCTGGCCTGTATTACCAATATCTGAGACCGAACAACTTTACCTTTGGTGGAAATACTGTCGCTCCGCCCAGCACATACGGCAATGCAACCTATCCCTACAGTACGTTTCGAGGCGACTGCAATTGCCCTGTGCTTCATTTCATTGACGTTTGTGATCTGCAGAGTGTCATACATCCTGTGCCACCTGCTATGCCTCAGGGAACGGCTCGTGTTGCGGGACCAATTGTCTGGCCTGTGATTCGTCCGCTACATGTAGTCAGTGCTATGACGGCTATGGCTTGATGAGTGGATCCTGCGTTTCATCCGCTTCCATTTCCTCCGCCGCATTTGCTGCGTCCACCCAATCTGCCTCAGCTGCCTCTGTCGCCTCCGCATCAGTCGCCTCAGCCGTCTCTGGCTCGGTAGCGTCCGCTGCGACAAAAGCATCCATCGCCTCCGCCGCTTCAGCCGCTTCCGCGCAATCTGCCTCAGCTGCCTCCGCTGCCTCAACCATGTTTGCATCAATCGCCTCGGCCGCCTCTATCTCGGGTGCTTCTGTGGCGTCAGTTGTGACAAAAGCATCGATCGCCTCCGTCGCCTCGATAAAATCGGCCTCGGCTGCCTCGATTGCATCAACCAGATCTGCATCGGTCGCGTCAGTCGCCTCAGTCGCCTCAGTCGCTTCTGCATCTGTTGCCATGGCTGCCTCGGCTGCTTCTTTTGCTTCAACCGCCTCTGCCTCGATTGCGTCTCTTGTTTCCGCCACTTCTGCTTTGTCGGCATCTTTTGCTTCACGCGCTGCAGCGTCTTCGGCGTCCATTGCCTCACAGGCGTCCGCATCGGTCGCTTCTGTAGTTTCCGCTACCTCGGCGCTCTCGGCGTCTGCCGCGTCAACCGCATCGGCATCTGCGGCGTCTGCTGCATCTACCATTGCGAAAAACGGTGGCGGTTTCCAAGACTCATCTCCAGCTGCTGCCATCGCTGCTGCAGTTGTGGCTGTTGCCGTTGTTGCGATAATTGCAGTGGTATTCATCGCGTGGCGACGCCGGCGCTCGCAACGTCGTTCAGCCATGAAACCAAAGGACTCGGCGGACGCAGTTGAGATGACAATCTCTCCCCTGAACCATTCGACTCGATTCCCCAAAGCAGAGAAAACTCTGGCCTACGACAATGTCAGCCATAAGCAGCCAGAACCGACGGACTCTGCCGGTCCCATCTATCACGAGGCGTCAGAACTGGCAGACTCTTCTACGCCCTATTCGACGCGAGCTCATAGAGAGGAGGGCAGCTCATCAGCTTACGCTACAACCGGTCAAAGGCAGCCAGAACCCTTGTACCACGCCATCTCACCGACCTCTACAGAGCTGGTCTACGACAATGAAAGCGTGTACCTTGCTGGCAGCAATTCTCATCGCGTTCGTGAAGGGTTGACGATTGTGAAGTACCTTGCAAGCGGCAACTTTGGCGATGTAGCCCTTGGTCAGGTGCCGTTCAACTTGTTGCCCCAACGAGCACAAGCCTTGCTTGGACCTGCAGCATCCGACACGGTGCAAGTTGCAGTCAAGTCTCTCAAGTCTGATGCAGACGAGAAATCCCGAAAGGACTTTGAAAGCGAGGCGAAATTGATGGCTCCGTTTGTGCACCCTAACGTTGTTCGCATGCTCGCAGCCCTGGTCGAGTCAGAGCCCCACCTCGTTCTGCTCGAGTTTGTGCAGTACGGAGACTTGCGCATGCTGCTGCAAAAGTCCAAGCTTTACTCTCTTTGGTGGACTCAGAACGAGCAGGTGTATGTCATTCGCCAGATTGCACTCGGCATGGAATATCTGGGCACGCTCCACTTTGTGCACCGCGATCTCGCCGCGCGAAACTGTCTTGTGGGGCAAGGAATGGTGGTCAAGATTGCTGATTTTGGACTTTCTCGCGAATTGGGCACCGACGATGATTATTACCGCATGGAAACGCGAGGCAAACTTCCTGTGAAGGTGGGGTCAACGTTGTGAACAGGCTGCTTCTAGTTGCTTACAAACTGATTTTTGTTGATCCTGCCATTTTTAGTGGATGGCACCGGAAACAATTACTTTCCGCAAGTTCTCGTCCATGTCGGATGTGTGGTCGTTTGGTGTGACAGCCTGTGAGTAGAGTCATACAGGTGCTGAAAGATTGGCACTTGCATCTCACTTGGGTTGATGTATTGTGGTAGGGGAATGCTGCAGTTATGGTGCAACTCCGTACGGCACGCTGAAGGCCACGGAGACACTGGCTCATGTGGAGGCTGGTGGTCGCTTGCCCATGCCTGAGCACTGCGCAACCGACTTGTTTAGCCTGATGCTGAGTTGTTGGAATCTGATCCCGGACCTGCGGCCAAGCTTTACGCAGCTCGCCAAAGCTCTGAAAAGCTTTGAGGATGGCACGAACATTCGCGACATTGGCGCAATGGTGTAAATGCGCACCCAATGAGGCCTGAGCACAACTTGGCTCGAGTCAGCTTCGTGGGGCTGTGTGTGTGCACAATTATCACTTTTGACGTTGAATTTGAGCTTGAGCTTTGGTAAAATACCAGTGCAATGACACGAGGTACAGCCTGGCAACATCCAACCAACTCAAACACAAGCGAGAAAACGCGAGACAACAAAGTCACATACAGTACAAAACGTGCTACGCTCGCACACACACTCATACACTCACACACAAACAAAAAAACAACAACATTTTCAACTCAAAAAACTTCAAACAAACACACTTCACCAGTTCGGAACTGCACTCACTCCAGACTGTCGCTGTGAGGATTGTGCAGCCGTAACAGCTGTGTACGCATGGATTCCATCTCTTTTATGAGCCGGGCATTCTCGTGACGCAGGGCTTTGACCTCTTGAACTGCCTGCTTGCCAATGAATTTGTCGACTCGGCTCGAATCCTCTTCCTCGTGGCCCGAAGACATTTCCATCTCACCGCCAGACTTGTGATTGCTACCGCTACCGTTGCCACCGGCATTTGCAGAGGTCTTGGGGTGGCTTCCTCCTTGATTGGATCCACGATAGGTGCTGGTCGAGCCATCGTTGCCCTTGCCTCGGAAAATCAAGTAAAACTTTGGTGCAAACAAAATCGCGATAGCAGTCAGCACGGTGACGAGCACCTCGAGTGACTGGATGACAAAGTAAAAGTCAGCCGAGCCGGTGGTAGAGTTGAGGATGATTTGCAGAATGACGCCCACAACAATCCAGTTGTACACGGCAAGCCCAATGTACTTGGACTCGTTGAACGCGGAGGGGGCTTTGCGGACGCGGTAGCACAGGAGAGCCAGCCCGATCATTGCAACCAGCTCTTGAAGGTACATGGCAGTGTCCCACCAGGTGACTTCGCAGACTTGATAGCTTTGGTTGTTGGAAATGAGGGTGCTCGCCTTGGGAGGGCTCGAGACAGTCCATGCAACCAGATTGACACAGCCATATGCAACAATCAGCAGGAAGCGGAACAGCAGTACGCGGTCGGTCAGGTGAGGAGCCTTGCTTGACTTGAGGTTGAACACACTGGCGATGCGGAAGGTTTTCAACGCGAGCGCGCCGAAAATAATTACAAAGCCAAGGTGGCGTGCCCAAACACGCGCAACGCAAAATCCAGTGACAATGGTCTCCTGGTGACTGAACAGAATCCAGAACATTGACCACGCGGCTCCGAGCAGCATTAGCAGCAAGAACTTGGGACTGGCAGAGAGAATGGCACGGACGCGGCGATAGTGGACAACACCCAGCGCCATGGCGACAAACAAGGCCAGCTCAAGAGCTGCAATGACCAAAAAGGCAACACGGAGGCCCGAATCGACTTCGGAAGGGGTGACGAGGCGTGAAGGGTCGGGCAAGTAGGGCTCCAGGGTTGCGAAATTCGCCTGCACCCACTCGCACGAAGCCTCCTCGAGGGTCAGCCCGGCAAAGTAGACGCGACCCAGAATGTTTGACTGATCGTCGCCAGTGTAGCTGAACTGCTTGACGTAGTCGAACGCAACAGAGTTTTTCGACGAGAGTTTGGAGGAAGCCAACTTGATGACTGGTTTGCCTCGGTATCCGCAGCGGTACACTCCGGCTGGTAGTTTCAAATGACGCGGGTTGTGGGGGGGGGGTGAGCAAGATGCAATGAGCGTTTGAGCACAATAATGGTATGAAGGGGGTGTGGGAATGAGCCTGCGTTTCTCGTCTGTCCAGCCGACTTACTTTCATTGCAGTGCGATTGATATTCGGGCAATTGCACCCGACGGAGACGGATGGGCGAGTTGTCGGCAAAGGCAAAATGTGGCTTGCCAGCGTAGGTGATGAATGGCTGGCGTAGATAGTACGCAGCTCCCAGCACCTGAACGATGGCATTCAGAGTCGCTTCTGGCCCAAGGTCCGGAACAGGGCACACGACATTCATGTTCAGCTCCAACCCTTGGACAATTTCGCGGTCGAGCGCGTTCCATGAGTCGGGCACCGTCCACATCGTGATGGGTGCACCTTCGTCTTCCAGGTTGGCGCGGTCGCGAATGTTGGTCAAAAAGTATTCAATGGCAGCGTTGCAATCTTGCATGACGGCCGACGCGTTGAGTGCCAGGTTGCAAGCCTCGCTTTGCAGGATGGCGTCGACATCGTCCACGGCACTGCGCAGCGTGCTATTGTCCATCACAAGCCCTTCAGGAATCGTGTCCAGTCGGAACACGGAGAGAATGCGCTCATCGCTATCAGCAGAACGAGCGAAATGAACGGACAGTCAGTGGGGATGACGGTTGCGCACACACACAGACCATCAGCTCTCAAACGCCCGACCACACTCACTAGAAGGCAATGTAGCTGTCCATGATTGGATTGATTTCCCAGGTGTATTCGGGGATGAACCAGCCCGTTTCGGCAACCACGCCCGAAGGTCCAGCTGTAAACACCACAAACGCAGTTGGTGAGATCTTTTCATCTTGGAAGCATAGACTCGATGTTGGAGAACAGAGCACAACAAACAAAAACGGTTTACCATTCACGACAGACCGGAGGTTGTTGACATAGTGCTGGAGCAGCTCTGGCACGTCATCGCTGTACACTTCCAAAAGCAAGTCCGTTGTTCCTGTCGACAGGGACTCGAATGCTTCTTCGTACGTCTCATAGACGGACGTGGTGGTTGGAAGACCGAGCTTTTCCTGTATTGTTTTTGGTTGTTGTTGTTTGTGGGATGAGTCACATTTGTTGTAGTTGTGTCACGTATTCCTCCCAGCTGGTAAATAGTGCACACCAGCGTCATCATTTACCGACCTCAATCAGAATTTTTGCAATGCTCCAGCTTGTGCGGGACGAGTCGCGGTTGTTGACAGCGAGATTGATCGGCGCAATATCGTCTCGCAGCGGACCTGGCAGCAATTCAGTGTGTTTGTGTGTTTTTGTGGAATTTTTTCAATTGCACAGCAGTCCGTCAGTTGAATGCAGTCACATTGGAATGGAGTGGGGAGGGGGGTCAGCGGTACAAAACATCAAAAAAAAAAAAAACGTCAAAACCGAAACAACAACAACAAAAAAAAAGAGTCAACAAACGAAGATTGTGGAATGCGATTGAGCAAGTCGCAAAAAAACGCAATCACAGCGAATCACAGAATGACGATGGCGACGTGTACGACCAAGATGCAGAAGCACACTTCAGGGCTGTCGAAGCGGGGAGGGCAACTCATGGTTATGGAGTGGATGAGCGAGCAATCGACATATGATTTTTTTTTTCTGTTTTTGTCGTTGACTTTTCACACTCGTGTCTCAAAATCCAGCGACAGTCAGCCTCACACTTTGAAAATGACGAGTTCAGAAGTGGAGAGTGAGTGTGCGAATGGCAGTTGTGTGTGTGAGGGGGAGGGGGAGGGGGGTGAGACGCGCGTCAAGCATCCATGTCGTGTGAGTGTAACGGTGGAGCATTTTTTTTTTTTTTTTGCGTGTGCGTGTGGGTTTTGTCAGAACGCTCCCCCCAATTCTCGTCTCTGGCCATTGAGATGGCGTCCCTGCCGAAATGTGGTGGATCTACTCACGGCGCTCAGATTCGGGAAAGCAGGCGCCGGAAGCATGGCCTGCCAACGCCAGGACGAGCAACGCGAGGAGACTTGTCACCCCACTGATTTTCATTGTGGTATGATTGATTGTTTTGGTTTGTTTTTCCCAGCCAGAGCAAGGTTTCGGACCAGAGCAAGGATGTGACACAGGCAGTGCGAAGCCACAAGCCCAACAGGAAAATTGATGAATGAACTGAAAAAGAAATCGATGCATTTGGCAACATCGAAAAAGCCAAAAACCAAAAAACCAAGCCAAAAACAACAATTACTGCTGTTATCACTTTGGATAGTCAAAAAGCCAGCCACAAAGTGCAATCAACAATGACTCACCCGTCGACTTGATTGTTGTATTTTTTTTTTTCGAGGGGAGAGCGGGAGAGAGAGGATGGGCGGAAGGCAATTTAGAAAACCAAAAAGAACGAGCTTTTGCCTCAGATCTAGATTGGAATCGACTGTGATCTGACTCAACTGCCACAGTCATGCGGACCTAATCAATGCTCATCCCATGAAAACGGAGCTTATTTGCGATTCAGCCAATTTTTTCTTTCTTTCCTTCTCTCTGTGGAAAACGGGCTTGCCCATCTGCTGATCAGCTTTCGTCACCTTCCCCCGCACGCCTTGCTCCAGCAATCACCAGCTGGTACCGGTCGCGTGGTCATCGGGCTTGTTCTTCTTCTTCTTCTTCTTTGATGTTGGCCGCGCGCTCGATGCCTGAAGCTACACATTTCAAGTGTCAAGTTCCGCGCGAGATTGAGTGAGAAGCCATGGTGACTCAACCCCGTTTCTGCGCTTCCGCTCGTGTCTATTTTTAAGGTTTTACATCCATCCAGTCCCGTCGAAAGCCGCGCAGACCCAAAAGCGCTACCCGACTGACTCGCAGACAAGCGAGCACAGAGCTGGCACAGAGCAGAAGGCTCTGTTCCATGGCTGATACGAGAAAGGCAACGCAACGCTGCATCCGAAAGTAGCTTTTTTTGATCACGATGCTCGCCCGATCGCGAGTACGTTTTTTGACCTGTTAGCATGGCAACGGACTCTGAGCGGGACGAATGTACAGTCTTTAGTAGCATCGTGGATGAAATGGCTGGATGGTTGTTGAGTGAAAATCCGATTGGCAACAATATTGGGTTGAAGCACTCAAAGGGGTACTCGGCGGTGAGCAGCGAGCGACAGTAGTTCACTAATACACATCAATTTGACTGCTGCATGTGAATGAGTGACGCTTGTCAATAGGTGATCCAGCAGACTTCCAAAACCTGTCAAATCCGGGAAGTTTCACACCCCGATCTTCAAACAAATCCCCCTTCTCGCCCAATATTGTGTGTATGTTCATGCCTGCATCGATATTACACCAATAAAGTGCAATGCGAAACTCGGTCTGAGCAGAGCAGTCCTTTTGCCTCTGCCTCACATCTACAACTTGCATTTGAACAACACGATGAGCGACGACGACGACGCGCCAAGCCTCTCCGCGCACGCAATGGCAGCACTTGCCGCCTTCTACCAAGAGCAGCGAGCGCGGGACGAGCTGATGGCTGCGGCCGAGGCTGCCGCGAGTCAGCCTGCCGCCAACGCCGACGACGACGACCAGGCTGCCGCTTCTGCCACGCTCGACATTGACCACATCCACGAGAACTGGCAGCTCTCGCAATTCTGGGTATGTCACCAGCTCTTTTGGGGTTGAGTTTTGCTTTGGTCTGCTGCTGTGTCGCTGCTCCAGCAAAACCCTCGTGTACCCTTCAGTCTGACTCTCTGCGTATCCCTGAACTCGGCATACATTGCATCATTGGATTGGAAATGAAACCATGTCTCACACACAACAAAACAAATGGATTGTAGTACGACGCTGCCACGATCGACAAGCTTGCTTCTGCTGCAGTCACCGCGGCAGGCGCGTCTGGAAGCATTGCACTGCTCAGTACCCCGTCGCTATACAAGCGAGTCAAGGAACTGGCTGTTGCTGCCAAATGCAGGGGTCGGATTGTGCTACTCGAGTACGATACGCGGTTCAAGGTCTACCCGGATTTTGTCGAGTACGACTACAACCACCCGCTGACCTTCAAGCCCTACCATGCGAGCTGTGCACCTCTCGCAGAGCATTCATTCGACGTCGTTGTTGCCGATCCACCATTCTTGGCCGAGGAGTGTCTGACCAAGACGTCCGAGTCTGTCAAGTATCTCGCCAAGCGCGACATTCTCTTGTGCACAGGTTTGTCGTCCGCTGTGATCTCGTTGTTTGTTTCAGTTTTTTGTGCTTGTCGTTGTGCTCAAGATGCAGTGTGTGCACCCTGACTTATGTACTTTGCCTTGATTCATCTCTCGCCAGGTCTTGTGATGCGCAAACATGCCGCCAACCTCCTTGGTCTGCGCCTGTGCCAATTCCGACCCGTCCACTCCGGCGGGCGACTGAGCAACGAGTTTGCTTGCTATGCTAATTTTGACTCTGCTCTTGGTTGGGACACCACGACGACTGCCGAGTAAAAAACACGTTTCAATTTTTGGGTTTGCTTTGTTGTGATTATTTCAACTGGTGGGCATCGTTCTTGAAGGTCGTCATGGGGTAGAAGTGATGGATCAAGGGTTCAACGTGCCATCTTTAAGGAATGGAAAGCAAGGGTAGAGAATTTCACGGAAATTTCCAAACTCAACCAACAAAAACGCCCGAAGTGCTGTACGATGCGCTGCAAACAGGAAAGGCGTTGACCAAACAACAAAAAGCATCTCTTTACTTGTCCACAACCACAGGGCTGATCCAGCAGCCAAGCCTTCACTTTCCACCAAACAAACAAACAAAAACACAAAACACAATTTCAGGCAGCCTGCTTGCGAACGGCGCTCTCGGCCCAAACCCACTTCGGCTTGACCCCAAACACCTCAAGGACGGGTCTTCCGCGCCATTCGAGGGGCTGGTCCAAACCCAACGCGTGCAGCACGGTTGGGGACGTGTCAACCAGGCTCACAGGCGTGGACAGCGGAGTTTCGGGAGTTGGTGCGGGCGGTACCATCGCGCCGTATGCCATCCATGTCGTTTCAATCTCGCTCAGACTCCATCCGCCGTGGTCTTTGCCTTGGCTGTCGCGACCGTGGTCGGATACAATCAGCAGCAGCGTCGTCTCCTTCATTCCGGCGGCCTCAATCGTCTCCAGCAGCTCGCCAAGCATTTGGTCGGTCGTGCGGAGCGCTGCTCGGTATTCACTGCCACTGCCATGGTCGTGTCCGGCGTGATCCACGTCGTCCAGGTGGATGAACGTCAGCCGTGGTTTGGCACTGAGCAAATGCGCTTTGGCACAGTCGATTGTCTTGCGGTCTTGGTCGGCAAACTCCCTGTCAAAGTCGACGCACTCACGCGGCAGCGTCAGCGTGCTGATGCCAGGCCATGCATAGATGGACGCTGTGGCAGAGTCGGGCTCCTGCGCCTTGAGCACCGAGAACAGGTTTGGGAACGGGACGGCGGAACCCACAATCGACGGAACCGCCTGCGGACCGTCCAAGCGCCAGTCGTTCGAGTCGACGCCGTGGATGGACGTATCGGCGCCATACAGAATGGAGGCCCAGTTGGGCTTGGACCAGGTCGGCGCGACGGCCCGCGTGTGGTCGCTGTAGCGTCCATTTGCGCGAATGCGTGCGAAATTGGGCAGTCGGCCGCCCTGCAGCTCGACCAGGAACTCGGGCACGGCAATCCCGTCAATGCCAAGCACGACCACGTGTGCTGCAGATCCGAATCCGCCATTCACGGGTGGTGCGGCGGCTGACATTTGGAAAACAAGTCGAGTGCGGTTTTGACTTGTCGGAGTTCCGTCGTTGATTTGTTCAAAGCGGATCAAAAGGACTGAACGAGTGTATCATGTAGTGATTGTGAAAGAATACATTCAGTCGAAAACACTGCAAAGTGTGAGACAAACGATGAGTGGCTTACGATCGGACGGATTCTGAGATTCTGAGATTTCCTCCAAGGAACAATTCCGCAACAACTCAGACTCGCCTCCCCCTCAGCTACAGTTACAACAAAGTCCCCTCCTCGAATCGCGAGTTTGTGTGTGTGTGGGTTGATTTAGAGTGCCAGTCCAGTTCTTTCCAATACAACCATGAGCTTTGCGTCGTACCACGACAACATTGAGCTGGGCGACACTGTCATTCTCTACTTGGTAACAAAAAAAAAAAAAAAAACAGCGAGACAAAGCGGCAGATTCAGCATTGCTGTTACAAACGTGGCAGCCCTGCGCGCGTGTCATTGAGCGGACAGCTGAGCGAGGGAGGCAACGGGACTCCACGTTGGGTCGATCAAAGCCGCCATTTCAACTTGTCAACCACACTCACTCACTCGCTCACTGTGCAACACATGACTCTGACGTGCTGGTCTGTCTTGGCGAAACAAATCAGAGCCCAACAGAGCTCGAGGCAATCACGATCAAGCGCGGCGGCGTCGAACGCAACAAGTTTGGCGACTTCCCTCATGCGAACATGATTGGCAAGCCATTCGGCTCAAAGGTACATCCATGCATATGCAACGTAGTCCTAGCAAGCAAGTGCTGCGAGCTGGAAGGCCAGCCGGAAGCAGAGAAGCGATCGGATCTCTGCGCTCTCCTCATCGTCACGCTCAATCTTGCCCTTGCGGACACCCAATTGTCGCACAGATCTATGCAATGAACAAGCGATCGTGGATTATGGCGCTGTACCCAACCCCCGAGCTGTGGACCCGAGCTCTGCCGCATCGCACGCAAATCATCTACTCGACGGACATCAGCCTCGTTGCCATGTACCTCAACCTGAAGCCAGGCTCTGTTGTCATTGAGAGCGGTATGGCATTGTTTTTCGTTTCTCTGTGGTTTCTATCATGACTCGTTGCTGGCTTTGCACGCGGTCTGACAATGCCGTGTTGGGTGTTTCAGGCACTGGAAGCGCCTCGCTGTCCCACGCCATCATCCGGACAGTGGCGCCCACGGGGCATTTGCACACCTTTGAGTACCACGAGCAGCGCGCTCAGCTGGCAAGGTATAGTGTTTTGTGGTTTTGGGGGCGGTGCTTTTTTTTTTTTTTTTGCTTTTTGTTTTCCAACTTTTCATCCTCGTCTTGGTGTTGCAGGCAAGACTTCGAAGCACATGGTCTTAGCCATCTTGTCACTGTTCGTTGCCGCGATGCGTGCAAGGAAGGCTTTGGACTGGAGCGTGTCGCAGATGCCGGTATGTTTTTGGTTTGTTTGGCTTGCGCTGTTTTCCTTCAGCAACTGAACACTCGCTCATTACATCCTCCCTCGATAGTGTTCTTGGATTTGCCCTCGCCGTGGGACGCTGTTGAATCTGCTACGCGAGCTCTGAAGGTACAAGGCTTGTCCCACGTCTCGTGTATTGCCGCAACCTGTGTTCACCATTGGCTTTGTTTTGTTTCTAGGGTCCTGGCGCCAAGCTGTGCTCTTTCAGCCCGTGTCTTGAGCAAGTCCAGAAAACCTGCACAAGGCTGCGAGCTCTGGGCTACCAAGGTATGGAAGGACTGCAGGTTGGCAAAGTTTCGCGTTTCTGATATTGACAATCACCACCTTCTCTTCCCCTCCCTTCGCTCTCCCCCTCATCAGACATTATCACCTATGTTGGCTTGATCCGTCACCTCTCCTTCTCGCACACCAAGATGCAAAACTTTGTCATTCGGCCAAACCCTGTATGCGCGCTTTCTTTTGTTCAAGCTGTTCCATCGCATTCTCACCTCGCGCTCTGCCACCCCAACAGAAGGGCACTAATAGCAACAAGCGGACGGCCGAACAATCAGAGGCCACTGATGGAGACGCCCAGAGCGTGCAGCCTTCCGCCAAGCGGGAGAACATTGAAGCAGAGGACGAGGAAACGCAAGCCAGCGAGACCGCTGTGGTTGGCAATCCAGGCGTCAAGTGGGCTCCTATTGAGTTTGCCACCGAGTTTATGACTGGGCGCCCGGCGCCCTCCGTCAGACATGCAAGGCCACACGGGATATTTGACCTTTGCGACACGCCAATGCTGAGCTATTGTTTTCGTGGTGATGGTTTGATTGTTCAAAATGATCAATAGTTTAATTCGAAGCATCTACAAGAGTTTTTTTTTCTCTTTTCAAAATATGGACAATACATGAAGACACATTCATGCGCTGAGTTGGCTGGGCTTGGCATTGCGGCAGAGAGTTTCAAAATAATCCATCCGCGATTGTTCGAGCCACTTCAAAAAGACTGTTTGCCGTTGCTTTCGCGCGGAGAGACACTCTGAAGCACTTTGAGCACCTTGCGGGCTGTCGAGTAGATTGCCAAGCCCACTGGCCAAGTCGTGCTGCATTTGCCAGTGATTTCGAAGATTCAAGTACTGCTTGCGGGATGTCTGACAGGCATCAAAGTCATCCAAGATAGATGGCAGGTGAGGCTGTCCGCCTTTGAAAGCAACAGGTCACGCACTCGAAGAAGTGGGTGGATCTTACCTGGACGTGATTGTGGTTGCGCTGATAATGCAGCACGGCAACAAATAAATCCCACAGCGAAAACTCGGGCCACAAGACTTCGGCAAAGTACATGTGGGAGAAGGCGCTCTGCCAGAGCATAAAGTCGCTCAAACGGACTTCGCCAGACGTCCGAACAAACAAGTCTGGGGCATCGGCCGTGTACATGCATCGCTCAAACAAATCTTCGGTAATGTCGCTTTAAGGGTCAAAATCAGGGGAGGTGGGGTTGGAAGTTGGTTTCCAAAGAAGGTGGACAAAGAAGAGCCGTCGAGCGGAGGGGTGGTAATTGTGAGTGATGGTGGCAGCGAGCAACAACAAAAAACACAAAATCGGGATCGGGGGTCTTACCTCTCTTGCAACCGCCCTTCTGACAAGCCTGTTGCAATTTGTTTTGTAGCTTCCACCATTTCATGACGTGATGTGTACGGGAAACAGATATTCAAGATGGATCTGTGGGAGAAGAGTGAGCGATTGTTCACGCGCTACGCATAAATTTCAGTCGTACTTTGAGTTATTTCGAGAAAGCGTAACGGCGCGAGCAATTGCCTGCTGGACATCCAATGGAAGCATTGTCACATCTCCCAAGACGCGTATGCTGACTCCGTGCTTTTGGATTACCTCGCTGTCGATGGGCACACACATTCCAAGATCAGCCAAAGACTGACCAAAGCAAAAAAAAAAAAAACAGACAAGCCCAGACAACCCTTCCAGCTCGGTTACCTTTCTTCAATCAAACGCGCAAACTTGACCTTGGCCAGGTCCATGAGCGCGGTGACCTCTTGCGACGACCGCTTGAAATTCTCAATACTAAACGCATACACCGTGACTATGCGAACGCCGAGCTCCAGGCACCAATCAAGTGTCTGTGAGAGTGCGAGTGGTGAGAATGTGAGGTGAGATGTCTGTACCACAAGTCGTCGTCGGGCTCATCAACCATCAACGCAACCAAGAACAGAGAAACCACACAAACCTGCTCGAGCTTGTCAAACCCCAGCGCGTGGCCCATGGCCGTGTTGACGTGAATCTTTTTCGCAAATCGACGGTTGCCATCCATGATGAATGCAACGTGTCTCGGGATGGGTCCGTGCTGCAGCAGTCGCATGCAGACGGATCGGCGCGGCATCCACCACGGGAGCTGGTCGGGAGCAGATGCGGCCGCCGACTTGCTCCGGAGTTGGCTGACAGACATGTCTACTGAGCGTTCTGGCGCTGCTTGTGGTGCTCCTTCCGAGGCGGCGTCTTGTTTGACCGTGGGCAACCCGTCCGCTCGTCGCAGCACGAGGCGGGACAGCTGCGCCGCGAGCGACCAGACGCGCCCCGCCACCGTTTGCGCCTCACCGCTCGGCGCAGGACTATCTCGTTCGTCCGATGCCACTGCGAGCGCGATCTGGGTGGCTGCAACGACGGCGGCGGTCGGCTGCATCGATGACGGGGAGGTGGAGGACGCGTGGCCCGGCTTGACCGATTTGGGCGGAGGTAACGCAGCCTCGGCTGGGCTTGCGACGGCGGCAGGTCCAGCAGCGTGCGTGTGTGATGGCACGGATTCGTCGAATGCTGTCAATGGGAGAACAAAGGGGGTTTTCGGGGGGAAGGGGTTTGGAGGGGTTTGTGAGCAAACTGAGAAATGGCCAATAATGCGATGCGATGGATTGATTGAGGCTTACGTGGCGGCATTGAAAAACGGGGAAACAAGGACTGGCTCTCAAACAAAGAGCTGTATTAGAATCAATCAAAGATTTTCGGATCCTGATTCCCTATGCAGGGGGGAAGGCAGAGGACATGGGGAATGGGAACGAAAGCCCATGGCAGCCCCAATCAATCTCAACGGATCCCCGTTCCACTGTGTCAATGTCCAATCTATCTCGATCACTCGCTCCAACAGCAGTTTTAGATCCAGTGATGTTGTGCCGATCCGTCCTGCAAGAGCCGAAAGCACTCCAACAGCGCCATTCAATTCAATTTCAACTCTCCTTTTCGCTCATGCAAGTCTTGCGAACTGAACACGGCGGTGATTTCACAGAATTTCTCGCTCATGATTGATGATCATGATGATGATGATGATGATCATGTTGATGATTGCGGAACATCCACTCTTTGTTTGCTTGTAAAGTTCGACCTCGAAAATCCAAAAATCAAAAAAAAAAAAAAAAAAAAAAAAAAAAAAAAAACTCGATGGAAAATTTTGAGCTTTGATAGTTGAATTGTTCAGCTGCTGCGATCACGCAAACTCTGGACGGGGCACTGAGCTGCGGTTGATCGGATGACGAGAGGAGGGCAGCGTGTGGTGTGTGACGCGCGGGCCAGCGCGACGACGACGACCATTCGGAACGAGAACAAGAACAAAAGAGAAAAAAAAAAAAAAAAAAAAAAAAAAACGCAAAGCTTTCCGTTCCTGGACACACTCACACACACACACACTGAGCAGCGGGACCCCTTGCAGTTGATTGGGGGTCAGTCTAATGGGTGGTGGTTTCGGTGTCTGCCACTTTGCCAGCCATGCGCTTGCAATGTCACTCAACTCGGCCAGAGTGAATGGAAGGGCGTCTCGCTCAACGGACGATAGATGGCAGAATGGCAAGCTTTTTTTCCCTTTTTTTTTTTTTTTTTTTTTTTTTCGTTGTGCTGCGTTTTGAAGCGTAGTGACCTCGTGTTTGGCTGCCAGTGTGGCAGGCATTTCCGTGCGAGATGATGTCCTGTCGTTGTTGCGTGGATGCACCCGCACAGTGCCAAAGCGAAAATCCGCTTCCCAAAAGGGCGGTCATTGAAATTTTACCATTATTTTTTTTATTTTTGTATTATTTTATTTTTTTATTATTTTTTATCACTAACTTCTCTCTCTCGCAAGCACAGATTTCAAGAGAAGCAAGGTTGTGTTCGATTGCAAACTCACTGGCATCTCTGGAACAACTCGCTGCGTTTCTCGTTGCATCATGGGTAAAGATGCCGGCTTTGTTTTTTGGTTTCATGCTGATTTGGAGCGTTGCACTCACTGATCGTTTGTTTTGGGGTGCAACACTGCAGTGAAAGTCAAGGTAGCGCATTCGTATGAAGCAGAGACCGAAGACGAGCTCACGCTCGCCGAGGGAGACATTATCAACGTGACGCAGGAGGTTGAAGGTGGCTGGTGGGAAGGCGATCTCAACGGCCGCGTCGGCTGGTTCCCGTCGAACTTTGTGGAGCCCTACACTGAGCCGACGCCTGCGCCTGCTGCAGCGCACCATGCCCCAATCGGTCGTCCACCACCGCCATCGAGTGCTGCTCTCAGCCGACTGGCTTCCGCCGCGCAGCCTGCCACTGCCACCCCTCCGCCCGCTGCTGCTGCCGCCGCTGCTGCTCCTGCTCCTGCTCCTGCTCCTGCACCGGCGGCTGTGGCTGCGGCCCCCGTTGCTGGCGCTGGCGCCCGCAAAACCAGTACGCCAAAGCTGCCCTCTTTTCGTTGTTCGTCGTTCGTTCTTGTTACGCGATCCCTTATTCACCTCTTGCACACTTGCCCCTGCTTTACCAGATCGAGAGCGTCGCGCCAAAGTGTGCTTTAGCTACGCCGCTGCGAATGGCGACGAGCTGACTCTTCCAGTCGGCGCTGTTGTCAACATTCTCAAGCAGGACGAAGAAGGATGGTGGGAAGGCGAACTCAATGGAGTTGTCGGTGTTTTCCCTTCGAATTTCGTAAGTATCGTCCAAGCTTTGAGTCAAAGATGGAATCACCAGAGAGAAGAAAAAATTTGCCGACTTGGAGTCTTATTGTTGATGTTTTGTGCGCAAAAAGGTCGAAATGGTGAATGACGACGCCGATGCTGCTGCCCCTGCTGCTGCCCCAGCTGCTACACCCGCTGCTGCTGCTGCTCCTGCTGCCGCCGCAGCTCCCGCTCCGTCGCATGAGCGTAAGTCTACCGAGTTGATTTTTTTTCTTCCGTCTCTCGTTTCTTTTTCCGCACTGCTCAACGCCACTCACGTCCTTTTGCTTGCCGCTGCTCGCAGATGAAGCAGAAGGAGATTCGCTGATCAAGGCGAAAAAGATTGTTGGCGTCGGTCTTGGTAATATCTTTGGTGGGGGCGGCATCAAGCTTCGCACGACGAGTGCCGCACCTGCTGAAGAGGCAAAGTCTATCGAACCCACTCGTGCACCACCGCCGGTTCCTGGCAACAAGAAGGGTACGTCGATTGCAGTAGATTTCGTTTGGTGTAGTGGTGGGTGCAGCACATTCACCGTTCAATCGTTTTGTCCGTTCATCAGAGGCACCTGCACCCGCTCCAGCACCCGCTCCGGCCCCAGCGCCCGCTGCGGCCGCCGCACCAACGGCCGCAGAGACCAAACAGGTCAAGGCCTTGTTCGATTATGACGCCGAAATGGACGACGAACTGTCGTTCAAGGTGGGCGATGTTTTCACTCTGATCGCAAAGACGGACGACACTTGGTGGAAGGGCGAGCACAACGGCGTGCAGGGCGTCTTCCCGAGCGAGTTTGTTGAAGTCTTGGAGAGCACACGAAAGAAGGCGCCCCCACCCCCGACTGGCGCAAAAGCTGCGGCGTCCCCAACTCCGACCCCAGCACCAGCAGCCCTTTCGTCCAACGCTGCTCGCAAATCTGCACCGCCGCCGCCGAAAAAGGTCGAAGAACCAGCACCCGCAGCTGCAGCACCTGCTCCGGCTCCGGCTCCGGCTGTGGCTGCGGCTGCGGCTCCTGCACCTGCTCCGGCTGCTGCGGAAGATGGCGAGAGCGCAGAAAAGAAGCACCCGGCAGGTGCATTCCGTCTGCCCGCCGTGGCTGTCAAGCGACCTGGCGGCGCGCCCCCTGTGGCTGTCAAGCCCGCTGCTGCGGCTGCTGCGGCGGCTGCAGGAGCAGACGACTCGGCCCCTGCGCCTTCGCCGTTCCCCGCGCTTCGCAAAACGATTTACAATGACGCACCAGCAGCGGCACCTGCTGGCGGTCCTCCGTCCGTCGCCAAAAAGCCCATTTTGCCTGGGGGCAAATCACTGGAGGAAAAGCCTTTGGCTGCAGCAGCTACTCCCGCTGCCCCTGCCGCCGCTGCTGCCGCCGCACCCGAGATCAAGAAGAAACCATTAGTCGTTCCCCCGCCGACTGCACCGAAGTTGCCTGCTGCTGCTGCTGTTGCTCCTGCTGCTGCGGCACCAACAACGACCGTGTCGCCAAAGCCGCTTTCCATGGTGGACGACTCGCACGTGTACGAGACGATTCCAGGCGACCTGGTGGCGGCAAAGCCTGCGGCGCCTCTGGCCTCTACCCCGGCCAAGCTGCCTGCTGGTCGAACTGTCTCGTCTGTCCCAACCACTGTCTCTGACAATGGCGATGTCTACAGTTTGAGCACAAAGAAGACCACGACCGTGGGAGCTGGTCACTCACGAAACAAGTCGGTCGATGATGCTCTCGACACCAAGAAAGGCGATGATGGCTCTGACTCTGCTGCCGAAATCCGCGACCTCAAGAAGCAAATTACCGAGCTTCGCGGCTTGATTCGCGACCTGCAAGGCGATTTGGACGAGGAGCGACAGTTGCGAAAACTTCTCGATCGTTATGTCAAGGACCGCCTTCCCCCAACAGATTAATGCTGCACGACGTTAACTTTTGTCATCATTGGTGTCTTTTTTTTGTCTGCCTGCCAGTCAGGTTACCTTTGCTGACAGGTTGCGCGCGTGTGTGTGCCGTGTGCCGTCTGGCTGTGTATTGCTTGAGTGTTTTCTGTGTTTTGCTGTCCGTGTGTGTGTGTGCAGGGTACATGTCCCGTTCCTCTTTTTTCTGGGCTTGTTGTCATCTGACGATCTGTCGCGTTTCGGTGCTCTGCGTGTTGTTACTGCTTGTGTTCTCAACGTCTATGATTTGGAAAGACTTTCTTTTTTGTTGTTTTGTTTGCCAAGTGCCTCCACCAACTTTCTCCTCCTCCTCCTGCCTACGACAACGCAAGGGAGTTGATGATCGTTTGACATCCTAACATTTTGTTGTACAGCCAGATCACCCAGCATCGATAATTTACAAAAACCGCATGCACTCGCTCTGTATGAATAGTGCGTTCGAGGTCACGTCAATCTGTATCACGAATGTGTGGGAGAACGGCTTTGGACTGCTATTGGCGTACTGCACGTAGCCAGCCACCGAGACCATTGTCACTGCGACTGCGAGCAAGTAGGACAAAAGAGCGAGAGAGATCCAAGCAAACGAGGTGAGGGAGTCGGCCATCAACCCCAAACGAAACAGCCTGGAGACATCGCAATCACTGCACGTTTGAATGAGTATGCTAGTTTCTTACTGTTTCCAGAGGCTGCGGCAGTGATGGGCTGCGCGTCGTACGAGTGGATTGAGAATCGGCATTGAGGCAGCTGCGCGAGCAATCCGCGGATGGCCTCCGTGCCATAGTACAGATTCCCATTCCACATGACGCTTGACGAGTCTGAATACAATTGCACTAGATTCTGATCTCCAAAGTGCCAAGCACCAAGCACCAAGCACCAAGCAAAGGAGCAACAGCGATGAGCATGGCTTTGTTGCCCTCAGTCTTGCGCCAGTCATTCTCATCATCAGCTCCGCGTCCATCGTGTCTCCGAGGGTCGTCTCACTCACATCGCGTTGGGTTTGGTACCGCTCGTAAAACTCGGCGACGAGGGAATCGCCAGCCACCGCGGCATCGTGAATGGCTTGGCTCATGGCGGAAAAGGCTTGGATCAAAATGGACTGAGCGCATGGATTCTCAGACGGGTCGCGAATCAAATGTCAACGACAAAAGCTCGTGCTTGCAAACATGAAAGGCAGAAAAAACTGTTTCATCATGGCCAGAGTCGGATCACCTCAGCTTGCTGCTCATCACTTGTTTTCGTCTCTTCCCTCTCGCCCACCTCAACCAGTGCTTCCATCGCACGGCTTTGTTGTACTGTATTCCTCAATGATCATACTTCAGCGCGACCTGCATCGCTCGCCCCTGCTGCTGGCTCTTCCACTGGAGTTGATTGCTCCGCCCTCTGAATCGCTCAGACAGACGCTACTCTTTTTTTTTTTTCTTTTTTCACCTGTCAATACAAAAAAGCCACCAAGCTCATCAAGAGCTCTACACACACACACATCCACACACCCACACCCACACATCCAGGCACACATCCCCAGCTGTCGGTAAACAAATGAGCGGCAGCAAGCGCGAGTCGATGGCGGAGCGCGTCCGAACGAGCTTTGGATCGCTCGACAGCGAGCTGCCAGAGAGCCGCCGGAGCAGCGGCAGTGCCTTCTCAACTGACAGTGCAGCAGGGAGCCATCGCGACAGCCGAGGGAGCCGAGGGAGCCGGGGGAGCCGGGAGAGCCGAGGGGAGATCAGCGTCGTTGCACTGGAAGACGCGTCGCGACTGCTGACCCACTCGGCCACCCACGCAGCCGCCGTCGCCGAGTCTGGCACCGGCACTTCTGGCAGCGGCCATGGCAATGGCAGTGTCAGTGTCAGCGTGAGTGGCAGTGGCAGTGGCAGTGCGAGCAAGCGCAGCAGCGCCGCGTCCGAGCTCGATCCCTACGCAAACATCGACCATGTGGACAACCTGGACGGGCGCAACTCCATCCCCGACGTGGCTGGGTCGTACTACACGAGCCGGGACTTCCGACGGGCGACTGCGTCGAGTGATGCTGCTGCTGCTGCTGCTGCTGCTGCGACGGGCGCCCACGCGGGCAGGACCAAGCGGAGGAGCCTGATTGAGCGGATGCGGCAGCGTTTGTCGTGGCGCAGATCGAGCGGAGGGATTCTGACGCACCAGGACCAGGACGACCTCGACCGCGAGGAGCGCATCCAGCGCCAGCTCATCGAAGACGCTGAGGAAAACACTCCGCTCGTCGCTGGCACGCTCGCAACGGTCCTGCTGATTCCAGACTGGGTCGTTGCGGCACGAGTCGCGGCGGCGCTGATGCTCGTGACTGGCTTAGTGCTGACGTGCATTGCGAGCGCACAGCTGCACTTGCTCCAAATGCCGCAGCGCATCATTGAGGGATGCCGCTTTGAAGGTCACGGCGGATTCCTGACCGTCTGCGCGTCGGGGCACTGTGCAGGACAGCCGTTCAACGAGTGCTTTACCTGGCACTCGCTCTTGCACTACTCGCAGCTCATCAACATTTTCGCTGTCGGCTTTGCAACGAGTATGGTGTACATTCTCGTGTCCGCTGGAACGGTTGCAAGGTTACTCTGGGTGCCACGGCGTCTGGATGTCTGGCCGCTCGCGCTGCTGTGCACCGCGGCCGTCAACATTCTCTTTAGCTTTGGATTCATCCTCGTGTTGCAGCAAAACCCGACCTTGCTCTGGGACATTTTCTTTGAGGGCATGCCCGTGCTGGATCTTCCGCTCGACCTTGACTCTGGTGGCGTGTACCTGATTGTCGCCTTCTGCCTCACGATGAGCGCCGTCGCACTCGAGTTGCTGGTCTTCCGATTCCGATGGCGCGTTCACAAGCGGCATACCATCTATTCCCCGATTTTGTAGCCAATGATGTGTGTTGTACTTTGCATTGTTTCTATTGGAAAATGCACATCCGAAGGGGGAAAAGGTTTTTTGATTGGATTTTGTATCAATTTTTCAACATTCAACAAAAGAAGGGAGGTGTTGTTGGTTTGCGCGACCCGCCGAGCTGAAGCAGCACCACGACAGCAACACGTGTCGCTTTAAGAATCAGACGAGTACGTTTGAATTCGGTTGGCGTATGCGCGCGAAACAACGTTCCAGGACTCCATGTACCGATCCATGCACTTGGCGACGCATTGCTTTTTTCATCAATGAATCAAAAAATCGAGCAGGCACACACATGTGAAGAACAGCCAGCCACGAGTGAGTGTTGAGTGCAACGACATCAGCGGGCTCTTGCTTCTCAGCACTTTTTCGCTTACCCGCTCAGACAGCTCCAGCGACGTGCCTGGCTTGACGACGCACTTGACAAAGCACCGTTCCGACATTTTCTACCAACCAACAGGGTAACATTCATCATGTCAGCGTGATGATCCAAAAAAGCCGAGATCTCTGAGTTTTTTCAACAGGGCAATGAATGAATGGCAATGGTAATGGTAATAGTAGCGAGTCCTCCCCTGTCCCCTTCATACTCGGAGCTGCCGCATCATCCACACATAATGCTCACTGATAGTGATGATGATGGTGATGATGATGGACTGTGATTGACCGCTGGTCTCGCTCGGCCAAAGCCCCCAAAGGCCCGAAGCAAAGCCATGCGTCTTGGCAGTCCTCTCCTCATCCCTCCCGACTCAATCACGCTCAGGGGCCCCGTCTCGCGCCTCTGATGAGCTTCTGGGGCTGGCAAACGCAAGGCGTCCTTTTGTTGCGGCCAGAGTTCGCTGCAGTACCTGGAGCAGCTCCTGTGCGTGCGCAACGGCCATCTGTTGGCGCATCTGGTCCATAATCTTGTCCCGGTTCTCACGCGTCAACGACATTGTAGCAATGGAAATGAGAATGAAATTGAATTGAAAATAAAAAAAAAAGAGTGAATGGAAGAACGAGGTGGAAGGATCTATGGAACGAAAGCTCACGATCATGTAACTGAAGCAGAGAGTGCTTGGAACAACGAGATACATTGCAGCGCTGGGGGAGCAAGAAAAGCCAAAGAGGTGGCACTACTATTGTACAAGTAGAAGGAGGGTGACGTTGCAAAAACAACAAAAAAACAGAAACACGGAAGAAAAAAAAGCAAAAAGTGCAACAAACACCTCAAAGAGAATCTTGCAAAACCGGACCTCGCTTCGACTGCGCTGGCTGTGGCTGCTGCTGGGACGGCTGCTGGCTCGAGCCTTGCTCGCTAATGGGCTGGTCACGGCGCAGACGCAGCTCCTTTGGGTACGGGTCCCAGGTGCCATACTTTTTGCCGCGCGCAGTCTCAGTCACGACAGCGTCGTTAAAGTAGGACAGAATGCGACGCATCTCGTCCACAGGGATCTTGTACTGAGAGGCCAGGCGGTTGGGCGTCCACAGCGCTTGGGCAACGTCTTGCTTTTCGAGCGGATCCGTGTCTTCGGTGGCCAGGTAGTGCATTGCGTTCATCGCGCCAACAGGCTGGCTGGCTTCCGATGGCTTGGGTGTGGGAGCAGCAGCATTAGCGGCAGTCGCAGTGGCCCGCGCAATCGGCGTACCAGTTGCGCCGGCAGCAGCCATTTCGTTGCGGCCCGGCGGCGACGTGAGCGTACCTCGTCGCAATTGAAAGATGGCTCGCACCTGCTCGATGCTCAGTCGGCCCTGGACATGCTCGACCTCCTCGAGCAGAATCCGATCGCGCGCCATGGGCAACGCACGCTTGCCAACCGCGTCGACCGTTGTCTGCGAAACGCTTCCTTCCGTCGATCTTGGCGCGACCGAGCTCTGCCAAAAACACACACCCAGAGCCCAAATCCAACAGCCAAGCCAAGCAAGTTAGAATTGTGCTCTCGAAACACCTCGACACCTTGAAAGGGGTGCATAGTACAATGCTTGGCGCACTGAACGGCGGCAAAGTCCCCCAATCATACCCCAGCTCTGCCCCCACAAATGCTCCGCATTTACCTGCTGCTGTGTCACCGTGTTGACCATGAGCTGGTTCATGTTGGCGACGAGCGGCTTGGCGGCTTCGACTGTCTCTGGCGCGACTGCCGAGACGCTGGCCTTGGACTTGGCTCCTGCTGCTCCTGCTGCTCCTGCGATCGCTTGCTGCTGTTGTGCTGCTGTTGCTGCTGATGCTGATGCTGATGCTGCGACTGCGGCTGCTGCTTGTTGGCGAGCGGCCTCCTGAGCGACGCGCGGATACTCGCGCTTGACTGTCTCGCCAACGACCTTTGCACTCGCGTTGCCCATCCCAAACGTCAAAAGTCACTGAGAAATCCACCCAAAAACAATAACAAAACAGAGTATCAAAATAAACAAGAATGATGAGTGACTCAAAGTCGAGTATCTGTATTTGGAGTGTGTTCACTCGTCGCTTTGTATAAGTGAAGTCTCTTGTTTCATCCTCATCCAAGGTTTGATCGATTGATACATGTATCATGATCTATCATCATGACCGTTATCATGACGAGTCTCGAGGGTCGAGTAATTGATGTCTAAGGTGACGACTAGAGTAGGAACCAGGAAATTGAATCAGAATCAAGCGGTTGCAGCCGTCGCATCGGCCTCGGTCGCCGCAGCAGTGTCCAGCGCGAGTGCCAGTGTGTCGTCTGTCGCTGCTGCTGCCGGTGTTGCTGGGGCTGCTGCGGCTGGAGCTGGATCGGCTGCCGGTCTGCCGTCGTCCGTCTCGCCCGCGCTCTCGTTCCAAGTCACTGCCAGGTGCTCAACCACCAAGGCGCGCGTCTCACGGCTGGTGCTTCCTCACAGCACAGTCGACACGCCAGTGTTCATGCCGGTCGGCACCCAGGTACAGGCAGCGCCGTGTTCGATTCCTCATGCTGGCGGCGCGCCTGGGGGAATGATCATCCTCCACACGTACGCCCAGTCGCTCACTTGTTAGAGAATGACGTGATACTACTATCTTGATTATTTGCAGGGTACGATGAAAGGGCTGACCAGCGAGCAGGTCGAAAGCTTGGGCTGCCAGCTCATTCTGGGCAACACGTACCATCTTGGCACACGTCCGGTAAGGTCTGCATTGGAGCAGTGCGCACAATACGGATTGTGGTTTATTTGATGGTGAAGGGTGTTTTTTTGGGAGTCGGGGCCTGCACGCTTGATGCGGACTTACTTTCGTCGGCGGCTTGCTCGGTGTTCAGGGACCCGCATTGCTGCAACAGCTCGGTGGACTGCACAAGTTTATGAACTGGAATCGCTCTCTTCTGACGGTATGGGCCAAACAAAAACCAGCAGCCGATTGATTCAAAAGGGATGCCATCTGACGTCCTCTCTCGATTTTGCTTCTGTTGCATCTCTACAGGACAGCGGTGGCTTCCAAATGGTCTCGCTTCTTGCTCTTGCAGAAATTACAGAGGTGCGATTGCCACTTACCGTGCACTGTTGATGGTTCACTCGGTTTTGTTGTGGTTGCTGTTTTGGAACTCACCAACCGTCAAACAAATTCGCTCTTGCAGGAGGGTGTGCGATTCCAGTCCCCGCATGACGGCAGTATGCTCATGTTGACGCCCGAAAAGTCCATGGAGCTCCAGAATGTCATTGGCGCCGACATCATGATGCAGCTCGATGACGTGGTGAGCAGCCTCATTTCCGGGCCGCGCGTTGTGGAGGCCATGCATCGCAGCATCCGATGGCTTGATCGCTGCATTGAGGCGCACTCGGCACCTCACAAGCAGAGTCTGTTCGCCATCATCCAAGGCGGTCTTGATAACAATCTCCGAACACAGTGTGTCGCAGGTACATTCGTCATTGTATTTCAGAGACGTTCCCCGTCAAGTGGTTGACACGAGACCTTGTTCCTTATTCCCCTTGGACTACGCTTTTCATTGTCTTGTAGAAATGGTCAAGCGTGACCTTCCAGGATACGCGATTGGCGGATTGAGTGGAGGTGAACAAAAAGACCCGTTCTGGCGTGTTGTCGACCACTGCACGAATTTGCTACCTGAAAACAAGCCTCGCTATTTGATGGGCGTTGGGTAAGCCGTTTTCTGTGCTCGGTTGCTTGCCACCGATGAAATGTGACCACGAATCGCTCAGTCCCGGCTTTCGATGACCATCCATAGTTATGCCGTGGATCTTGTGGTGTGCTCTGCATTGGGCGTCGACATGTTTGACTGTGTTTTTCCGACGCGAACAGCGGTATGGCGACCTCCACTGGGTTGTTGGATTGTTGTTGTTGTTTTTTTGTTTCTGTGTGGCGGTCGTTGTTGTTCGTGGATGCCTCGATCGGCTGATTCGCTTTTGATGTCAATGTTGCTTGCTGTTTTTAGCGATTTGGCACTGCTCTTGTGTTTGAAGGCTCGCTACCTCTCAAGCATCGCAAGTACGCCAACGACTTTGCGCCCATTGAAGCCGATTGCACCTGCAGCACTTGCCAAAACTACACGCGCGCCTATCTGCACTCGATTGTCACGCGCGAAGAAGTCAGCTGCCATTTGGTTAGCATCCACAATATTGCCTTCCAAATGCGCCTCATGCGCGGCATTCGGCAGGCAATTGAACTCGACCAATTTCCCGCTTTCGTGCACCGCTTTTTCGCTGCCCAATTCCCCGACCGCAACTTCCCGCAGTGGGCCATTGACGCCTTGCGCGCCGTCAACATTGATCTTGCGCCTGGCTCTGCGCCCAGCTCCACGAGCGAGGCCATGCCTGAGCCCATGCAGCAGAACTAGCGCTGGGAACAATTCGGGCTCTTCCTGTTGTGGCTGCTGTTGCATGAGTATGCCGTGTATTTCTTGTAATACAATCATCACAGACAAAGGCATCTTTTTCGTGTAAGCAGAGCGGAATGGGGCAGTTTTTTTGGCGAAATGGCACGGCTCAATGGTCAACAGCGACCGTTCAATCTCAAACGCAGAGTCTTCGAGGGTGCAGTAGTGCGATTATCCACCGTTTGTGAGACTCCTATGAAAAAGCGATTGTTTCGATTTGTTTGAAGCTTGTTTGATCAGTCAAACAGTGCAAGGCGGGCTAGAGTTCACATTGATCGGCTGGTTTCACATCACTTTGTCTTGCGATCGACGATAAGCGCCTTCAATCGCTCGAAAGAGTTGCTGGCAATCATCATCCTCATCGTCGCCCGGGTCAAGCGCGAGACGGTCGGACATGTCGGCAATGTCGGCATTGCCGAGCGTTTGCTTCTGGCTCCCTTCATATTCTTGTTCAATCTCATTGAATAGATAATCTGCACAAAGTTCGGAGCGGTCGAGTGCGAGAAATGGTTGCGGCACAAGCCATGATCTCGATTCGCTTTTGTTCCCAGTCCGACATCGCTGGTGTCAGCTCACCGAGGTGTTTGGGGCAACACTCGACATGCTGCAACGTGGGCTCTAGTAGGGAATCGATCGAAACGGCGATTGGCGATTGGAACAACAACAACAACAACAACAACAACAACAACAACAAACAACAGCAACAACAAAATGAAGAACGCGATCAAAAACTTGAAACCTCAACCAATTCAGAGTCTAACTGAGCGATTTCGCACGTGCACCAAATAGAGCGGGGTTGCCATGAGGATCTGAACTCTTCTTCAATCCACAGGCTACGATACTGCTCGTCGTGATAAAGATGTGTCATCCCTGCACTCGACCCTCGCGGATCATGTGCTTGCTGCTTGTTCCCAGACGACCAATCCGCGCTTCCTACTCCTTTCGACACTTACTGCTTATTCGCCATCACCTTCCTGTCATGGGAGCAATTTCCTACCTTTGGGAGGTCGCGCTGAGCCAATTATTCTCATTATTCTCGATCTGGCGAATGGATCGATCGGAGGAATTTTTAAAATAAGAACACCTCTGGCGTTCTTCCAGCACCCTCCGCGCCAGGAAGCTCGCGCCGTGCTCGTACTGGCCCCTACTCGTGCGAGCCCAGTGCTGTGCAAGCAATGGGCAGAGCTGCGCGTGCCAGGTGGCGAGAAACAGCGCTCCGGGAGCAACTGCCGATCCTCTGAGAGCAAACCGCAGTTCCGCTCGGGGGTTTTTCAAAGTAGGACTACTTCTGGCTCTTCCACTGCCGCCCATGCCACCGCGGTTTGCACTGTGCCATCCATGCAAGGATGCTGCTGGATGAGCACCGTGCGGAGCTACCGGTGCGAGGTGGCGCACGGACAACACACGGGGGAGAAGCATCGAGCATCGGGCCCTTTGGGAGGAACATCGGGCCCTTTGGGAGCAACATCGGGGATTTTTACATTTCAATGAATCTTTGACAGTTATTCCTACCGTTCGTCATGCCTCGCGCACTATAAAAGCAGATCCATTTTCGGTCACTTTGCTTCAGTCTTCTTTTTCACTCCTCCAAGTCCGCTTGAGTAAGGACCAAAGAGCGGTTTGCGCTGCGTGCTTTCCTTGCATAGTGGTGGCTTGCGTTCACGTTACACTGCGTTCATAATCCTCACGGGATGATTTGGTTTGCAGCTCTCTCTCTCTCTCCTCTCGCAACTACGATATTCTCGAAAATGCCTCACGTCGATCAGGTTCTCCTCCCCCTCATGTTTCAAGTCCTTGCGCGTCGTCTGACAAGAGCCGAAATGGCCAACATCCGTGCTGGAAACAGCTTCCGATTCTCCCGTCGCCGCGTCAAGCGCTGGACTGACGGTCGCCGCTGGGGCCGTGGGTACAGGTTGGCATCCGGCTCGTTTGTTTACAAGGAGATCGACGAACACGGCTCAATTTTGAGGAACGGTCTGACCAAGGTTGTTGGCGAAGACGACGACGACACGAGCGTCCGGACTGTGACTTACTCCAACACCGACAACAACGCCGCTGAGCTGAACAACTTCGTCGCACCCCCCGATTTGTTTGCTCCCCTTCTGAACGCCCACGCACGTGCTAATGATGAAATGCTGCTGCCGCTGATTCATCGTCTGATTGACCTCCTGAACGTCAACGTTGCCGACAACATCAATCCCGCACCGCCCCCGATTGCTGAGGCCCCCGCGATTGTGGGTGCTGATGTGCCGTTCGACCTCGATTCTCTCCTGCTCCCGCCTTTTCTTAACGACCTTGTCGATGACGAGCCCAAGTTTGCCGATCTTTTCATCGACAATGTCAACTTTGATGCTCCTGTCCAGCCCGCTGACTCGCCGATGGCGGCTGGTCTTCGCTTTATGCTGGATTCGCCCGTATTCCAGTGATGCGACGCGCGTAACGAGCCTGGTGCTTTTCGTTTTCGGCGACGCGGAGACCATTTTGCTGTTTTTGTCTGTTTGTTCGTTGGTTTTCTGTTGTTTGTTTTCATTTTTAAGCTTTGGCCGGTGTTAAGTTCCCTGCCTTCATGTTAGCCTGCGTTTGCATATTACACTATTCGGTTGTTTACTTTCACTTGTTTTGGCTTTGAATCGATGAAGTTGAGCGCGAAAATTTCTCGAAACGGCCAAGGTTGGCAATTGTGTTTGTCACACAAGGCCAAGGCGAGGACGAGAGACATTGCATCCATTGATTTCTTGAAACCCCAATCGCATCCGGCAAACATTCTCGATTTTTTGAGCTCAGTCGTCTCAGCTCTCTCTTTGGAGAGCGAGACAGAGAGACAGGTAGAATGGACGCTCAGACATCCCCGTTCAATCTCAGCGAGGGCGTGCAGCACCCACTCCCACCGCCAGAGTCGAGTCCAGTCGTCGACCTCATGCACCCAGAGACCATGTCTGTTGCTGCCCTGTTGCAAGCACTGACACTGCACGGCGTCCCACTCGCTCAGGTTGGTCTCGCGGCAAGTCTGCACACTGGGCACAAACACTCACCACTCTCTCCACCCCGCTGCCACATTCGATGGCTTTGTGCAGGACTCGGAGTCAAACAAGGACGCTCTTGTGGCGCTGTTTCGCCGGTTTGTAATGCCGCGTCCGCAGCGCCAACACAGACGCAGCGCAATGCTCAACGAGCGACAAGCATCGCAAGGATTGTCCTCAAAGTCGCCGCTGTTGCTGCGCATACCAGAAAGTACCAACCACGAGACGCTGCAAAGAATCACGCAGCTTGGATTCCACCAAAGCAAGGACGCGGTGGACTCGAACGCAAACCGAAAGCGAGCCGCCTCCCGCCAACTGACTGCCGCTGACTGCGCTGAGCTGCCCAACACCAACGCAACTGGTGCATGGGTTTCTTGCTCAAATGCACGACAACGGCATGGCGATGCATTGTTGCAGTCGATGCCGGCATCGCCTGCGGCTGACATGGTCATTTCAGCACTGAAACATGCTCGACTGGAATCTCCCAATTCAGAGGCCGACGAGCCATTTACTCTGCCCATACAGGCATTACCGCCAAGCACGCTGCTTTCTGACGAGCATCGGCATGTCGTAGAAAGAATTAGCACTCCATCGCACCCATCCCCAAGGCCTCGGCGCACCAGACGCCTCAGCGATGAGCTGCAGTCTGCGCACCAGCTCTCGCACGCCGAAGCAGCAGCATCGGCCACTTTGAATCTCGGCACAGCCTCTTCCGAAGAGTCGGCCTATAATCTGCATCAGAGCAAGCGCATGCGTTGGGACAGCGCTTCCGAGCAAACCCCCAACTCTGATGCCTTCCATTCTCTGGGCTCAGCAGATACGACCACCGCGATGGAGCTGCAATAGCACTTGTCACCTCTCAAGAAGCACAGAATGACACAGAATTACTCATTTTCCAACAATCCGACACACCCATTATCAATCGCCAAACAATCTTTTGAACAAACACCGTTTCATTGTATCAAACAGTTATTTCAACAAATCATAACAAAACCGAGTTAGAATACACAAATATACTGGAAAGTAGAATCGCAACAAGATCCAACAAAAAAATGCAATCAAATCAAGAAGTGTGGGTGCAAAACTCATGCGTGAGTAACTGGGAAATGGTGGGTCGGCTCTTGGCATCACGTTGGAGACACTTTTTGAGAATGGCGACAACCAGCGGGTCCTCGGCAGGACCAAACTCGATGGCCTCTTTGCGGTTGACGATAGCTTGGAGCTTGCGCACAGGCAACGAGTACGTTTGGAATGGCAGCTTTGCATAGGTCATGAGGTACAGAATGCAGCCAAGCGACCAAATGTCGCTCGAAGGTCTCAGGTTGAGCCGCCCGCTTTCGTTGGCGGCCTGGATGGCTTCCGGAGACATGTAGTTGATGGTGCCGACTTGATGGTCCTGCTCGGTATGCGTCTTGTCGTTTTGCAGTGCCTTTGCAATGCCAAAGTCAATCAGCGTAATCCGGCCGTCAATGAGCAAAAAGTTTGCGGGCTTGAGATCCAGGTGGACAATCCGCTGATCGTGAGCAACCTTGACAGCCTCCAGCATTTGGCGCCAGTAGTGGCGAACCTGCATGTAGGGCAGCTTTTTGACCGCCTTGAGGTAGTTGGCAAAATCGCGACCACCGTGCTGCATGACGAGGTAAATCTTCTGGGTGGCCTCGTCCAACTGCGAGTCATACAGCTGGATGACTCCAGCACACCCAGCAAGGCGCTTGAGGATGCGAATCTCATTCATGTAGCCCTTCTTGGTGGGCTCGTCGGCATTTTCCAAATTGACAATCTTGATGGCGCGCTGTTGCCCGTCTTCGGTGGTGACCGCGTACACAATTGAAGACCCTCCTCGACCAAGCTCGGTTTCGCTCCGCTTGTAGCACACGCCATTCACAACAATCAGATCGGTGCCCGGGACGAGTCCAACTCGCTCGTCTGAACGGACAGCCGCGCTTTGGGCTGAGGCTGGGGTTGGCTCGGGAATGGCAGCGGGCGGAGCAAGGGGAACGAGGGTGACCATGCGACGTGCAGGCAGCAGCTGCTGCGACGATGTGCCTGTGGATGATGCAGCTTCGACAGGCATGAGACCTTGGGTGTGCAAATTCATTCCACCCGTGGTGGGTTGGCTGCTGGACGAGGCTGTTGCCGACGAGGCAGAATTGGACGACGCGGACGACGACGAGGACGAAGACCCAGAAGAAGAAGCAGAAGACGAAGATGCCGTGGAAGAGTACGATGACAGAGTGGAGGCACCTGTAACGCCACTACTTGCTGTGCGAGCAACGCTGCTGCTGCTGCTGCTGCTGCTGCTGCTGCTGCTGCTGCTGCTGCTGCTGGTTGATGATGTGGCTGATAACACGCCAGTCCACCCCGAGTGACCGGTGGATCCAGTGTTGGACGAATGGAACAAACCAGTGCCAAGCCGACCTAGTGGAGTGACCTTGGGCTGAGAGCTGAGCAGGGAGTCGCCGGCAGTCCGTCGCACGAGAGAGTGGGAAAATCCAGTCGAAGTTGACGTGCCAGTGAGCATGGACACATTCATATTGCAGGTCGAGTTACTGCTGCTGCCGCTGCAGCTGGCACTTGAGCTCGTGCTCGTGGCGGTCGTGTTTAGCTGAGAAAAGTTTCTGGTGGATGTTGTGGTGCAAGTCCTGTTGCTCGACGTGGCGTCGTTCAGGTGCGCAATCTGGGAGCTGTTGAGCTCGGGCAGCTGGGAGGCCAATCCAAGCGATCGCATGTTGGCCGTCACTCCCGTGTTGTTCACGCTGATGCTGCTTGTCGGTGCACTTGCGTGCTCAATGCGAGATTGGCTGAAGCGTGTTGGTGCGGCCTCCTCGGTTTCCATCGGAGCGACATCTCGCGCGAGCTCCAACGCAGCCTCTTGGAGAATTGCCGCAGCACTATAGGTCGATGGCGTTGAAATTGCAAATGACGGCAGCGGTTCCTCATCCATTTCCATTGGCGTGGACACTGGTTTTGGCGCTGGCACATTTCGGGCCAGGTCAATTCTTGCACGGAGCTGCTGCAATGATAGACTCGAGCTACTGCTTGCCGACGATACGGGTGCAGCAAGTGCGCTGGTTTTGGTCGAAGCGGCAGGTGCAGACAATGGCAGGCTTTCCAACGCCGGTGGTTGTTGTTGTTGTTGTTGTTGTAGTTGTTGATGCTGTACCAGTTGCTGTTGCTGTTGTTGTTGTTGCTGCTGCTGCTGTAGTCGCTGCTCTTGCACCTGCTGTCGCTTTTGCTCCTCCTCTTGTTGTTGCAATTGCTTGGCGCGTTCAGTCGCTTCGATCTGAACTGCCCGGTGTTTGTACAAATTCAGATAGCGCTTGAAAAGAAAGCAGTCGTCCTCGAGCTCAGTGCCGCGCGCTAAATCCACCTCTCCTGCTGCGAGGTTGGCTCTTGCGACACCATTCAGCAGCTTGTAGTAAGCGTCAGTGCTGGTGGCCATTCTGGCTCCGGCATCCAGTTGCTTTGCGGCAAACGATTCGAGATACTCGAGCTGGTCCTGGCCTCGATTCTCTACAAGTTTGGAGGAGAAACCACAATGGTTAGTATCGTGGTTTTTTGTTGTTCAATTTTCCAGTCTCGCAAACCACATCCAGCAGAACAACAGGTGCCGTACCCCGGATGAGACGAATGCGGAAGAGCTGCGTCCCTTGAGCCAGCGCAAAGCACATTTTGGCACTCATCATGACGCCATTCGAGTGGCTGCTGAGCAGACTCTTCAGATCGACCTTGGAGAAGAGTTCTTCGTACATACTGGCATCATTTCCATGCAGAGAATGAATGTTTTGGAAAGTGAGTGAACGGCGGTTTTTGCCATCAGCGACCACATGCAAAACGCAAAACACCAATCCATGCTCTCTTCCTGGAGTTCCAGCTCATGTGTGTGTTACCTTGAAAGGTACAGATAGTCAATGGTGAGGTCGTCCGTGCGCGGAAGCTTGAGCTGTTCGTCGACGCACTGTCCAGCCGCCGACCACGCTGTCTTGTACGTGTTTGTATACATCTTGAGCTCTAGCTCTTGTCCGATTCGCTCCAGTGCAACTGGGCTTGACTGGGAGACTGCTTGAATCTCTTGAAACCATTGCGTTTCGGCCTTGTCGAGCCATTCTGCGGGCGTCTGCGGCGCTTGCATTGCGCTCTCCATGTCCCTGCGCTCCTTTGATCGGCGATGCAATCTATGCGACGACGAAGACGATGATGATGATGATGATGATCGGGACGATGAGGACGACGACGACTTGGAGCGTCGCTGGAGCAAACGAGGATCGGTTTCGCCCGTGTGCTGAGCATGTGCGTCTCCTCCAGCCGCAGCCGCGAGTCCAGTGAGCTGCGAATGGCGAGTGTGTGATGTTAGTGGTGCGGTGGTTGTGGTGGTCGTCGCAGGAGTCGTTCGGAGCGCACTTGCAATGGCGGTCTCTGCAAAACCGTTAGAGTTTGAGTTGGCAGCTTGGCGACTCTGCTGCACCTGCTGCTGCTGCTGCTCGAGCTTCTGCACCTGCGACTGGTGCGATGAGGCAGCCAGCAGCGTCGCTTTGTGCGTCGTCGATAGAGCTGCCGAGTCCGGGCCGCGGTTGTTGTTACTGTTGGCAGTCGGCATTGTTTGAAACGCCGTTGACAAATTTGAAATTCGCACCTCGCGATTCGAAACACGTTCGCCGCTGCTCGGATTTTCACCACCGCCAACGCTACGAGAAAGATACGTCGAATCCATCGTTGCACACAGAGGCAGATTTTATAACAGGGGGGTAAATGCAAAGTCGGAGAGTGAGCCGGCGGGAAATGAATTGAAAAAAAGAAAAAAAAAGGCGCGAAAAAAAATTCAAAAAGACAAAAACGAAAAAAGAGGAATGGCGATTCAAGCGTGAAACAGGAATGACAGTTGATTGGATAATCGTCCACCAAACGACACACAAGAAACAATGCTCGCTTGCATGGGCGTTTGAGACCTGCGCGAAAAAAGGACGGCTGTTGTGTGTGTGTGTGGGTGTGTGCAGTCCAAGTCCGGATGTGCTCGTCCAAAACTTGAGCATCTGGACGCCTTATGCCTCAAATTTTCGCGCTCAACTTCATCGATTCAAAGCCAAAACAAGTGAAAGTAAACAACCGAATAGTGTAATATGCAAACGCAGGCTAACATGAAGGCAGGGAACTTAACACCGGCCAAAGCTTAAAAATGAAAACAAACAACAGAAAACCAACGAACAAACAGACAAAAACAGCAAAATGGTCTCCGCGTCGCCGAAAACGAAAAGCACCAGGCTCGTTGCGTGCGTCGCATCACTGGAATACGGGCGAATCCAGCATAAAGCGAAGACCAGCCGCCATCGGCGAGTCAGCGGGCTGGACAGGAGCATCAAAGTTGACATTGTCGATGAAAAGATCGGCAAACTTGGGCTCGTCATCGACAAGGTCGTTAAGAAAAGGCGGGAGCAGGAGAGAATCGAGGTCGAACGGCACATCAGCACCCACAATCGCGGGGGCCTCAGCAATCGGGGGCGGTGCGGGATTGATGTTGTCGGCAACGTTGACGTTCAGGAGGTCAATCAGACGATGAATCAGCGGCAGCAGCATTTCATCATTAGCACGTGCGTGGGCGTTCAGAAGGGGAGCAAACAAATCGGGGGGTGCGACGAAGTTGTTCAGCTCAGCGGCGTTGTTGTCGGTGTTGGAGTAAGTCACAGTCCGGACGCTCGTGTCGTCGTCGTCTTCGCCAACAACCTTGGTCAGACCGTTCCTCAAAATTGAGCCGTGTTCGTCGATCTCCTTGTAAACAAACGAGCCGGATGCCAACCTGTACCCACGGCCCCAGCGGCGACCGTCAGTCCAGCGCTTGACGCGGCGACGGGAGAATCGGAAGCTGTTTCCAGCACGGATGTTGGCCATTTCGGCTCTTGTCAGACGGCGCGCAAGGACTTGAAACATGAGGGGGAGGAGAACCTGATCGACGTGAGGCATTTTCGAGAATATCGTAGTTGCGAGAGGAGAGAGAGAGAGAGCTGCAAACCAAATCATCCCGTGAGGATTATGAACGCAGTGTAACGTGAACGCAAGCCACCACTATGCAAGGAAAGCACGCAGCGCAAACCGCTCTTTGGTCCTTACTCAAGCGGACTTGGAGGAGTGAAAAAAGAAGACTGAACCTAAAGGGACCAAAATGGATCTGCTTTTATACTGCGCGAGGCGTGACGAACGGGGAGGGCGGTAGGCTGTACGTTGCGTTGCTGTTGTTGGGAGGGAGGAACCCATGGCGTTGCGTGTTGCTTTTCAAAATCCTGCCAATGGCTCTGCGCTGTCTCTCTGCCACCTAGCACGCGCGTCCATTGCTTCTCCAACCCATCTTTGCATGGATGGCACAGTGCAAACCGCGGTGGCATCGGCGGCAGTGAACGCGCACGAGGTGTGACTCAAGGAGCATGTTTTACGTCGCTGCAAACCTCCGACCGATTAGCTATAATAGGAAGCAGTAATTCGCAATCTTTTCCGTGCCTAATAGGAAACAGTGATTGGCAATCCCAGTTTTGTTCTTCCAGCCAGCGTGCACATGCTCACAGGCCGGATACATCGACACAAGCTGTTGAGAGGAAGAACAGCTCGACCCCAACGTCACTCGGCTCTGTCCCCTGTTATGTGTGCAAGATTGCTTGTGAAGTGAATTCTCACATGAAACACAGTTAATCCGGGCACTCCGCTCATCGGTTGTTTTTGCGGTGGTTCTGCTGCAGACCTGCCGCAACCATTGGATCGCCTCGTTCACACAAAAAGGGTGGCTCAAATTTTGGTGGCGTTCCCAACCCAGATCTATAAGCTCAGTGCTCCATATGCTTTGTATCGAGCTTATCCTCCCTTCAGGTGGAACGGCAAAAAAAAAAAAAAAAAAAAAAAAAAAAAAGTTCAGGAAATTGGTGATCATGAGATCTCACCATGATTGACATAATTCTGTGAGCAGCTTGATGTGACCAATAATAATGATTGGGAAATGTGGTGCTCAAATCAGCGATACGCTCGGAAAAATAGGAAAAGTAGGAAACGCGGGGCATCCCCGTCGTTGTTCGCCAGAAGGCTTGCAGCAAAGCTTTTTTTCTGAGGGCGACATTTGGCACATCCTAGCATTCGCCACCACTTTTCCAAGATCAGCCACTCAAATTGCATAGCTCTTACCATGTAATATCATAGAAATGAAACGCTGGACAGAAGCTCGATTCTGACCCCCCCCCAGAAGAACCTCACAAGTTCGATCACTCCAGCTGAGCTCCATTTCGTCCCCGTTCAGTCGGTGCCAGACCGCGCGCTTTCCAGAATTCATTCTAGATGATATTTACTACCATTGTAGCTCAACAGCGGGTCGATCGCGATGTGCAGCGATGCTGGGTGAAGCTTGATTTGTGTGCCTTTGTTCTGGCCCAAAAAACCAACTTTTCGCCTCTTCCCCCACTCCCCAACAACTGTGTGTGTGTTTTTTTTTTTTTTAAAACAAGACAAACATCATTCTCCCTGTTTGATCTCTTTTCACGAAAATGGACGAAATCCGTCGTCTTCAGGAAGAGTTCCAACGCGCGCAGCAATCAACCTCCGTGAGCCGGCTGTCCGAGCGCAGCGTCGTCGAGATTGTCATGAAGCTGACCGAGCTCAGTCTCATCGACGTTCTGTTCACGGCGGACGGCAAGGAGTACATTACGCCGTCGCATCTGCAGAAGGAAGTCCGCGACGAGCTCTACGTGCGCGGCGGTACAGCAAACCAAACGACACAGCTCGCTCCAACTCACTCTTCCCTTTCGCCCCAGTGGTTCTGCCAGCATTGGCAAACGCTTGGCTCTGTTGCATTTGCCGAGCGGCGCTTCGAAGCGGGCAGAGTGGGACGCGTTGGGACGCAATCTTCTGCCATACAACACACAAACCATCCCATTCTCTGAAGGGGGGGGGCGTTTCGATCGCCGCCGCATCAGAGTCTTCTTCTTGTGCTTAGGGTCTCACTCACAAAAGGGATGTTGATTGGCTTTGGTCAGGTCGCATCGCCTTGGTCGAGTTGCCGCACTTGCTCAACGTCGATCTCACCCACATCGAGGCACGCGTTCAGGGCATCATTGCCGCCGAGCCGCACATCCAACTTGTCGCTGGAGAGCTCATTGAAAGGTATGGCAGCAGTTATTGCAGTACCACTGAACGAACATGAGGGGAAATGTTGTATTTTAATGTGCTGACGAACTTTTCCACGGCAATGGCGATTTGCTCAGCCGATATCTCGATGGCGTTGCACAAGAGATCAACGAATACCTCCAAGCGATTGGGCAGATCACTGTCGCTGATATGTGCAAGCGCTTCAATCTGCCAGTCGAGTTGCTGCAGCTGGTGCGAATTCGACTTTTTTTTTTTTGATTCGCTTTCGTTCTTTTGCGTTGACTGCTCCTGCTTATTGGCTCATCGCAACGCCGTTATGCTCTGATGTGTATTCCAGGAAATCGAGAGACGACTGGGCTCGCAGATTCATGGTCAGCTGGATGCCCAGGACCGTGGCGTCGTGTTTACGCAGGCGTTTGTGGCTCGCCAGACTGCGGCCATCCGCGGAGCGTTCACTGGCATCACTCGGTGAGTGGGAGAGGCCAATTAACCCATGTTCATGACCATGTCTTTGTGCTTGCAACCCAATTATTGACGTTACGCTTCGACTCTCTCAGTCCCACGCCCGTGACTCAAGTCTTGTCCGCTTACAAGTTCCCAGAGCGTATCTTTTACGGTGGGTCTCCTTGGAGTGTTGATTTTTCTCGAGGAACAAACAAAACCTCTTGACTCACCCCTTTGCAATCGTCTTGCATCTTTGTGTGTCCACTCAGTCGTTGTGGCCCGCTTGGTTGAAACCAAGCAACTTGCGGGCAGCTTGCAAGGCCGAAACGAGCGCGCTGTCTACTTCCCCGACGTCTTTTCGCGTACCCAGCATCACTTTGCTGAGCAGTTCTTTGCTCAGAACAACTACATTGGTATGTGGGTGGAACACGAGCGTTTTCCAGCGAATCGTGTGAAGATCTTACTTTTTGTTATTGTTGTTGTGGTTGTTGTTGTTGTTGTGTGTGTTTTGCCTCAGATCACGACACATTGAAGCGCATTGAAATTTCGGATCCTCGCACGTTCTGTGCAACTCAGCTGAGCAACGCAGTCCCCTTGGTGTCTGTGCACGTGAATCAGTCAGTGATTGATCATGTCAACAACTCAATTGTCGAGCTGGTCGAGACTGCCGCGCAATCTCCCAAAGACGCCTTTCTCGACATTTCGGTATGAATTTGATGTTGTTTGGCACGGTCGGGTCTTTTTTTTTTTGACTTGGTGGTTATTTGTAACTAACCCGTGCTCTGTTTTCTCCCCCAGCCTCTCATCCCTGCTCCTTGCTCCGTGGCCGATGCAACGGTCATTCTTGAAAAGTGCTCCAGCTTGAGTGAAAACAGCGACACGCTTCGTGTTCTCGCAGACACGTTTGCAGTTTCGAAACACTTTCTGGAATTTTGTTCGGGTCTTTTGACCAAGTTCCTGGATGGCAAAGCGCACCATGCTCCCTCCATTTTGGCCCTCGCCGCACCTTCAACTCACGTGCTTGAGGGTGCTGAAGACGATGCCTCCGCAGTCCCAGCCACCATTATCAACACTGGCAAAAAGGCACCTGCCGCATCCGCTCCTTCCGCGAAAGGAAAGGGCAAGCGTGGTGCCGCTGCATCCTCGACCGCAGGCAAGGCTACTGGAGACGCTGCTGCGGTCAGCGAGCCCTTCGATGAGGCCGAGGTGTTGATTCAGCTGCAGCTAAACCTCCGCCACTGCGAGGACGCGCTTCTGGAGCAAGTGGCCCATGCTTTGATGCCGTCGCTTTTGGCGCAGTACCACGAGTTCTTGAAGCAAGTTTTTATTGTCAAGACTGCGGAGTTGGAGGCACAGCAGCAGCAGCAGCAGCAACAACAACAACAACAACAACAACATCAACATCGTCATCAACAGCAGCAGCAGCAGCAGTCAAGCAGTTCTGTGGACACGCACACACCCAGTGCAGGTGCTTTGGGTGACTTTGATTCCGTTCTTCAGTTCACGCTTCAGCACATTCGATTGTTTGAAGCTGGCATTCGATACTTTGATGGTATGCACGCGAGCACGCGAAATCCGCGAGAGAATTTGTTTGATGGTTTGTCTCACTCTGATTTTTTGAACACTTGTTGATGCAACTAGCTGCAGCGGCAGGCATCCTGAGCAAGCATCTGCTCAAGACCCATTGCACAGAGCTGGTGAATTTGATTACTTTGCGAGCTGCTGGCAAGCCGTTCGACGCGGAGGCGGCGGCAGCTCTAACGCCCGAGGCACGAGCAGCCCTTGCAAAGTCGGCGTCTCCAGCAGCCCAAACCGCTCTCAAGCGCTTGAATGAAACTTTGAATGGATCTGTATGGTTCGGCACGCTGGTGGTTTTCGGTTGCTGTTTCTGGGCGTCTCACTCACTCGAGTGTGGTCTTGCAGTCTGTCCCAGCGTTCCTCGAGAACATTGCCGAAGCTGCAGAGGCATGCGAGTACTTTATCAAAAAGCAAGACAAGCGAGGAAGCGTTCGCAGGTATGTGTGCTTGGCTCAGAAAAGCGTGGTAGTAAAGATTTTCTCGCTGGCAGCTGCTCATGCCTTTTTTGGACGACTATTTTTGTTTTGGTTTGTTTCGTACTTTTATCAACACCAGGCAAGTCGCGGCCGAGTATCTTGCCGTGCTCGAGCAGCGCCTTCGGGCCGCGGACGATCCGGCTTTGGTCTTGCACTTGGCCGTGGTCATTCTGTTTAGCCACACTGCCCAAGCCCTCTTGCATGCTCCTGGTCGTGCCGTCCCGCAAATTATCACCTGGCTGGGAAAGCACCTCCAGGGCATGCCCGATACGGCTGCTGCATCGGTCGCCGAAGCATCCAAGAAGGGCGACGACACTCGCGGAAAAAAACGCGACAAGAAGAATGCCGATCGCGAGGAAGCATCCAGTGCAGCTGCGTCGGGGTCTGATGCTGCGGCTGCTCCACCTGCCGGGTTCCGTCTGTCGAAGGACGATTATGCCAATGTTCTCGCGTACCAAAAGCTCGTGATTGACTTGATCAAGAGCGAGGGCTCCTCCGAGGGCAAAACTTCAGCGGGTATCATTCGAAATGACTTGATGAGCGGCATGCAAGCCATCAAGGAGCTCGCGCCACCTTCCTCGCAGCTGGAATGGTCGGACTAGCTCATGCATCCGAGCGTGTGATTTTGAGCACGCGTTGACTTGAAGTCCACATCGAGCGCCAAATCGAAAGGCAATTTGACGAAACTGTTGTTTTGGTGTTGTGTTTTTTTGTTTCTTTCTTTTACAACTTTACAACAACAACAACAACAACAAAAAAAGCCATCAGAAAACATGACAACATGGCGTGGCATACACTTCCCCGATAAAAACAAATGATAACAATGGATGGAACTGCTGGTGTTACGAAGGCCCCTTTCTCAAATTTGCCGGCGACAGTGAAGTGGCGGCAGCCACGACTGTACTTCGTGCATTCGACGCGATGGTATTCGCAAGGGACGAGCCGCGAGCAGAGAACGCAGTCAGGAGTTGTCGTGCTTTGGCGGCCTTTGTTCGCGGGGCTTGCGCCTCAGCCTGCTGTTCATTCTCGAGCTGCCGCGCTCTTTGCTCGTCAAGGTACATTTGTTGAATCTCGCGCTCTTGCGTCTCGAGCTCTTGCTGCTCTTCAGCGAGGACAATATTCATTGTTTCAATTTTGGCGGCTAAGAGTTCGACGTCGGTTGCCGAAAGGCCCGAAAGATCGGTGTCGGCCAGAGACGGCGGCGCTATTGCCATGTGTATTGATGAGGTTGATAGCATCGGAGAGTGGCTGTTTGTTGCAGTCAGCGGAGGATGATCAGAGGATATTGGCGTGCCGCGGGACGGCGGCGTTTGCGGTGATGTGTGTGTGGGCAAATCAAAGCCGGAATACGACGAGCCAGATCGCAGAGGGGACTGGAAACGGGAGTGGTTGCCAGAGAGTTGCGGCATGGACACCGAGTCGCCGAGCTGGTGCATCTGTGGGGCGGAGCTTGCGCTCAACGCAAGCTGCTGGTTGAAGGATTCCACATACAAGTCGAGGGCTTGGACGCGCAGTTGCTCCTGCTCCTCGTCAAACGCTCGCCGCATGACGCTCATTTTGCGGAAGAAGTGTTCTGCGTCCTCGTCCGTGTTGAAGAGCGCCACGGCCAGATCGCCGAGTTGGATTTCGTCCGGGGTGAGATCGGTGGCATCGCCATTCCACGCGACCCAGTCGGCAAGGGTGAACGGCTGCTGCATGTCGCGCGAATCCGTCACTGTACTAGCATGTGCTGCGGCGACCTCAATCTGAGCCTCTCTGAGCCGCATGTTGACCGAGATTGCCAATTGCGCCAGAATGCGCTTGTCGCTACTGAGTCCGCTCAGCTGTCGCTGCGCCTCGTCTGCTGGCGCCAGCAGCGGCTGTGTCGCTTCCATCGACGTCAGATACTTGCCAAACGGCAATCGGGATGATGCTCCGCCGCCCAGCGTCGTGACTGCATTCCATAACGAGACCTCGTTCGTTGTCGGAGCGCCCACCATCGGCTGCGTGTCGCGCATGTCAGCCGTCGGACCAGCGGCATCGTGCATGTGCTTGCTTGGGGGCTGGTCTTCGGCACGCGAGACGCGTCCAGAGCCGCCAACCGCGGGGAGGCTGCTGTGGCTGCTCAACAATGCAATCTGCTGCTGCTGCTTTGCTGCGGCAATGTCCTCGATGCGCACACACAGCGCAGGCTGCAGCTGGGGCATTGCCGGGTGCAATGCGGGCTCTACGTCGAGCATGGGCTGCTCGCAGTCCGCGGCGGGGGTCTCGTTCGGTCCGCTGGGCTGCTGCTTGACGAGCGGCGGTGACGCGGTGGGCGGAGTCTGAGCGCCAATCATCCACTGCAGCAGCGACGGCCAGCCGCGCTCGATCTCGTCACTAAAAATGCAGCACACGTCCCACCATAGAAGGCGGCAGGGAAGCGGGGGAGGGCGGGGGGGGGAGGCGAAGTGAGCGACAATGTGTGTGGAAGGATACATCCAAAGGGCTACATGTATGCGTTACATTGCCACGGGAAGCCCATCGGCGTCGGGGTCGGTCGGCTGCAGCAACCAACGCGACATGAAAATGGGGAGCAGTGATCAAAGATTAGAGAAGAAGAGCAAATGGGAGGCGGGGAAGTTGGGAAAAGAGAGAGAAGGATCTGGGGGGCACCCGACAAGGTGGATTAGGCAGATCTGAGATAGGAAGAATTATTGAGCACTGAGCTGGGCAGATGGATGGGTGTAACTGAACCATACATCTTAAATACTACAATAGTAATACAGCAGGCGACGTGAAAATGCAATCACATCATTTGAGGCGAATTTTGACCCCGTCAGACCTGCATGGTTTACTGGGCGGTTTGAAACGCCGCGCCACGGATGGTTGCCAATTGCGCCGCGATGGCGGCATCGGTATTCAGGGTGGGCCGACTTGGCGAGGGCGAAATGCGCAGGCCATAGTCAGGAGAATACTGCTCAAAGAAGTCGTGCTCGGGAATCGATCGAGCGAGCGGCTCGAGCTCCAAGATGGCGTGCGCCGTGACGCTGGTAAAGCATTTCGCGACAGACGGGGAATGGTAGCCGCCGCCGCCCAGAACCAACGTTGGTAGCTTGCAGGCAAGCACGGATTGAACCGCTTGCTCGACGCCAACGGGAGTGACATTGAAAGCCGCGTACGGGTCTGTCACAAGCGTGTCGACACCGCATTGCAGAACGATGACGTTGGGTTGAAAGCGCTCGTGTGCAAGCTCGACAAGCGCTTGAACAATGTGCGCCAACTGTGAATCGGTCAGGCCATCCGCCACAGGGAAGTTTACCGTATAGCCTTTGCCGCGCCCGCGACCTGTGTCTGACAGCACTCCAGTGCCAGGGTAGAAGCCAGGCGCGTGTTTGTGCAAAGAAACGCAGGCCACTCGATCCGAATGCTCAAAAGCGCGCTCGACGCCGTCGCCGTGGTGCAGGTCAATGTCGACGTACAGGACGCGGTCGAATCTTCGTCGAAGGGCGAGAATGCCCAGCACGGCGTCGTTAACATAACAAAATCCAGCTGCACAGTCTGGCCGCCCGTGGTGCCACCCTCCATGCCAGTTAATGGCGATTGTGTGTGCTTCGTTCGAGTCCATGAGCAATTCGGCAGCTGTTAGGGTCGCGCCAGCCACCGCCTGAGCGTACTGGAGTGTGCAGAAATGCATGCAAAAGTGAGTACACTTTGCAGTGCTTGAGCGGGCCATCGCAGCACTTACCTCGTATATGCCAGCAAAAGGAGGACAATCGAGTTCGAGACCAAACCGCTGTGCTCGCGTTTCTCCTATTTTGCGATCATTCCGCTCATCGTCGCTCGATTCTTCGTCCGAATCTTGCTCGGGGCAGCCTTGTTCTAGAAATTCAATGTATTCTCGGGTGTGAAACATCATGAGCTCGTCGGCCGTGGCCAATCGAGGCGAGACAATTCTATCAAAGCAAAGTCGATCGATATCAGCAGTAAGCCTTCTTGTAGCATGCCAACGAACACTCGAGTGCAGATCTTTACTGAAGATGCTTGTGCAAGCCATAGGCCTCCATTAACGTTGCGATCAAGATTGCCTGTGTTCCAGTTACGGATTGGATCAGCTTTGCTGTCAATGAAGTTGAGCACTTTTTTGAAGCGACAGACTCACGCGTTCTGGCATTCTGGGCAGTCTGCTGCATGCTCGAATGTACGCGCCAGAGTGTACCAGAGCCACTGAGCGGCGATCTGACCCTGCCGCTGTCGCTGCACTCGTCTCGCTCTCGCTCCGAATCCGCTTGTTGTTGGTCTCTGTGCACGCTGCTGCATCGTCGTCCGCCACTCGTTTGGCCATGATCTCGAAACTTTGGTGCTCAAAATGGTGCAATTGCACGACAACTGCTCGAGGCTCAGTTTGCTCAGTTTGCTCAGTTTTGCTGAGAATTGGTCGTTTTTGGGATTAGTTTCTGAGATTGAAGACTGACAAATGCATGCGCTTTCCAATCCTGTTCACTCTTGATATTCTTCTTCTTCTTCTTCGTCTACTCGTTGCACACTTCATTTTTCTATGACGCTCGCATTGTCGAGGTTTGAGCAGGAGGACATTGCAGCAGGCGTTGCAGCCAACCTGCGCTCGGACGGCCGCCTGCGCACCGACTACCGCCCGTTCACCGTCGAGAGCGGCATCGTGTCCAACACAAGCGGCTCTGCTCGCGTCCGACTGGTGCGTGTGTCTCGGTTTGAGAGCGAGAGAGAGTTGCTTGGTCAATCCAATCCAATCCACATGTGCTTTGCTGGCTGACTGCTTTTTCACCCCCATTGACCTCGCTTCACTCAACTCCTGACACTTCTGACTACGAAACCTGAACCTGATACGAGAGCAGGGATTGACGGACGTGCTGGTCGGCGTCAAGGCAGAGATTGGCGAGCCAGACCAAGCAAAGCCAACGCAAGGCCGCTTTGAAGTGACGGTCGACTTGTAAGCAGTTTTGTTGGACTTGCTTGAACTCATAAGAGGCAGTCGCTGTAAAGCTCATACGTGCACTCTATTGGATGCTGTTTTGGATCGCAGCTCGTCGACATCAGCGTCGGCTGCGGCGTTCGACGACGACAACACAGAGACAGAGCTGGCTTCTGCCATTGCACGGACACTCAAGGGCGTGGATCTCTCTGCGTTGTGCATTGTTCCAGGAGAGCAATGCTGGGTGATTTATATTGATGCCTTGGTAAGATGCCGTCGAGGCACTTGCTCCAGCGACCACATCTTGTTGAAGCAGCAGCTGTTCAACTCACCTTTGCGCAAATCCTTTGACGACGACGACGACGACAGATCCTTGTCGCGGCTGGTAATGCATATGATGTGTTGTCACTCGCTGTGAGGGCTGCTTTGGCAAACACACGGATACCAAAGGTGGAGGTTTCGGACGATGGCCATGGGCGAGTCGAGCTCGAGGTCTCCGATGATCCTCATCATGTCACCGAGTTGGACATTCGTGCCGTCCCCGTAATTGTCACACTTTCCAAGGTAACTGGGCCTGTGGCGGTGAATTCTCGACACCGAGAGTTCGTCTTCCTTTTTTGGTTAAGAATGTTCACTCACGGCTCAACCTCCCCATCTTGCCCACCACAACTCTTGCTCCATCCAACTGCTGCAGATTGGCGCATTCCATATCGTGGATGCAACCATCGAGGAAGAGAGCTGCGCAAAATCGCGTGTTCATGTTGCCGTCGATAGCAAGGGCGCCTTCTGCATGGTCACCAAGGCCTCAGCAGGAGGCATTGAGCCCCAGCTTCTCTTTGATGCTCTTGAGGTTAGTGCCATCAACGTGATTCGATCCTGTGATGACAGTGCGCAATGTGCATTGTTTTTGTTCATTTTTTTTTTGGTTTTCCTTGGCTTGCTCGTTTTTGTTTGTTTGGGGTGTATCCGCTCAATAGTCCGCCAAGCAGGTCGGTCAGCACTTGTTATCACAGCTTGAAGCAACTCTCAAGCAAGAGGAGCGGGCGCTGGCAATGTTCCCCAACTCGCAGCGCGGATTTTTGACGGATTTGCAGAGTGCCACCTAAATCAACCCGCTCATTAGATTTACTTAATTGTGTTCTCGTTGATACATCCACAGTGCGACGATTCATAAAGTAGTTTTGAATTGATGTACATGTGCCGCACAGGGGTGCCAAACGATCAAACAGTTTTTGGTTTTGCACCGACAAAGACACCTATTGCCGTGGCGGCGGAGTAGCTCCTTGAGCAGTGGGGTTTGATGCAGCAGCCTTGGCAGCATCCAGTTCAGCCATGAGGGAAGCACGCTCGCGCTCAGGAGCGTCGGCGCGGTACTCGCGAATGGACTGGATCAATCGCTTGGCTGCATCTTGGGCCGTCGTGGTTTGTCCGTAATACGTGGCAAACTTGCCTTCTGGGTTCATAAAGTATTGAATGATGGTGTGGTCAACAAGGTAGTCGTCCGCGGGGTTTTCGGGCATGCCGGCACTAAAGTAGACACGGTAGGCTCGGGCGACCTGGTGAACCTCCTCCGTGGTGCCCGTTAGACCGACAATGCGCGGGTGGAATGCTGCAAAATAGAGTAGTTGCCAAGAGGGTGTAGGTGAGTGTTGGACTGGAATCGAGAGGAAAAAAAAAACAAAACAACAAAAACAGAAAAACAAACAAACAAAAAACTCGCTCGTGTACCGTTCGCAGCAAGGTATTCTCCCATAATCTTGGCATTGTCGCGCATCGGATCGACGCTGATGAACAAGGGCGTTACAACAGGGCCAATATCGGGCGTGTTGTCTACAAAAAAAGGAACGTCGTCAAAGTAAGTCAGCAAAGATTTACAACCCGCCGCCATTCTGTGCAATCCGCGCTCCACAGCCACTCGCTCGACTCACCGATCGTGTTGACAATTTCGGTCATCTTGTCAAGCTCGTCGGGGCACACGTCGGGGCAGAACGTAAAGCCAAAGTAAATCAGCGTCCAGCGCCCCTTGAGGTCCTCCTCAGTCCAGCGCTTGCCATTGGTATCGACTAGTGTGAACGGGCCTCCGATCTTCGGGACGCCCAATCCTCGGTTGCGTTTGGCCTCGAGGTTTGCGCGATGATTTGCGCGCTCGCTCTGAAAGTACATGACCAATCCTGCACCAGCGACGGCGAGCAAGCCCAGGCTGACCCAGGTGACTGGCTGTCAAGCGTTTGTTTTTTTCCAATTCGATTGTCCAAATGAGTGCTTGTCATCATCGTCCATCGTCATCGACCGTCATGGAAGTGTGAGGTTGTCTTGGCCTGTCCTGGATCCACACAGATCGCTCTTCTCGCTCGCCTCGCTCTGTCCTCTCTCTCCTCTCTCCAACGCAAGCGGCAATGGATTGACTCGCAATCATCCATATGTGCCCTGTGCCCGTTTGGGTTTGGAGGGTCGACCGACTTACCCCTTTGTTGAACTCTTCGTTCTTGCCACGCGTGTCCCGGATGAGCTCCGCGTTGCGGATTTGCCGCGCTGCCTCTTCCTCAAAGCTCAGCTTGTTGCTGCTGCTGGTGGCTTCAGATGGCTCGCTCTTCTTCGGGGGCGCTTCGTTGCTGCTCGCAAAGCAGCGGCGAGCGAGCGATGAGGTCGATGAGACTGCCAATGGCGATGGTCTGCCAAGTCGCACTGCCGAGAGCGCGAGCCGGGACAGCATGATGTTGAATAGCGAGTGAAGAGTGAGATATTGACTAGGAATAAAATGAAACCAAATTAAAATTTTGACAGAGTGAACAATGGCGGGGAAAAAGTGGATCACTCTCAGACGTTCTGAAACTGCTCCCGATTCAAGGCAAACAGACAACACGGCCAACTAGACAAAAGAATCGGAATTTTGTTAATACTGTACAATATCGACACCATGACAAACAAACCAGATTGTCACAGAGACAAAAACACGCGCCAGCGCAACAAAACAACAACAAAAAACTGAATAGAACTTGTGGCAATTTCGCACAAGCCTACATCAACAGGAACAACAGCAACTTTGAGAAACAAATTCAAAACAAGATATAAATCGTAGCCCGACGAGAATGCCGCGATGGGTTGGTCGCAGACCGAAGACCATGCAGCAGCAGCAGCGATCGGATTGTTCCGGGAGCAAGTCTTACGACTCGACAACTTCAATTTCAGGTGTCTCGGACTGCATTTCTAGCTCTGTGATGTCTGCCACAAAGTTTTCCTCAATCACTGTGTGTGAACCAGCTTCAGGCGTTTCGACGCTACCACGGTCTGATGAGCCCGTTGTGGCGGCGGCGTTTGACTTGCGGTTGCTTGAGGTGGTTGTGAGACCTGCAGCAGGACGTTGCAAGTGGTCAGTATCAATCAGAACAAACAACCAAGCAAACAAAACAACAACGCCGAGCGGCAGGCCTACCCTTCTTTTTGCTGGAAGGGGTGGTGCTCACTTCCTTTTGTTTGTTCTGGTTGAATTCTTCAAGGAAGGCCTCGGGATGGAACAATCTGCGCAGGCACAACCAGAATATCAAGAGGATGAGCGCGTACACAAGATTGGCGGCATCACAACAACAACAACATCATCAACAATAACGAAAATAGAACAAACACTGACCGGCCGTAGATGGTGCGTCCAACAATCGTCCAGAAGCAGACATTAATGATGAAAAGAATGATCATGGCAGCAAGAACACGGCCCCAGACGCGGAGTTGCCATGCGGCAACAAAAATAACGCCGTAGACCACGACGCAGGACACAATGCAGGCAAAGGCGATTTTGGCCTCGCGGAACTCGTTCAAGAATTTGCGAATATTGCGGAGCTGGTAAATGAGAATCTGGTCGGAACGAAGCAGCAGAATGAGTCACTCGAGCTGTGCAGCAAACATCAATGGCCCGAAGCTCAGGTGTCTCTTACGACGCAAGGGACCATGTAAGCAACAGACACTGCGAACACGCCATAGACTGCGTAAGTGTCCATTGTGCACAGCTTCATGAACGGACCCTCCAGTGTTGGTTGCGGTTCAATGTAACTCGCGCCAATAGCTGGGTTGTTGCAAAAAACCAAAACAAACAACAAAACAAAACAAAACAAAAAATGGATTGACTCGAGTGAGTACGCAGCCTGCCACTGCGCTGGGATGGCTGTCGTTCAGTTCCGAGAACATACCGGTCATGGCGATAAAGAAGATCAGGCCGGGTACGGAAATGACAGCCAGACGAGTGTACATCCACACCTGAGGGTGCTTCATCGAGTTCATGCGCATCTGCGTCTTGATCAGAATGACGTAGAGCCGATACATGCGAAGGATGATGCACGAAATCCACAGAAGGGCGCCAAACACGAACTGCACCCACTGTGAATCGCCCCAAAAGGAGATGCAGAGACACAAACATCAGAGGTCTTGGTTCATGCCGGCAAAAGCACCCCGAACACCCTTGCAGAAATCAGGACAGCATACCCAAGACCAGAAAGCGCATTCAAGCATGCCTCCTGTTTGTGGAATGATTCGAGTGGCGCTGATCGAGGGAGCAGAGTTAGTGGTGGAAGAAGGTCAAAATATCAAAACCGAAAAGTCATGTCTTACCTAAAAGTGCCAAGAAGCCAGATGAAGGAAGCTGTCGCACGTCATCGAACAAGATTCAAAAAATTCGCGCAAAGTGAGTGCGACAAACAGTTCAAATAGGGAGCAACCGCTGAGTGTTGGAGGTTTGGTGGAGGTGGGTGTGTGCGGGCAAAAAGGTCGCGACAGTTTTTTTCAAGCCGCGTTAGCTTCCCAACTTTTCGTTGCGTTGTCGGCGTCGGCTTTCAACGAACAAAAGGCGACGTGAGCATGACGCTTCGAGTCCACCTCCGTTTCGCAAGATCATGACGAGGACGTTGTTCAGCATTTTTAAAAAAGAAAAATACATAAAAACAACACAAGTGCTAATTGCCAATTGGCAACAAAAACACAAAAACACAAGACAGAAAAACCCCACCACGCAAGCGATCAGCGAGGACAAGCGAGAGGGAGATGGTGGGGGTGGTGGTTGAATGCATTGTGAATGGTGAATGGTGGCAGCGCGAGGGGCGCATCGGAAGAGGGCGGAGCATTCAAACAACCGAGAGAAGAAGCGCATTCGAAATATCCGTGGGAAAAAGGGAGGGAATAAAAACAATAACAAAAAAATATAAAAATAATAAAATAATAGAAAAAAAAACAAACAAAAAATAATAAAAATAAAAATTCAAAATAGGAGCACGCGACGCACCAAAAACACCAACGACGGATGCTGGGCGCAATCGCGCTCGCCATCTCGCGCTTTTCAGGGGGGGGGGAGGAGGGGGCTGTCGTGTACTCGCTGAACACTTCCACCCATCCTCAGACAGCAGACCAGCAGTTGGCTCTGCTCGCCTTGTAAAAAACAAAAAAATACGACGATGCAGATTTTCGTCATTTTAAAAACGTTTTTTGCTGGACGCTATTGGCGCGCGATTCGCTGCACATCTGCTGGCCCTTGCTCAACGACCGCGGCTGCATAACGACGTGAAAACACACCCAAAACACCTGTTCGACCACCCCGTGTCAATGTTGCGGTTGCGGTGACCTTGCTTTTAATTGATGTACTGCGGACGGGGGGTGCATTGACCTATCACGTTGCAGCCCGAAACCTCCCCCTGAATCGCTTGTGCATCACCAAAGGAGGCCGTGACTGCCACCGATGTGCAACGAGAATGAATGCAGCAAACGCATGAAAAGCGATCGAAGAGAGAAAGAGAGAGAAGGCTAGTTCGAGATGGTTCCGCCAGACGAGACTGACGAGCAAAGCCCAATCCAAACCCACCCTGACCTTGCCAACCGCACCCTCGCCCTTCGCGACAAGCACAGGTGCACACACAAGAACCCTTCCCCCCTGCAGCCCAGCAGCCGCTGGAGAGTCACAGAGCTAGAACCCACCAAAAAGAAGAAGAAAAAAAATGCAAACAATGTGTGGTAGTGTGACCCGCGCTCGAAAACACTCTCGATTTGTCGCGGCGCTTTATTCGCTTTTGTTTTTCTTTTTCAGTCTGCGAGAGGACGAGGACGAGACGGGGCCGCGAGCCTGGCTTACCGGAAGTGGAGATGATCAAGAGATCGAGCTGCTTGGCGCGGATGGGAGCCCAGGTGCGCCAGTAGACCAGGTAGCTGATGGCAATGAGGTTGACCACAATGTTGACGAGCGCGAGTATCATCATGGCCCAGTCTCCGCCCGTCGGGCTGCCGTCGAGGTTGACCTCGACGGGGCTGAAAGTCGAGTTCGCAGTCATGTGTGCGTGTGAGTGTGTGGAATGGGGAGAGGGTGCAGAGGAGGTGCTAATTGGGACCAAGAGCGGAGCGAATTGCGCGAGATTTTCTTCTTTTTTCAAAACAAAACGGAAAAGGGACTGGGCTTTTTGGTCATCAGTTTCAGATTTAGCCACCAAAGAAATCGCGACCATCATGATTGACAATGAGGAGTTTATCTGTTTCCTCTCTCCCCGCTTCCCCGCTCTCTCTTTGGAGTAGAATCATCAGTGAGGCTTGCTTTTTTTTTTTTTTTGTAATGGGGTTCCAAACGGGAGAAGCGCTTCAACCGTTTTGGTGAGCAAAAAACAACAACAACAACAACAACAAGAACAACAACAAGCACAGCTGTCAATGAGATTGCGTTGGTCGACGAATCCACACTTCCCAGGGACCCGCTCTGCTCCTCTCCAAGATCTCGCCTTCCAAGCCTCCTAAAACCGTGATCTAGTCGAAAGAAATTAGACTTGTGCAACGGCTACAGGCGGTTGCGACAATGGGACTGGTCCACTTTTTTTTTTTTCAATCTCAACCAGTCTTTTTTTTTTTTTTTTTTTTTTGTTTTTTCATCGTGAGTTTGTTTGTTTGTTGTTCTCGACTCCCCACTTGTTCACACCCCCGTCCCCCACCCGGCATTAGTCAGGCCGTAGACAGCAGCAGCATCCACAAACGCCATCCAGATGCTTTGGGGTTCACATCGCTCGAAGTGCTGGTCTTGAAGAAGGCGCTCGTTTTTTTTTTTTTTTTTTTTTTTTTTTTTTTTTTTTGCTTTTGCTTTGGGTGGCGCAATCCGCCTCTTTCCAAGGAAGACGGAGGGGCAGGTTGGCTCGTTGACTAGATTGCTGTCGCGTGTTTGTTGCAGCCAGGCATTGAGCTCTGCGACCCTTCTGGCCGCTTGGTGCAGACAGCGCCCCTTTGTCAAAGGTGTCTGTCAAAAAAAAAAAAAAAAAAAAAGCTCGCCCACTGGTTTTGTTCCTTGACGGACGGAAGCAAGGCTTGCGTACGCCGGCCACCCTTGCTTGGCTCGAAGACACGACGTTCGAGCCTCTATGGTGCCTGTGCCTGGTCGTTCGACGGCAGCACTCTGGCGTCCCTTGCGAACTGAAAGGAGCGTTTGATGACGGAAAAAAAAATAAAAAATAAAAAAAGCCAAAACGTTCGCTTTGCGCTCGCGCTCTTCCGTTTTCTGCGAGTTGTGCACGCCGGGCCGCTCCCTGCTGGCTGAGGCTTGGCGTCAGAGCAGGACTTGTCCTTGCTTTGCTTGACTTGCCTTGAGCACCCCCGCCCTTTTCGTTTTTGGTTATTTATTTTTGCTTTTCCACCAACCGTCTCTTTTTTTTTTTTTTTTTTTTTTTTTTTTTTTTCCACCAACACCATTCGCATCTTTTCGCATGGCACATCATCCCTCGTCTTCTTCGGCGTTGGTGGTTTTCTGTGGGGTTGGTCCTCGCGTCTACTTTCCGCCTCTCTCATACAAAGTAACAAACCACGCGATGACGGCGCTTTTTTAAACAGCAATCAGCATTAATCTTTGATTAAAATAATAATAATAATAATAATCAAAAAGCTCACAACAAACCGCAGCCTCCAATCGTTTATTTATTTTGACTTTTCCGACCGTTTCCGATGCATTGGAGCCGTCATCTCGGCTGCTCGATCTCTCCCTTTTTATTGCACACACACTGTCTCTCGATCTCTTGCTCTGCCTTTCGTGATGGCTGCGGGTCCGTTCTTTTCCACCGACACTGTAAAACTGTGCTGTTGATTTTTTTTCTGTGTTGGTTAATTTTGGCAACTCCCTTTCCTTTTTTTTTTTTTTTTCTTCCGGTTTTCATTGTGCCTTGTGGTTTGGTCGAGCGGTGAGTCTTTTTCCCGCAAAGACCGATACGGGGGTGCGAGGCCATTATCGAGGCGATTCGACTTGATGATTTGCGTGAACGCAGCCAAGCAAACGGTGTGGGGGGGGGAAGGGTTTGCTGCGTTTTATTATGGGATATCGCGTTTTGGTGTTGGATGTGTTAAAGAGTTGGGACTTTGTCAACAAACGAGATGACACTGAACAACAAACGCCAACCACGCGTTCGTGGGTTGGACATGATAGAAACGTTGCTTCTCTTACTCAAAGATAATCGCTTTGGGGCCCCATTGAAGAGGAGCATGCGAAGCGGTGTATTTTTGGTTTTTTGGTGTCGGGCGTTGTTTCGTTGTTTCGTTTTTTTATTTTTTTTATTGGTTTCACGTCCACTCACGCGCTCGTTCTTCTTCGTTTCCTCATGACGAAAGAGCGTACGTGACGCAAATCCCATGCTACTACAACCCTCGCTTGTTTTGTTTGCACTCTTCTTCTTCTTTTCGCTGCGCTTTTGTTGCCGCCCCCCCCCAATTCTTGATTCGCTTTTTTGTGTGAATTCGCTTTTTGTTTGTTTACTGTTTGTCTTGTTCTCACTTCTCCATCAACTGTGTTGGGTTTGACAGACTACAACACTCATTGGGAACAGGAGACACACCCGTTTTTCGCTGCTCGGTTTCACTGTTAAAATCAAGCCAAACTCAAACACTCGTGTCGACGCCTTTCCCGTTTTGTTCCGTGGACGCACGCGCTGTCTGAACTCGAGCCATGTCGCTACTACGACAAGACAACACGCTGTTTGTCAATGTCATTGAGGGCAAGGGCATGCGTAACGGCGAGGTCAAGGACGCCTACTGCACGATTCGCTTTGACGACCCCAAAGACCTGGTGCGAACCCAGACCCAATACGGAACTCCGACTCCGGTTTGGGGTGAAGAGTATCACTTGTAAGTTGGGCTCTTTTTTTTTTTTTTTTTTTTTTTTTTGAAACGCTTGCTTTCTGCTGTTCTTGTTGAGCGCTGACAACACTTTGCCTCTAACTTTGCCCGTTCTCGCCGCTTTTTCATTCTCAGCGAGGTCTATCCGAACTTTCAAGAACTCTGCCTCGTTGTGTTTGATCATCCAGACTCTAGCAAAGCGGACGGTCGACCTGTCGGCAAGGTTTGCGTCTCAAAACAGGCTTTGCGGGCCGACCCGCAGGAATGCGAGCAGTGGTTTCCAATGACTCGTGTTGAGGACTACCACACCCCTGGCAAGGTCCAAGTGCAGGTTCTGAAGCGAAAAAGCAAGAACGGTGTTGACATTGACGTTGGCAGTACGTGAATCTTTTTTTTTTTTTTTTTTTTTGCGCGTTTTATTGTTTTGGTGTGATTTGCAGCACACATTCTCACCTGCACATTGTCTGCTTGCATCTCGTTTGCTTTTTTCAACCCGACGTGAATTTTCTTTTCGTGCAGTTTTGGAGCTTCGAGCTTTGGATGGCGCCCAGCTTTACGACACTTGCAGCACTTATTTCGAAGTGGCCCTCTTCCGACGAAACCAGCGAGTGTCCAACAAGCTCCGCACTGCCACCGCCAAGCACATTCCTCAATCGTACATTAACGAAACATTCGAATTGTAAGCAGTAGCGTCTCTCCCCCACCTTGCCCTCGTGTTCCAACGCTCACTTTTGCTTGTTTCCCCCCTTTTTCTCCCTTTTCGAACGAACAGCCACGTTCCAGATGACACTGGAATTGAAGTCAAAATCTTGTATTACAAGTACCACCGCTGGCGGCCGAATGGGATGCTTGGACGATGTGTTGTGCCCTTGAGTCAGATTCCGTTGAAGGTGCCGCTCACCGCGTTTTACGACTTGGAACCCAAGTCTTCCCCTGAAAACAACGAGCTAGGCCTGCTCAAGTTCAAGTACAAGTACACGGTGCGTGCTTTGTGTGGTTTGTTTGTGCTGTGTGCTGGAGCAGCTTGCTTTTGCTCACTTTTATGATTGAATAACAAACCAAAACAGGAGGAATTCATTCTGCCACTCCAAGAGTACGAGGAACTGCTGGACTTGCTTCTCGATGAGCAGCTTGCCGTGATTATCGCGCTGGGAAAGCTCGCAACGGATCGCGAGGACGTTGCGCGCACTCTGCTGCGCATTTTTGACGGCAAGACCGTGACACCAAAGTACGTGCGACTCATGTACATGCTGGATATCAAGCACACTGTTGCGGCCAACGACGTCAATTTGCTCTTCCGTGGCAACTCGATTGGCACCAAAACGGTTGAAATGTACATGAAGCTCGTTGGCCAGCAGTACTTGACCGCCGTTCTCAAGCCGTTGATCAAGGGCATCTACGACTGCCCTCAATCGTGCGAAGTCGACCCTACCAAGCTTGCGCCAGGCGAAGACCTTGCGGCAAACCAAGAGCAGCTCCGGAAGCATCTCAGCCACTGCTTTGAGGTCATTTTCGCCTCCAAGGACCGAATCCCGCCTCGCTTCCGCGAACTCTTCCACGAAATGCGAAAGACGGTCGCGGCTCACTTTTCCGAGGCGCGCGTGCCCATGCATGCTGTCAGCGGCTTTTTGTTCTTGCGCTTCTTCTGCCCTGCGATTCTTTCGCCAAAGATTTTCAAGGTTCACGATGGTAAGGGGATTTTTTTTGGGAGTTTTTCGTGCTGGTGTTCATGGGCGAGCTGCTCACCTCCTTCTTGTGCATCAGACCATCCGAACAAAACTGCCAAACGCGCACTCGTTCTTGTCGCCAAGCACATTCAGCGCCTTGCGACGCTCACTGAAGGCAGTGTGGGCAAGGAGGACTTGCTCCGCGAGTCTGAGGAGGTTCTCGAATCGCAGCGCCAAGGGATGTATCGATTCATTGATGCTCTTTCGGTAAGCGCTTGTTTTGGGACGTGTCCGGGAGCGAGGCGGGTTTCTGCATGTCCTCTTGCTTTCGAGCGAAATTCTTGCATTATGCTCAGGTTAAATTTTGCCCTCTTTGCTACTCCAGAGCGAACCGGAGGAGCTGCCGCCTCGCATCGGCCTGAACCTCGACCTTGAGAAGGAGCTGGCCTGCATTCATCGCCACCTCAACCGTACTCGCGACAAGCTCGAAAAGTACCACGCCAGCCATGAAGGAGTATGATGTTTCAACGAATCGAATGGCTGTGTCTTCTTGGGCTGTGTATCTGGGTATTGACGTTTTTTCGTTTTTTTTTCTTGGCTTTTACAGTTGAACATTGAAAAGCTTTTCCCAGTGTTGGACAAGCTCAACCTCACTCGTGATGAGCGTCTGTCTGAAATGCAAGCCATGCAAAAGAGCGCCGAGTGAGTTTTTTGGATTGTGTTTGATTTTGTGTGGTGGACTCTTTGGCGCGGCACGAAAACTCAGCACTCACACAAACATTCTAATAACTTTAACAGTGAGGACTCGCGCCCGCGACTTCGCAGCATGTACACGAGCCTCCCAACCACAACACCAACCGGCCCGAATTCGTCCGAGTCTCGCTCCCGCTCGGCATCTGCCTCGCTGCTTCAGCTTGATAAGATTGACGTGGCTGAGGTCGAAGGCGCCACTGCCAACTAAACTGAACGAAGCTGGCCCCTTTGTAGCAACGCTTCGACGAATGTGTTTCTTGTTTTGTTTTTCTTTGTTTTGTTTTTGTGAGTGTGTGTGAGCGTCTGTGTGTCCCTTCTTTCTAAATAACCCACCTCCTTCTTTCCTTTTCACTCTTCTGTCGTGCAGTGTGATACCTACCGCTGTCGCTGCTGTATTTTGGTGTGCATTTTATCCAATCCTTGCTCAACTACATTTTTGACAAATAAAGTATCGGTGACATTGGAAATCTATTGTGTCGTTGTGCTTATTACAATTCCGCATGCACAACTTGCTCCTGGTCATCCTCGACATCCTCCAAAGCCTGCTTTGATTCGGGAAGTGCTTCAATGGCGCTGTCCAGCAACTGCCATAGGGACGAGAGAATGCGCTTTTCGCCGAGCCGCAGGACGACAGCGTTGACGGCATTGGCATTAGGAACGGACTCTGCATCGAGCTCCCGAAGCATTGTTTCGTCTTCCTGTGGTTGTGTTTGATTGAGATGGATGAGCGACCCACGACAGCAGGAGGAGGAGGAGGCGGACGACAAGACGTCAAAGATTCAAAAAAGCACTGCCTGCGTACCTCGATTGTCGTAATGTACTTCAAAATCATTTCATTCGTGAGTTGCAGAAGCAATTCCAGGGCGCGGCGCTCGTTGCTCGGATTGATCGCGCGATGCTACGCGGCAAAAGCACGCAATCAGGTGAGCGTCGTTCAGGCAAAGGTACATCAGAAACCATCCTTGTTGGCACTCACCTCTTTCATTAACTCGAGCACATGCTCCAGATCACTCAGATCGCTCGGGGTGCTGACGTAAACGCGTGCAAAAGCAAGCAGCTCTTTGGGGATGCTTTCGAAATGGTCGAGCACTGGAAGTTGAAGGCGATCAAATCTGCCAAACAAAGAAGCCAAAAATGAGCCAAAAGAAGAGCACCATGGGCTCATCAAAGACACACGAGGGCAGATGACTGACCGGTCCAGCGACATGGCCATCAGGAGACGCATCTTGGAGTCGTAGGCCACGGCAGTCTCGCGCAATTTTGGTATTGGGAGCGCAACGAGATCCGACGGATTATTCCTGAACGTGACGCCGTAGTCCATGATCAACTGGCCGTTGGACAGTTGCTCGGCGCCACCGTATGGGGTCAGTAGCTACGCAATGCCAATTCAAACAAAGAGGAATGAGCAAATTACAAACTAAAAGCAAACAAACAAACAAGAAGATCAACAGTCCAGCTCGCGCCATACCTCTTGGCCCTCAGCAACAGGACGAATCGTTGCACACTCAAAGTGGGTGCTGTCAAGGTTGGTGGCACACTCGACGTTGATTTGGTCCGCAGGAGCAGTGTTGAGCAAGTCGGCCAAGGGCACCAGACACTTTGTCCGTTCCCACTCGCCGTCCGCGGGATGCTTGACTTGCACGGTAATCAAGCGAGTGAATTGCACGGCCATGGCCCACAAAAAGTCGTCGACAGTGATGAGTTCAACGGGAAATTCGATTTCGGCGAGGTGCGCTGGTCTGTGCTTTGAGATTTGCTCGCGGTACTTGCCTACAAAAATCCAATCGTTTCAAAAGGAGCAGGATGTTATGCACACGAAAGGAGGGTGAGTGCGATCGCAGCTCCTGGCCTCTCATGTCCGCCACGTCAGTGACATATCCCCCCCCCCAAAAAAAACCCCTGCGTACCAAACTTGTTGCGCATCTTGACAGTGCGGCGGCTCGTAAACTCGGCAACGGGACTCGCTTGCAAGCGCTTCATTTCAAACGGATCGTAAAACATGGTGAGCTGCTTGATGCTTGCCGGGAGCGACTCGAGGTACGGGAGCCACGGCGACGCTCGTTCCGGGCGAGTGAGCTCGTAGATGAGCCAGAATGCCATGGCCTCGGCATCCGACAGACGAAAGTCGTCCAGAATCCCTCCCAGAGGGCTGGCGCTCGCGTGCTCGACGTTCAGGAGGAGCGACAGCGGGACGCGCAGGACGGTCTCGCCCGCAGCCAGGTCGCGCAGGGCAAAGACGCCCCGTCCGGCGACTCCGGGACGGCCATCAGCGTCGACGTGCTCCTGGATGTCGACGCCGTGCATCTCAGCGCCACCTCGCGCCAGGAACTCGCGGAAGGCCGGCAGCTCCGATTGCTTGCGGCCGAGTCCGAGTCCTGGATTCGTCGTCGTCGTCGTCGTCTCTGCAGCACGGGCCATTCCCGCAGCAGCAATAACAGTCAGCACTAGCACGGCCACGCTTGCCCACTTCATGGTGAGGCGAGTCATGTCGGGGGCAAAGTGTGTGTGGAAAGGACTCTGAATGTGGATGACTGGACCCATTTCCGTCCATACAAGCCATCGCCACTTGTACAGCATTCGTCTGAGTTTCATGTAATGCAGCTTCTAACAATCTACATGAATGCTTTGCGTCTCAGTCAATCTTTTTTTTTTTTTTTTTTCCCTAAGTTTTTCTCAATGCTCGCTCATCATCCTTCCAGCTGGACTACGGCAGCTTATTCCACCACTGTTGCTGCTGCTGCTGGTCCAGCGGGGTTCTCGACGCCGAGCGCATCGCCTGCATCATCGTCACCGTACACTGCGTCGCTTGGCTCGTATGCGTCGCCCGAGGCCTATCACCAGCAGCAGCAGTATCAGTATCAGCAGAAGCCACTGCTGCGTCGAGTTGAATCGCCACCGCCGCTGCCATCGCTCTCCGTCTCAACGCCCGAGACACAGCGTACATCCACTCGATACTGTTGCATTGTTGCTGTTTGGTTGTTTTGCTGTGGCTTGAACGAGAGTGGGGAACGACGTTTCAACGCCAGGACCGAATCGAAGAAAAAAGGCCAAAAAAGATGAAGCAAAAAAGGCGCCAAAAATTCAAATTTCGTTTCTTTGCGCTGAGCTGAGACAAGCGTTTTGACTTTTTGAAACAAAGTGGAGCCCAAAGTGGAAAGTCCACGCTTCTTTGACAAGGAACTCACACCAATGAGTCGAATTGCTTGGAACACAGCGGTGATTGACGCGATTGCGGCGCTCAAGGAAAAGCTCGAGCTCTTGGAGGCAAGCCGACAGGCGCCTGCGCGTATCCTGGCATCACTGGGTCAGCTCAAGCTTGCACCGTGCACACTCGAGTCTGCTCTTGCGCGGCCAGGTTTGTTTGACCGTGGTTACGAGGCCGGCGTGTATCTCGCGCCTGAAAGTTATGCTCGCCAGCAGCTGCAACAGCAGCCGCCGCTGGGACGCTCGGAAGCCATGTACACCCCGACCTTGGTGGAGCGCAACACACGGGCAAACGCCGGAGCGGCTCAGCCCTCAGCAATGCCTCGAGGGGTGATTAGTCCGATTGGAGGGGATCAGCCAGCTCAGCTGGGCCAGCGGGCGTACCAACACGCGTATGGAGCAGCCGGTCCCACCCCGCGTACAACGCCGGATGTGCCACGAATTCAGCAACAGCAGCCACAACAGCAGCCACAACAGCAGGCACAACAGCAGCAACAGCCACAGCAGCAACACATTCCTGTTGCCCCACCTGTTCAGAATCCACAAAACGGAGCTGCCGGCTCTACGAGGCCCATCGCAATGCCCGCTCAAGAGCAGGCTGCCACAAATTATCCCCAAGTCCTCGAGCAGCTTGCAGAGGAGTCGCGAAAAGTCCAGCGGCTTGAGGTGAGTGTTTTTGGTGTTGTCCATTGAAAACTCTTGCCAACTCACCCTGATTTTGGTCTTATGGGTAGCGCGATGTCGCTTTGTTGCAGCAAACTCAAGAGCGTTATCAGTTGCAGTTTCAGCAAATGCAGCAGCAGCAACAGCAGCAATTACAACAACAGCAGCAGCAATTACAACAACAGCAACATTCTCCTCCTCAAAACGCACAACAGCAGCAACTACCGACTGCTCCGGGTGCATCGCTGTCTCACGGTGTGATTCCACAACCTGCTGATGAAACTGATCAGGTTCGTCCTTGGTGTTTTTTTTTTTTTTTTTTTTTTTTTTTCTGTTTTTTAGTTTTATATTCACTGATTGCTGACAAATCATTTGTTCTCAACTTGCTGCCTTACCTCAGACATCGGTACTGTCCTCGGACGAGCTTCGGACTGCGCATGATAACGTGTTGCGAACTCTGCTGTCCGCACGCAATCTGGAAAGGGCCGCGGAGGGTCGACTTGCCGCCGGACCCACCCACAAATCACCGCAGGTTCCGGCAATGGCAAGCTTTGACACGCCATTACATCCCAGCGACCTCGACGGAGTGATCGCCGCTATGGAGGCCGAGTGCGGGCAACTTCAATTGTAAGTTTGATGCCAACCAGCAAGCAAGGATTCCTATTTGTGCTGAAGAACTTTTCATTGTGCATTGACGCTCACCTTCCTCGCACATTCCTCGATTGACAACAGCGAGTACAGCGACATGAGCGAGGTGCTCGAAAAGGAACGGGCGATTGGCAAGGTGCTTAGCGCGCTGACGATTTCGCACGAGTTGCAGCGAGTAGGCGCCGCTCTTCACCGAAAGGCCGAAATGCTAGCACAGCTTCGCCGTGCCCGAAAGAAAGCTCGCAAGGAGATGATGGGAGCGGATGTCTCGTCCATTTCCTCGTCCTCCTCATATTCATCGTCGTCATCCTCGGCATCAAGCGCCTTTTTGTGAGTGCCGTGGTTCCTTTGGAACTCTTGCTCACTTGGGTGACCAAACGACCTTTGCTATTTTTTTTTCTTTCAAGTTAACAAAACCAATTCGAATTGGGGTTTTAGGGTTTGCCGCACCTCTCTTCTGGCTTCTGTTGTGCAGGATTGATCCACAACATCTCTTGTGTTTCCCATGATACCATCTCCATGATTATTAAAACTATGACTATTATGACCAGCTCTACAGTACTGTACATGCGATTTTCACCAGTGCAGCCACTTGTGCATGACGGCGAGGCTTTTCCGCTCCATTTTATCGGTAAATAGCTCGCCCTTAAGATGATCGACCTCGTGCATGGCAATGCGGGCACTCCAGCCACTGAGTTTCAGTGTCTGCGGTGCGCCGTTGCGATCCAGGCAGTCAATCGCGACGTGTCTCGGCCGGAAGACGATCGCCTGCATCCCAGGCACGGACAGACAGCCCTCTGCGCCTTCGACCAGATCGCTGCTCGCCCTGAGCACGCGCGGATTGACCATGACTGTGAGTGGCACTGCTTCCATCTTGTGCGTCGCGGCCATCTCTGGGGTCGCCTCCGCCAAGTGCTTTGCAGTGAACTCGATGCACGCGATCGCGCGGTTGTCGCCCAGCTGGACTGCCGCAATCCCGACGCCCTCCGTCCGCCGCATCGTGGCAATCATGCGGTCAATCAATGCCTGTGTGGCTGAGCTGCGCAGCTCGTCGAGCGAGACTTGCCTGTGATTTTCAGACCAGTCGGTCAGTCATCAAAGCCAACCTGGGCATGGCGAGCCGCCTCTTCCTCCGCTGACCACCATTGCAAAGAGATTGGAGAGTCGTTTGCTGTTTACCGAGATGGCAGGCGCAGCGAGTCTTCTCCGATCGCGAGCAGTCCGCGGTGCCGCAGATGCTCTGGCAGCAAGCTCAAGTAGCGCAGCGCTCTCAGCAACATATGCGCACGCTCAACAATAAGGTGAAGATTGAAAGAAGACTGCAAAAACAAGGCAAAAGATGGAGAGGTCTGAGAGAAGCATAGCTCGACCAAGAGTGGATTGATCATCGTTTAGAAGTTGTATTTGTTACATCCTGTTGTTGGCAAGGGTTGCCAACGTAGAGCTGCCAAGCTTGGTGCTTCTAGGTCTCTGAGTCTCATGCTTCAATATAGAGCTCAAAGCTGCAGACAGAGCTCCTCCGGCCTCCGTGCGCAGATCTCCGGCTCATGGCTCAGGTCTGCGTAGTGCTGGCGTATCATACAGCAGTTCAGATGCTGGATCTCATGGCTCAAGTCTCAGTGCTCGGATCTCAGTGCTCTGTGCTCAAATGGTGAAAACCCGCTCAAGTCGAACGAGCACCACAATTCAAAAATGCTTGTCAATCGCTACTTGGCAGTCGCTCTCGGTCGCACGAGTAGCAGCTGCGCACGCTTGACATGAACGAGCTCTTGCAAAAATTCATAGATCTGGAATGACACCAGCAGCCACACCGATCGTCATGAACAAACAACCAAAAAAAAAAAACAAAAAAAAAAACGAGCAGCAAGTCAGTACGCCTTCTCGCTTCAGCCACCTCCATCAGCCCAGCCAAAGCCAGCATGCCAGCCAACGCCAGCACGTTGCTACAACAGCTTGTCACCTCGTCGACGGATGCAAACGCCTCGGGCTCGTCCAGCGTCGAATCCAAGTTGTAATAAACGCCAGCGATTTCCCGAACCGCAAACCAGTGCCGTGCGCCAAACGCCAGGAATGGACGGTCAATGTTTACAAAGATGCCAAACGGACGTGGTGGCTGTCGCTGGCTGCCCTCGCCTAGGGCGGACGACGGTTTGCTGTGGCTGGCCGCGGTGCTTCTTGAAACGAGCTGTTCCTCTCGCTGGTCCACCTCTGCCTCGAGACAGATCTCTCGAACGGGTTTCCTGACATCAAACCACTTGACTTCCATGCCCATAAACACCTCGACCGCCGCAGCGAGGACGTTCGCGTCGTAATTCCCAGTCCCGAGCACCGAGCGATGCGGATTTCCCCACCACCGCCCAATGCGCTCCGTCCACGAGATGGAGTCGGGCTTTGTCATCGTCGAGTCATTGTCATCGGTTGAAGTCGTCGTCGTCGTCGTCGTTGCGGCAACAGCAGCAGCAGCAGCAGCAGCGTCGCAGGTCGTGGCATGAAGTCCAGCTGCAATCTGCTCCAAGTCGGCTCGTGTGCACACCTGCTGCTGCATCTGCCAAACACAGACCAACCACGTCATTCAGTACGAACACGCAATAGTCAGACGAGGCGTTAGTTGGAAGAACAGTCCATCACAATGCATTGGGATGAGTTACCATGTTGTTGATGGCGTGCATTGCGCAGAGTTGCATGGATTGCTTCTCATGGTAGATTGACATCGAGTAGTCTAAATACAAGACAAAAAAGCAAGACTGCAGTATCTCACTCTTGGTATTGTTGTATCACCGAATTCACAAATGCAGATGGATACATCGACATCCTACGACGCAGGTCTGCTCGCAAGCCTGCTCTCCCAGCACCATCCTGCACAACAGGCATCGGCATCATCATCATCATCAGACACAGCCAACGGACAGCTGGAGCGGCGCGCAGAGGCGTCCTACGCGAGCTTCAACGAGCGCTTCCAAGTCACCCAGCAGCGCCTGTTTGAGCGCCAGTACTCGCACATCTACTTTGACCGCCTCCATGCGCTCAAGCCCATTGTGCTGAAGCGTGCACAGGATCGCTGGACCAAGCCCGCCGCAGGACTCCGTGAGCATCAGCGACGGAGAGACGAGATGAGATGGTTGTTGCTTGCAATGGATGGATTTTTGGCGGGAATTCTACACCGATTTTCCCGCCAGAATCTTCTTCGTCCTTCCCAGCCGTCTTGCTCGAGTCTTCCCCGTCTGTCCATCCATTTGGTCATTGTATTGTGCAATTTCTCATTGGTGCTCCGGTCTTGCTCGTCTTCTTCCGAAAACACAACATAAAACAGCAGCTCCGTCGTTCGTCAACCAGCTCGTGCATCTCGAAATCGGAAGGCGCTGCTTCGCTGTTGGCACCTTGTACAAGGAAATGACACTCAAGCCAAGCATCTTGAAGGAAATCGCAGAGGAGGTAACAAAGTTGGACAACCGGCGCTCAATCCTTTCGTCTTTGAGTACTGACATCGAAACCTGTTTGTGCTTGTTGTTGTTCGTCTTTTAGCGCGATCTCGTGCCACAACCTCCTCGAGCAAGGTACACGTCGGACGACGACTTTATCGTATTGGAAGACTCGTCCGGGCGCGTCCGACTCGGCGGCAACTTTCCCTCGAGCGAGCTGGTGACTGGCGACGTTGTTGCTGTGCTTGGCACTGAGCAATCTGGTGGCGAGTTTGTCGTCGAGGAGTGGTTGATGGCTGGCCCGGCGCCGCAACCTGCGTTGGACACTGCTTCGCGCATGCGCGGCGATGAGCTGGATCCGCATGTTGCGATCGTGTCTGGGCTCGAACTCGGCAAATCCGACCAGGATCCGCTCGCGCTCGAGCTCTTGTCCGAGTTTCTGTGCGGTAATCTGGGCGGAGAATTGGTGAGAGACCATCGTACTTTGCAACTGTGTGTGTGTAGTGAGAGTTTGCTCTGGACCAACTTGGTTTTTTTTTTTTGCTCGCTATTGAAAACAGAACAAAGACCTTGCAGCAAGCGTGGTGCGGGTAGTTGTGGCAGGAAATAGTCTGTTTAATCAAAAAGAGCTGGAAGAGGCGTCCAAGGTATGTACTGCTTGTTGCTTTTGGTCTCTCGGCTTGTGAGATTTGGACTGACTTTTGTTCTCACCACTACTGGTTGATTCGCTCCGGGTCTACGTTTAGCCAAAGTACATGGCCCGCAACGCAGTCTCGCTGGGTCTCCAGACGACGCAGCAACTCGACTCCATCCTGAGCAACATTGCGTCAACCTGTCCCGTGGATGTCATGTCAGGACCACTCGACCCGACCAACCACATTTTGCCGCAGCAGCCCCTTCATCGTTGTCTTTTCCCACGTGCATATGCCTTGCAAACATTCCAGACAGTCCCCAACCCATATCATGTTGCAGTTGACGGTGTGCAGTGAGTTAGGAACTGTTTTTTGGACTCGGTGCTGTTGACCGTGATGTGATTCTCACCATTCCCGTTTGTTTGCTTTGCTTTGCTGTGATCATTGTGTCTAGCATCATGGGCACGTCGGGCCAGCCCATCGATGACATGATCAAGTTTCAGATTGGCGACGACCGCCTTGCTTTGCTTGAGCATACGCTGCAGGGCCGACACCTGGCCCCAACAGCGCCAGACACCCTCGGTACACATGCGGGGCAGTGCAATGTTGTCCCGCAAGATTTGCCTTTCTTTTTTTTTTTTTTTGCTCACTCTGTTGTCTGGTTTTGTGACTGCCGTATCTTGCCCTCCAACTAGCATGCTTCCCGCTGAACGCAGACCCGTTCATTTTGGAAAGCTCACCGCACGTCTACTTTGCGGCCAACCAACCAGAGTTTGCGACGAGTGTGCTCAAGGGCGAAGACGGGCAATCGGTGCGCTTGGTGCTCATCCCAACATTCTCCACGACCCAGACCATTGTATTATTGAATCTCGTCACGTTGGAGTGCACGCCGGTGTGCTTCCGAACTATTCCCTGAAAAGTTGGCGACGAAATAAAACAAACATTGAGTAGTGCGTTTATTTCCACGCAAGCTGCACATTTGGAAAGCACAAGCAAAAAATCAGTGAACCACAGGCGTGGTGCAGGCGCTGCGGTCTCGTGGCGAGGCGCAATCTCGGGAAGTTGCTGACAGTGGCAAGAATGCCATTGCACTCGGCGCCTTGATGGCCTCCATGGTGGCCAAAAGTGCTGCATTGGGTTGTTCAGACGAGCTCGAGGCCTGGGCGTACTGCGTCGCATCAACAAACATGAGCTTGTCAGACGCGAAACTCGAGACGGCAAGCACACCCGAGGGCAGCAAAACAACGTCGTGCGGCTGCGGGCAAGAGACGACAGTTCCAAGCCCTCGGCCAGTGGAGGCGACAAAACGAACCAACGAATTGGCACCTTTGCTGGTCACGAACAGCGCGTCCGCCGGATGGCCATCCTCTGCCGATCCTGCCTGGGTCGAGGAAGATGAGGAGGAGGAGGAGGAGGAAGAAGAAGAAGATGTGACGACGAGATTCGAAGGAGCGCTCAACAAAGCACCCGTGGCAAGAACCGAGAGAGGGGCGCCGGTGCGTGCATTCAGCGCGACAATCGTGTTGGTTTTCGAGGAGCAAACTAGCAGTCGCTCCTGGTCGGCCGAGAAGGCCATGCCGAGCGGACACGACAGTGGCACAGAGCTGGTACCTCTCGCAAACACATCCTTGAACGCGCCCGTGATGCCATCAAACCGAACAATCACGTCGGCGCCAGCATCGCTCACGAGCAAATGCCCGTCGTGTGGAGAGAAGATTGCACGCGCCGCACGAGAGAACGTGTAGTTGGAGGTGAACGGCTTGAGCGTGGCCAGGTTGAGAACTTGGCCAAGCTCAGAGTAGACGGCAAGTACGGTGGCACCATTCGGCAAATCACCTTCGGAGGAGGAGGAGGAGGAGGCTGCTACCGCCACTGCTGCTGCTGCTGTACTTGCGATCGCAGCGCCGTCACCCGACGCATGGCGGACGACAAGCGAGAGCGAGGCCTTTCCTTTCGGCGAGTCAGGCACAGTTCGCCACACCCAGCGCGTCCACGAGCCCGTCTCGGTAATGTCGTAGCGCAGAATGTTGCGCTCGCTAGCAACAAGGAGACAGCCTGCAAACGGCGTGGGTACCACTGCGCCGATCTGCGTGGAAAGCTGAGCTGAAGGTGCAGGCAGACCCATTTCGCCTCGCGCGAGCTTCCACCCAAGCGAGCCGGATTGCCTTCCGCGCAGCTCTTCGCTCTTGAGCGCACGTGTGGCTTGCACCGCAATCACGCCGGCCAATTCTTGGTTCTCGGCAGCTGCACGACTGGCAAGCTCGAGCGCTCGCGGACTGTTTGCAGTGATGCGCATCCGGGTCTTCTGCTGCGTGTCCAAACGTGCGACGACACTAGAAAGTGCAACTTCGTCGCAGAGCGTGCGCCGGGAGCGCACGCCTTCAGGGAGATCAAAGGTGCGGGTGTAGCGGCGCGTCACATCACGCACTTCGTCCTTTGAAAAGGCAATCACGTACGAGAGCTTCTTGCCCCAGCCAGTCTCGTACATGAGCGGTGTGTCGAGAGCGTTCTCGCAGGGGTCGCAGTGCAGCCATTGTCGGCGCGCGTTCGAGTACACCTCGGTCCAGACGTGGTCGGTCCAGTCCTGGACGTGGCGCGCGTCAAAGTCCAACGCACGGCAGCACAAGGTGAAGCAGTTGGCCCACTCTCCGCAGCGGCCACGGCGTGTCTCGAGCAGCTTGCGGGGGTGGTTGTATCGCGGAAAGCGCGAGACGTGCGTGCACTGGCGGCATTGGTGCATCTCCACCACCCCGGCCAGGTCTGCCGCTTCGCTGGCGTTGGGACGCGCGGCCCCTGCATTTTGGGTCTCTGTCGATCCGCATCGTTCACAGGGCACGCTGTTCACCCAGGTGAAGAATTCCGTCTTGAACCAGTGCAGCAATTGACGCAGCAACTCGTCGCGTGCGTCTGGCTGCCGCTTTTCATCTCCACTCTGCTCCGCGTCGCGTGCCCGCTGCTCTAGCAGCTGCACTGGAATGACTGCCAGCGCGGCGTCGCGTGTGGCGGGCTCTTCGTAATAGTAGACGTGTCTCGCGAACGATTCGCAGCGACGGGTGAGTTCCGTCAAGCCAGCCGGGTTGTGGTTGTTGGCAGCGAGCTGCTGCGTCAACCGCTGAGCCAGCTGCTGGGCCATTCTCTCGTGCGCCGTCAGAGCAGGAGCGGCAGGGGTAGGAGCAGGGGCAGCAGCAGGAGCAGGAGCAGCAGCAGCAGCAGTAGGTTGGGACGCAGATTGGGTCGGCGGTCCGGGCCTCACCATCAGCAGAATGCGCTGCCCGTTCGTCACTCGATGCTTGGACAGCAAGTCTTCTTCCTACAAGAATCGAGAACCGTCCACGTCAACGTCAGTCTCGGAACGCCAATCTGAAGCCCGAGCGAGTGTTTGATGACCTCATATTGGGCTCCCTTCATTTCCTTCATAGCTTTACCTGGGCTGGATTGTTGCCAATGCCGACCAGGATCTGGCGTTCTGGCTCAACTCCAGTGACAGAGTACACTTGCGTGCGGAAGACGGTGACAGAGTCGTGCTCGTCCGCCTCGAGCTCGAAACTGAAGGCATTTCACAAAACGGGACAAAACGCCGAAATCTGAGCAACCGAGCTGTTGCGCCAAGCATTACAAGTACATTACCAACTCGTCATCACACGACCCAGATATGCGATGGACCAGTCACACTACTCTGGGGGGTGGGTGATTTTGCTTTACTTTTCGTTCTTGAAGACAATCACAAGCTTGACCATTTTGAATTGACAACAAGGATTGAGGACTGGCAAAGTGAAGTTCAGATTATCAGACTGCTACTACAACGAGCACAATCAGTACATGGAAGCATGTTGAAGCGGATGACCCATCAACCTGGTCTCTGATCCGATTACATTGAACGACTCGTCGAAAAAGTTGAGCTATCCCCTGACACTCTTGACCGAGGTCAATGTTCAACTGTTACAAATTCTTGACTATGCCATTCACGTCGTCAGTTCTTCTATTTTGCTTTTGTCTCAGTCTCTCTTTGTTGTTGCATGCTTCTTCGGCCACTGCTGCTGCTGCGATTGCCTTCTGCTGTCTCGCGCACCACCACCTTGTCCACTGCCTGTGCCTCTGTCGCATCGTCAACCTCATCAGCCATCTCCATTCGTGCAATGTCGCTCACTCCAGCTCCGACTGCTGCTACGACACTGACGCTGCCTGCTGCGGCCGATCTGCACGTCCACCTGCGCCAGGGCGACCTCATGCGCATGGTCGTCCCTCACATCCGCCGCGGTGGCGTCGTGCGGGTCCTCGTCATGGTAAGGTTTGAAGATGGAAGCAAGCTCGCAACAGATCCAGGTATCAGCAGACTGGGAGGAACATTGGAAGACCTCGAAGGTCATTGAGCACGAAACGAAACGGGACACATCGCCGACACAAAGGGCCAAAGGGGGGCTCAATAGAAGGAAGAAGCCAGGTCGCATCCGCACTCACTCGGATGGTCACAATGCATGATGTGTCTCATCGTGTTCACTGGGTTGATCGAGCTCGGGTTTTCAACTCGGATGCACTCATCACCCAACCGAATGTTTCTTGTATTTTGACACCAGCCCAACCTCAAGCCGGCAATCGCGTCGACGGAACAAGCACTTGCATACAAGCGCGAGCTCGAGCAAATCGACGCATCCGTGGATTATTGGATGACGCTGTATCTTGGCCCGGAAATCACGCCTGACGAAATTCGCAAGGCTGCCGCGGCTGGCATCAAAGGTAGCAGAACATGACCATGTTGCCCCCTTTTTTTTTGTTCCAGATGGGTACGAGCTGTGTTGTGAGTCTGATGCGTCGTTGTTCTTGCAGGCGTCAAGTCCTATCCCCGCGGAGTCACCACCAACTCGGAAAGCGGTATTGAGAGCTACACTGCCTACTACCCCGTTTTCAAGGCGATGGAAGAGACCAACATGGTTCTCAACCTGCACGGCGAAGTGCCCAGCAACCCCAAGGATGTGAGTGCATTGAGCAGCTTGCATGACAAGAGAAAACAAAAAAAATCCAGAATCTTACTCTTCCCCTTTCAACTTTTGCCGCAGGACATCTGTGTCATGAACGCCGAGGTCCACTTCCTGAAGCACCTGGAGCAGCTCCACCGTGACTTTCCCAAGTTGCGCATCGTTCTCGAGCATGTGACCACTGGCGCTGCTGTGCGCAAGGTAAAAGTCACAAACTCGTTCAATCATCCTGTTGCTCACAAGTTCCTTTTGCCTCACCGTTTTGTTTTTCTTGCTTCTGCCTCAAGGTCCTTGAGCTTGGTGACACGGTCGCAGCCACCGTGACCGTCCACCATCTGTCGCTGATTGTCGACGATTGGGCTGGCAAAAACCACAACTACTGCAAGCCCGTGGCCAAGTATCCGAGCGACCGCCGTGCCTTGTGGGACGCCATTCTGTCTGGCAGCCCCAAGTTCTTCCTGGGCTCGGACAGCGCCCCGCACCCTCGCTCGACCAAGGAGTGTGCCAGCGGCTGCGCGGGTGTCTACACGCAACCGCACGTGCTGCCGTACTTGGCATCCGTCTTTGAGCAGTACAACGCGCTCGACAAGCTGCAAGCCTTCACCAGCGACAACGGCAACCGCTTCTACCAGGCCAAGCCCAGCACCGACACCGTCACGCTCGTGCGTGAGCCTCTGACCGTCGAAAGCGAGCTGAGCTACGGCGATGCCAGCGCCGCCCAACCCGCGGTTGTTCCATTCCAAGCCGGCGAGACCCTGCCCTGGCGACTTGCCTGATCGGATGTGTTTGTGTGTTGTTTCTGTGTGTCCTGTATGTATCGGCGGGTGTCAGCCTTTTTGTTTGTGTTTTCAGCCTGGAACACCCTTTTGTTTGTGAATGCAAATCTCAATCTCCAGAGTGACCCCCTTTTTTTCGATCCAGTTGTACAGTATTTTATTTTTCTCAATCCAGTCCAGTCCAGTCCGCCTGCTGATGCTGCTGTCTGCGCTGTACGGCGGCACGCTCCGCCTCTGCCACACGACGCTTTCCGCCTGCGTCTCGCTGTCGGACTTGCTCCACGTGTCTGAGATCACCCGCGCGCACACTCACTCCAGCCACCCAGCAGGGCCACTTACTGCTGCTGCTGCGACCGAGACGACGACCACTCATCAGGCACCTGCCGCCGAGCCTGCTGCTGCTGCTGCTGCTGCTGCTGCTGCTGCTGGGCAATCCGTCTTCAGCACGGGTTTCAGACTCGCTGAGCTGGCACTGCGCCTCTTGTGCCAGTCGCTGCTGTTCTCATCGCCCGTCGCGCGTCTCTCGCTGCGAAACTCGACTGCCAAGAGCGCCGCATCGTCGTCGTCGTCGTCGTCGTCGGCGGCGGTGGCGGTGGGCGTCGCTGGTCCTGGATCGCTCGCCGAGCTGAAGGCCGACGTCCAGGCGATCGCTGCCCAGGGCAAACTGCCAGTCCACATTGCATTTGTCGTGCACAAGGAGCAACTGCTGCTGGACTCTGGCGCTGCTGCTGCTGGAGAGCGACGAGGCGACTCGATCTCAACTCTGACATGTCCTACTTCCGCGACTACCTCGCTTACACCCAGCCCAAATACCTCGATTCCAGCTGATAAGCCGCACAGCCATGCCCACAGCCATGCTAGTCAGAATTGCTCGGCAGACGGGAACGAATCACTGCACTCAAACATCAATTCCGCAGCCATCGAGCAGCTGGCAGACGCCGCCGCCTGGGCAATTGGTGCCGGCGCCCGGTATGTCTCAGTGTTTGACGACGGCGGCATCCTCAAATCACACGAAATGGAATTGTCGGCAGCCCTCCGTCGAACCGTTGCCGAGGACTTGAATGCGGGCGAGTTGGCCGTCTCGATTCAGATTAGCTCAACGGACTCTGATGCTGCATTGGCAAAAGGTGCGCTTGCTTTTTGCACAGGTAGTGTTGTGCACATTGCTTCACAAATTGCTCGTACCTTTTTTGGATGGATGTCTTTGTTCTGACTCTGCTCTTCGTGTGCTTTGTCGCAGATCGCCCTGTTGTGTATATTCTGTCACCCATGGACGGACGAACACCAATAGTAGATGTCGCCTTGCATCTGGCCAAGTCAGTGCAATCGAAAAAGCTGCAGCTCAGCGAGATTGATGTGCCTCGGTTTACGAGTTTAATGCAAGGTCCGTGCACGCGCCTTACCCGAATAATCACAATGCTGCATTGAAGGAGGTCGCTGAGCGCTCATCTGACCATTTGTTGCTCGTTTTTTCAGACATGATTCCGTTGCCAGAACCGGAACTGCTCTTCCAAATTGGTCGCACTCATTCGCTGGTCGGGTATCTACCCTGGCACATCCGAGTGACTGAAATTTTGTGAGTCTCCATTCTGTGCGCCCCCCCCCCTATGTGTGTTGTGTTGTGTTTTCAACTCATCCTGACCTCAACGAATACTGCCAAACAAAACAAAACACCCGCCTACAACAGCCACATTCGCGACCTCGAGTATTGGAATTACGCCATGTTCATTCACTTGCTTCACTTGTATAGCAAATGCGAGCAGCGATATGGAAAGTAGTGAACATGCATGGACTTGTGGAATTTCGATTGATTGCATTTATTAAACCAAAAAAATAACCATCTCTTGCCTCACTCGGCACTAGCGCCCCGCCTGAATCTTCATGTGCTCATGATACTGATCCAGATACCATTGAGGTGCTTGAGGTTCGTCACCGGTGGTCTGGTCAGGCTTGTAGTCGTACGAGACAAAGATTTCGCTGCCGGCTGGAATAGCCCTGTCGAGCGCCTGGACACACTTGATCAGCCCAAACCGCGGGTGGGTGAACAGCCCATACTCGGCATTTTTGAGTTGGAAATGGTGGTTGGCCTTGTGGCCGAGCGTCGCGCAGTACGAGTTGACGTTGTCGAACGGGACGGGAACGTCAATAACGACTGTATCGTCCAGCGAAATGGTGTTTGAATTGGCGCTCCAATCCCGAGCATCCACCTCTGCATGAGACACGCGGACGCCATGATAAAACGACACCACAGTGCGAGGAGCAATGTCGACACGGGCAAACAGCCCCTCGCCCGCGCCTGGCACAGTCGAAGGCGCAACGTACACCAAAATCGACTCGTGAGGATCGGGCAGCAATGGGGCATCGCAAATGTGCGCATCTGTTGCGAACGTTCGCGTGAATTTGGCAGAGAGGGTGTCGCTTTCGGGTGCGGGCTCAAAGCAGGTGCTGGGTGCTGCGCAGGTGATTTCGCGACGCGCTGCGACAGGATTGAACGGCCTGTTGTTGTTATCGTACGCCCGAGCCGAGATTAACGTGGTGCGTCGCCAGTCGCCTCGCAGAGTGACCACGCTGTTTGGAAAATCGTACTCGCCGCCGCAAACGCCCTCTGTAGCGGCCGTGGCAGACGTGTCTGGCGACTGAGCTTCCTCGTCGTTGTTTGTGACATTGGGTCCTAGATCGAGCCGGCCGCCATCGACATAGTACATTGTCGTTGCGAGAATCTCAACGTCGTCGTTGTCGTCGTCGTCGTCGTTGTCGTCCGAGTTATCGTTGCTGTTGTTGTGGTGGCGCAGTTGCAACCGCCGCCCTTGGTCATCGTACTCTGTTGCAAGCCCAGTCAGTCTCGATCGGTGGTGGGTGCACAGCACGTATGTCTTGTCCGGGTAGTCGTACCGCGAGGCTCCTTCCAGCTGATCATCGACGTAGGTTCCCGTGAGAACGACGCCATCGTGGTACTGCATCACGCCAGGGCCCTGTTTCAGGCCGTCTCGGATTGTTCCAGTAAATGTGTTTCCGTTCTTGTAGTGCACGACATGCGTTCCGTCAGCCTTGAGTTCAGTGTGGTCCTCTTGATCGGCTGCAGATTCGGATTCGGATTGATCCTCGTCGTCGTCTTGGTCTTGGTCTTGCTCCTCGGCGTCGCTTTCATCGTTCTCGTTCTCGTCATCCTTATCATCATGATCGTTCTCGTCGTCTTCGTCGTCGTCGCTCGAGTCGGGTAGCATTGCAGCAGCCTTCCACGAGTCCGGCGCCACGCTCGCTGCCATGAGGCGCACACGCTTGACGCGATCTCGCTCGTTCTCGTCCTCGATATTGACGTCACCATCATCGTTATTGAACTCGTTCACGGTCGTCCTTTCATCGTGCTCAGCGTCGCTGGCTTCGGCTTCACGTCGTCGTCGCTTGTTGTTTCGCTCCATCCTTGAATAAGCGACTGAGCTCTGAGCAAATTCGACCATTTTCATCACAATGCCGATTCAACTTTTTTTCCTTTCTGTTTCAGTCTTTTATTTTCCAATCCGGTTCCAGGGGGTTCATGTCGTCGTCTGAATCGAATCCGCAGCCAGCCAAGCGCACTGCGATCGTCTCGCCAGTGACCATCGACGCGTTCGCCGTGATGGACGCCGCCAAGGCCAAGGCAGAAGCAGAAGCAAAAGCGTTGTCGCAGCATTCACACGAGACTGCTGCCGATGCTGATGCTGCTGTGGGTCATGATGATGATGACGACGACGAGCAGGAGGTCGAGGACAAGGACGACGGCTCGCCTGCTGCCAGCGACGCGCCAGACTGGGTCGACTTCCCGGAAGACGTCACAGAGATCGAGGCCATCCATGCACGCATTCGCAAGATGGAGCAGCTGGAGCGCTTCACCAGCCTCGAGGTACTCAACGAAAATGACCATTTTCACCTTTCTTCCTCAATCGCTCAGAGCATCGCGACCCCTACTTACTACAAAGGACAAGCACCATTGCATTGCATGCGCTATTGCACTCATCGAATTGACTGGTCTCGTGGTGTTGAACAGAGCCTCGTTCTCAAGCAAAACTTGATTCGCCGCATCGAGTGCATTGACACTTTGACCAACTTGACAGAGCTCGATCTCTACGACAACCAGATTGACACCATCGAGGGCATTTCTACGTTGACCAATCTGACGTATGTATACATGCAAGAGACACGACGCAAAAAGGCCGTATCTCAAACAAGCAAACCAAAAAAAAAAAGTGATTTCATATGCTGACGTACTTTTGGTTCTTTTGCGTGGGCTCGCGCTCCTTCTCCTCTCTGGACACAGGATCTTGGACCTCTCGTTCAACAACATCAAGGTCATCCAGGGCCTCGAACCTCTCGTCAACCTCACCAAGCTCTTCTTGTCTCAAAACCGAATCAAGGTCATTGAAGGACTGTCAACGCTCACCAAGCTCACCATGCTCGAACTGGGCGCCAACAACATTCGAGTAACTTAGAGCAGTGTATTGCTGTGGGTCTCTTGGCTCAGAGCAGCGTGAATTGCAGCTCAATCCATTACCGTGCAATTGGTCAACAGGAAATTCAAGGATTGGACACTCTTGTCGAAATTCGGGAACTCTATCTCGGCAAGAACAAGATCACTGCCATCAAGGTATGGTTTGGGCTTCAAGCATCGTTTCGCACAGTACAACGGGTGCGATGGCACTGACTGTCCTTTGATTTGGCTGTTCTACAGAATCTTGGTCATCTTCAGCATCTCGAGAGCTTGAGCTTGCAGGTACACGATGTTTTCCACATTGAATGCGTGAACACCGTCCGAGAGATCACATCTCACATCGCACTCATCGTCCCCCCCCCTTTTCCGATAGAGCAATCGAATTGTCACGATTGAAAACCTCGACAACCTGCCACAGTTGGAGCAGCTGTACCTGAGTCACAATGGCATTCAAGAAATTTCTGGATTGGATGCCAACGTACGAAGTCGTCTGTTGTCAAGCGCGGGACTATTGGGAGGGGGGAGAGGGAAGGAAACAATGTATAGCTCACACGAGACTTCGGTTTTTGCGTCGCCTTGTCCGTTCTCAGACCCAGTTGAGTATTTTGGACGTCGGTTCCAACCGCATTTCCCGCCTTGCCAACGTGGGGCATCTGGTCAGCCTTGAAGACTTCTGGGTATGTCGTCTGGCCATGCTTTTACATGGGTCGTTTGTGTTTGTGATGGCTCATGACCCAAAACAATTTTTGTTTTTGGTTGCAGCTCAACAACAACCGCTTGGAAAATTGGGCAGACGTCGACCTTCTGCGCACATGCCCGCGACTTGGCACGGTGTACTTTGAAGGCAATCCGATCGCCAAAGACAGCGCCTATCGTCGAAAGGTCAAGCTCGCTCTGCCTACCGTCTTCCAGGTTGACGCCACTCCGATTCGTCAAAACTGAGTTGTGCGGAAGTGCAATAAACCACCACGAATGACATCTGGAATACACATCGAAAAATCGTCTCTATTAAACTCGCGCCATCTACACCAAATATCGCGGCGCTTCTGGTTGAGCGTTGCCAACAGTTGCCTGTCGAATCAATGCCTTGAAATACAGCGGGCTTCGCTTGGTGCGAGCATCCCCGTTCATGTACATGAGCAGGTCCTTGATAGTCACAGTGTGTGGGTATGGCGCCATGTCGAACGCTTGCGCGCGTTTCATGTGTGAAGCTGCGACCAACAAACAACAACAACAAAAAAAAAAACAGAAACATAAAAAGTCAACTTTGGAACTTTGGAACATTGCGCAAAGTTCTTTGCAGAATGCCCCCCACAAAAGGTCGGGTCATACCATTGACGTCGGGGTTCGCGCCAGCTTGTGCAGTTCCGTCTGCCCCCACAGGGACGAACTCGTCGCCGTCGCCAGAGTCCTGCAGGAAAGGGAAACCAAAACCGGGTGAGCGCCTGACGAGCCAGATCGCTCAACTCGAGATGGAGCGCGTTGGTGAATGTACTTACACCCAGCGGATTGGACGATCGGGCAGAGTCCAGGAATGACGGGCTGCTCGAGCAGAATGAATTGAAAAAGTCAGTTTCCAAATGCACCACTTCCAGTGGAAAAAAAAAAAAAAAAAAAAAACTTGCGCGTTTCAGCAGTTCCGTACCGGTTTGACTTTGGAAGAACCTGTGCAAGAGCCTGATTGGCTCGCCGTTGTTGACTCCGAATGTCGGCATCCGCTTGAAGGCGTTTGGCACGCTCGCGCTGCTCGTCATCGAGATTTTTCCGATCCTGCGAGCAGCAAGACGTGAGATGATTTTAGCTGTGTTGTCAAGATGCTGCGCTGAAACATGAGCAAGCACACTCACTTTGAAAGCACGGAGGATGGCCTCGCGCTCATGCTCTTGCCGAGCAGCCTCGCGCGCTGCATCAACTCGCTGGAGCAACGTCAGCAATCGCTTTGGCTCGCTAGTCGTTGTAGTCGGATACAAGGTTCGGAAGACCTCATAGCGATGTTCGCTAATCACAAAGAGCTGTTTTCACGCATGTTCAGTGAGCAGGAGCTTCTGCACTTTGGATCAAATCGGACAAGGAAATGGAATCGCTGCAGCAGTACCTTCTCAAGGATGTTCCGGAGATAGAGCTCCAACGCATGTCCCAAAAACTCATTCACGTCAAGATCCTCAATGAACAGTCCAGCCGCCGAAGCTAAAGCGAGAAAGAGGAGAGGTCGGACAACAAGAAATCCGTCAGCTTTGCTGAACGATGCCAAATCTTGGCCTCGCACCAACGTTCAACACCTACCAACTTGTTGGACCTTTCGCGTAATGTTCTCCCTGTTGATGAATTGCGGCTCCACTGGGATGACGACCACCTTTTCCGGGCGCCGCAGAGTGAAGGATTGCTTCAGCAGCTCGTTTTCAGCCTAAATCCATCCAGCCAAAAAGCCCCAAAACGTCCCAGTAATTTCAACAACAACACCCGCAACAAAAACAAAAAATCAACGAGAAAGTTGCGCATCCGTGAGTCATCCAACCCTCGATCGTCGAGCTCCGGAAGGCGAGATCTCACCTCTTCGTCGACGCCAGCGACCGCGAGCAGATCGTTGTGGTCAATCTCGTTGTTGCCCGCTGCGGCGCGCGCCTGCTCCTTCTGCAGCTGGTGCTGCTGTTGCAGATGCAGCTGCTGCTGCTGCTCGCGGAGGAGCTGCTGGTGGCGAGCCTGCGCAAAGTTCTGCACGGGAGCGGCCATCATCGGCTGCGGCATCTGGAAGGCGGGCATGCTGTACCCGCCCGCAGCACCTGAAGCACCAGCACCAGCACCAGCACCACCAGTCGAACTAGCGGGCGCGCGACCCATGGCCATCGCACTGCTGCTGCTGCTGGCGCTGGCGCTCGGGGTCAATCCAAAGCCAAACGAGGCTGGCGACGGATGGCCGCTGCTGCCAAAGCCTCCTGCCGCTGTCCCTGCACTGGATCCAGGGCCAAACTGGAGCCCGCCAGTCATGTTCGCCATGCTGGCATCGATGGGAGCGGCTGCTGCTGCTGCTGCAGAGGACGGCGCGCCAGCCACAGGCTGCACAGAGCCGACCAAGCCGCCCAGCGCGCCGACGACCGTGCCCAGGTAGTCCTCCGAGAACGTCTCGGTCGCAAACATGCTGCGGAGCATTCAGAGTTAGAACACGGGATTGAAGCGCGAAGAGTTGAGAAACACGCGAATCCGATGTCAGAACGTCAAAGATCAGCTGTAACGTTGAACCACTCACCTGTTCGGGTCGCTCATGGTGGTTTGAAATTGAAAGTATCAACAACAACGACTGAATGCATTACATTGATCAACTGTCTTTGAGCTCAATCCAATGCAATACAATGCAAATTCAGTCTTCTTCCGTTTTTCCCAATTCAATTCCATCCAAAACCATGCGCAAGGGCACCACGGTGATGGGCACGCTGACCGACCGCGTCGATGTCGTCAAGCACTCCCTCGGCAGCGACACCATCGCCGTCGCAGTCGTCAAGGCCACCAACAACGACATTTGCGCACCGAAGCGCAAACACGTCGAAAGTCAGTATTTGTTATGGTGTTTTGATTTTGATTTGTATGGAGTTTGCATTGGAGCGGGATTTTAGCCGAGCGTTGTGAGCTTTGTGTGACTGCGCTTCGTGCTGTTGGACGTATGGCCAGCAAGAGTGCAGCAGACACTCGCTCTTCACTCTGAGCTCTGAAAACTCTGCGCCGGTGCCCCACTGCGGGAAAGTGCGGCAACACTGGGCTTTTTTGAATGGAAAGGCGGCGATCTCGGCAGTGTTTTTGATGTGGCTTGGGAAGGGAGGTAGGGAGCGGCGATGGGGGGGGGGGGCTGCTTGTGGCACGCTTGTTTAGAAAGTGGGCTGATGGAGTGACAAGGTTGCCGGTTTGGAGAGGGACGTGGAGATGGAGGCAACGAAAGCCAGCCAACGCAATCGCCCGCTCACACAAGATTGCTGCCTCGCATCCACGCTGAGGCCCAGCTGCCCCCTTCGCGGTCAACGAATGATACAACAAAACCCGACCAAGCCAACAACTCTGTTTCAGCGACAGAGGCGCGGTGCATCGAGCCCTCCAAAATGTCGTCAAAATTTGCCGTCCCTCTTCGCTGTGCACGTCGCTGACCTGGCCTGACATGCATGCTGTCTTGTCTTGTGTTGTGGCTCTCGCAGATATTCTCAACCACTTGTCATTCTCGGGCGGCATCAGCCCGAATGAGCTTGTGCGCCTGCTGCACGAGCGCCTTCAAACCAAGAACTGGGTCTCCGTCTTCAAGACACTCATCGTCTACCACATTCTCATGCGCGATGGCCAGGAGCGCTTCTCGAGGTACCTGGGCGAGGCGAGGCTCAATCTGAATGTGTTGAACTTCCTCGACAAGAGCAACCCTCAAGGTACGTCGCTGCAGATTTTCTTTTTCAAAATTTGTTTTGTTTTGAAAACATGCCGTGCTCACACCAACACGTCACGATGCTCGTTCCATACTCCTTTTTTGTTTCTTCTGCGTCTTGGCGTTTCGCAGCATATGACATGTCCGGCTTCATCCGACGCTACGCTCGCTACCTCGAGACGCGTGTGGCCACATTTTCGCAGCTCGATCTCGACCCCATCCGCCGCGCCCCCAGCGCCGAGAAACACATCAAGACGCTCCCAGTGGCTGCCTTGTTCTCGGAGGCGCATTCTTTCCAGGTGTTGGTTGACTCTCTCCTGGAAATGCAGGCGCGAGAGGACGAAATGAACAACTATGTCATTTCGGCTGCATTCGTCTATCTGATGAAGGACCTGATCCGTCTCTATGCTGTCCTGAACGACTATGTGATTCGAATTCTGGGTATGTCGTGATGACGAGAAGGCGTTTTTGGTCGGGCGTAAAGGCGTTTTTGGTCGGGCGTATTTCTTTTCCATTTTGCTAATCCGCTTTTTTTTTGCTTTTTTTTTTCTTGTTTCTTTTTTGCTCTTGAACCCGTTTGTGCAGAAATCTTTTTCGATTTGGACAAGACCGGAGCAAAAGAAGCCTTGGAGATTTACAAAAAGTATCTGCACGAGACGGGCATCATGATGAAGTTCATGGAGCTCGCTCGCATTTCCCAGATCATTAGCGACGATGAAGTCCCCGATCTCGCTCAGGTAAGGACGGAATGGTCTTCCACGATGAAAATCCATGTATGGCTGGCTTGCATGCTCAGTCGGTGATGTGTTCCTGGTAGGCACCCACCGCTTTGTTGAAGGCGCTTGAGGAGCATGTCCGTAATTTTGACATTCGCTCCACTCCCGCTCCGTAAGTCAGAAGGGGGGGCTGGTGTTGCTGTTGTTTCAACTTTGTTGTTCTAGCGACTCATATGCGGGTTTTACAGCTCTGCTAGCTCCTCTGTCGCGGCGGACATTGTGCTCCCGCTCAACGGACGTCCTCGCGCTCCCTCCGATGCGGCCGCCCCGTCGGCATCGAATGGAAGCACTGGAAACAGTGGCGGCTTTGCCTCTTTCCATCAAAAGACTGCTCCTGGACCCGCTCGCCCTCCTCCGCCAGCAGCCGCTGCAGCAACTTCCGCTGCGGCCCCTCGCACCGCGCCCGCGCCGGGACCTTCCGCTAGCCCTGCGGGTCGCGCGGATCTGCTGGGTGGCGACAAGCAGCAATCGCTGAACAAGCAAATCGATTTGCTCTGTACGTAGCCTGTCTGGTGAATTGGAGTTTTTGCTTTTGTTATGTTGTGCTTTTTTTTTTTTTTTTTTTTTTGGGTAGTTGCTTGACATTTGCGAGTTTGTTCGTTTTCCTCACCTCTCTTCAACTCAACTCTGACCGTTGTACTCGCGCAGCTCTTGACGACTTTGATCCCATCTCTTCCAAGGGTGGCGCTCAGCCAGTGTCGATGCCTGCCTCTCGCCCGTCGGCCCCTGCCGTGTATGGCCAACAACCGTCTGGCTTCGGTCAGGTTGCACCCGCCGCGCGAGGCTCCGTTCCCACAGCTTATGCGCAACCTGCGTACAACGCGTCCCAGTTTGTGCCAGCGCAATCCTTCTCCCCGTCAACTTCGTATCAGCAACAACCTTTTGGACAGCCTTACGCACAGCAGCCTTTCGGGCAACAGCCGTTTGGAGCTCAGCAGCAACCCTTTGCAGCTCAACCTTTCGCGGCGCAGCAGCAGCCTTACGGCCAACCGTTCGGTGCTCCACAACAGCAACAGCCGTTTGGCCAGTCCTTTTCGCCTGTTCCACAACAGCAGCAGGCGTTCGGTGCGCCTCAATCCACGAATCCTTTCGGCGCACCGTTCGCTCCTCAGCAAGCAAATCCATTCGGGCAGCCGCAGCAGCAGCAACCACAACAACAGCAACAAAGGGTGAGTCTTTGATGTGCTGTGAAATTTGGGCTGAATTTTGAGTTGGGCGGGGGTTTTTGTTGTTGTTGTTGTTGTTGTTGTTTGCTTGTTTGTTCGGGTGTCGTTGGTGGCTCACTTGATCCCATGTTTTGCGTACTTTAGTCGAACTTTGCATCAGACCCCTTCGCCAATCCGTTCGCTTGAACCAGCTTTGGTTGGAGCCACCACAAGCGTGGTGTTGTTTGTTTTTCCTTTCGGTCTTGTCAATTTGTTGTGTTTTGCAAGGAATGTGAATAATTCACCGTGTTGCTGGGTCGAGTTGGTCAGCAAGAAAATCGAAGTATCCGCGCAAGCGTAATCACTGCCATAGAGGCTGCAGACTAGAACACAGACTGGCATCGACACGGCAGAGGCTTGCACTACAGCGACGCGAAATCCGAGCGATAGCGGAAACAGCTTCCATAGAAATTAAAGAGTAGACACGAACCAAAAAGAAAAGGCAACATTGTACTCGAAAATCAGGCACAAAGCAACGAACTATCACACGAAAGATTGCGGTAAAGTGCTTGCGAATCTTTCGGCAAGCAGCAGGCGGATGGCGTTCACAACATTGCACCGATTTCGCGGCTGGTCGTGCCATCATCAAAGTTTTTCAGCGCTTTGACGAGCTGCGTGAAGCTGGGTCGCATTTCCGGGAGACTGTTCCAGCAACTCATCATGATGTTGTAGAGCTCGGGCATACAGTTTTCTGGCATGGGCAGACGACCACCGGCCTCGACGTGAGCCAGCGTGTCGCGCCCTTCCATCTTGCCGTACGGCGTTGTTCCGTAAGTGAAGCATTCCCCTATCAATGTGCACCGACGAAAAGTGAGATGCAAGCACACACACACACACTTCCGGAGCAAATGGCTCTACTCACAGGCTGTCACGCCGAAAGCCCACACATCGGACATGGTCGAGAACTTGCGGAAGGTCATGGTCTCAGGAGCCATCCACTGTCAAGAAGAGCAAGTTCAAGATCGTCAGTGTCACCAGCACCACAAGCAACAACATTGGCACACACCCGCTACTCACCTTCACGGGAAGTTTGCCGCGCGTTTCCATGCGATAGTAATCGTTCTCGTCGGTCAGCTCGCGAGAAAGTCCAAAGTCGGCAATCTTGACCACCATTCCTTGCCCCACAAGGCAGTTACGCGCGGCGAGATCACGGTGCACAAAGTGGAGCGTACCCAGATACTCCATCCCGAGTGCAATCTGGCGAATAGCATGGATCTGCTCGTTCTGAGTCCACCAAAGCGAGTGGACCTTGGACTTTTGCAGCAGGGTGCGCAAGTCGCCGTACTGCACAAACTCCAACAGAACGAGATGGGGCTCTGACTCTACAAGAGCGGCAAGAAGGCGCACGACATTAGGGTGCACGAACGGAGCCATCAGTTTCGCCTCGCTCTCAAAGTCCTTGCGGGATTTCTCGTCTGCATCAGACTTGAGCGACTTGACTGCAACTTGCACTGTTTCGGATGCTGCAGGTCCAAGCAAATTTTGTGCTCGTTGGGGCAACACGCTGAGCGGCACCTGACCCAGTGCGACATCGCCGAAATTACCACTGGCAAGGTGCTTCACGATCGTCAAGCCATCACGAACACGACGAGAATTGCTGCCGGCAACATAGGCGCTTGCGTAGTCGTAAATCACCTCAGGAGAGGCCGTCGAGATGGCTTGGTACAAAGGTTCTGGCTGCCTTTGACCGGTTGTAGCGTAAGCTGATGAGCTGCCCTCCTCTCTATGAGCTCGCGTCGAATGGGGCATGGAGGAGCCTGTCAGTTCTGACGCCTCGTGATAGATGGGACCGGCAGAGTCCGTCGGTTCTGCCTGCTGATGGCCAAAAGCGGCGTAAGCCGAGGAGTCCTCCTTTTGGTGAGATCGAGTCGAATGGTTCAGAGGAGAGATTGTCATCTCAACCGCGCCCGCAGAGTCCTTTGGTCTCATGGCTGAGCGACGTTGCGAGCGCCGGCGTCGCCACACGATGAATACCACTGCAATTATCGCAACAACGGCAACAGCCACTACTGCAGCAGCGATGGCAGCAGCTGGAGATGAGTCTTGGGAACCGCTGCTGAAGCTTGCAACGGAGGATGCAGCAGACGCCGCAGATGCCGATGCGGTTGACGCGGCAGACGCCGAGAGCGCCGAGGTACCGGATACATCAGAAGCGACCGATGCGGACGCCTGTGAGGCAATGGACGCCGAAGATGCAGTCGCGAGCGACGCAAAAGAAGCCGACAAAGAAGAAGTGGCGGAAACAAGAGACGCAATCGAGGCAGAGGCGGTTGAAGCAACAGAAGCAGCCGAGGCAAACGTGGCAGCCTGCGACGATGCGATTGAGGCGACGGAGGCAGCTGAGGCTGATTGCGTGGACGCATCTGAAGCGATGGATGCGATCGACGCTTTGGTCGCAGCTGTCGCCACAGAAGCAACCGAGGCAGATTGGGTGGATGCGACTGATGCGGCGGAGGCAACGGAGGCGAATGGAGCGCAGGACCCACCCAGCAAACCATAGGCTTCGTAGCATTGATTGCACAAGGCGGACGAAGTGCAGGCCAGGCAATTGGTCGCGCAACAGGAGCCGCTCCCTGAGGCATAGCAGGTGGCACAGGCTGTATCACACGCTGTAGTTTGGGATTGTCAGTGACGGCCGACGACATGGGGATTGCGGTCACCTCGAAAAACTTACGGTAAGGATGGGATGCATTGCCGTATGTGCTGGGTGGAGCGGCAGTGTTCCCACCAGAGGCAAAGTTGTTAGGGCGCAGGAGTTGGGAAAATTGGTTGGAACTTAACGACAAGAACATGCTATTTGGCAAGCCCATAAACAGACCAGGCGGCAACGTGGTGAAGGGATTGTCATTGAGAGTCCTGCAAGTGCCGCAAAGTAAGAAGCAAGTCAGGCACATGCACGAGAAGCTCTTGCTCACAGTGTCGTCAGTGTTGTGAGACCTGTGAACGCGGTTGCGAACGTGCTGGTGATTGTGTTGTTGTGCAGCAGTCTACAGAGACAGGAGTGGTGGCAATGAGTGAGCCGTTTGTCTGTGATTCTTTTTGTCCTTGTTTGCTTACAAGGTACTCAGGGCAGGCAGGCCTACGAATGCGTTTGCAGCAATGCTAGTAATCTGGTTGTTGTACAAATACCTGCAGCAAGAGTGTGTCGCAAAAAAAAAAAAACAATTAGTCACTCGTGCATGATTCTTCAAAGCTGTGCTTTCTTACAAGAACTTTAGCAAAGTTAGGTCGGTAAATGCAGATGAGGGAATGCTGCTGATCTGGTTGTCGGACAGAGATCTAGCGGTACAAAGTCTCAAATGCGTGAGCTGTTTGTTTGTTTGTGTGTGCGTCGCGCGGTTTCTTCTTGTCTCTGCTTGGCTTACAATGTGAGGAGCGCAGTCAGGCCAGGGAATGCCGCGGCGGAAATACTAGTAATCCGGTTCAGATAAAGACTTCTGCAGAAAGAGTCGCCAACGAGTGAGTCGCCAGTCAGTGAGCTGTGTTGGTCTGCAATTCTTCATGCTTTTGCTTGCTTACAATTGTGTTAGCGCAGTCAGGCCTGAGAACGCGTTTGCAGACACACTGGTGATCTGGTTGCCGGACAGATAGCTGCAAAAAGCGCCAGAAACGCATGAGCCACGATGCGTGTGTGATTCATGGTGTGTCTTTGCTTGCTTACAGCAGCTTCAGCGAAGTCATGCCTGTGAATGTGTTTGCGGGAATGCTGCTGATCTGGTTGTCGTACATATACCTAGAGAGAGGGTGTGTCACAAGCAAGTGAGTCATTTGTGCGCGGTTGGTCAATGTCCGTCCTTGCTTACATGTAAGTCACCGCACTCAGACTTGAGAATGTACCTGCAGAAATGCTGGTGATTGAGTTGTTGTAGAGATGCCTACAAATGGAGTCGAAAGCAAGTGAGCCGTTAGAGCGTGACTCGTCACGTACTTGCTTGCTTACAGTTGTGTCAGCGCGCTCAGGCTTGCGAATGCAGTGGAGGGAATGTTGGTGATCCGGTTGGTGTGAAGATGCCTACAGACAGCGTCGCAGACGAGTGAGCCGGCGACGCGTGAATTTTTATGTCTGTTTGCTCGTGCTTACAAGGAACCCAGCGCGGTCAGGTCGTCGAATGCGTTGGCTGCGATGCTGGTGATACGGTTGTTGAACAGAGACCTGCAAAATAGAGTCAAACAAATGAGCATGTCGCTTGTGCGTGATTCTTCCTGTCGTTGCTTGTTTACAAGTATTGCAGCGAAGTTAGGTTTGCGAATGCAGAGGCGGGAACGCTGGTAATCAGGTTGTCGTTCAGAGACCTATAGAATGAGTTGCAAACGAGTGAGCGGTTTATTGCGCGATTCCTCAAGCCTGTGCTTGCTTACAAGGTATTCAGCACACTCAGGTCATCGAATGCGTTTGCAGGAATGCTGGTAATCTGGTTGTCGTACAGTTGCCTGCAAACAGAGTCGCAGATAAGATCGTCGTTTGGCACACCAATCGTCCTGTCTTTCCCAGCTTACAGGCTATTCAGCGCAGTCAGACCTGCGAATGTATTTGGGGCAATCGAAGTGACCTGATTGCTCCACAAATACCTGCAGACAATAGCACCAAGAATTGTGAGTTATTGCGCGTTTGCTTGTGGATTTTCTTGTTTTTTTGCTTACAGGTACTGGAGCGCAGTCAGGCCTGCGAATGTAGTGGAGAGAATGCTGGTCAACCGGTTGTTATCCATATTCCTAAACATGCGAGTGGCAAACGAGTAGTGAGCCCTGTGTGGTTGTGTAGTTCTGCCTGTTGCCGCTTGCTTACAAGAAAGTCAGCGCAGTCAAGCCCGTGAATGCGGAGTCGGAAATGCTGGTGATCTGGTTTATGTATAGATCCCTACGTGATAGAGTCGCGATGAAGTGAGTCGTTTGTCGGCGATGATTCTTCGCGTCTTTGCTTGCTTACAGGTAGGTCGCCGCAGTCAGGCCTGCGAATGCGAAGGCGGGAATGCTGGTGATCAGGTTTATGGACACATCGCTACAGAAAGAGTTGCAAACAAAGTTAGCCATTGTTGTTGTGGGCATTAGTAGCTCGATGGTCTTTTGCTTGTTTACATTTGGGACAGCGCAGTCAGGCCTGTGAATGCGTAGGGGGGAATGCTGGTGATATTGTTGCTTCGCAGAACTCTAGAGAAAGGGTCGAACGAGTGAGCAGTTTGCGTGTCATTTTTCATGCCATCGCTTTGCGTACAAAACACTCAGCCCAGTCAGGTCTGTGAATACAGAGGCAGGAATGCTGGTGATCTGGTTAAACTCCAAACGCCTACGGATGGGAGCGCGAACGAAGTGAGCAATTTGCGTGTGACTTTTGGTTCTGACTTGGTTTTTTTTTTGATTGCTTACAGCCAAGTCAGCGCAGTCAGGCCCGTGAATAGGGTTGCAGAAATGCTGGTGATCCGGTTGCTGTTCAGTTGCCTGCAGAGAGTCTCTCACCAAAACGTCAGCCGTTTCATCGTGATTCGTCAATGTCCATCCCTTGCTTACAATTGTTTCAGCGCAGGCAAGCCTGCGAATGCACCTGCAGGAACGCTGCTGAGCCGGTTGTTGTTCAGAAACCTGCAGACAGTGGTCAGAAAACAAACCGTTTGCGCGAGATTCTTCGTTTCGTTGAGTGCTTACAACTGGCTCAGCGCAGACAGACCGGTGAATGCGTTTGCCGAAATGTCGGTGAGACGGTTGTTGTTCAGTTGCCTGCAGAGAGCGTCACCGAAAAGCGTCAGTTGGTTTGTGAGATTCGCGTCAATGTCCAGCCCTTGCTTACAATGATATCACCGCAGTCAGGCCAGTGAATGCATCTGCGGGAATATAGGTGATCTGGTTGCCGTACACCTGCCTATGAAATTGAATCGCAAAAGAACTGAGCGGATTGTTGTCTGTGAAGCTTCATCATGGCTCGAATGGCGTTGTTCGCTTACAAGATTTGCAGCACAGTCAGGCCTGGGAATGCAGAGGTGGGGATGCTGGTGATCTGGTTGTTGTTCAGGTACCTGTCGACCGTAGACCAATTATGAGGGGTCTTGCGAATTGAAGCAAGATCAACTCAACGGCAGCTCTTACAGCTGCGTTGTGGTGTTTGGGATTCCGCTTGGAATGGCCGTGAGAGCCTTGTCAATGCAGTTGACAGTGGTTACCGAGCAAGTGCACACGCCGCCAGCACCACAGGCGTCAACTGCTTGTGCCAACGGGATGTGATAAATCACGCAGAAGAAGAGCAGCAAAAGCAGCAGACCAACGCCAGATCCCTTCGGTGTCATCTGTCGAGGATAGCGGTGTTCTGATTTGCACAAAGTGAGCTTGCAGCAAACGCTTGCCCGGCGCAAGGGCATAGTACTGAAATCCATCTGAACGTATGTCTGTGCATGCGTGTATGTGTCTGGATGGCGTCAAGCACGCGTGGAGTGGCGATTTTCAATGCAGCAGGATCACAATCTCCGACGCAACGTCTGCCCGCTCCCAACGCGCTTCCAACAGTGCCATTGAAGCAAATGCGCCCATGAGTGAGTACGTCGACGCATCAGCTGTGATCCCCGCATGAGAGGGCTTCAGGAGGGACTCTCAAAGGGGTTTGCATCTGAAGCGGGAGCGGGTGATTGATTGTTTGGTAATTTGTTTGTTTTGATTGTGATTCGGGAGGAGGGCAACCTGCTGCTGCTCCTCACTGCGGCTGCTTGGTTGATAGAAGTGTGACTACAGCAACAGACCACACCAGACGCCAGACGGGGGAGAGGGTGGGGGGAGGACTGGCGCGGAAAACGAGCGCGAGGACGACCTCCAACCTTTTGGCAACCCGCTGCTAAAAAGCCGACTTTGTCGCAAGCAGCAATACTACAGCAGCGGCCAATCCATCCCACCTGCAGCAACAGGAAGCGAGACAATAGAATCGAAAGCGAGAGCATGTTGCGCGTTTGGCGGACTTTGGTTTGATGGATGCGCGTTTGGCTTACTTTGGCGATCAATCGGCGAAAAAACAGTACAAAATACAAAGTGAAAAACTTGACCCAAAACAATCCAAAATAAAAAAGTGAAAAACTTGATTTGGAACTCGCTCGGCTGCAATTTTCTACTTTTATGGCGCAGCACAATCATCACAGGACCCTAACGTCTCAACGCTTGCATTCCAAAGCTGCAAATGGAGCATGGTATAAATACAGGTAAAAGAGCAAAAATTACAACGATGCTGTGATTGTTGTGAAGATGGCGGGTCTGACCACGCGGTGCAGTAGTGCAATCGTCTAATATGGGCTGAATAAGCAGGCTTTAATAGTTTCATTCCATCTCCATTGCATCTGTGGGTGGCTCTGGTAGCAGCTGTTGAATCAATTCGAGCAACTGGTTTATCCGGTCCTCCGTCAAGCGCTCTTCGATTTCCTCCACAAGCTGTTTTTCATCGACACACAAATGTCCACCGAGCGAGGCATGCAAAACGTCAGCAATCACTCGCGTTTCCAATCAAGGCGCGTTGAGTCGTAGGTTACCGGTGTCATTGCAGGCAGGGTCGCGGGACGGAGATTGATCAATTGCAGAATCTCGCCCTTGGTGAGCTGGAATGGCTGCACGGCCTTGACAAAAGCCTCAATGCTTTGCTTATTTTGCACATGGCATGGCGTTTCTGCCAAGTACTGTCGGACCTGTCGTGTTCCAAATTCAAGCCGAGTAGAGCACAGCCCGTTTAGAATGACGGCCAGCGCGAACCTGGCATTCCTGTCTTGTCTTCAGCCCAAACACGATGCACGACAGCAATGCCACTGCACTCACCTCGTAGGCAATCGTGTGCAGGGCTTGGATGTGCGTTGGCTGCGCCGAGGCGCTTCCAGCAGGAGCGGGCTGGGCACTCGAGCCGCCAGCCAGCGACCAGGTGCCATTGGTGACTGCCGAGACGATCGTGTACACTTCATAGTTGCTCAGCAACGCCGTGATTGGTTCAAGGCTGCAACGGACGCGGGAGTTGGCGGGAACGAGTGTGAGTGACCAAAAACCAAGTGCGCCATGAGGCAATCCGAACGGGCCCAGTTCAACAGACTCCCATGTATCTCGGTCAATCGAGATCCAGGCCACATTCGAAAAGAGTTATTCTGCAGAGAGTTACCAGACAGATCCGGCAGTGGGCTTGTGCTGTGCGGCAGCCATCGTCGTTGTTGGTTTGTTGGGTGTGAAAGCGAAATAGACGACTGCTGCCAATCTCGATTTGACAATGATGAAAAGGGAGCAGTAAAAATTCGATAACGAGCATGAGGCGTGTGTTTGTGCAATTTGATTTCTCAATGGTGTGGTAAGGCGGAGGGGGGCGGGGGCGGGCTTTCTGAATTGGAATCTTTGGCGGTTTGACCCGTTGAGCGAGCCTATCAGCCAAGAAATGGCAAGTTTGCAGTCATTCTTGCAGATTCTGAATGTAGAAACGATTTTCTCATTATTGCGCCTATTAAAACGCTGATCGGCGGCTTTGTGCACAAAAACCGTACCAGCTGGTCTGCAGGCCGGATTTGATGCGTATTGTTTCAGCAAGGCATGCAGTATCCACAATGCGCCTATTCGCCCCAAATCACTCTTTCACATATTCAATGTATTTCAGCAAGCACAGGGTTGATTTTTGCAGAAAATGGCGAATATTGGCGTCCGAGAACATGTATCACTTCAACGCCAAACTTTTGGCGGTTTTCGTCTCCAATGCTGGCTCGCCACCATCCGCACGAGCCTTCCCTCTGATAATACTCGATCAACAGTCATATTTCTGTTAAAATAGAAATGGTTTCGACCGCGATACTGCCGGCGTTATCGCATAGTAAACCGGGATCGGTGACCGGTTTCATCCGTTTGTTTCTCGCTGATTTCAAACACAATCCAGCAACAGGTGCCCAAGTCACTGAATAATACAAGCACGAGCAGTATCTACCAAGTTTTCATCGCTCCAATTGCCAACCTGCACCTTTGTTTGACATGTTGTGACAATTCATCTATTCTTTGAAACTCGAAAAGCCGAATACAGATTGAATTGTTGGCTTTGGTCGTCTGAATTGAAACGGAAAAACACAGAGCAAAATCAAACCAACAGTCTTCAAGCGAATTCCTTAAGGAAGGGAGGAGCTGCATGCAACTGTAACGTGCAACTGTCACCTGCAGCGGAATGTCGACCCTGATCATCTTGAATGCTGTCCACTGATAAACAAAGACAAAAAGGATTGAATGTCGACAATCCAATCGCTGCAATCCAAACAATGCTATCGCGATTTTGAGAAACAAAAGGAAAAACAAAAAACAAAAAACAAAAAACAAAAAACAAAAAAAAAAAAAAAAACACAAACAAACAAATTCAAACAATCCAATCCATTGTCGCGGAGTGTTGCGCTTGCACACTCATGTCATGTGTGGCGATTGCAAGGGAGATGCGTTCACTGTCGTCTCTGTTGTTGTGCTTTTGAAAGGGGGTGAAATAGGTGTCGTCCGCAGAATGAATCACAACTCAGCACATCAGAAGTGCCCATGGGAAAAACAAAACGCCCATTCCAACGTCCTCCCGGACGCAAAGTGCAACCGCAGTTGGCTCTATCGTTGGTTGATGTGCACTGGCCCACGGCTCACTCGGAACGCGAGCCATTGGAAGCATCTGATGCGCACTGAGTGGAGACTGTCATCGGATTTTTCGTTTTCGATCGTCAACACCCCGTTTTTGATCTCAAACAATGTGGCTGTCGACATCATCCATCGCGCTAGCAATCGCGTAACAACACCCGAACAGCCAAGTACAGAAGCACGCACCGACTGTCAACACAATGGTGTAATGGTGTTGCTTTGAAAGCTTGATCTCTGGCTGCAAGACTCAATGCATCCAACTCTCTCCTGTTTCACTCAAATTCAATCGTGTGCCACACCAGTCTTTTTTATTTTATATTTTATATTTTTTCTTTTATTCTTTTATTCTTTTTGTCCCGCAAGACTTTTACATTCCATCGTCCTACCCTGGTTTTGCTTTTGACCGAGTTTTCCCTTCTCTCCACTCGGTTGCGTTCACACGCACAGACATACAGCTGTCACACACACACATACGCACGCGCATACGCACATACGCAGCCAAAGGATGATCGCAGGTTCGAGCATCCGCCGTTCTTCTTCGAAGCCTTCTCGAAGGTCGTTCGCGCTGTGGCTTTGCATTTTTGCCACCCTTTTCACGACGCTTGCCGCTCCTGCGCTGGCCGCACCAGTGCGCAACCGTCGCCATCGCGCAAAGCCATTGCCAGATGAGGTAATCCATCCACTCTGCACCCATCCTCAACACCTCTCGCCGTTCCTACAACGCTCTGACAGCACCGATGGTCGCTTTGGTCCTGCGGGAGCTGCGGTTTTTTAAAAAAGTTTTCAAAAGTCGGTTTTTTTAATTTTTTTTTTTTATCTTTTGTGATGGCTTTTTTTTTTCTTTCTGGATTATGTGTTTTCCGCAGTGCCACCCACATTTGCAGTGGTCGGGCATACACGCAACACAGTGATTCCAACATCTATTTCATCACACAGACAACAATTCCCCTTCCGCACTCGTCTATGAATAGCGAGCCAACGTGCTTTGTTCTGTTCTGTCTGTGTGTCTGTGGGTTTTTCCCCCCTGCGGCTTGCTCAGCTGATTGTTTGGGCTCGACTGTGACGCATTTTTGTCTTTTCAGACCTTACTTTTTCTTTTTTGTTCCGCTTCCCTTCTCTTTTGGGAGCTGCGCAGAATCGCGGACTGTGTCGTTGTTGTTTGGGCGGCTTTCCGATCGTGCGGCAAATAAAATGCGCTCCAAGTCGAGTGGAGTGGACAGCAGGGATTCGCTTTCTGGATGTGTGCGGTGGGGTAGTGGCTGTTTTTGTGGTGTGCAGCTGCTCACGTATTTTTTTTTTTTTTTTTTTTTTTTTTTTTTGTGAAACAGAGTTTTCTCACACCGTTCCAAGTGCGTCGGACTCGATTCGACCAGGCTGCCGATGGCTCTGTCTTGGATGATCGCCGCACGCTGGTTTATGTTGCGATCGAAGTCCACAACTCGCAGATCAAGCTGAACGACCGGATTGTCAACCCCGAGGGAGCTGCAAGTGAAGGTGCTCGGCTCGACGTCGACGCACTTGTCATCGACAAGTCCCCAGAGGGCTTGGTGCTCGAGCGCGCAGTGGTGACTGTGTCCGTGGAAGTGCATGCCGGCTTTGACACTGTTCGGGCATTGAACGAGGCAACTGGATTGCCCTCGCTCAGCCGACGACTGCTCGTTGCCGTCCGTGTCCTCGAAATTGCCAATGTGCGCGCTGTGCATGTGGATTTGCAGCAAGTTTCCATCCTGTTTGACGACCACGGCCACGAGCGATCGCGAAGCATGGTTGGCATTGGCATGCATGACGATGACAATGACCAAGAGTTGAGCGAGTCTCCCAGCGAACCGCAAGTTCCCCAGGAGGTGGTCGATCAAGATGACGCACCAGGCTGCAACAGCACTTGCGTGTCCTTCCCATGCCGCTGGACCCGTGCTCCTCTCATCGTCAAAGTCATGTTTGTCATGGGCACTTCTTGCATTTGCCTGATCGCTCTCTACTTTGTCGTGTCGCGGCTATGTTGCAATCCCGCAAACAAGGCGCGCGCATCAAGGAATAACTATGGCAAGAATCTTCTCGTCGCGCATCCGACAGTCCAGTATACCATGCTCCTGAATACCTTTGATGAAGAGCTCCAAAAGTAGCCTCGGTGATCCGTGTTGAAACCCTCGCGCTCGTTTTTTTTTTTTTTTTGTTTTGGTGTCCCTCTCGCTCCTCCTCTCTCTGTCCCACCTCTCTCTTTGATAGACGAAGGTGTAAACTCCTCTCTGTACCTTTATCTTTGATAGACGAAGGCGTAAATTTGTGAATATTTATAAATCTTTGATAGACGAAGGCGTAGAGAGGGCCTCCCTAAAAAGACTCAGTCCAAAAACCATTGCGCCCCCACCCTAAAAAGACTCAAACCCGATTATCTCGGCTTGTATTCCTCCCACCCCGCCGCCGTCTTCGAATATCAATGAACACTCATTCCAGCTACAAGGAAGACATGGTCAGACGGGCGCAGGAGCAACTTGAGGTCGGCCTCGCCCAGATTGCGACCGCGTCTCCCTTCCGCCAGAGGCTCCTGACGAAGGCCACCGCCCTCAAACTATACTATTTTGACCCGTTCCTATCCACTACGGATGTCGGCGGAGCTCCGGGAGCCTCCGCCGAGCGAATCTGGACGACCCGCCAAATCGCCCATGCGCTGGGTCGATCGCAGTCCATGATCGCCCGCTGCATCAAGGCCCACGCCAACCTCGCTCCTGACATTCCTGGAATGACCTTAGATGAGTTGGCTGACGTTCTGCGCGAGGATCCCATCCAGGGACAAGGCTACGTGTTCACCGTCCCCGAGGAGCAAGAGCTCGTCGAGTTTGTCAAGCGGTGCTGCTTAGGAGCTATCTCTCTGAGCAAAACGGAATTCACTCGATATGTGCTTGCAGCCTCGAAGGTGCCGAGGCCGGACGGCGTGGAAAGACGTCAATTTGAGCACGACAAAGTTTCCGACAAGTGGGTCAATGATTTTGTCGCCCGTCACAGCTCACAGATTGGCTGGCGCAGTAGCAGCGTGTTGGAAACACTTCGAGTGGCTGCTTTGAGTGAAAAGAAGCTCGGCAGTTTGTTCGCGCTACTGGCGGAGTACAGCAATCTTTACCCGACTCTTTTCGCTACGCCGGCCAATATTTTCAACATGGACGAGTCGGATTGCTCTGTGGGTCGTAAAAAGAAGCGTGCCCTGGCTGCTGTTGGTGTCAAGCGTGTCAGTCGGCGATCTGGCCGAACCATTACGATGGGACCGCATGTTACTGGTCTGTTTACTGTTTGTGCTGATGGCACCGCTCCTGTTGCGCCCCACTTCATTGTCGCGCATCCACGGCCCACTCTACCTCACAGGTGCACCGAGGGCCTGGACGAGGAGTTGATTCACCAGTCCGAGTCCGGCTTCATCAACGAGGAAATCTTCGACAAGTGGTTTCGAGATTTCGTCGAGGTCGTCAAGGAGCGAGCTACCACCACCCCCGTTCTATTGGTGATGGATGGCAGCTCGTGTCACAAGTTCACTGTCGGGTTGATTGACCTCGCGGTGAGCAACAACATCCTGGTTGCGATCCTTCCATCGCACACGTCGACTCACTTGCAGCCGCTCGACGTCACCGTCTTTGCCTGGTACAAGAACTTGCTCGAGACTCACGTGCAGTCGATTTTGGATGAAGACTCGCCACTCATCGACGTGAACATCAAGCTTCACGGGGCCATTCGGGCGTGGAACGAAATTGACGACCGATCCAACTTGATCCGATCTGGGTTTCGCCAAACTGGTATCTATCCGCTGGACACGGAAAAGCACAAGACCCTAGCGTTGCCTTCCGTCGCTGACGTTGCCGTGTCTACGACCCCCCTCGCTGCACATTCCCGAGCCACCCCCGACCCCGGATGCTCGGTATTCGGCGTTGTACCGTGTCCGTCAGATTGCCGATGCCGCCCTGGTAACCATTGGTTGCACTCCGAGAGCTCTACAGCAAAAGAGGGTGCACGATGCAGCGGTAGCTGATTTGCGTCGAAATCTCGAGGTCGAACTTTCGGTGCAAGAAGTCCTTCGGGCCCCACCCAGGCCCCTGCGGTCCAGGAGCATTGGCAACAGCTCCATGCGCGTTTCTATGAACTCGACCGCTCGATCCCCGCTTACGCCGGAGAATAGGGATGCCCAGCTTAAGCGGCAGGAGTTGCAAGAGAAGAGGAAGCAGCTCGAACCTCTGAAAGAAGAGTACAATCGGCAACGGCCCATCTTCCTCCGCACGCTAAAAGACCTTGACTCACGCATCTTGACACTTGCGGAGACAATTCTTGCTCTGGAGACTCAGCTGGCTGCTCTGGGAGAAGAGGTCGAGCAGGACATCGAATCGGCAACTGCCGCGGAGACCCGAAACAAGCTAGCTGCTGCTCGCCTGCAGCATACCAAGCTCGTACGTGACCGCGCGACATTTTTCAAGAACCGTCTCAAGCGACCCACTCTTCTAAGTCTTGAGCCAGCGGCGACCGCTTCCACACCTCTCGTTCCTCGGCGCGTCAGCAGGCCTAGGCCCATTCTCGCTTCGCAATCGATGGCGAACGACACTGTCGACTTGGATCAATCAGCCAGCGAGGAGGAAAGCGAGTCTGACGACGATGACGACGAGAATCAAGCGTCGTCCGAAATGGCTTCCGCTGCCATCGGCCACAACGACAACCAGGAGGACCCCAGCGATGTCCAGCGTCAACCTCAAGCCGCCCGCAAGCGTCGCCAGGAAGATGACGATGAAAACGTCGCGCCCGTCTTCACCACGGTCACATCAGACTCGAGCGATGTTGTTCAAGTCGATTATCAGCTGAGCTCCACCGAACTCCAAGAAATCCGACGCTATCGCATGCCAACGCGTAGTACTACGAAGCAAGATGGACATAATGTCAAATTGGCGCGTGTAGACCTCCAACCTGCGTCGTCAAGGCCGGCGCTCAGCGACCTGACAAACCTTTCTCGAAGCAACACGCTACCACTGTAATTTTCCGTGTTTTGTGTTCAATTCTATGTGCATCCCATGTCATTCAATGTAGTTATGTGTTTTTTCCGGTCAAAAAGGGTGAAATCATGTCTAGGCAGGGGAAGATTGGACCATGCCCGTCCGGCGCGGGCGGTCTGGCACCTGCCGGGTTCTGTGGTCACATACAGTAACCGTCGCACCAACTGCAATACATAGATACCAGTTGGTATTACATGTCCCAGTTGAAGATGGGCCGACAGATCCTCGACACGGGCGACACGGGACTGGCAAAGTCAGTTTCTCCCTAAAAAGACTCAGCCCTAATGCACGCCCAGCCAAATCGAAGCGAAAATTTTCCCCTCCGATTCGCACCAAAATTACCAAATCAACTATATAATTTATGCTCTTTCCAATGATATAGGTGGCAGGGCGAGGAAATGAACAGGGGGGACTGAGTCTTTTTAGGGAGGCCCTCTCTAAATTTGTGAAAATTTATAAGACACTACTGGCCCAACTTTTTTCGACCTTTTTCTCTTCTTTTTGGTCTTTTGCTTCCCCCCGAATCCCTTTTTCCTATCCCCATCCCAATCACCCCCACCAGGTGCTTGGAATATAGTCTTGTGTCGAATTCTAGAGGAGGAAGGCGATAGGTGACGAAGGTGACAGCGGGGCTAGGGTCACTCGAATGGCTTTTTTGATGGGTGCACACTCCGCGGTTTCGAAACGACCGCTACTTTGGGGGACTCGACTTCGAATAGGTGTCGACCATCACGGTGAATCTGAATGATTGGGGGTGTTTGACGTGCGTGGTACATGTTGTAGCATAGTATGCGCATGCGAAGCTGCGAGCCTTTCGCCGATGCCTGGCAACAGCACTCTTTTTGTTTTTTCTTCGTTTTGTTTGTTTCAGTCGCATTGAAATTTTGCATCACTAGCCGATAGAGACCCATGATTGTTTCTCCTGAATGTTCTGCTAAGACTGTCCCGAGTGCCGTCCCTCCCCCCCCAAAAAAACAAAACAAAGTGAAAGAGAGCTAAATTAGTTGCGGAAAATAGCCGATCACTTTTCTTTTTGTTGTTCTCCCTTTTGCCTTTTTCCTTTCCCTTTGCTTGCTGTTTGCCGTTTCAGAGCAAGGTAGAACATGCCTCATCAGACGCATGCAGAAGCGCATACTCTCTTTTGATGGTCTGGCTGCTTCTGACGTGGTCTCCGCATGGCGAAGCCCGGCAATGAAGGATTGGGTGGCAATGAGGGATTGGGTGGAAAAGCATGATGTCTCGCACTCTTTCCCTGCCTCTTCTGTCGGATGCGGCATGTTGCAAACGCGCTACTCTCACCAAGCAGAAGCAGTGAGAAACAGCTGGCACTGAGACCGGTCTCGAAAAGTCGCAAATCGAGCCAAGAAACACAGCAGCAACAAAAACACAAACAAACAAACAAACAAACAAAAAAAAAAAATCAATGAGTCGACTTCTTGTTTCCAGGCGCAATCTGACATTGAAAACGACGGCAGTGACCGACATTCGCGTGCGGGGAGAGGCAACACATCTTGTTAGTCTGTGCGATCTTCATGGAAAAAAAATTACGTGCCAGCGACGCTGAAGTCACCACTCCAACGGAAACTTTGTTATTTTTGCAGCTTGCTTTGAAACGCCATGCTCTCACTTTGTGAACGATGCCGATTCAAAACACAAGATGACACCAAAGCAGCTTGCCTTTGGACTGCTTCTGCTATTCTGCGTGGTAAATCACCTCCAGTTGGCACACGCTGTCGATGCATGCAGCGTGTGCAATTGCGGGGCAACGATCGTCTCTTGTGAAGGCCGAACTCTCACAGCCATTCCGAGCGGAATCCCAGTCACCACGGTAGTATTGTAAGAGTTGCCGCGAAGTTGATATTGAATTCAAGCAAGGATTTCCTAACTCGGCAAACGGTTGATAGGCAACTGTACAGCAATCAGATCACCGGCATTCCTGCAAACGCACTCACAGGCCTGACTGCGCTGAGAATTTTGTAAGCAAGCGTAGACATGAAGAAGCAAGCGTAAGTAGCGAGCGCTCACTCGTGTGCGACTTGTCCATCCACAGACACTTGTACAGCAACCAGATCACCAGCATTTCTGCGAGCGCCTTCACAGGCCTGATGTCCCTCAACCAATTGTACGCCACCACTCTGAATGCACGTATTCGATCCGCCTCTTTCTTACTTTGCTGGACTTGCAGGTTTTTGTTTAGCAACCCCTTCACCACTTTGCCGCCTGGTCTGTTCAAGGGCTTACCAAATGTCTTGTATTTGACGAATTTGTCAAACCGACTGTACCTCTATCTGAGCCCCAACAACTTTACCTATGGTGGAAATACTGCCGCTCCACCCAGCACATATGGCGATGCAGCCAATCCCTACAGTACGTTTCGCGATGGCTGCAACCTTCATGTGCTCTTGTGGCTGACCATTCTATTGCAGAGTGTGATACCGTCTGTGCCACCTGCTATGCCTCAGGGAACGATTCGTGTTGCGGGCCCAATTGTCTGACCTGCACTTCGTCTGCTGCATGTAATCAATGCTATGACGGCTATGGTTTGATGAGTGGATCCTGCGTTCCGCTTGCATCCATCGCCTCCGCCGCTTCAGTCGCGTCCACGCAAGCTGCCTCGGCTGCTTCGGCTGCCTCGGTCGCCTCAAGCAGATCTGCATCGATCGCCTCTGCCTCGGTTGCTTCTGTTGCGTCTGCTGCGACAAAAGCATTGATCGCCTCCGTCGCTTCAGCTGCGTCTACACAATCGGCCTCGGCCGCGTCAGTTGCATCAACGAAATCTGCATCCGTCGCGTCAGTCGCGTCCGTCTCGGTTGCTTCCGCTGCGTCAGCTGCGACATATGCCTCTATCGCATCCACGCAATTTGCCTCGGCTGCTTCAACCAAATCTGCGTCAGCAGCCTCGATCGCTTCAGCATCGGTTGCCTCTGTTGCGTCGGCTGCGACATATGCCTCTATCGCATCCACGCAATTTGCCTCGGCTGCTTCAACCAAATCTGCGTCAGCAGCCTCGATCGCTTCAGCATCGGTTGCCTCTGTTGCGTCGGCTGCGACATTCGCATCTATTGCCTCGGATGCTTCAGTCGCGTCCACACAGTTTGCCTCAGTCGCCTCTATCGCCTCAATCTCTGTTGCGGCGGCTGCGACAGATGCATCTGTCGCCTCATCCGCTTCTGCCTTGGCTGCTTTGGTTGCATCTGTCGCCTCGGACGCTTCTGCCTCGGCTGCCTCAGTTGCCTCAACTAAATCTGCGTCAGTCGCAGCGGTCGCCTCTGCATCGGTTGCTTCTGTTGCGTCAGCTGCGACAATTGCTACGATCGCCTCTGACGCTTCAGCCGTGTCCTTCCAGTTTGCCTCGGCTGCCTCGGTTGCATCAACCAAATCTGTTTCAGCCGCCTCAATCGCATCTGCCTTGGCTGCTTCGGGTGCATCTGTAGCGTCCTCCGCATCGGCGTCTGCTGCATCTGTCGCGTCCTCCATTGCAACAATCGGCGGTGGCTCCCAAGGAGGCTCATCTTCCGCGGCTGCTGTCGCCGCTGCGGGTGCTTCAGTTGCAATTATCGCGATCATAGCAGTGGCGTTCCTCGTGTTGCGACGTCGCCGATCACAGAGACGTTCAATTGCGCGACCAAAGGACTCTGCTCGGCCTGTCTATCAAGAGGCTTTGGAAATGTCAATATCTCCTTCGACTGAATCTTACAAAGGGGATGACAGTTCGGCTCCCATCGTGTACGACCAAATTCAGCCAGAGCCGCAGGACCCTGCTTGCCCCATCTATCTTGAGGCCGATGAAGTGACCATCTCGCCCCTGAATCACTCGACTCGAGCTCACACCGCGGAGAACACCTCAGCGTCCGCAGTACCAGCTCAAAAGCAGCCAGAACCATTATACCAAGCCATGTCGATAACCTCTACGGACGACTATGCAAGCGTGTACGTTGAAGGCAGCAATTCTCGTCACATCCGTGAAGACTTGACCCTTGTCAAGCACCTTGCCAGTGGAAACTTTGGCGATGTTGCACTGGGCCAAGTGCCGTTCAGCGTGTTGCCCCAACGAGCACAATCCTTGCTTGGACCTGCAGCATCCGACACGGTGCAAGTTGCAGTCAAGTCTCTCAAGTCTGATGCAGACGAAAAATCGCGCAAGGACTTTGAGAGCGAGGCGAAACTGATGGCGCCGTTCGTGCATCCGAATGTCGTGCGCCTTCTTGCCGCTCTTGTCGAGTCAGAGCCCCATCTCGTTCTGTTGGAGTTTGTGCAGTATGGCGATTTGCGCACCCTGCTGCAAAAGTCCAAGCTCCACTCGCTTTGGTGGACCCAGAACGAGCAGGTGCACGCCATTCGCCAGATTGCACTCGGCATGGAGTACCTGGGCACGCTTCACTTTGTGCACCGTGATCTCGCCGCGCGTAACTGCCTTGTGGGCCAAGGAATGGTGGTCAAGATTGCCGACTTTGGACTTTCTCGCGAGCTGACCGACGAGAACGATTACTATCGCATGGAAACGCGCGGCAAACTTCCTGTGAAGGTGGGCCGACGTTGGGAATAGGTTGCTTCTTGTTGCTTTCAAACTGACTTTTGTTGATGCTGCATTTTTAAGTGGATGGCACCGGAAACGATCACTTTCCGCAAGTTCTCGTCCATGTCGGATGTGTGGTCGTTCGGCGTGACAGCCTGTGAGTATATCGTTGTGCTCCGCTGAAATTCGCACTTGCGTCGAGATTTGACTTTGACTGGTGCATGTTGGTAGGGGAATGCTGCAGCTATGGCACAATGCCGTACCGCAAGATGAGTGGTGCAGAGACCCTAGCCCATGTGGAGGCGGGAGGTCGACTGCCCCAGCCAGAGTACTGCGCAACCGACCTATTTAGCCTGATGCTTAGTTGTTGGAGTCTTCTCCCAGAACTGCGACCAAACTTCACTCAGCTAGTGAAAGCTCTAGCAACCTTTGAGGATGGGACGCCCATCCGCGACATTGGTGGAATGTTGTGAAAATAGACATGTAGGACTCGGCACACTCAATAAATAAAAACAACAATGTTGAACAAACCCGCCAATAACTTCTCAAAGCGCTTTCAGAGGCCGTAGAAGGACGTTGGCGGCAAACAGCCCGCCACACAAGCACATGGCAGTCAGCAGCATGGCAGAAAAGTTGGCACTAGCATCCGTGTTGATGTTGGTGGACGCGCCAGCGAGTGCCCACATGGCTTTCACGCCGAGAGAGCCAGGAACGAGCATAATGATACCCGAGAAGATGATTGTCGAAGAGATTGCGTGTCGAAGAATGTACGTGGACAGGTTGCCTGCGATCGCAAGCGCAAACGCGCCGACAAAAGACGCGGCGTTCGATCCGATCGCGATTGGGAGGTAGCGACCGCATACAATGCCAATGGTATCAGCGAGAAGAACCATCAGGAAGTTCCTCCAAGGCACTTGGAGAAGCCAAGAGGTACCGATCGCGGCCAGCAGAATCGCAAGCACCGTCAGCCAATCCGGCAGTGACTCTGGCGCATTGGGCGCGGTTGTCGTCTGCGACGGCATGACGTTATCGACAAAGTAGACACCAAGCATTGTGCCGCCGGCAAGTTGCAGAATACTAATCAACGCGCCGGACAAGCGAGCCACGCCTATGATTAGACAAACAGCACACGCATCCGTCAGCAATCACCAACACCAAGCGGTCCCGGAGCGAGTTTTGTCGAGCAGCGAGCATTAATTTTCTTATTCATACCCGTCAAGTACTTCTTGTAGGAGATTTCCGCGAAAGCAATTGTCACCGACATTCCAGGAACTGTCCAAGGGAAGAATCAATCGGAGGAAACGATCAGTCAGATCAGTCAGCACAACATGCAACTCTCCTATCCACCACCGTCGACTGAACACCGACATTGTCGATCGACTTACCAAGCATAATGATGCCAGATAACGTGACCAGGTAGATCGAGATTTGACTTCCATTCACGTAACTAACAATCGCAGCCGTAATGGCTCCGCCAAAGCCGGCCACGATTTCAACGAGAAGCGATGCGCCTTGAAAGTGGCGAGCAATCGCCATCACGCAGCAAAGATAAAAGCCAACAACCAAGCTCGCAAAAAGTTCGTATCCCGAGCCGCCGAACAAAAACGAGACCACGCCAGCCAACAAGATAATGCCCAAGCAAGAGTAAATGAATGAAAAGCGAGGCGGTCTGTCGGGCCAAATGCAATCAACCACAGACAACTCGTCAGTGATTTCATCCGAAAAAAAAAAAAAAAACAAACCCCACACACTGTCAGCCGTTACCTGGCCATGATTTCTCGAATCCGATCAATGCCTTCCTCGACGGCGATATTGCCCAGCGCGACTTCCTCCGCCAGGGTGTCCAGCTCGGCGAGTTTGCTCATGTCAAGATCACCTGCTGACATTGTGATGAGATGAGTGATTGGCGACTGGATGGAGTCCGGCGGGCCAAATGAGGCAAAGAGGACTATGGCAAGTTTCGAGTCGAGTACGGTGAGTGTGAGAGACGGAGAGAGATAGGACTTTACAGCGGCTTCACAAACAAAAACTCAATGGCACAAAACAAAACGGCGCAAATCTAAACTGACCTCCAGGAACAGCGAAAAAGTTTCCCTCCAAGCCATGAGCTTTGCACATCATGTCCAATTGATAATTGAGACGGTGTACAGGAACTGCAGGAGAAAGAGAGAGCACACGCAAAACGCCCCAACAATCAGACGTGTAATTTCTCGTTCAGGTAGGTGCAAACTCGCGAGCAATACTTACCTCCACACGCTTGCAGAGCTTTGCCCATCTGCATGACGTACGGAATGACAACCTGCTCAGCTTCGTCACTCGTGTAATCGAGTTCGCGGTTGGGAATTTGAGAGCGGTGCACTGGTGTCTCGATGGAAAGGTACTTGCTGAGGAACCGACGAACAGGGGACAAGAAACTGTCAAAGTCAAAGAAACAAAACCAAGAACGCAAAGTGAATCAAAGAGAAGGAATCAGCTCAGGTTCAGGCAGATTGGTTTTTAAAAAAAAATCAACAAGAAAAAAAAAGAAAAAAAGAACAAAAAAAAATATCGTACCGATACAAACGATTGTACTCAACATCAGCAATTAAACTGGGGTGACGCTTGAGTACGAATGAGGACATGGACTGGCGTGAAGGGGCACCATCGCGAGCAGCAGCGTTCAAATCTCGCCAAGAATTCGAGCGAGAGTTTGCATAGAACATGAGAGGAAGAGACCGCGCCGACGAGGTCGCAGTCAAGTCGACCACTGCAGAATCCGAGCCCTCGACCTCGGGCTGGCTGGTGTGGTGATCAAAGACGGACGGCGCAGACTCGGAATCCTTCATGGGTGCAGTGAAGGACAGTTCCGAGTGGCTTGATTCGACTGAATGTTGGGCAAGTAGATGCCGGTCGGAGCTGTGCGAACCCCGGCGCTGGAGAGGTGGCAGTGCATTGTCAGTCGGCGCAGTCATGGTTGCCTCTGAAGCAGTTCGGGAAATTTCAGTCGAGCGCTCCGCAATCGCCGCCATGGTGGGAAGACCGCGTGGCGAGACGGTCGTGTCGAGGCGGCTAAGCGAGCTCGAGGAGGCCGGTTTGACCAAGCCGGAGCCGGCTGAAGGGAGGGCAGGTGCGGCCCAATCATGGGCTTGAGGATTGTAGCTGCCCGCGCCGACGGCCGGATCCAGATTGAGCTGCTCGATGGATGAACGGGGCGTTGCGGTCGTCGGAGCGAAAGGGTTCGTGAACGGGTTGGGGTGTTGCGGCAGACCAGCAGCGGCGGACGGAGCAAACGGTGAACCAAAGTTCCCAGGAGCTGAGGCGCCAGCATGCGGCAACGCGCCGCCGCCGTGTTCACGCTGCTGCCAATGATGCTGCGGGAGGTAGTGGTGCTGGAACGGCGCCTCCATGTCTTTCGGACCAAACACCAGCGCCGAGTTGGCAGCGGCGAATTCGCTACCCGAGCCCGTGTCGAATGCGGCATCGAATCCAAACTGGCGGTAGGCTGTATCTGCCAACATTGGGTTGGCAGCAGCAGCGGCAGCAGCAGAAGTAGCAGTAGCAGTAACACCACCAGCAGTTGCATGAGTAACAGCAGCAGCAGCAGCAGCAGCAGCAGCAGCAGCAGCAGCAGCAGCGGCAGCAGAAGCTCGGGCAATGGCACCGCGGTCCCGATGGAGTGCGAGGTCTTCGCTGCGCGCATCGGACGACTTGCGCGGGGCGGACAGGACGAGCATGTCGTCGTCGGACGGCTGGCGGTTGTCCCTCGACGACATAAAGTGCGGGTCGTGGCTTGAGCTGCGAGCGAGCGACCGAAGCGCCGGCGTGGACTGCGAGGCGAGCGCGCGCGGATGGGACATGGCGGGATTCGCTCCAATGATGCCGGCAGCCCCGAGCCTGTCCACCGCCGCCGCTGCGTGAGAGTGCGCGTCGTTGTGTGCAGCCCCCGAGGACGTCGCCGCGAGGTTGGACGTGGCCAGTGGCGACGGGCGAGCGGAGGTCGAGGTCATCGAGCTGGCGGCCATGCGGTGGTGCGCCCCGGCTGCGGTCGAAGCGGTCGTCGTCCTGCGCGAGACGAGCGACGCGCGTTCGGCGGCATCGCTGCCATCGCCAGGCCGCGGCGACGGGTGGTTTGGTGTCGAGAATGCATTTGCGAACGCCGCGCCAGGCTCTGTCGTGAAGTGCGACAAGTCCATCGGCAGCTATTAAGAAAGAGAGAACGAACGAACGAAAACGATGACTGGAAACCACCGAACCGTGCGTGATTTCGCTCCCCATTTCAATGCAATGTGAAGCCAGTAGATCTAGGATCTGCAAATGCCACCCATGTATGACAATCGTCAATGGTTTGCATTGAATCAAGAAGAAATCTCAGTCCTTTTTTTTTTTTGTCTTTCTGAGATGTTTTTCTCAACGCTTTTTGCCATCTTTGCTGGCGTTCTGGCGTGGTTTGGCTACGAGCTGCGCCCTGTCGAAACCAAGCTGAAGGTAACGCACATGATGCAGTCGAATCGAACGCCAGAGTGACAGAGTCATGTGGAGACTGACGCTTGGAGGGAACTTTGGGAATTTGGATGCGAACAGGATCCAGTGTGGATGCGCGCAGACTATGAAGCTCGCAAGCAGGCGCTCATCAAGACCATTGCAGGTGAGTGCGTTCAACGATTTTGGATGAAGGGTGGGAAGAGGCAGGGTGAAGAGGAAGAGATGGAGACAGACAGACCATTCGACCGCTTTTCGTCTTCATCCTTCTCCTTCGTCACTCACCCTTCTTTGTCACTCGTGTTGCGTTCGATCGTGTTCACGTTCGAGCAGCGCGTACTGCAGACTCTGTCCTCGCGATTGGCGGCAAGAAGACCACGCAAGTCCCCCCACTGAAAATGCGATGCGAAATCTCACCTCATCTCACTGTGGAAAGGGACATCTTGTATGACATTTGACAGAAACCTCTTCCGCTTCCGAAAGCAGCCCAAGAAGGCCACTCGCCTCGACGTCAGCTCGTTCAACAACGTCATCCATGTTGATCAGGAGAAGATGATTGTTGAGGTTGAAGGCGAGTTTTAAACAGACAAAAAAACAAAAAAGCGAAGAGATGTTTCACTCATCTTCCTCATGCTGTGACTGGATTCGGGACTTCATGCAGGAATGACCACCTACGAGCGTCTGGTAGATGCCACACTTGCTGCTGGCGTCATGCCGACCGTTGTGCCCGAGCTGAAGGTACTTCAACTTTTAAGATTGGGATGATGCTTTCATCTACTCTCCTCGGCTTTCACTCACATGCGCGCGCGACTCTCTTCTTCGCTTTGCTGTTTCAGAGCATCACCATCGGCGGTGCCATCAGCGGCATTGGCGTGGAATCATCGTCGTACAAGTATGGGTTTGTCCACGAGACGGTCTTGGAGATGGAGATTCTTCTGTGCAACGGAACCGTCGCCGTTTGCTCGCGAGAGCAGAACAGCGATTTGTTCTTTGGCATGGCCAACAGGTATCGTAGTTTGGCGGCAGTTTTCATGATGTATCCTTGACTGCTTTTCGCGGATTTCGTTTTTTTGATCTTCACGCTCCCCTTCTCTCTTTCCCACAGCTACGGCACTCTCGGCTATGTGCTGAAGGTCAAGGTCAAGGTGGTGCCAGTCAAAAAGTACGTTCAGGTGCGCCACATTCGCTTCAACAACATGAAGGACTACTTTGCGGCCGTCGAGGAGCACTGCAAGACGAATCGTCCGGACTTTGTCGACGGCGCCATCTTCAACCCCACGGAAATGTACTTGTCCCTGGCCACCTTCTGCGGTATGCATGGCCTTCTTTCAACCATTTTTGAATTTCGACAATGTCTTTTTTTGACTCATTGTTCATGACTTTGACATCACAGATGAGCTTCCCCACGATGTCAAAAAGCCTTCCGACTACTCGTGGATGGGCATCTACTACCGCTCGCTGCAAAACAAGTCTGTCGACTATCTGACCAACAAGATGTACATTTGGCGGTAAGTGCTCAGCTCGCTTGTGCATGATTGACTCTTTTGTCTGCAATCCTTTATATTCACTGCTGGTTTTCGTTCTAATATTTCTCGGAATTGCGCAGCTGGGATTATGACTGGTTCTGGAACAGCAAGTACTTCCACATGCAGCACCCCGTTCTTCGCTTCCTCTTTGGCCGCTGGGTTTTGCGCTCGACGGTGAGATTGCACATTTTTTTTTTTGGCAAGACTGCCAGCAAGCTCAACACACTGTGTTTGTTTTTTGTTGAAACCAGATTTTCATGAAGGTCTTCCGCGCCTTCCACCGCAGTGGTCTGTACGATAGCAAGCGCCGCGAGCTCGTCATCCAGGATGGTACATAATTTGCTTTGTCGAACTCGATTGTGTGTTATGCGCTGCACTCACGCCACACCCTTGGTTTTCTCTTGCTTTGCAGTCGAAATTCCGATTCAGAACTGCGTGTCCTTCATGGAATTCTTCAACAAGGAGGTTGGCCTGCCGAATGGTATTGTATTTTTTGTTTTGGAAGGAGCGAAATTTTGAACTTGTACTGACTCTTTGCTTGTTTTTCTCTGGTTAGATTTTTACCCTGTTTGGATTTGCCCCGTCCGCACTTACGATCAAAGTGTTGTGTACCCTCTGTACAAGGTTCGTTCGTTCAATTGGTCATTGGTGGTTTTGAAGTTGTGCTTTGTTTGCTCACCTTTCGTTCTCAAACTTGCAGATCCACCCCACCGATCTGTATGTCAACTTTGGTTTCTGGGATGGCGTTGCGGTTCGTGACAACCAGCCTGGTTTGATCAACAAGATGATTGAGAACTCTGTTCGCGATCTGAGTAAGCATTGTTGGGCAGTTGTTGCTTTGAGTTCTTGACCTGAACCTGACCGTTTGACGACTGCCATCTTTGCTTCTGCTCCTTTTTGTTTTCCACCAACCTGCAGAGGGCAAAAAGTCTCTGTACTCGTCGGGTCATTACGAGGAGACAGAGTTCTGGCAAGAGTACAACCGCCCCGCGTACGACGCGCTGCGCACAAAGTACCACGCCACTTCTCTTCTGGACTTGTACCAAAAGTGCGTCGCTGCCAACTAACCACTGGCAATTCCAAGGGGCAACAACAGCACGCTCCCTCGATTGCTGTTGTCTCACGTTTGTGATGGTTTTGCGTGTGTTTTCCCAATATCCCAATATAATGCATTCCATTCACAGCCATGCCATCATCTCCCGAAAGCACACACCTCCCACCATCCAATGCCTCCCTAAACTGCACCATTCACAAACGCACTCAAAAAGTGCCAAGAAAACCCCCGAACACTTTTTGTTTATTGGGCCGAAATGAGATTCATCGCCACTGCAAGCTCAGCGTTGAGAAGTGCTCCACCGGCAGCACCAATGATGGTATTGTGCGACAACAACACCATCTTGAAATCGAGGATGGGGCACGGACGCACGCGACCGACAGACACGGTGAAGCCGCCGCCCAGATCGCGGTCAAGACGCGGCTGGGGACGATCGTGCTGGGTCTCTGGGAAGGCAACAAGCGGCTTGAAGTTCTCCCCCAAGGTTGGCAAGTGCGCGACAGAGCAGGTGCTTGGCCGCGGCAGCGCGCAGTTCTCGAGGACGGCCTGCACCTGCGCCGAGGTGACATCGCGCTGCCGAATGCGCACTGACAGGCACTCCGTGTGTCCATCGATGACAGCGACGCGATTGCACATGGCAGACGCTTTGATAGGCAACGGATGGATGCCGCTGTGGTCTGGCTTGAGCGTGCCGAGAATTTTGCTCGGCTCTGTCTCCAGCTTGTCCTCTTCGCCGCTAATGTATGGAATGACATTGTCGAGAATGTCGAGCGAGCTGACGCCAGGGTATCCAGCGCCGCTGACCGCCTGCATGGTTGTGACAATGAACGACTCGAGGCCGAACGCCGCGTCGAGCGCGCGGAGGACGACCACCAGGCCCGTGCTTGAGCAGTTTGGATTGCATACAATAAATCCCTTCGACTTGCCTTCCCGTTGCTGGGCAGCGACGAGGTGCAAGTGCTCCGGATTCACCAACGGGACAACCAGCGGCACGTTCTCGTCCATTCGGTGATTCTTCGAGTTGGAGAAGACTGGAATTCCCGCTGCTGCGAATGCGGATTCTGCAAAAGGGGGGTTTGTTGTTTCAAAATCGGAGCATAGTCAAAGAATTTCATTCGGTCATGAGTAAGTGGGATCATGTCCAGGGTTGATGTCACCGCCAGCAGCAGCGTGACTCTTGCGCACGTACCAACTGTGCCGGCAATCGAGCTGTCGAGCGCCGAGAAGACCAGATCGCAGTCCGTAAAGCTTGCAGGATCGCATGGCCGCATTGTCATTGCCGCGACATGCGCCGGGCACGGGGTCGGGAGCGTCCAGTGGCGGCTCGCAGCGCCGTACTGCAATCCCGCGGATCGCTCGCTGGCACCGAGACCAGTCAGCACAAACCACGGGTGGGGCTGTCCCGGCCTGCACAGCAGCTGTACAAACCGCTGGCCAACCATTCCGGTGCATCCGAGCACGCCGACGCGCAGCGATCGTGGAGCGGTAGTCGTCATTTCGATGATACTGTCGGAGATGGAGTTGCTCAAAAATGACTGAAAATCTGAGATGATCCTGGAAAGTGAGACGTGAACCCGAATGGCTATAGAATCATTATTGTCATTTCCATTGAGTTTGTCAAAACGTCCCAATTCGCTCAGAAAGCAAACCGTTTGAGGATTTACTCTTTTTTTTTTTTTTTTTTTTGAATCATGTCTGACACTGCATTGAACGACGCTGCGTCTGCCTCGTCTGGCTCGCCCGCAGCGCCTGTCGCGACTGCAAGGTATGACCCGAAGGGTCCGACTGCAGGTATGCCGAGCTCACACCCCACTCCCTGCTGCCAGCATCACAAGAATCTCGCGGGTGACCAGAAAGAAAGCACGCCGTTTTATCTCTTTCACTCAGATCCGCGTGGTCGGGGGTCGTTCCACCCAACGACGGATCATTGCCTTTTGCCGTTGTGTTGATCAACTTTGTGACTTTGTGGAGCAGCTTTCTGAGCACAATGAGCGGCGTTTGCAAGTTGCTCGCATGCATCCTTGGGGCAGAAACAAAAGCAAACAAACGCAAAGCAAAATATTTGAAAATTCTCATCTGCTTGTTTTGTTTTGATTTCTCACCTTCGTTCCTGCAAATCTGCAATCGTCCTTCCCCCCCCCCCAATCCCAATCCCAATCCCAATGATACACACATAGAAACCATGTTCCCGCACTTGTTCAGCGGCAAGGCAGGCTACTCTGACCCCTTCACCACGTTGCATGACCACGACGCCCCGGAAGCCAGGACGCGAGTCGAGCTGACCATGAAGCAGCTGAGCGGCGAAATCCGCAACAAGCCCAACTGGGAGACCAAGATGCTCAACCCCGAAATTGTCGCCAAGTGGCGCAAGGAGGCCAGCGACGCGTACGCTGTCGAAGACGACTACATCGTTCCCGTCACGACCAAGATGCTCGACTACGTGTTTGCAGAGCTCAAGGAGTACGCAAAGTTCAAGCAAGCGCAAGGCGGCAAGATTGAGCACGCTGCTGTCGATGACACGTTCCAGGCGGACGGACTCGTGTCGGATGAGCTGCGCCAGCGCTTGCTTGCCGGAGTCGCTCGCCTCGAGGACGTGCCCGAGCACCTGAAGGACTGGCACCCGGGCAGCGATCGCCAGGTCCTGGATCTTGTGCATCCGTCCTTGTTCTGCCTCGTCTATGGGCGTACGCGCCACACCACCAAGCCGATCGTCGAGGCGCTTGGTTCGGTCGGCGGTGGCGAAATCCTTCCCGTGCTCCCGCTCGCGTACGAGCACGACTTTAACACGTCAACCCAGTGCCAGTGGCTGCCGAGTGAATTCCGAGTCCATGACGACGGCCGTGTCACAATCGAGTCTTACATTAACAATCTCCACCCCGTCGAGCACGCCGAGCTCTACCCTGTGCTGGCGAGCATCTTTGAAGCGTTTGTTCCAATGTTTGAATTGACGCTGGCCGCGGCGCCCGACATTCAACACAGCTTCATACGCCGTGTGGAGCCTGGCAACTGGTATCGTCCGCTCACCGAGGAGGAAGAGCGCGCCGTTAAGCAAAAGCTCCGCGCCGCTAAGCAAAAGCGCCGCGCCGCTAAGCAAAAGCGCCGCGCCGCGAAGAAGGCAGCAATGGACGAGGACGACGACAAGGACGACGACGAGGACGAGGACGACGACAAGGACGACGAGGACGACGACGACGACGACGAGGACGACGACGAGGACGAGGACGACGACGAGGACGAGGACGACGACGAGTTCTACAATGACCCGGAGGTGGAGTTTGGTGTCTTTGTCATGCCCGAGCCGGGAGAGTACAAACCGCCCAGAGCCGGCGACGAGTACCCTTCATGCAACCTGCGCGGTACCACCCTCCAGGTCATTGTGAAGCTGGCAAACATTTGTCTGACCCCGGAAAACCCAACCTACCAGGGCGGCTCCTGGCACGTCGAGGGCATGCGCAACGAGCACATTGTTGCGTCTGGCATCTACTACTACCAGCAGGAGAACATTACCGAGTCCAACCTCGACTTTCGCCAGTCCGTCTCCGGGCCCTGGGAATACCAGCAAAACGACACTACTGGCGTCTTCCGGGTGTTTGGCTTGGAGAATCGAGGCGAGCTCAATCAGATGCTGGGCGGCATCGCGACCAAGGACAATCGCTGCATTACCTTCCCAAACACGATGCAGCACCGCGTGCGCTCGTTCCAACTCCTGGACCCGACCAAGCCTGGCTCGCGCAAAATTCTCGTCTTCTTCCTCGTTGATCCCGACCTGCGCATTCCGTCGACCAAACACATTCCCCCGCAGCAGCGCAGCTGGTACATGCAAGAAATCTTGACCACGCCCGTCTTCCCGCCGGCAATTCCCCCGGAGCTTGTTCAAATGATTTTGGATTACTCGGATTGGCCCATGGGGCTCGAGGAGGCCAAGCAGCACCGCGAGACGCTGATGAACGAGCGCAAGCAGTTTGTCATGGCCAACAACAAAGCCGTGTTTGCGCGTGAGTGTTCGCTGTGCGAGCACTGATTTGTTTTTTCTTGTTTTGTCGGCATGCATCAGATTGGGCGATGAGGTGCCTTTTTGTTGGAGCTGCCGCGCGTGACTGTGACTGTGTGCGTGTGTTTCTGTTGTCAAAGAATAAAGCGATCAGCGCAACTTATACTGCTTTTGTGTCGGCCATTTCTTCACCTCTCCGTTCGCCTCCGACAAAGCTGAATCAAGAACACGGATGCCCAAAGCGATGCTTTGAACTCACGCTCAACACGCGCTGTCAAGAACGAGCTTTGGTACAATTTAATCTGATGAGGAAATGGTGGTACTTTTCCAGTGATTTGCAATGCGTGTCTATCGTATAATAGCACTGTACAGTCAGAACAACGATGGCGATTTCCCGCTTCTCAGCAAAACAAAAAAAACAATCTGAGTGACTCAGTCTCCCCTTTTCATTGCCTTTGGCCCACTCACCAACACACACAATGGCAGCGGGCGGCGTGGTTGAGCTGGATGTCCTTGTCTCAGACCCCGTGCTGCTGAATGCAGGCGTGTTCAACCTGTGGCTGCAGGGCGACACGATGGACCAGGCACTCAAGTCGCGCTACACGCTCGAGATTAGCACCCAGCTGACGACCGCCGTCATTGTCAGCGACACGGCAGACCAGTACCAGCTGTTTGCCATCCTCGAGCACTACCTCCACAACCCAAGGTACCTCGCATCGCAGTCCATCGTCCCGCTCGCGCCGAGCCTCCAGCAGACGCTTCTCGATCGCTACTACTCGTTCGACGACGCCGTCGTCCGCGAACTCCTCGGCAAGAAGCTCTCCGCTCGTGTGCGCAAGGATCTCGACGACGTCAGTGAAAAGGCAGACGTGTCGCTGCAGAACTGCCGGCGTCAGGTACAGCAAGCCGAACTGGGAGGACGGTCGAGCAGTCTCCTCCAAACGCAGAGAGTTTGTTGGTTCTCGTTCGATCAAGGGCTCTCACTCGTCGTTTTGTTGTACTCTTGTTATTCTTAGTTTGATAACATCAAGCGGATATCACGCGCCGTGGAAGACGCCGACGGCGGCTTGGAGGAGAACATTCAGGCCAACTTTTTGTTATCGCCCGAGACCACTCGGTACGTCAACGATTCTCGTCGAACAAGCGACGCGCTTAGCTGATGAAGAATTGAATGTTGCTTTTGATGTTGCCAACCGTAGCATTGTTTTGAGCGAAACTGACGGCCTGTCTTTTTACGCTTTTACACAACCCTTTTTTCGGTTTTTAGAAAATACGCGCGAATCGTCTTCCTCTGCGGCAACCGGTTTGAGACAAACAAGAAAAAGCTCTCGCCTCTGACATTTAGCGACTTTATGCAGTTTGCGGCGGTCATGATGGAGAACTGGACTGTGAAAGGAGCTCCGCCCGGAGAAGACCTCGATCCCAACTTCCTTCGGGACTTGCGCGAGCTTCGCGGTGTGCTCACCAACGACAAGGACGTTCTTGTCGAGCAGCGTCGATTTGTGCAGCAAGATATGATTCAAGGCAACGCGACCCTGTCGGCAACCGTCACAGAGACGTCGTCGTCGTTGACCGCCCTTGGCGGGCTCTCCAACCGCTCCTTGCCAGGGGTTGGCCTCGGCGGCTCTCAATCCAACCTTGCTCCCGCGTCCGTGGTGGCGTCGCCGTGGGCCCGCATGGGCGTTGAGGAACGGAGCGCGCTGTTTGAAAGGAAAATGTTCCCACTCTTCAAAACATTGCTCCGCAACCTCTTTGCCATTGCGTCGGGCCTGTCCCAAAGCAAGGAACTTCGTGACATTTTCATCGATCTTCTTGAAAAGTTTGTCGAGCCATGTCGCGAGGCTGACTGGACTGTGGCCGAGCTCGAGGCCTTCTTGAGCTCCACCATGCGATCGTTCGATCATCTCGAGACTGTAAGTCGGGCCGTCCGAAGTCGGTACCAGCTCGTCTATCGAAGATACCTTGTTGTCGTGTCCCTGTGTACCACTCGCATGCTGAAGCAAGTGTTGTAAAGAAAGAAAGAAACAAAAAAAATTGAAACAAATTATTTGCCTTTGTTTCATTTTTTTTTTTTTTGGTTTTGTTTGTATTGTCTGTCTTATTCACAAAAAATCAAGCTTTCCAGCTAATCAGCGATGCCCAGGCTTTTCAAAAAAGCAAACTCCCAAAGCTCAGAGCTTGCTCACAGGTGCGTGGGGCTGATCGACCGACCAGCCGCAAATTTGGTCGGCAACAATGTTCAGATGATCCTGTCCCCAGAGCAACTGCTGCGGACCAGTGCCAGTGTCGACTTGGTAACTGGGCACTCCACAAGCACCGGCTGCCACAGCCCTGGACGTGTTGTCCTTGAGTTGCTGCTTGACAGATTCGTCGTTTGCAGCCAGAATGAGCGCTGCGCCGTCAAACCCAGCCTCGTCCAACACTTGCTTGAGAACATCCGCAGAGCCAACATCCTTGTCCTGCGTCCAGGCCGCCAGGTAGATGGCACGGGTCACAGCAGCTGCATTGGCTTTGCCTGCGGCAATTGCGACACGACATGGCACGACCGTCCGGAGGGGAAAGGCTGAAGGGAATGCAAAGGCCACTTCCTCCCCACCCAGCGAAGCATTCCGGTACTGCAGCCAGTCTTGCAGATCTGCAGAGTAATAGTTGCGCTTGGCTTCAGACATGGCCAGAGCTGGGACGTTCGGCGTCCCAATTTCCTTGAACAGGGCACCCAGCAGAATCGGAACCCAGTCCACCACAATCTGCACTCCCAACCCGGTAACTGTCGGCTGAGCAAGCGTTCGATCAAGGACACGCGAGCCCAAATACGACCACGGGCTGGAAAAGTCGTGGAACACCGTCAGGGTTACACGCTTGGGCGAGCTTGGCGATGGCAGTCGCAAACGCAACGGATGGGCGTTGGCATTGCCGAGGGCGCGTTCAACAAATGTCAAGCGGTCTGCGCCCCAGAACAAGCGATCGTTGACCCAGAAGCTGTGTTGACCAAATACAATGAAAAAGTGTCAAAACAAAACAAAAAAGCATGAGTGCGATGGCGCTTCAGATGCTTTTCTCCATCCACAGTTTGACATTGCTCTGTTGCCACACCTAGGAACACCGAATGCACCTCGAGAGAGCGCTTCGTCCGTGTTTCGCTCGAGCGCCGCTTTTGATTCGGGCGCTCCGATTCTTTCTTGCACATTGGGCGTCTCTGCGCCAAGGCTGGCTTGTGCAATCCGCTGCAACGTCGCCTCGGACGAAATATCCTGCTCATCGACCCAGTACGCCCTGACAGCATTTTCCATGCATACAATCGGAGCGATTTAGAGTTGAGCAACCGGAAGTGAAAATCATCGGTCAACCGGAAAAAAAAAAAAAGAACGAGACTCTGACGAATAGGAAATTCGGTACCGATATAATGCATGTGTCAATGCACGACGATGGGCGTCGTTCTTGGTGCCCGCGAGCAGACGCATTGCGTTGAGGGATCGCACGGGATGCATCGGATTGAAGCGAAGCGGGATGTTGTATCGCACGGCCAGCAGCGCGAGATCGGCCGCAGCAATGGCCTTCTTGCTGGCCGGCATGACGTCGGACGCAGAGCCATCCTTGCCCTGAGGCGCGCTGGTGGCCTTGTAAAGCGCTCCGAGGAGCACCGGGCGGAAGACAACCCGCGAGCCGTTCCGACAGCGCTCCGCGGCCGCCTCGATGAGCTGCGAGGCCATGTACGCGTACGGGCACACAATGTCATAGTAAAACACAACGTCCGGCATTTTTGCTGGAAGCAACAAGGAGACAAATGTTAGACCGAATGATGGAGTGCTTGGAAATTTCAGGACTGAAACGATGATCCACGTCAGCCAGGGTCGAGAAGCAACCGCGCATCGTCGCAATCCGCTGGTTTTTTACGGGTTTACTCGCTCCTTGGTATGCGATATCTCTAGATACTACGCTTGCACAGCTGGCAATGGAACCGCAACAATCGAAAATCACCATTCAATTCAAACATTTGAAAAATTTGGCCAAATTGGATTCACTCAGTCTCATTCACTCAGTCTCAGTCTCACTCGTTCAGTTCCATTTCAACGACGCATGATTGAAGTCGACGTCTTTTGGTCGTTTGCGATCGGCGCTTGCTTTGCAGCTTGCGCAGGCAGGGCTCTGCTGCTGGACGGGTCGGCCAATTCGACAACGCCTCCTGGTTCACGCTCCAGCCGTTCTCACGCAGCCGCCGCGTCTCCCGCACAATCGCGGTCGCGCTCGCGTTCGCGTTCGCGTTCACCCGCTCGTGGCAGCACTGACTCGCTGCGCACAGCTGCACCTCAGCGCGCATCGGGTTCTGATGCCGACAATTGGACCCGTCATTCGAGCAATTTGGCCAGTTTGAATCACTCGAGCGGAATCAAGGCGCTGCTGCTGGCTCCGATCGACGCCTGGATGGCAGAGTACTGCTACAACAAGTACTTTGTGTACACTGTGCTGTTCCTGTCGTGCGTTTTTGCGCCGTCTGGCGCATGGCTGCTCACCGATTACCCGGGATGGGAATCCATGTACCTGTTTGAGAACGACGCCAATGTCACCGGACCGCTGGCCGCGCTGTTTGCCTCGACAAACACCCTTCTTGGTGTTCTCGGATTCACGCTGGCAACCAGATCCATTCGCCGGAATGGCGGCTCGACGTTCGGTGCGCACCAAATGTGGATTGCGAGCTACGCGTGCATGTTTAGCATTCTCGGCTTTGGGTACCGTCGCTTCCTGTACCCGGCCTCTGGCGAAGAGTGGTATGCCGGCCACTACTATCCGCTTGTTGACTTTTTCACTTCGGACGTGTTCTTTACGCTGCTCGTGATGGGCGTGCCTATTTTGCCCGGACTTTGGATTCCGTGCTACGTCTGGCTGTCGGAAAACCGGTACACGAAGGCTGAAAAGTCCAGCATTCTCTGGGTGCTGTTCCGCACCTGGGCAGTCTTGCTGGGACTGGGCACCGTCGGGTTTGCCGTTTACATTGCAGCGGTTCACTTTTTGGGCCGCAACGTCTCGCTGCTTCCGTTTTCTGCCGCATTTCACAGCTCGGTCGTGTGGTACGAGTGGCTCTACCCGTTAGTTGGATTCTACGTTGCCAATGTTGCCCTATTTGCCGTTTCGAGCCTCCCGATGCAACTGTTTGAAGTGGTCGAGTCAAAGGCGGCCAAGCGCAATGCTAGCCGATCTGTCAAGCAGTCCTAACAGTTGGAACATGTCATGTGCGCGTTGTCTTGTTGAGTGATACCTCTGGTTCGATGCTGGCAGAGTGTCTGATTGTCATTTTCACTCTCAGTAAACGAGACAGTAGACCCGCATCCATTCTGTTGATTTCAAGTTGTTCATAACGCTTTTAAAAAGAGGTACCACACAACGGGCGCGACACACCGTTCATCTCAGCCTTCTCCCCGCCTAAACCGGATGACGAGTCTATCTGACAGTCGCGCTTTGGAGCACTCATGATTTCCCTGCTTTCTTTGTCTTCCACTTCCTGTCCAAGGCAATGAAAGTCGGGGTTTTTAGCCTGTTCCAAACTAGATCTAAAATAAAAGTAAACACTCGGAAAAGACAGCTGATTACTCATTTTTTTTTCCTTCGTTTTTGTTTTTCCTTTTTTTTTTTTCCTTTTTCTTTCTGCTTTCTTTGTAAGTTTGCAACGCAAGTGAGCCCACAAGGAGCAATCCGGTGGTCTGCTTTGATCTCCTTGCTTCGTTTGGTTGAATGGAGCCGCATCTCACAAGAGCACGCGAGGGGGTAAAACTGTGTCAACAACAAAACATCGCAACGCCTGACTTCTGGGCACCATCCTGCACACTCTTGCTTCGTCGTGTGTTTCGCCGCCGCGCCGAACCTCTGGTGATGTCGGTTGCAACGAGCTAGTTGAATCAAGCAGAGGAAGCGATGGAACGAATGGAGCAGCAGGCCCTGCGTTCACAAAATGGAAACCAACTTCAAAAAAACAAAAAAACAAAAAAACCTGAAATCGGCAAAAAAAAAATGGATCCTGTCAACAGTCTACATGATCGGTCGCGCCTTTCCGCGCACTTGAAGGCCACACTATGTCTACGAGAACAGTGAAAGTTCTCAAGATGAGCGCGGGGATGGACAGACAGGCAGCACGCTTCGTTGCGAAGGTTGAGTGGAAGGGCACAAAGCTTTCAAACTGGTTTTTTTTTTTTTTTTTTTGACAGGTCGCCCTTCAAATGTTGCTCTGTGGGTTTTTTTTTTTTTTTAAAAAAAACCGTCTAAAGTTTTTTTAAGGAGAACAAAGAAAAACAATAGAGCGTAGGATATGAGAAAGTTCAATGTCGTCATAACGCACAGCTCCAACTGGAACAATACTCGAAACCCATCCATCCACTCACAGCTGGCTCTCAGCACTGCGACGTTGCGTGCGAGTGATGCTGAAATGCCGTCAACTCACTTGTTCAATGTCTCTGATTCGCGACACTTAAAATCCTCAGATCTCAGATGATATCGAAAGGACTTGTCTTTGGACTGCTTCTGCTGCTCTGCGTGACTTATCACGTCCAGTTGACACACGCAGCGAATGCCTGTGACCCTGGCATGTGCACTTGCTCGGGAACTGGGGTTGATTGCCAATACAGATCTCTCACAGCCATTCCAAGCGGCATTCCAGTTACCACACGAGCCCTGTACGTGCGACCGTTAAATTGAACGGAACTGAACCATTGACCTATTGCTTGGCATCCGGTCGATAGGTATCTAAGCAACAACCAGATCGCCAGCATTCCTGCCTACGCATTCTCAGGCCTGACTGCGCTGACTTGGCTGTAAGCAAGCAAAAGCATGAAGAATTGCACCTCAAACAGCTCATTCGATTTTCTCTGCAGGTATCTGGACAGCAACCAGATCACCAGCATTTCCGCCTCTGCATTCTCAGACCTGACTTCTCTGGAACAATTGTATGCAAGCAAACTCTTGAAGAATCGCACACACAACTCACTTATTTGCTACTCATGTGTAGGAGGATGGAAGAAAACCAGATCACGAGTATTTCGGATGGCGCATTCACAGGCTTGACCGCGGTGTTGGAGCTGTAAGCATGTAACTACATGTTGAATCGCCCACCAGCGACTCACTCGTTGGCAACTCGATATGTAGGGGTCTCAACAGAAACCAGATCACCAGCATTTCGGCAAACGCATTCACTGGTCTAACTGGGCTGCATTTCTTGTAAGCAAAGGCTTGACAATTGCAGACAAAATGGCTCACTTGTTTGCGACTCGATCTGCAGGGAACTATCCAACAACCAGCTCACCAGCATTCCTTCCTCTGTCTTCGCAAGCGTGACTACGTTGTTGGACTTGTAAGCAAGCAAAGCCATGAAGAATCACACAAAAGCGGCTCACTCGACTGTGGCTCAATCTGTAGGCTCTTGTACAAAAACCGGATCACTAGCATTCCCACTTCTGCATTCACAACCCTGACTGCGCTGAAGACCTTGTAAGCAAGCAATGGCATGAAGAATCACGCAAACAGCTCACTCGCTCGCAATTTTATCTGTAGGCGACTCTATGACAACCCCATCACAAGCATTTCGGCCAACGCATTCGAAGGCCTGTCTGCGCTGACTGTTTTGTAAGCAAACTAAGATATACAGCATCACAGCCACACGGCTGACTCGTTCTCGACTTTATCTGTAGGCACCTGTCGAGCAACCACATCACCAGCATTCTACCCTCTAGCTTCACAGGCTTAACTGCGTTGGAAGCTTTGTAAGCAAGAAAAGTCATGAATAATCATACACTACCAGCTCACTCATTTGCGACTCCATCTGCAGACTTTTGGACAAAAACCAGATCAGCAACATTCCCGCTTCTGCATTCACCGGGTTGACTGCGATGCAGACTTTGTACGTATGAAACGATATGAAGAGTCACACAACACGGCTCACTTCGTTCCAACTTTTTCTGTAGGTATCTGGACAGCAATCGAATCACCAGCATTTCCACAAACGCATTCACGGGTCTGACGGCGCTGACTTATATGTAAGCCAGAAGGGACAGGAGCCGTCAAGCACAAAAAACTCACTACGTTTGCAACCTTTTTTCTGGTAGGTATCTGGACAGCAACCAGATCACCAGAATTCCCGCAAACGCATTCACAGGTCTGACGGCGCTGACTTATCTGTAAGCAAGCACACGTCGTGCAAGTATTCGATTCGCTTCTTACAGTATTTGGAGGTACATGCAGGACGTTGGAAGACAATCCCTTCACCACGTTGCCCCCTGGTCTCTTTAAGGGATTGCCAAATGGCTTGGCGTTGGCGTATTCATTCCAATATCTGAGCCCCAACAATTTCACCTTTGGTGGAAACACTGTTGCTCCCCCAAGCACCTACGGCAATGCATCGTATCCATACAGTAAGGTTCGAAGTGACTGCAATTCGTGTGATCATGTCACTGACATTTGTCCTGCAGAGTGTGATACAGCCTGTGCCACCTGCTATGCTTCTGGGTCCGGCGCGTGCTGCGGGATCAATAGTCTGACCTGCACTTCCACCGATCCCTGCACTCAGTGTTATGAAGGTTATGGCATGATGACTGGATCTTGTGTTCCACCCGCTTCAAATGCCTCCATCGCGTCCGCCTCCATTGCATCTCTTGTTGCCGCGACCTCGGCTTCTGCTGCCTCCATCGCGTCTACGCAATCCGCCTCCGTTGCGTTGCTTGTTTCCGCGACCTCGGCTTCTGCTGCCTCCATCGCGTCGACGCAATCTGCCTCCGTTGCGTCGCTTGTTTCCGCGACCTCGGCGCTCTCGGCTTCTGCTGCGTCAACCGCATCCGCATCTGCTGCCTCCGCTGCATCTTCCATTGCACAACTCGGCTCCCAAGATTCCTCCTCATCTTCAGTTGTCGTCATCGCTGCAGCAGCAGCTGCTGCGTCTGTTGCAGTGATTGCGCTCATTGCAGTGGTCTTCATCGTGATGCGACGCCGGCGCTCCCACCGTCCAGTCATGCAACCGAAGGACCCTGCCAGTCCCGTCATCGATCAGACGACAATTGAAATGACAATGTCTCCTCTGGCCCATTCGAATGAATCTCGCATCGAGGATGACGGCACAACCTCCGCCAAGCCCAGCCCAAAGCAGCCAGAATCGCAGAACGCTGCCGATCCCGTGTATCTGATGAAGTGACAACTTCCCCTCAAAACCATTCGGCTGGAGCTCACGACAAAGCGGACATTCCATCCCATGCGGCGGTCGCTCGACAGTGAGTTACAATGGGGAATTGATGTGCAGGGTCTCCGTTCCAGCGTGCAGCACTTTCGTTGTAAATGCACACTCCGTTGAAAGTTACATTGCGGAACGTTTTGGTGAACATTCGTTTTCGTTTCAAAGTGCAAGACCGTTTTGAAGTGCAGCCGACGACCGTTGCAACGACAGTTTTCGTTCCAATGTGCATTGGTGACCGTTTGGGTATTGACCGATGTCGTTGCGAAAACACGGGACCGTTGCAAGTACACGCAGTTTAGTGTTCGGCGAAATCGATCGTTGGTAGAGAAAACCCTCCTTTTAACGGGACAAAAAATGGTGACCACCCCGTATCTGGCTCTCTTCATATTCTTGTTCAGTATTATTAATATAGACGATGTGCAAAGAATGGAGGCGGTCGGAGCAATATGAAATTTTGACTTTGCATTGACCTTTGGCTGGGCGCGAAAAATCTTGTTTCCTGAGCGGCTTCAAATGAAGCCTTAACTCAACAAAGAGTCTAGCTTTTGAATCCCCAATACAGTACTTGAGTGGCCTCATTTGGTTTGTTTTTGTGCTCGCACTCTCCAGCCAAATGCGGACATGACAAGTCTCAGTCTTTCAGTTCCACTTTTGAACCAATCCCTTTTCGTTTCGTCCCCCCCCCCTCCGGCTTTTTTTTTTCGAACAGAATGCTGTATTTCATTGGTCTTGGTCTCGGCGACGAGAAGGACATTACCGTGCGCGGCTTGGAGGCCGTGCGCAAGTGCAAGCGTGTCTTCCTCGAAATGTACACGAGCATTCTGGCAACGCCAAAGGAGCGTCTTGTGAGTGGTCTGGGGTCGCTCGACCTCATCAGCCGTGATTTAGAGCTCGATGATGAATGAGTGCACTCTGGCCCGAGCGCTGGTTTGCTTGGCTTGATCTTGATGGTGGACTGGAGCGACGAACGAGCCGCCCTCGTGGAGTCAAATCTCGGTCGGACCTCAAGCTGCCCCGCCAAACCACACTCACTGTGACTGCTGCTGCTGATTAGGAGGAGCTGTACGACAAGAAGATCGAGGTGGCAGACCGCGAAACCGTCGAGAGCAACGCCGACCTCATTCTGAACAACGCCCATGAGGACGACGTTGCCTTCTTGGTCGTCGGCGATCCATTCGGGTACGCATCTCTGTTGGTTTGATGCACGATTGAATATGAAAGAAAAAAAATAGTGCGAGGCTCGTCCGTGGGGCAATCCAGGCTTCTCGTTCTCACTTTTCGATGCTCGTTTCGCTTGGCAGCGCAACCACCCATACCGATATGATTTTGCGGGCAAAGCAACGCGGAATCCCGTTCAGCGTCATCCACAATGCATCCATCATGAACGCCATCGGCTGCTGCGGATTGCAGTTGTACAACTACGGCCAGAGCGTCTCGATTTGCTTCTTCACCGAGACTTGGCGCCCGGACAGCTTTTACGACAAGATTGCCTTTAACGTCAAGGGCGGTCTGCACTCGCTCTGCCTCCTCGATATCAAAGTCAAGGAGCCCAATCTCGATGCGATGATGCGGTATGTCAAACGCTGTTGCGGCGAATCGTTTCTCGCAACGGATTTGTCGTTCATTGGGTTTTGTTTTTTTGTGACAGTGGCAAGGTCGTTTACGATCCTCCGCGCTACATGACGGTGAACCAAGCTGTCGAGCAGCTTCTTGAAGTGTCAGACAAGAAGCGCGATGCTGGTATGTATTTTTTTCTTTGTATGTCTTGTCGCAGTCCATTTTATCGGTCAATTACCGTGCCTCACGCAGTCGCATGCGACAACTGTTGTGTTATCTAGGCGAAACCCCAGTCTATGATCGCAAGACAATCGCTGCTGGGCTTGCACGTGTCGGCCAGAGCGATCAACGCATCATTTCTGGCACGCTGGAGGAGCTGTTGACGGCTGACTTTGGCGCGCCGTTGCACTCGCTCGTGCTCGCTGGCACGATGCACATTCTCGAGATTGAGATGCTCGCGTCTTTTGCCGTCAATCCACAGACCTTTGTGCCGCTGCTCGAATCTCACCGATAAAATGCCGACAATGTTGTGGCCGCACGATAGTTGTTTGGTGTTGAACAGTCACGAAAAAAAGAATGCATTCTCTACTTCACCTCACAAATCGCAAAACCAAACAAAAACCACAGAAAGAGACTAAAATCCTGTTATGCCTTTGACTCGGCGGTCACCTTTGGCTCGGCATCACATCGATCCTTGATGGCTTTGAACAACTTTTCACCTTCTTGGGAGGACGTCTGCAACAGTGGTTGTTGAACACGCAGAGCTGAGTACGGGGCAAAGTGGAGTCACAAACAGTCGCGACAAAAAAACGCAACTCACCTTCATCAAGAACACGGTCGACTCTTTGGTTTCGAAATCGGGCGCGGTGATGCGCACAGACTTGGGGTTGGCCTGGTCAATGGGCATTCCATTGTACAGGCGGACGTTCAGAATGACGCGCAGGCTACCCGTGGTTCGCATGACTGAAAATTCGGAAAATCGAAATAAGAGGGAAACAACGTTAGTTTGCTCAAGTCTCGAGCGCTAAAGGCCGACACCCATCATCAACATGCAATGCTGAAAGCCTCACCAATACGGGCAAATGCACGGGAGGTTTCAGTCGCAGGCGATTTGTTGATGCGGATTGAGCCTTCGCCGCGCTCCTTGTACGACTTGGAGGCCTTGTCGAACGAGTACAGCTTGCCGTGTGTCTACAATAGGGACAGAAGCATTGATACCGCGTTAGAACACCAACGCATCATGACTTGAAACGTTGTTTGCTTGTGTTTTCGAGCTCAAGCCTTACTTGATACACCGTTTCCTCGTCTTCCTCGCCAGTCATCACAACGGGGCCGGAGCTCTCTGCTTGCAACCGTGTCGCAACGTGTGAGACATTGTTTCTCAGGCAACGACAACAGCGCAAATCGTCTGGCTCACCTTCTTCCTTCTGCTCTTCGTCATCATCACCACCTTCCTCGTCGTCGTCGTCCTTGCTGTCCTTGGAAGCGGGTGCTGCTGCTGCAGGCTTGGCAGCATCGCCGCCGGGTCGGACGAAAGGCACGAACGGCTTGCCGAACAGCATGGCTGGAGGAGCCGGAAGAGTGCTTGGGGCAGTTGGCAAGGCAGAGACGCGGTCCATCGTGTTGCGGCCAAACATGAAGCTGGGCGCGGCAGAAGCCGTGCCAAACTGGAACAGGGGCTTGCTGCCAAACGAAAGCGGCGGCGGCTTTGTGGCGGTCGCACCAGCCACGCCCTCTGCGGCGGGGGCGGCGGCAGGCGCGGTTGCAGCCGTGGCTGTCGCGGGTGCTGCAGCGACTGGCGAGGTGGCGGTGGCGGTGGCAGCTGCAGGCGTCGTGGCTGCGGCCACAGGAGTTGCAGGCAAAGCAGGGGCTGCTGCTGCTTGTTTATCGGCCTCGGGCTGTGCAGGCGAGACGGCCGTTTTCGCTGCGGGGCTTTCGCCGTCAGCAGATTGCGCTGCGGCCGTCGATGGCGACGCGGGGGTGGCCGCAGCCGCGGAGCCTTGCTTGAACAGCGTGAATAGGGGAGCCGCAGCGGTCGGGGAGCCTGCTGCTGGGGCCGCGCTCTTCAGGAAGGATGGAAGGGGTGGGAAGGCCGAGCCGCCTGGACTTGACGTGGACGAGGGCAATCGGAATGTGGTCGGAATGATGGAGACTGGAACCTTCAGTGCACTAGTGTTGCCCGCGAGCGCCTGAGCAAAGTAGTTGACTGGCTTTGGCGGTGTGGCGGTGGCGGTGGCGGTAGCTGGAGTTGCGGCAGGAGTTGCGGCAGGAGCAGGAGCAGCAGCAACAGGGGCAGGCACAGCAGCGGGTGCAGCAGCAGCAGGTGCCGGTGCACGATTCAACAGCGAAGCAAAAGGCGATGCGAAGGGAATCGCAGGCTTGGGCGCCTCACCGTTTGTTGCTGCGGCGGCATTCAACTGACTCCGTCCGACAGCACGAGCAATATTGCGCTTGGCCAGTTCTTCAGCGGACGCTGTCTGGTTGGCTGCATCCGTCTCGTTGGGGTCTTCCGGCGCCTCTGGCTTGCCATCGCGACCCGAAACTGCTCAGACCAAAACAAAACAAAGCCAAAACAAATCAGGGTGAGAAGCATGAACCAAAAGGGATGCACTTCAAATCCATCGTTGCACCACTTTAATGTCTATCAACATGACATGTTTTTGAGTGTTTCGAATCTCAAACACAAAATCTCAAAGTTGCTGAGATATTGAACTTTTCCCGCCTTTTTTTTTTTTTTTTTTTTTTCATTTGAGTGTTTCGTATCAGAAGTGCAGGGTTAGGGTTACGGGGGTGCAACCACAAGACGCACAGACTAGTCGCTGACTGATGATCAAAGTACGTCGAGCGACAGGCTGAATGGAGTGGAAGCGGATGTAGCGAGAGTGGGAGAGGTGAAGAGGTGGAGAGAGCGAGGGAAGAGCTCCACGCTGCTCGTTGCACAGAGCACTGAACCAACCCCCCTCCCTTGCGCTTCCGCAGGTGGATCAACGACGCTGGCTCTGTTGTCTGTTGTCTTGATGAATGCCTCACACACGCGAGCGCGGCCCCTCAACCCGAGAACGAGCGAGAGAGAGAGAGCTTGTTCCTATGTTTTTCTTGTTGTTTCAACACGAGGAGCTGGAACACTCACCCCAAGACGCATCTGCCGCGCGCTTCATCCTCAATCAACAGAATACACGAAAACGAAAAAGCAGGAGTGATGAAATATATAGAAATGGAAACAGAAAAATAAAGCTGACGGATTGTTTTTGAAGCCGTTGAACATTGAATGCAGCGATTGATGGAAAATCAGAGCAAATCGTGGTGCAGATGATGCGCCTGCACCTGTACAAGCCATGATCCGTGAGATTGACATTCGCTTGGAACGCATCACTTCATATTGAGAGGGAGGGAGAGACCAGCTGAAGAGAAATGATCGAGTATTGAAGAACAAAACGACAATCCGCTGCTATCGCTCGGTCGCTCGCTTGCTGTTCGCTCGAGGTGACCTGGATCTTGACCTGGATCTCGATCTTGACTCGGATCTTCGCCGGGAGCGCCGACGACGAGAATGGCGATTGTGCTTGCGACGATGACTGGATTCAGAGTCGGATTCGCTCTCTGACGAAGACGAAGACGACGAAGTTGAGGATGAAGAAGACGACGACGAGGACGACGATGAACGCGAGCGTCGCTTCTTCTTTCGGCGACCGCGGGAGATAGCAGCGGTCTGTGCAGAATCCTTATTGTACATGGTAAAACCGCCGTGGTCCCAACTAAAAGTAGTGCGCACTGCAGTTAGTACAGCCAGCCCAGCTTCACATATACTGTTCAAGCACATCGATGGGCGTTCAATCCATACCCATCCAAGTCCATGGTAGCAACACGATGTCGAGCACGCGCAATTCTGTGGAAAAAGTGTCAAAATGCAAATAGCAAAAAGACCCCCCCCGCACCGCATCGAGTGAGACCAAATGTTCCCTCGTGCAAAGTAACGTCACAACCATACCCTGTAATCTTGCAACTGCAAATGTCAACTACGGCGCATTATGACCGCCTTGTTTACCTCTGTGCGTCGGCTTTGTCTCGTTCCCGCTGATCGTCCCACCGCTGGTCGCTTCGCCTCTCGCGATCATCATCCGACCGGTGTCTTGGTGCCGAGTGTCTTGAATGCGATTCACGCGAGGACGACGATCGTCGGTCGTCTGCACCAGAATCTCGACGTCTCGAGCCAGAATCTCGTTCATCTCGTCGTTCGTCTCGTTCGTTGCGGCTTCGGGTGGAGCCGCCATCCCGACCACGGCTTGAATCTCGATGACCATGCTGATCACTGTCGCCTCTTCGACTTGTGCTCGGCGAGCCAGGCCGGTGTTCACTCTGTCTGGCTCCGTCCGCCTTGTCCTCCTGCGCATCGCGGTCGTCTTTGGTGTGCTGCCGCCACATTTCTTGCGTTTCGACAATCTTGTTATGCGCTTCAACTTGTCGCACGAGACGGCCGAGCAGCTCGGTGTCCATCGACGGCTTGGCTGCCCGTGCTCGTCGCGCCGGATCGGCCATCACGACGCCTGTGCAATGATGACTGCGCTCAACATGCACTATTATAGGAAAAGTATCAAGCTCCAAGTTGAATGGATTTGCCGGATCGTTGGCGTGGATGAACGTCTGGTACTACAGTACTAATAATATCAATTTTTAACATGAACAAATCATTCGTCGGACGACGTTGCCAGAAAGCGTTTCCGCAGCTGGAATAGCTTGACAAAGTCATCTCGAAACTCGGCGTCGGGTGTCAACTATGCCAAGTGATGAAAGTCCAATCGTCAGCATGTTGCCAGACCACAAAGCAATTCTTCATGCAAACCAAAACTCCCGCTTTGCTGTACCTGCTTGATATCATACAACTGCTCTGCTCGCTTCAGAAACATGTCGTACGCAACAGCGTTGCGCGGCTCAATGCAAATAAACACATTGGTCGACGTGTCTCCAAGCTGATCCAGCGTATTAATCAATGGATCGACCAGCCGTTCGAGAAAGACAACATCGGTGCCAACAATACAGTCGAATGGCCCATTGAATTCGGAGAGATCTGTCTCTCCCCTATGTACAAGCATGAGTTTGCGCAAAGTGTCACAAGGACAGGACGGCAGATTCTTCATCTCAGCTTACCAGCAAAGTTCGCGAACTGTCAAAGTCCCGCCACTTTCCAATCGTGTCGTGTTACTGGACGCATCTTGCTCATCTGTCGTCGCAACAGAGCTTCTTGCCTGCGCAACATTCTCGCGCAACAACGGCAGCATGACGGCCATATCGGTGACTGTAACGTGCCAGCCCATGCTTGCCAAACTGATTCCTGTCAAAATAGTCGCAGTACAGCAGAAATGGTCAAATTTTCAATCCTTTCCTTTCCATCGCCGTTTTTTGAACAATAGAATGCATTGTCAACCAAAGCCCAAACACTATTCTGGACTGTTGCCAATACATCGTGTCTCAGAGTCTCAACCACACAATACACAATGCAAAATCCATCGTTACCAAGCAATCCACAGCCAGCGCCAAGCTCGAGCACACGCCTTCCTGGTTGATCGTACTTCAGCTTGCGGCGCATCTTTTCCAAGTGCCGGAGCAGAACAATACTCTGTGAACGACGGATGGCGACCATGAGTGCGTTGGCTCAATCGCCGAGCCATGAGGGAGCAAGTCCACACTTCCAGCTGTTGGTATACTGGACTGCTGACGTTGCAAAGTGAAGTGCAGTAGAAAGTGACACGTACAGTGTTCCAGACTTTGGCGCCGGTGCTGTCGATCGAGAGGTCTTCGCGGACTTGGACGGATCGCCCGGCGACTTCGATGCGAACCGAGCTCATTGAATATACAGCACGGTAAAGAACGAATTGGACTGAGGAGCGAGGAAACCGAGTTTATAGAAATTAGAATACATGGCAATACACAATATAATATCGAGTGGGCATGTGCTCAGCGAGAGCGAGGGGCATTTCGATGCTCGCGCAGACTGTTCATCGCCTGTTGATACTCGGCCACCGGAACCAAATCTTGCTGGTATCGCCTCTTGGCAGCCTTGTACAAGGCAGGACCAACAGCTTTGCCCACTGTAAAGTTACGCACGAGCTCACCTAGCGGTGCGCGACGTCGAGAATCAGCTGTGAGCACCCATCAGTTTCAATCGCATTTGGCCCCTATTTCCCTCGTCGGAACCCACCTTCCGCAGTGCACAGATGCGTCGCAACTTGATTTCGATGTAGCGCCGGTTCTTCTAGAACAATCCGAGCCCAGGTCGCTTGTGGCACAGGCTTCTCCTCTCGGCTGGCCTTCCGCAGCACCACATAGGTAAAGTACGAAGGAAAGTAGCCAAACTTTTGGAATGCCTTGACCGCCGTCTGGATTTCAGAAAAAAAAACAAAGAAGGATTCCATCAACCCAAAAAGTCAACGCCATGGGGGTTCCAAGCAATGCAAAAGGTACGGACAGCAAGAAAACAACATACTCGTGATTCATTCAACCGCGCTCGTTGGCGGAAGGAGCAAATGTCGAGTGACATGCTAGCAATCAACGGACACTCATTATCATGAGGGCACTGTTCAGATAGCGAGGGAAGAGAGGCAAAAAAATGAGGTGATTCTGGAATAGTTACAAGACCGTCCATAAACTTACCGGCGCTACCACATGACACTGGGTTGCCGTGCCCAATTCACTGGCCTTGGCACGTTCAAGTTCCAGGAGGTGCTTTCGTGCGGCCATGACGTCATGAAAGCCAAGTCGATCAGAATGCTCGACCAACACGAGAAATCCACCTGGCGCGGTTAGTTCCCACAATTGCTCGACCAGCGGCAGCTTTCGTTCTGGCGCGAGCTCAGCAAGAGCGTTGACGCCGAGTACCAGGTCCTGTGGGCGTTGACACATTGGCGAAGAAAACAACCAGCGATTCAGAATCAGCTATGAATTTCTCAAACGTGAAACAACCCACACACCACTCTCGCGTACCGATGAGGTTGATGGCAAGAAGCTGCGCAAGCTGAGTTCAGTGAATGTTGACTGTCGCTCAGAATCTGTACCGCAAATGAATGAGCGTTTCGGGGCCACTGGCTACTGTGAATCGGAAATTCGATAGTCGCCCCTGACCCTTACCTCGCGAAGTCTTTGTCACCAAGTCCAAAACAGATTGAGAGACGTGGACAAAAGTCGCGCGTTTGAATGACGGCAAAACCGCTCGTGCAGCCCTATCGGATTGAATTGGTGGGTTGGCTGTCAATCATGCAAAACGAATCAAAACAGAACAGAACGAAACGAAACGAAACAACAGCAACAAGCGTACCAGCTTCCCGTGGCCAAACACGATCCGTAATCAAGAACAGAGGCAAGGTTCAGTTGGTCCCCGTACCGTTTCACAAGCTGCCAAAAAGTGTTCGGTCAGTCCCATCAGCCAAAAACGTTCTACCTGCAGCTCCAATGAACCCATCCAACGGCAGCGGCGTACCTCCGACACAATACGGTCCACTGCAGCATAGTCGAGGGCGGACTGAGCAATGCCGTGCGCGAGGGCAACGCGGCCGTCAAACATGATTGGCGCGTGGGCAATTTTCTTGAGCAGCATTTCATCGGACGTTCGTTCCAATGGCACAGGCCGGAACATGCTGCTAAACTTCGTTTCCAGGGAGGGTAGCTCTGGTGCGTCCTCATCACTGGCAGACGCGAGTTCATCGAGCTCCACCTCTTGAATCTCTGCAATATCGTCCGCGGAGATGTCCGACAGTTCCAACGGCTCGGCGTTCGGGTCGGATGCTTCCATTTCGCTCTCGTCCATCATGCCCTCCTCCATCTCCTCTTCTTGGTCAAGTTGTGATTCTTCGCGTAGCATTGCATAGCGGCTCCGGAATTCGGCTTGCTTCCTCTTTGCCACGACGTCTTTCTGAATGAGCTTGAGCTCTGCAGCAGAATTTCTCGCCTTGTACCGCAGGGACAAAAAGTGCTGCAGTTTCAGGATGTCCTGCTTGAGCTGTACTCGATGGGTGGCTGTCAGTCAAATCAAACCGAAATCAACGAGCAGAGACAAGTTAGTGGGTAACCGCCCGTTTCCTGGCCACTCGCGTCCCGTCCAACGCATGAATACACATCCAAAAGCAGCTGTCAAACGAGAAAGCAACGACGCACCGTGCATGACTCGCGTGAGTGCCTTGTTCAACGGGTCTGGAACTGCCGACAAGCCGAGTCGATACGATCCCTCCGGAATTCGCGACATTGGCTGTGCGTCGTCGCCCTCGTATTCAAACGCTTCGTCTTGTTCTTGGTCGATTGTCAGAGTCTCTGCATCTGCATGAGCTCGGTTGCCTTGCATGGACGCGTCCTCGGCGGCTGAGCGATCGTCGTCCATGTGCCCGTTCGGCCTGTTCTCAGCAGCGTCCGCCTGTGATTCGCCTTCCAGCAACCGAGCAGCCTTGCTCTTTGCTTGAGCTGCACGACGGCTCCTGCGCGGATCGCCTTGTGCGACTTGGCGCTGCGTCTTCTGGTCGAGGACCGTCCTCGTGTCGCGAAGTGACTGGCGCAGCTCGTCAATCCTGCCGCGGGCCGATGCCGGCGATGACGACGATGACGACGATGATGACGATGAAGACGAGGTCCCTGGCGCACTAGTTGTAAGAGTCGCAGATGTGGCAGTCGGGCGATGCAGCGACGCAGTCTGAGCGGTCGGCAACGACATGTCTCGGCGACCCACTACTACAGCAGGAACGATTGCTCCTGTTGACAAGCACAATCGAGAGGAGCATGCAATAGTGGTGGTTGCATTGACAACGGGACGCAATAACATGTTGCAGCCGCGTTGAAGCATTCAAATGCACTTGGAGAAGAATCGGAACTGAGCTCTGAGCACTTCCGCATTTGGGTTTGACATGTTATTGGGATGAGGCTAATAACAAATGGAAACTCGGCAACAAAAGCAACATCAAGGTTTGTCTCATAGTATGCGCGGCTCTCTGGGTTATCGGCGATTGCGGGAGTCCTTGGGTGACTTGACTTCCAGGTGCAGATAGACTTGCACTCCGAGAATCCGGCTGAGCTCCTCCTCGGACAGCGCCATGAGCTTTTTGATCTTTTCTCCATTCGTTCCGATAAAGATTTTCTGTGAATTTCAAAAATGAGCAAGCTGTGAGAGGCAGTGCGACAAGTTTCGTGGGCATCGTTTTCGCACTGCACGTTGTTTTCCTCACCATCATGGACGCCTTGGGCACAATGAGCTTTTGCGAAACCTCGAGGGTCGTGTCAGAGTCGTGCCATCGAGTCGTTTCCTTAATGGAGAATACAGCGGGCAACAGCAGTCAGCACAAGATTGTTTCGCGAACAACAACAAAATAGCGCAAAGTCATGTTTCAAACCTGGGTAACTCGATAAGGCAACTCGGCAACAAACATGTTGAAAATGTGCTTGCGAATAACTTCGCACACAATCTTGTGGCGAGATTGGTCAGTGTTATAGTCGGCAGGAACCTCCCAAGGCCCAGCCTGTGTTTTGGTCATTAAAAAGTCCTGCAAAGAGCCAATCGTGAGACCAGGTGGTCTGAGTGCATTGGACGCAAGAGTGTGGGGCAACCCAACAAAAGGGCGTACCGTCACATCCGAAACACCGCCGTGTGCAGAGGCACTGGTCAGGAAAACCTTCTCGAATTGCTTGGCGCCAGGCCTGGAGACAATTTCTTCGGCGCGAGCGAGGATGTCGGCTTTCGGTGCTAGATCAACCTATTATTAAGCGAGAGAGAGAGAGAAGCAAAAAGGGGCGTGTTAAACTCGAAGCGAACCAAAAAAAAAAAACAAGTCCCAAGAACAACAGAGAACTCACCTTATTCAAAACTAGAATGGCCTCGCGAGGGTAGTTTCTGGCGGCAAACAAATCGTGGTCAGCAGGCGTGAGCGGCTTGCTGACGTCGTAGACCACCATTGCTGTGAATGAACGGCGAAAAACCCAGACAATAAAAAGGTCAGAGAGGCAGTTCACCGGTCGTCTCTCACTCGGTCTCCTTCAAATAAACAGGGCAAACGTACAAACATCAGCCTCGAGGAGGGCGCGGGTACTTTCTGGGGAGAGTTCTCGTCCGATTGGGATTCTGCTCAAGCAATTCGTTTTCAGTTTCGCTGTTCAGCAGAACTATGATGCAGGCAGCAACTATACCTTCTTGAAAAGTTAAATCGCAGGAGTCCAGGAGTATCAAACAAAACCTGCCACGGACACCGATGGAGCGACAGTTAGATTGACATTCGAGTTTTGCAAAAAGTATTCTTCTTCCTTCATACCATCTGCTTATTAGCTCGTGTGGCAATTCCCAGGATGCGCTCCCGCGTGCTCTGAGACCGCGATGACACGATAGAGACCTGAAACCATCCCCAAAAGTCAAGTCAACATTCGTAGAAGCAACACAATCAAATAGGAAGAACAGCAAACAACTGCGTTACCGTTCGACCGACGATGCTGTTCACGATGGAGGACTTTCCGGCATTGGGCGCACCAATCACAGCTACTCGGACAAGCTCGGAATCCTTGGGCTGCTCAAACTTGACCAGAAGGCCGGGATCGACGTCCGGCAACACGAGATGCGGCGATGTGCGGCGTGAGATGACACCGCTGACCAGACCAACTGGACTTGCTGGACTCGCTGGACTTGCTGGACTCGCTGGAGTATCTGCTAGATGTGCAGGTGCATTTGCAGATGGTTGCTGTGCGGCAGGCGGGTTGACGAGCGGCTGTGCATTAACTGGAGCAGGGATGGACGGCGCGGATCCCTCGCGCTTGGTATCCAGCTGATCCGGCTGCACTGATGCAATCTGCTGCGCTGCAATGGGCCTCGGTAATGGCGCGGCATGCTCGCGGGATGCTTGACGCGCCAGTACCAATCCTCGTGGAGCAGCTGCAGCGGCAGAAGGCGGTCGTGACCTTTGTCCTGGCGCTCCTGCTGCCCGGTCTCGTGCATAGAGATTGCCTGATTCACTGCCAAACGGCGATCGCGGGACGGGCGACAGTGGAGGAAGCTCGCGTCGCTTGGCAGCCGCCGCACGGCGACGATGACAGCGACGACAGCGACGACTGCGATCGGGTGGACATCGTCATCGTCATCATCAGTAGCGGCGTCGTCGTAGTATATCCGACAGTGCTCGTCTGGGAAGCTGTGAGCTGTTTCACTCCAATAGTGAGATTCGGCCGCGCGACTCGGCCAAGACGCTGCATCATCTTGCAGCAAGTGGAGGACGACTGAGTAAGACTATTATTAAAGCATGCGTGAGGATGTATGCTACTGTATTACATAAAAAATGGAGACACGAGCTGCAGTGCGTGAATTTTGACTTTTGAAACGAGTGATGGAAGATGCACACGTCCTATCGGTGATCGGAGCACCTGCAATGCATGTACACAAGTATCCCCATGACATTCATTCAAGGCTTGAAATTGCACACCAAACCAGCTGAACTGGGGAAACGGTCAATCGGCAAGTCCAAATTTCGGATCCCATCGCCCACCAGCACCAAGCACCAGCAGCACCCGACAACCACTACCGTTCTCATTCAACTCTCTCATCATTGGCCTTTGATCATCCCTTCCTAAGTTATCAGCCCGCAGTCTTACTTTTTGCCCTTCTTACTCTCTCTCTCTCTCTATTCAAACACAAATGCGTTTGCAGCGGGTCTCTGTGCCGCTGCTGCTGCTGCTGCTGCTCTCTCTGCTCGCGCCCTTTGCACGCGCCGACATCCACACGCTCGAGGTCGACGACACGGGCGAGCGTCGCAGTCACCAACTTTGGCCTCCTCCAACGTGGCATCATCGACATGACGCTGCTCTCGTACAATGTAAAACGACAACCCACCACGCCAGCCACAGCCACAAGTCATCGTCCCCTTCCCTTTGTTGATGTTGAACAAATAGTAATCTCCACCGGAGGTGGGTGGTCGGGGTGTTGAGGGGCAATGGGGTGAAGCGGGAATGGAGAGCGATGACGCTTCAAACTCACGGTTACCGCTCGCTTCGACCGCGGCCGTCGTTCTCGCTCACATTGCAAAACGAGCAACAAAATGTTTGCGCCCCTTCATTCTGTGTTGGGGGTGCTGAGCGAGAGTGTGTGGTGGGGTGGGGGGGGGGGGAACTGCATTGGAAAGACCTACATTTCAAAAACCCGGCTCTTGAGCGATACCTCTATGCCTTGGAACCAAGTGTGCATGATGCTGACAAACTGACCGCACTATTGCTGTGTTTAGATCAAGAGCTTGTCGGGCGCGCCGTTGACCACCGCGCCGACAGCGATTGTCATTTGGCTCACGGAAACGGACGCAATGTACTCTGAGACGTACATCCAAACCAGCTGCCCGATCAAGGCCGTGCCAGAGCGCAACGTCATTCAGTTGTGGCTGAGCGCGAATGGCGAGTTTACGACCATCAGCCGCGGTGCAAACGCCATGGCACGCGTGTCCTATGGAACGGTCGATGGAAAGCGCGTCGGCAAGGTCGCTCAGAACGAATCCAGCGCCGTCTTCCCAAACGGCACAAAGTCCATTGTCATTGAAGCGACCGCACAAACCGAGTTCATGTACGACGTTGCCTTCTTTAACTGCCACAATCTCATGGCCAGCCCGACCGGTGTCTCCTCTGTTCCGTACTCTGCCGTCTCCATGAAGGTAGTGTTTTTCGTCTGCACCGTTGGCTTGGCGTTGAATCATGCGTGCGTTGTGTTGCTCACCACTATCATGTTTGTTTTTTCTTTCTTTTGTCGGCTCTTTCTGCTTCCCCCCATTGTCAGTTGCACATTGAGCAATACAATCTCGACGCCTCCGGCAACCGCGACTACCTGTCTGCCAGCGAATCGCCTCTGCCAATCGTCCTCGTCGTCACTTCCGTTTGCTTTGTGTGCGCGGCAATCCTTTGGACGGGAATTTTGGTCAGTCGCCGCAACATGGTCTTCAAGATTCACTACTTGATGCTTGTTTTGGTTTTCTTGAAGGCCTGCAGCTCGTTTTCGCTCGCGGTGAGTTTTCAACGGTTGAAAAAGAAGCAATACACTTTGCTTCACTGGATCCGAAGTGCTTGCTGTCTCGCTTTATTGTTTTGTTTTTTTTTTTTTTGTTTTTTTTTTGTTTTTTGTGAAATCTCCCGTTCACGTTGCATTTTTCTTCCTTTTCCAACTCTTTAGATGCGCGACCGCACCCTTCAGACCGAAGGCACTGCCAACGAGGCATGGCAAGTCTTTTACTACATTTTCCGATTTGCCCGCACTGGCCTGTTTTTCGTGGCAATTGCCATGATTGGTGCCGGCTTCACATTCATCAAGTTCTACCTGTCGGCGCGAGAAAAGTACGTGCTGGCGGGAATTCTGGGCTTGCAGCTGCTGTCGAACAGTGCCAGCATCATTTCCGAAGAGTTGGACGTGTCCGATCAAATGCACGCCGAGTGGAACCGAATCAACAAGATGGTGAACATTATCAGCTGTGGTGTTGTTCTCGTCATGATTATGTGGTCGATCAAGCATTTACACAGCTCGATCGGCGTTGACGGCAAAGGTATGTTGCAAAAAGCTGTCGCGCATGTGCGTGTGTATCTTTTCTGTCCCCCGCTGATGTCGCATCGTGTGTCTCATCTCTTGGCTGCTCACTCCACTGACGTGTCATCCCGCAGCCAACCGCGCTCTCCCCAAGCTCAAGCTCTTCCGCTATCTCTACGCCGCTGTGTTTATCTACGTCTTCCTCAACGAGATTTTTGTCGAGTTGCTCCGTCTTGCCTTGCCGTTCAAGTACGAGTGGTTGGCCAAGCTGTTTGAAGAGCTCCTGATGCTCGGCTTTTTCATCTGGATCGGGTAAGATGGCGGCGTGGTGTTTTTGGTTTGTTTGTTTGTTTGTTCGTTTGTTCGTTTGGTTCATCTCCTCGCTCACTTTGTCGATAATCTACTCGTGACGCTTGACCCAGTGTGCACTTCCGCCCTGGCGCCGACAACCCGTACTTGCAAGTGTCGCAGGACGACGACGACGAAGAGATTGCCATGGACACGATCGTTACCACAAACGAAGGTGCCAATCCAGGTGGCCAGCTGACTGCTCGAAATACGCAGCAGCGAAATGCCGATGATTGATAGGAGCTGTGTAGCACTGAAATGTTGTGGATCTTTGATTGTTTGTCCGGTTTTGTTTTGTGAAATGTTTTGTGTGTGCGTGTGTGTGTGTGTGTGTGTGTGTGTTGAGAATTTTTTTTGTTGTTTTGCGCTTTCAAGAAGTTATGAATAAATAGTTTATAAATAGTTTATTGAACTCGACCTCACACTCACGCGACGTACGTTTGAGAATATTGACCCTCGGTCATGCTCTCAATTGGCGCTCGGCAAACTGGACAGCTCAAGTGGAGCTCGATCAACCGCTTTGCACACGACACACAAACACAGGCGTGGTGGCAAGGATTGAGCTTGGCGGTCGTCGGCGCCTCGGCACAGACAAGACACTCGCGGGCTCGCTCGCCCTCGACATCTGGCTCTGAATCAGGATCTTCGCCCATCAGCCGCCGCAGAATTACACCAAAGGAGGGCCGATCGACTCGAGACTCAAGACAGTCCAATGCAAGATGGCCCATGTCATTGGCGGACTCGGCATCTGCCGCGTCCCACGAGATGGCGGCGTCGAGAATATCGTTCATCACTCGCTTTCGCTTGAACACTCTGCGTACATCAGCCGTCAGGTCCATGTTGGGAGCTCTGGCTGTCAGTATCTCGAGCAGAATGATTCCGTAAGAGTACACGTCGGTTTTGACGGACACTTTGCCCTCGGTCTGATACTCGGGACACATGTAGCCCTTCGTTCCTTGCACAGTCTCCGTCCGAATGTAGTTGTGCGCGTCGTAATTGAGCGGCGCAACGCGGTTGAGACCGAAATCAGCAACTTTGGCAACCCACTCAGCGTCCAATAGCACATTGGCCGTTTTGAGATCTAGATGGAATAGCGGCTGACGATAAGCGGTTTGTACATAGTCCATTGCCCGAGCCACATCGCGCGCAATGCGGTGTCGTTGCGGCCAAGTCAGTGCAGGGCTGCCGGATTTGCGGTCGAGGCGATCGCGAACAGACCCATTGATCATCAACTCATACGCAAGGCAGCGCTCAGTGCCTTCCTCGGCATAGCACAAGAGCGTGACAATGTTTGGATGTCGAAACCGCGACAAGGCCTCAAGCTCGGCCTGGAATTGCTGAGTCCCTTGGTTGGATTGGTTCGCCAGGCGCTTGACAGCAACTTGTTGCGACCAGACACCAGCGTACACTTTGCCGAAACCACCGCTACCGAGCGCGTTGTTGTCTGCAAACTGGCTGGTCGCATTGGACAGATCTTTGAGCGGAATTTTGGGGATTGCTACACCCATGGCAGGTGAAGTTGACTCGGCAGCAGTAGGACCACGGGCTGGCGAGGCGGTTAAAGGGGCGGTTAAAGGGGCGGTTAAAGGGGCAGTTACAGGGACGGCGGCAGGAGCACGCGCGGCGGCTTGTACTTGAGCTTGTGCTTGAGCTTGTACTTGAGCTTGCGCCTGCTCGAGTTCGGTGCTCTTGCGAGCGAGCTCCGCTCGAAGAGCTGTGAGATCCGTGTGTGCCTTCTGCGATGCAGTATGAAGACGGCCTATTTCACCGCGAGCTCCCTGGAGTTCCGCATTGGTGGCAGCTTGTCGGGCTTCGGCAGCTTGCACTTGTTCCGCAAGCAATCGCAGCTTTTCCTCGTTGTTGCGAACCTTGCTCATCTGAAACTCGAGTACCTCATTCTTGGTCTTGATCTCCTCCAACTCGAGCTCTTTCGTCTTGAGATCTTTCTCGGCAGTATCACGTTTGATGCGCGCCTTCTCGAGCTTCTTGGGCCATGCGCTCATCTGCCGGTTGAGTTTGGAGATTTCCTCTTGCTGCACCACAACATCGGCAAGAATCCTCTCGGTAAATGTGCTCGACGCGGCCAGAGCGGATTCGAGCTCAAAGAACAGCGAGCGAAACTCCATGTGGTCTGTCATCATTTGTGTCTCGTAGCTGCGCAGACGATCCAGAAGAGTGGTGATGGGTGGGGGCGTGTCTTGCTTGTCAACCCTATTGAGCAGTGAAACGGTGAAAAGTGAGTGACGCGAAAAAAAGGAAATTTCACCAACCCAAAAAGACTCGAAACCGAAAAACATTCATCATAAGAATCAATAAATAAAAATTGAGCGTACAGGACAGACTTGAGCTGGTCAAACTTTTCCGTGCACCTCGCGGGCAATCTGTTCTCGGACAGGCTGAATTCGACACAAATCACAGATGAGCCAGTCGGAAAACAGCCGCCGCAACTCGCCTGCAACAGATGCAGCCATGTCACTTACTCGAGCTTGAATTGCGTGCTCAGAGGTTTCAGAGCGAGGAGTATTGCGTCACCACCCAATTCGCCAATCCGATTGCCCTTCAGCCTGTGTCAAAAGTCAACAAAAAAAGTGAGAGGAGACTTCAAAACACACACCGAGAAACAACCTGCGCGTCGATCATTGAACTTCTCACCTGAGCTCCATTTGATCAAACTTGCGAGTGGTGGCTGTAAGTGTGCTCGCGATGGCCTGGGCTCCAGCATCACCAATCCAATTATGGTTCAGACTAGTGAAAGCGAGTCAGTCAAACGATTTGAAGAATACGTCGGTTGACAAAGCAAGGACGAACGCTACCTCAATTCTTGCAAAGCAGACCCCTCGAGGAGCTTGCAAAGATGACCCATTCCATCGTTGCCAATGTTGTTGGAATCCAAGCTGACGATGTGTGTGGCACGAGACGGACAGCAAATGAGCAACAACGACTCTGCAAGACAAAATTGGAGGGGGGATAGGTATGAGAAGTCCACTTACTTTAAGCTGACAAGATTCAGATGCAGCTTGCTATCGACCAAATTTTCGACCAAAAGTCTAGCACCGATATCTGCGAGGGTGTTGTTCTTCAAACTGGCTCATAGACATTCACAGGTTAGGCGATGAACAAAAACGGGCAAAGGAAGTAAAAAAAAAAAACGTAACGCAAGTCTGCTCGAATCGGCGTACTTCATTTTTGTGATCGTCCCGTTCGTCACGATAGCCCGCGAGATGGCTTCCATGGCAAGTTCGGCAATCTTCTTGCTCTCCAAACTGCGCAACAATAGAAACGAAACATGAGTACCAGCGGTTGAGAAACAAACCACAATCTGGAGACATTTCGACCTACTTTAATGAACCGCTGGTGGCTTTGCCGACGATGGAAACGATACTAGGCTCGGACTGGACGACGCTGAAAACGGAAAAGAAACGAGTCAAAGTTGTTGAGTCAAAGTTTTCGATGACGACCCCTCCTCGGCTTCCAATGACGCAAACAAAAGCCAGTCTAGGACTTTGCTCACCTTGCGCTTTTCTGGTGATCCAAGCTGCACAAACAGAAAGCAAAAACAGCAGGAAGACCAGATGGCACACTGAGTGAGAAATCCGTCTTTTCACGACACACAAGCCCGGACGTAGAAGACTTACCGAATGGTGCACTTTTTCTTATCGCTGGGCGCCTTGAACTTTTTTACAACGTCGGACGGGATTTCATTCTCACCCAGACTATCGCGAAGGAATGACAACGGCCAAGTTAGGTTGTGCGATTCATGATCAGCCAGCTGGCTGCGCGTTGCGAAAACGGCAGAACAAACTCACTCCAACTCGGTCAGACTTTCGTTTTCTTTGAGTGCGGCAGCAATTTTCTCGGCACCAGCCTTCCCAATGTTGTTTTGCTCCAGCCTATCGATCGAATCAAACAAAGCGCACAGGTAAGCGTTTAGCCCGAGTGCAAGCCGGCTATTGTAAACGAGTCACTGACGCTAAACGAGTCAAGGTCTTGTTCTTGGTGAGCGCCGTGGCAATCGCAATCGCGCCCGGATCACCAATGCCATTCGTGTGCAAGCTGCCGTGTCAACGAGAGAAATGAAGCAAAATCAAGTTCGTTTTTGCCTGATCGAGAAGCAACAAGCCGCCACCGCCAAAAACACGAGCAAGCAAGACACTTACTAGAGCTCAGTCATGGACGTGTTGACTGCCAGCGCCTCGGCGATCGCCAGCGCTCCTGCATCACCGATACTATTTTCATGGAGACTGCAACGTGCGGGGACAGGTTAGTACAAGTAGCGCCGAGCACGAGCAGAAAACGAAGCGGCATAAACGATAGGGTGTGACGTACGACAATCCTGTCAAACTGGAGTTGGTTTGGAGAGCAAGTGCGAGGGCTCTCGCTCCAACTTCGCCAATCTTATTGTTGGCCAAACTGCACCGAACAGACCGGAGATCAAGGTTGAGAACGATGGCGACAAGGCGCGTTGCCACAACCTCCGTACGAAGAAGAACCTTACTACAACTGAGTCAGCGTCTTGTTGTTTTTAAGGGCAAGGGCCATTGCGATAGCACCTTCATCACCAATGTGGTTCTCAAACAACCTAAATCATGTGCACATCGGGCGCAATGTGAGCTCTAGACTGGCAACAAACCATCCAACAATGTCAAAACGCGGGCAGAGAGAGATCGTACGCAAGAATGGCCAAGCGGGAAGATTCGGTGCCAAGCACCGTGGCAAGCTCGTTTGCGCCAACAGGGCCAATGTCATTGTTGTACAAGCTGAGAAAGAGGACAGGTTAGTTTCCAGTTTGTGGCAAAAGCAACAAGCACAGGAAAACGAAAACGAAAACGAAACGACAACACGATGCGCGTCAACGTATGGTTTTGCCTGAGAGCTGCAGCGATTGATTGTGCGCCTATATCGCCGATAGCATTGCGCCCCATGCTGTAGAGATGCAATGAGTACACGGAAACAAGCGAGTGAAAAAAATGAACATGACTTACCCGAGCGCTACCAGCGTCGTGTTCACTTTGAGTTCCTCTGCAATCACGTGTGCACCTTTGGGACCCATTTCTTGATCGCGAAATCTAGCAGCACGAGCAGCAGTAAAAGTTAGTAATGCAGACGCGATGAGCAGAGAGAACATGCATTCAGAGTGACTTGCTCAATGCCACCGCGCGCGCCCTTGATCTTTTTGGCTAGGGACTCGCCGGTCTTCTTGTTGCCACTCATGGTAGAATCTGATCCAAGGTTCAGCGGATGTGAGGTGAGCAATAGCATTCGAAGCATTGGCGATGATGTCCGCATGGTATTCGTACGTCCCCAGTCGCCCCCGCCCCCACCCCGTCTTCCGCCACAGGTGCAGTGCTTTCAGAGTATTCCATGCTTGCAGATCCAGATCGCGCAGCTCGGTCGCGGCAGGCTGACGCTGATCCAGCGACTCCATCGTTTTTAGGACTGGCTTTGGCGTTTCAAAAAAAACTGTGAACGGCTCAAGTTTGCTGTGCTCGTCTGGCCCGCGCTGCCGCCACGATGCGCGTGTCCAGATGCTTGAAACAATCGCAATCCACATGCCAAGGCGGCTTGCGGGGGACTTTAGCCGCTCTGTACTTTGACACGGAAGCATGACTCGACGTACTCTGTTACTCTGAAAAGACAGCCAAGCTATGGAACAAACGACTGAGTAAACAACCATCTGTCCAGCTATTATAAATTTCTCAGACTCCGAAAATAACACAACACAGCAAAACACAACAAACACAAACACGACCCTGGGCTCTTCGGGGGCTTCGGGAGGGGAAAAAAACAAAAAACAAAAACAGTTGAGATCAACAAACTGCAACGGTTCGACCTACGCCGAGATCCCCAGGGAGTCCAGGTGATAGCGATGTTTGGAGTACTCCATGTGCTGTCATTGTACAGCTTAAGATGGTGCGGTGTTTGGATTGGTCTAGTTCCTTGTTTTTTATTGCCAACGAAGCAGTCTTTTTACACACAGCTAAACACCAGAATGTGTAAGTTTCCATTACTCACCGCGCCGTATGGAGCGCCGTTAGGAAAAAAGTACTCGGAAACCTCGCCAAATAGAGATAAAATCAGTATCCAACGCAGCCAAAAACCCGTTGGCTGTGTAGCCGACCAAAACCCCCCGCATTTTCACACGTCAGTCTTGCTTGGTTTCCGCCAAATCGCGTGATCCTAATCAAGCAGGACGGGAGACACACAGCCATTAACGGGGGAGAGGGGATGAAGATGAAGCAGCCAAACTCAACAGAACCGCAAACCGTTATTGTTGTGGATCACTTCCATCCCCCCTCCTTCCCATGCATGCTTCAGCTTTCCTTTGCTAGTGGTGTTTGGCAGGGGGAGGGGGTTTGTGCTTGTGTAGTGCTTGGAGTGAGACAGTGATGGAATCGTGGGATAAAGCGCGGATACTGGCTCAATTGAACCACAACACCGCAAAGGCCCTCAGCCACACTACACGACGACGACGACGCTGACTGATCAGCACTCACTGAACAATAACAACCAACAACAAAAAGCTCATGTTCTAATGCGATGGCTTTTTTTGTTTCTTTGTCTGCGGGGGGGGGTGTTGAACAGCGTCGCCATTCCCATCGGATAACGCGGGCAGCGGCCCCAGTCGCCCGACCTTCTTGGACGACCAGCGCTGCGGCAGCTGCGGCAAGATCATCCAAGGCGAGTTTGTCAAGCTCGGCAAGAAGGCCTTCCACGAAACCTGCGTCAAGTGCGCCAAGTGCACAAAGCAGCTCACAATGAGCGAAGCATTCGTCAAGGTACTGAAACAAAAGATCAGAATGGATGGCTGTGAGTTTGAGTTTGGATTTGCAACTCACTCGCAACTGCCTCGCCACGCTCATAGAAAGACAAGGCATTCTGCGAAGAGTGCAAAAATAGCGCAAAAGGCGGCTGCGTGATTGCTTGAAGAGTGACTCTGTGCTGTTTACTGTACTTTGGCTTTTGTGAAGACGAAAATCCGAATGATATCAAAGACGATCGCAGTGGAGAGATCAAGCGATGGACATCTAGCAACAGTGTATTGATGTCTGCATTTTGCCATCATCTGGGGCGAGGAACAGACTCGCACAGGAAAACAGCTTTCCGAATCACCACAGCTGGGCGCGGGGAAGGTTGTAGGCCAGTGCCGCAACAGCAATACCGGCAACAAGACCCGCTGGCATGAACTTGCCAGTGCGAAGCGCGCGAGTGCCCATCGTGCCAGCGAGAAGAAGCGAAGCGCCTTGTTGCGGCAACAAAAAAGCCAAAAACGACAAGATCAGCAAGTCGGTGAGCAATTCAAAGGCAACAACAACAACCACCGATACAGTCAACCCTGGCGGATGCTGGTATCGTGGTGAAGGCTCCAGCTACTTGATCACAATCATCGCAGCTGAAAGCGCTGGTGACGTTGAACCAAGGACTCAGAAGAGATTGGCCTCGTTTGACAATCACTGTTACCTGCTGCAATCTGGTGTCCGAGCACAGGGTTGCCATGCGCAATGAGGTATCTGTCCATACCATAGCGTAATGCATTGGGAAGTGAGTTGCAATACATACACAACGAGTTCAAGATTGAACAACAGAACCAACTTCCGAACCCCCCCCCCCAGCGCTCAAACTCTAAGGGCGATCTCGAACATGGCTCTGCTCATGCAAGTCATCGAGAGTCGTCCAAAGTGGGGGGTTCCGATCGATAGGACGACTCGCTCAAACCTACTGCTTACTTACCCCGAGTACGCGTAGATGGCGCCAAAGCTAACGCCGGCAATCAGCGACGGGGCCGAGCGCGACTTGGCAAAGCCAGCAATGCCGCCGATTGCGACGAGCGCGCCAACAGCCGTGTTGATGACGGCGGGATCGTGAGGCGAGACTTGCATGGTCGTTGTTGGAGTTGAGTGACTTTGAAGAATGACTGCGTTTCTCAGAAATGGGATGCCGGGTAGTCAATTTGAGATGTCAATATTGTACAGTAGTACTCTAACTAACTCACTGTACAGTGTGCTCTGAGATTGAAGACGCAAGCACTTTGAATTGACTTTGGATCAATGTGAAACGCATTGCAACTCGTTCACCGAATCCCTTCCATTCGTGAATAGATGCAAACCAGTCCCTTTTTGTTTTCAATTCAAACTTTTGACTTAATCTCACAACATGCCAGCAAAGGCGTTCAGTGCAAAGCAAAAGAAAAAGCAGCTGCAGGACAAGCGCGCGCGCAAGCGTGAAGCTGGCGGCGGCGACGATGATGACAACGACAGCAACACCAATGACAACTACAACGACATCCATCACAACATTGACAGTGCTGCGAACGGCAGTGACGGCAGTGCTGGGCACGACGATCCGGACGCCGCTGATGCTCAAGTGGCCCAGAACGACAGCCACGAGGACGAAGGTCGGTCGCCCGTTGTTTTGCCTGCGTTTTCGTGTGCATGATTGATGTGGTTGTTTGGGATGACGGGTGGCTGGCTGGAACGAAACAGCGCAAGTCGTATTGTGTCATCATCGATGCTCACTTTTTGTAACTCCACTCTGAGCAGACAACCAGGCGTCGACAACAGCGCGCGCCTCAAGCAGCATTGGCAACCGTAGCAGACATGCACATCACGCACATGGACCGGCGCGCGGTGGCAAAGGGCAAGCCCAGCGACGTAGCGGTACCAACGCGGCGGATGCTAAAGTGTCATCATCGTCAGCCACTCTCGCACGAGGCGATCGCAGGCGAGCTGCAGGAAACGCGGCTGGCGTTATAGATCTGGATGCAGGCGCTTCAACTTCGGCCAGTGCTGGCGGCGACGCTGCCAACTCGGTGCGAGTGAATCGGTTGAATGCGCAACCAGTCTCCAAGTCGCTCCGGAGCTCGCTCTATGATCCCAATCGGTACGTTTGTGTCCTGGGGTTTCGATGATGATTGTGCATGTTGGCGTCTGTTGAGGCATGTCGAGATTTGCGGTGAATCTGCGATTTTCCAACACAACAACACTCAAACTTGCACTGCTTTGTCGTGTGACGGCGTCTCCAGCTACAACTTGCATTTCGAAAAGGAGAGCAAAGCCGAGATTGAGAGGCGAAAGGCCGTTTCGCGAGAGCCACTCAAGCCAAAGCCCGTGGTAAGAGAATTGGCGCCATTTTGTTTGTTCACACGCACATCTTTGGAAAACGACTTTGATCCGTCAATCCTAATTTCTCCCAACAGACTGATCTTGAAGTGGATCTGGACGACATCTACAAGCCTGGCAGCTTGATTGACATGCCGAAACGCCCCGCCTGGGACTACACGCACACCGAGTCCAAAGCCGATCTGCTGCGCCGCGAGGAAGTGCGCTTCCGTCAGTACCTCGAGGCGATCTACGCCAAGTATTCTGTGGACGAGCTGAGCTACTTTGAGCACAACATCGAGACGTGGCGCCAGCTCTGGCGCGTGATTGAGATTTCAGACATTATCCTGCTGATTACCGACATTCGCCACCCCGCCTTCCACATGCCACCCTCGCTGTACCAGCACGTGGTCAAGGAGCAAGGCAAGCACTTAGTACTCGTGCTGAACAAGATTGATCTTGTTTCCCCCGTTGTCACCTCCGCCTGGATCAAGTACTTTCGCGAAAAGTTTCCCGAGCTCCACATTGCGGCCTTTTCGTCCTATCCCGAGTGGGCAGTCCAGGACATTCGTGATGGTATGGCGGAATTTTCTCTGGTCGATGTGATGGTGCTGGTTGTTGTGAGTGTTACTCATCGTGTTTGGGTGGCCGACGACCACAAACAGTCTTCCGCAAAAAACGGGCAAGGATTGGCAAGAAGCGCATGCGCGCGATCGGCGTGGAGCAAGTGCTTGGTGCATGCGCTCACTTGGCCATCAACAAGAGCGCGGGACAGATTGACTGGACGCAGCAGCTAAAGTCGGCGGGTGTCGACCCAGCTGCTGCGCTTGCAGCGGCCTCTGGCGCGGATGCGTTTGCAAACCTCAAGCTTGCCGACAATGACGACGAGTCCAACGGAGACCAAGACAACGATAACGAGCTGGAGGATGACGACAATAGCGACTCTGATGGTGAATTGGATGAGCTTGCGCTGGGTGTCGTGGACGACGATGAGCGGACTGTTCACAAGGATTTGGTGACGATTGGGTTTGTTGGTATGTGGCGTGAAACTATCTGTCTCTCTCTTTGTATGCTGTTGCTATTTTTTTTGCTAACAACGTGCATTTTGCTCGCTTGCTTCTAGGCTACCCCAACGTCGGCAAATCCTCGTTGATCAACGCAATCATGGGCAAAAAGGTCGTGAGCGCTTCCCGCACGCCTGGCCACACCAAACACTTCCAGACCATCTTTCTCACTCCGCAAGTCCGGCTGTGCGACTGTCCTGGTCTTGTGTTCCCGTCATTGGTTCCGAAGCAAGTGCAGGTTTGTGATTCGAGTTGTTGGGTTGGGTTGGGTTGGGGGGTTGGTTTGACCCAGCCTTGTCAGAGTTGTTGCTGAGTTGACCTGTTTGCGCAGATTCTGGCTTCCATCTATCCGATCGCTCAAGTCAGCGAACCCTACACCGTCATCAAGTTTTTGGCCGAACGCGTCGACCTGATCCGCCTGCTTGATTTGCAGCAGCATCCCGACCCCGACGAGAATGCCAAGCCCAACCCCGTGTGGTCTGCGTGGGATATCTGCGAAGGTAGAGGCTGCTTTGCTTTTTGCGACAGGTGTGATGTGCTGCATGGTTTGAAACTCATGGGATGATGAAATTGTTGTTTTGCTCTTGTTTGATACCCCCAGCTTGGGCCGAGAAGCGCGGATACCGCACGGCAAAGGCTGCGCGACTCGATGTGTACAGGGGTGCCAACAGCTTGCTGCGCTTGGCTGTGGATGGTCGAATCGTCCTTTCCATGAAACCGCCAGGCTTCTACGCGCAGCACAAAGACCAGATTGAGCGCGAAGGTCTTGCCCCGATGCCAGTCAAGTTTAGCACATTTGCGTCCAAGGAGCATGAAAAGCGAGTGCAGGAGCAGATCCGAGATCACAGGGCAGCCGAGAGTGAAGAGGGCGACGACAGCGAAGAAGACAGCGACGGTTCCAGCAACGAGGACACTGATGACGAGCCAGCCGCAAGTACTACCAAGGCATCACGAGCTGCGCCCAAAGTCTCGAATGCTTTTGCATTGCTTTCCGATGAGATGGATTGAAAGCGTTCTTCTTCCAACCCAATTTGAACGGACATGTTGTCGCAATGATAATTTGGTTTTAATAACAAATACAAACAACGTCTTGATATTACATTGGCCCAGAGATGTTGTGCGTGAGCGAGTACTGGCGTCTTCGTTTACACCTTTGCATATCTGTCGAGTTGGGATCAAAAAAATGAGTCCTCGCCAGCCTCCAAGCAGACAATCAACTTTAAGACACGGGTGGAACATACACGGGAGAATCAGGATCCAGCTCGGGATTGCGGCACTTTTTCAACTTCTTGTCCACACGTTTGAGCTTGCTAGAGTCAATCTCGGTCGCTTTCATCTGAATCAAGGTTTTTGCTCGCTCCAGCGACTCTGTCAGCTGAGTAGTCTGCTCGGGTTTATCGGCAGCCTGTAGGTTGGCAGAAATGTAACTGCCAGGGCGGGTTTAGGGGCAAGCAAACAGAAAAGAGAAACAAAAAAAAAAAAGTCAGTATCCGAGTGCAACTCAAAGTCGCACTGCCACACTCCAACCACCTCACCTTGTAAGATCAATGCCGTGGTTGGCACAGGCGATGCAAAGTGCGGCCAACGCGAGTTGCGATGGCGGAGCGAGGAAACACGCGTCTGTCATGAAACTCTGGTCAATCAACGCCTTGGCATCGCGGTACGCAGCCTCCAGCTCTGCTGTTTGGGAAACGGCGCCTCGCGCTCGGACGTCGTAGAAAAAACCACGCAGCGAGCGCATGGGATGAAATACGACGAGATGAAAGTGTAGCCGCTGCACCAGAATGATTTCGAGCTGCAGAATTAGTGCGGAATCGCTTTCGCTGAGCTCAAGGTTGGTCACAAATGCGCTTAGATCAATGTTGATTTCCTCGGTCTTGCAAGCCATATAGAAGCAAGTCAAGCTGTCGAGCAAGACATGTGTGAACATTTTGTGAGGAAACTGAGGGAGACCCTTGGACTGCAGAGGCTTAAAATCCCAACGATGGATGAAGGATGAAAGGCTTACATGATGTGCTTGGGATGATAGTCCATCACAGACGTTGTGAGATAGAATCGCTTCAAGTATGCGATTGCAGCGAATCAACAACACGAGTGAGAAGCGCATCATCACCGCGGCACATTGCGTGCCACTCGTGCTGCGCGAGCATTGCTGCAGCACACCTAACAATACGCCCAATCACACAACACAACAACACGACGATCAAACTACCTTGACTGCCAGTGGAAACGGAAACGCCGGGACGACGGCCTCAGCAAGCTGCTGCAGATAGAATGCCAGGTACAGCTGCTCGTCCTCGCTTGTGAGGTACTTGCCATCGTCGTTTGTGCCGTGTGTCGCATGGATCTGTCGATCGGAGTGGTGCGGTGATCCAGCAGCAGCAGCGCGTGTGAGTTTTGTCAGGCTCGATCTCGACAGTCTCGTCCCGCATCGACGTTACCCGTGTCAAGCGGTCGACTGCCTCTTGGTTGATGCTGCTTCGCAACCGCGCGAGGTCGTCTTGGCTCGAGAACAGCCAGAACGAGTGCTGCGTCGATTCGTGAAACGCCATCCAAAACAGCACACAGAAGACTGGCTTGTCTCAGTTGCTCGGAATTCTCAGACAAAGCCTGCAAAAAATGCAACTGTAAAATTCAGGATCATGACCGTGGGTTGTCAATTGTGGCTGAGTGAGTGAGTGAGCCAATGTCAATCCACAGCAGCTGCTCACAGTGGATTGATTCTTGTCTCGCTGCTCTTGAATGGCCGTTTCTTTTGAATTGTTCCTATCATCCACTCTATATTTTTTTTTCTTTTTCTTTTACTTGTCTCTATCATAATAATCATGGGCGCTCCTGCGGCTGGTTCAAGTCGTCGCTGCTGCGTGTGCACTCGCAAGCGGCTCGCCATCTGGATGGGCGCGCTTGGCGCTCTTCTCCTCGCTGTCGGCATTGCCATCGACCCTGCCGTCAACTGGCTTGTCAAGATGGAAGTCAAAGACGTGAGTTTTCCGTCGTACTTGTAGCAGTGGTGGTCGAAGTGGTCGAAGTGGTCGAAGTGAAGTGGGGCTTGTGACTGGCTGACAGCTGCTGCTCCAATCCCCTTCCACCTCTCTCTCCCCTCCCTTCCGCTTCCCTTCCCTTCCCGTCCCTTCACTTCTCACTCTCATCGTCGTCCATCCGCTGCACTCGCTCTGTCGCTCGCTTCGGTGGCTGCTCCTCTTTCGCTCTTTGTATTTTTATTTTATTTTATTTTTTTTTTTAACTTTCGGTTGATTCTTTTTTATTCAAATAGCCGATCATTGCCTCAGTTTGTCCGGTCGCTTTTTTGATGGCGGGTTTTGTGTTTGGTCGTCCGTCTCGTTTCAATCAATCATTGCATTCATGTGAACAACAAGAAGGAGAGTTTGTTTAGTTGCTTGCATTGAGAGCTGAGAGCTGAGCGCTGAGAGAGAGAGAGAGAGAGAGACGGACAAAGTGTGGCTTGCACATTAGCAAAACCGTGGTGCTGCCGGGAGCCATATGCCGGTCCACCCCGCTGTCGGCTCGGCGTCGGCATGTCACTAGTATTGACCTCAAGGGTCAAAGGGACGGCAATTTCGTAGTGCTTGAAAAGAGAGAGAGACCGGCTTTTGCAATGCTCAAACATACACTGAAAACACAAAACCAAAACAACAATCTCAGGGTCAGATGATGATCGGTCACCCACCACCACCACCACCATGTCGAATCTAACATTCAAAATGTGTGGAGCGGATGTTGATGATCATCCAAAAACTGTGAGCATGTAGTCTAACTTTGAATTTTTGGATGCGACACACAGTCCGTCATGCTCACAAGCACCTCGTCGGCGCTCTACGACCAATGGCAAAACCCTTCCATTCCAATCTACATGACCTTCTTCATGTTCAACGTGGAAAATCCCGAAGAAGTCTTTGACCACGGCTCTCCGCCGTTTGTGCGCGAAATGGGTCCCTATGTCTACAAGTAAGAAATCCCTTTGACTTGACGATAGCTTCGTGTGGCTCAGGCCTCTGTACTCACTTGCTCTCTCCAATATCCAATCATTCAAAGTGAACTGCGCATCAAGGTCAACGTGACGTGGAACGCCAATCAGACCGTCTTGACCTACCGCCAACATCAAACGTACATTTTCAACCAGGAAATGTCGGGCACGAACACGGAAGACGATCAAATCACGACAATCAACTTTGGCCTTTGCGTACGTCTGCTCTGCTCCTTTGGCTACGTTTGTCTGGAAGACTGCTGATTGCCCCTCTGTCTCAACACTCACCGTGTCTGATTTTGTCGCTCTGCAGGGTCTTGTGGGCTTGCTCTACACCAAGGGCCTGGCCGTGAAGATGGCCATCGACGGTCTTCTCCAGGCCTTCCCGAAGGAAAAGTACTTTATGACTCGTCCCGTCCGCGAAATTCTCTGGGGCTACAAGGATCCCCTGATGTCCGCCTTGCACTTGGTGGACAACACCATCGACCCCATCATCGCTTTGCAGCAGAACGACTCTGCTCCCGACTGGCAGTTTGACTCGAAGATTCTCACTGGCAAGGAAGACATCAACCAGGTGGTCCGGTACATTCAGTGGGATGGCTTCACTGAGCTTCCCTACTGGGGCTCCAAGTATGCCAACATGATCAACGGCACGGACGCGTCGCAGTTTGCCCCAGACGTGCAAGATGATTTCATTGCAGCCGTTTTCGTCGACTCTATTTACCGGTATGCGCTGATGAGCTTTGACAGAGTTCTGTTTTGCTTATGTTGTTCCTCTTTACCTCCACGATGACACTCGAGTCTTCTCTCTCACACACTCACTCACTCCTGCTTCATCTTCTTCTTTCGCATCCTGCCACCCATAGCTCTGCATACCTTCTCTACCACTCAGACGTGAGTGTGGAGGGAATCCGACTCAAGCGCTTCACCATCGACCCGATGCTGCTCGCAAATTCTACAGTCAACCCCGACAACGCCGCCTTCTACGACTTTGGCCCATCTGGTGTGTTGAACATGAGCACGGCGGCGGGTGCTCCTGTCTTTGCTTCCAAGCCGCACTTTTTGGACGGCGATGAAATTTACCGAACCAATGTCCTCGGTTTGCACCCCGTCCGCGAGTGGCACGACACCAACCTTGACATTGAGCCAATCACGGGCGCGCTGATGCAGGCAGCCAAGCGTCTGCAGCTGAACATGGAGATTCGCAACGACCCCTACATTTTCCGCACGGGCAAAACCCCGTACGCGATGCTCCCCATCTTTTACGGCAACGAGAGTGTTTGCATCACGGCCGATCTTGCCGGCCAGTTCAAAGACCAAGTGTACACGCCGCTTATCGCCTCGACCGCTGTTCACTGGAGCGGCATTGCACTTGGCTCGATCATGCTTCTTGTCTGCATCGTTCTCGTCGCACTCCTCGTTCGAGAGCGTCGTTCTGGCCTTGACCTTTCTGCATACAATGTCAACCAAGGGGAAGACTCGGCTCTCCTAGGCAAAGGACAAACCTGGGAGTAGTCTGCTCCGCTGTGCGTGTTGCTTGCTTGATTTTGTTGGCATCTCACTCTGCCGACTTGATGTCTGCTCCTGCTCGCGTTTGCTTTTGTTTTGTGCTTTCTGTCGCGTGTGCTCGCGTATGTGTTTTGATTTGATATTCCTTCATAAAACGGTTATTTCATGAAAAAAAACAAAGGACTGCAAGTCACGGGAAATGTTTTGATTTTACTTTACAACAGAGCACGCATCAGCAAGCGACAGAGCGCGGAAAGGAACTGCGCGGTCACGAAACGCTACTCCCATTTACACAAATCCCCTGCTGCCAAAGAACGAGATGGCAAAGGACAAAGAGAACGGCACTGCACTGCATCAGAAATTACGAGAGTGACACCGCATACATCGGAGAGTACGTTTCACGGCGGCGACGATAAGTCAGGACAATCGCACCACCAATGACCGTGCCGACAAGGAGGGTCGAGACTGCGATTCCAGCGACGGCGCCCATGCCAAATCCATGGCTCGGGCGGCCAGAGGTGCGGCTTGCTTGAGCAACGAGATTGTTCATAACGTCACGACGACGCGCGTCAATCGGCGGCTCGTCCACAGGTTCAGATTCAACTGGCGATCCGCTGGGCTCGACAACAGCAGAAGAGCTGGCGGGGGCAACAGATGCGGAAGCACTGACGATGGCCGACGAAGCGTTGCTGCCACCACACTCCAGTGGACGGAACACGGCGTTGGGAATGAGGGCTGTCGTTGAGAGGCCGAAAAAGTCGTAGTAGCGGTGCACAGTGTATGAGCGCTTGTCCGAGGTGGGAAGGATGCCGTTGTCAGAGCACAAGCCGCCGCCAGCACCAGAGTCGCAGAGTGCAAGCTGGGAAACCTCCAGGCGAACGGGAACGTAGACGGGCGCGTCGTCGCCAGTGTTGGACTGCAAGAAGTAGAATCCAAACCAAAGATTCGATGCTTCATCATACCCGAGCCAGTACTGAGAGGTTCGGCCAAACAGGGTGCGCTCGCCGACAAGCGATGCGTTGACGAGGTCAAGACGGCCGAAGGGCAGCACCAATTCCTGGAGCATTTCGTCAGGAGTGAGGTCGTTGCCCGCCGAGAACTCGACAGTGCTTGTTTGGTTGGCCACCTGGTCAGGCGTGAGGAAAGGGTTGAGAGACGCGGGCAAGTCCTCCGAGTTGCACACATCGGCCGAGTTGCCCTGGCTGGGCTCGAGCGTGTTGAGCTGGTTTGATGTGCCCCAGATGATCTTGGCGACACTGAGCTCGAGGTTGTCGTAGAACGAAAAGCGAAGAGCGTCCGAATCATCGTCATACCACGTCTGAATCAACGAGGCGGCGGGGGTCACAGTGTCAATCATGGAAATGAACGAGATGAACGAGGGCGCCAGCTCGGGGTACACGGTCGTGTTCGAGGAGGCTGATGAAGACGAAAGAACGGCCTTGCATTTGGCAAACTCTGGCAGGGCCAATTCGGAGCCAACAACGTCGCCGCTGATCGAGAAGATGTCGAAGATCCAGTTGTTGACGATCAGACCCGACGTGGTGGCATCATTGATTTCATCCGAGTTCCAGTTGAAGGCGCCAGTCGAGGACGAATCGCCGCTGCTGTCCGTGCTCATCTCGAGCAGCTGGAAGCGCACGGGCGGCGAGTCAACAGCCACATTGCTGGATGTAAAGGTCCAATCGGCGATGGCAAAGTCCATGATGAGCAAGTACTGACGAGCCTTGATCGTGGGAGTAGCGATTGGTTGCTCTGGCTCCGCAGAAGCAGAAGGCTGGACAACTGCCGACGAGGGCTCGGTGTCGTTAGAGGGCGGCGATGCAGTCTCAACCACGGGAACATCAAACGAGGCAAACCACGAGTTGCAGGCAATGTCGCGAACGAGGCGCTGGCCATTGTACGTGAGGTTGAGCTGGTTGCCAATCAGGTACAGATCAATCAGACCGTGGATGGTGAGCGGGGACGAGCTGAGCAGACGCTTGGCATAGTTGGAGCTGGTGAGCGCCTCGGGCAGGCCAAACACGTTGTCCGTCTTCTCGTTCACCAGCTCAATCGACGTGTCGGACGAGTCGGTCTCGTTGCAGCCGTACGAAGGGTCAATGGTGAAGGTCAGGTTGCGCGAGAAGGCCACGGCAAAGATGGACTGGTCGGCAAAGCCAGCGTTGGTCTTGACAATCCAGCCGTTCTCGGTCAGGTTGAAGCTCGATGTCTCGGTCGTCTCGGTGACAAACTTCCACGCCTCCCAGGTCAAAACAGACTCGGTGGAGCCGACCTTGGTGACAAGCACCTGGGCGTTGGCGGTCTCGGGGAAGACGGGTGCGGCAACCGACGAGCTGTCGCTCGAAGAGTCCAGCGGGCAGAAGGCAAGCAGACCAAGGTCGAGCGACGGGTTGGTGACCCCAGTGTCAGTGAGCGGGAAGAAAAAGTTGTACCACTGCGTGAACGTGGTCGAGTCGGCGGTGGCATTGGCGCTGTCAAAGTCGCACGTCTCGTTTCGGCTCGCGCACAGAATGCCGTTCAGCTCGACCGCAGCAAGCCACTTGTCCGAGTTGTCGCTGTTAAACCAAGTCCAGTCGCTGTCCGGAGCGTAGATGGTTGCGTCGTAGGCAACGCCCGCCTTCTGGATGTTGGCGACCGTGAAGACGTTGCACGAGATGCCGCGGAAGATTCGGGTTTCTGAGCAACCAAGGCACGCGGATTTTCAGAGTTGAGACCAACAAACAACGAGCACCAACATTGTCGAATTCGTGCCATGACAGCGCCGCACAGCCACTCACCATTGAACTCGGCAGAGCTCAAGTCGTGGTTGTTCACGAGATCGCGGTAGCCAAAGAAGAACTGACGCTTGGGGCCGGTGTAGTCGGCAAAGGCTGCGGCGTCTGGAATGAACGCCACAGGCTGGTCCTCGGTCGACTCGAGCACCTGGCAGCCTTGGGTCGCCGAGAGCATGGTCAGCTTGTCCTATGGATGGGTTCGAAGCAGTTGTAGTTGAGCATGTTGCAACCAACAGCAACAACCCGAAAGTCAAAGTAAAATAAAAAATACAAAAAAAAAAAAAAAAAAAGCAAGAGCGATGTGAAAACACAAAAAAAAAAACAAAAGTAGGAACTGTGCGTTGTTTTCCAAAACAATGCACGCCCCCGAGGTGCCCCCCACATTCGCCAACTCGAAAACACAACGCACATGGGGCGAAACAGCAAAACTGTACCTTGGATTGAATCAGGGCTTTGAGGCCATTGTCGGGACCGACAGCGCGAACAAGAGTCATGGGCGAATCGGTGCCGTCAAAGTTGGTCGGAATTGTGTGTTCTTCCATGAAGATGGATTGCTGATTGGCATCGAGCTCGGTGGAAATGCGCTCATTTTGTGAGAAATCGGGCAACTGGAGCGTCTGGGCAGACGCCAGCACCAAGCACGCAGCGAGCACGACAATCGTAGCACGCATTCTGCTCCGAACAAAACAAAACAAAAACCGTTGTGAGCGAAGGGTGTTTGTTCCTGGTGTACTGCTGCGCACAACCACGCCCCTCCCCCTCGAGCGAGATTTTGAAACACAAAGGGAGAGGCATGCCGTTGGGAGGAGGAAACTCTCATGCTCAAGCCGGGCGGGAGGAAGGGCTTGCAACCGGAAACACAAACACATAAGAAACCACACACAAACCAACAAATCAATCGCATGCACAGATAGCCGTCAAGCAGCCCCGAATGGGCTAGAACTTAATCATTACATTGTGGAATGAGCCGTCCGAAAGCGGACCGAAGGGCTTAAAAACGCGATGGGGAGCGGCGTTGTTTCTCGTGGCGTTTATGTTTGTTGTTGTTGTGCGCTGCGCCATCGCGTATGCCCTCATAAAGAAAAAATGGCGAATCACAGCATCCATGACGAAACATTCGCCACTAGCGCACGTGGTGATGTTCACAAATCTCGCTCTATGCAATGTGGCTGAGGCAAAACAAATCGGCGATCGCTGCAAGATCCATGCTCAATCTGCTGTACATTGGATGACATGCAATTCACAAACACAACGTCACAAAGCGGACAGATGCAATTCTCAAGTGGCGATTTATACGGTTGCCACTGCATTCAGGGTTGTGCGCAGCGCAGCAAAGCGGACATGGCGCATGCGGCGACGAACTGCGCGGAACATGGTGCCAGCAGCGACAGCAAGCAGCGCAACGCAGGCCACCGACAGGATCACGGCTGACGGATTGTTGCCTTCGCTGTGTTGCTCTGCTTGCTCTTTCCACGGCTCTTCATCACGTAGCGCGCGGCGACGGTTTTCGACGCTGTCGGTTGGGCTCAGCACGGGCTCTTCAACAAAGTGACTCGACCTAGGCGGCTCTGTCGGAATGGGAGTATTGCTGGAGTAAGCGGATGACGAACTGGAAACAACAGGAGTGCGAGAGGAAGACAGGCTTGACGACTGGACGGAAGACGAGCGAGACACTGTGGACGAAATGTTGCGCGACGAACTTGGTGTCGCGGTGCGGCTCGTATTGTACCTGGAAGTTGCATTGTAAGTCGGCGTCGCTGTGCGGCTCGTGTTGTAGCTGTAGGTCGAGTTGTGAGTTGGCGTCGCTGTGCGGCTCGTGTTGTACCGGGAAGTTGCATTGTACGTTGGCGTTGCAGTGCGACTCGTGTTGTAACTGTATGAGGTGTTGTAAGTCGGTGTCGCTGTTCGGCTCGTGTTGTAGCTGTACGAGGTATTGTACGTTGGCGTCGCGGTGCGGCTCGTGTTGTAACTGTAAGAAGTGTTGTACGTTGGTGTTGCAGTGCGGCTCGTGTTGTAGCTGTAGGTCGAGTTGTAAGTCGGCGTTGCAGTGCGGCTCGTGTTGTAGCTGTAAGAAGTGTTATACGTTGGCGTTGCCGTGCGGCTCGTGTTGTAGCTGTACGAAGTATTGTAAGTCGGCGTTGCAGTGCGGCTCGTGTTGTAACTGTACGAGGTATTGTAAGTCGGCGTTGCAGTGCGGCTCGTGTTGTAACTGTACGAAGTGTTGTACGTTGGCGTTGCCGTGCGACTCGTGTTGTAACTGTACGAGGTGTTGTAAGTCGGCGTCGCCGTGCGGCTCGAATTGTAACTGTACGTCGAGGACGAGTACGAAGAGTAGGACGGAGTGGGAGCGTAGCTGGAGCTGCGAACGCCTGGATAAGATGGATTGGGAGACACGCACGGCAGGTTGAAGTCTTGCGCTTGGAGCGCTTGCGCCGGAGGAGTGACATGGATGAAATCGTACGTGCGGAAGATGGTGTAGTTGCGATTGCCGTTCCCCGACAGGAAGCCGCTGGTAGAGCATTGGCCCGTGCCGTTCGCGCTGTTCTGGGAACAAGTGGTAAACTGGAACACTTCAAGGCGGAAGGGAGTGTAGCTCGTGTTGGTCGTTGCGTTGCCGGTTGTGACGATAAAGTAGAAGCCAAACCAAAGATTGGTGGTCGACACGTAGCCCAACCAGTACTGGGTCACAACGCCAGCGACTGTGCGGTTGTCGATGAAGGATGCATTCACGAGATCGAGGCGGCCAAACATGAGAACAATGTCCTGGGTCAAGTCCTCAACGGAAGGATCGCTGGTCGAGTTGAAAATCAGGTCGCTCTGCTGCGCCTGCAAGGTCTCGCGCCGGTTGACGCTGCTCGATTTGTAGTCTGGCTCGAACGGATCGAGATAACTCGGCAGCTTGGCTGCGACGCACGGCGACTCTGGCTTGTAGTGCTCGTAGCTGCCTTTGCAGTTGCACTCGCCATTGCCCTTGATGACGACCACGGTGTTGATGGTGGTTGTCTGGTACACGGTAATGGTGCAGGACTGCACAATCTTCGAGTAGGTCGTCTTGCAGAACTTTTGGTAGCCCGAGACCTGGTCGTGCACGTTAATGTAGCACTCAAACTCTGGCTTGATCGGAGGGGGCACGTCGGGGTAGTTCGGGTAGGTGGGATACGTTGGGCAAACTGGGCATGGGCAGGTCGGGCACTCTGGCTTGACAGGTGGCGCGATGGCCTTGCACATGTCGTACACCACGTCTGTGCACACAGGGTAAAACCCACCAGTGATGGAGAAGATGTCGTAGATCCAGTAGTTGGCAATCAAGCCGGCCTTCGTGGCCTTTTCGTAGCAGTCGTCCTCCCACAGAATGGAGATATCAAACGTCGGCAGCGCTGTCGGCAGGTCAATCAACTGGAAGCGAACGGGGGTCGACTGGAGCTGAACGCTGCTTTCGGTAAAGTCCCACTCGTCGATGGCAAAGTCCATGGTCAGAATGTAGCGATGAGTGGGAACAACCTTGTTCTGCAACACGGGCGTGTCAAACCAGGCAAACCAGGAGTGGCACTTGATGCCACGCACGACGTGCTGCCCGTTGTAGGTCAAGGTCAGCTGATTGGCAATAATGTAAAAGTCAATCAAGCCGTGGATAACGATAGGGTCGCTGGACAGCAAGATCTGGCTGTAGATCGAGTCCATGATGGCAGGAGGCAGCTGGAACAAGTTGTCCGGCTTGGGATTGAGCAGGGCCACAGACTTGTCGCTAATATCGGTGAGCTTGCACAGGTAGGTCGAATCCAGCTCAAAGATCAGATTGCGCGTGAAGGCGACGGCATAAATGCTCTGGTCAAAGAATCCTGCGTTGGACTTGACCACCCAGCTGTTTTCCGCAGGCAACCCGTTCATGGGCGTCGGACTCACAAAGTCCCAGCCTTCGTACGTCAAGTTGGATTGCTGCAGCCCATAGTTGGTAACAAGAACTTCGGCGGTGACGGTCGGAGCAAACACGGGATACGGCACCGTCGGGACGACAGGGTCGGGACAACCGCAGGATGTGAACAAGGGGCACGACGCCAGCAGCCCGAGATCGAGAGACGTATCAGTGTCGGCAGTGTCTTGGATGGGGAAGAAGTAGTTGTACCACTGCTGGAAAGGAACGAGTCCAGCATCGCTGACGGAACACGGAACAGCCACATCGGGGCAGATGACTCCCACAAAGTGAACAGCAGCAATCCATGCGCCCGGGGCGCTGGCATACCAGATCCAAGGGTCCACAGGCACGTAAATGAAAGCGTCATAGGACGATCCGGCCTTCTGAATGTTGGACACCTTGAACATGTTGCAATTGATGCCTCGGAAGTTTTGTGGACCTACAGAACCAACAAGAGAGAAGAAAAAAGGCACAGACGGGCGTGGTTGGTACATCTGCATCACATCATCAGCAGGCTTTCCGCAATCAAAAGTTGCACGTACTATCAAAGACTGCAGTGCTAAAGTCGTTGTTGGCGAAGAGGTCGCGCAAACCAAAGTAGTACTTGCGCTTCGGGCCCGTGAAGCCGGGGAAGGCCGAGTCCAGAGGAATGTAGGCAATCGGGTCTGGGCCGAGCGTAGAGCATCCCGAGGCGCTCGAGTACATGGTAAATTCAGTCTATCCGGAGCAGTAACATGAGGTAAGTTGAGCGCCCCATAGGTGTACAACCTCCACACTCCGTACTTCCAGCACTTACATTGCTTTGGATCAGGGCTTTAATGCTCGTGCTGGCACTCAGAACGCTGACCAGCGTCATTGGGTTTGGGCTCAAGTCATAGTTGTAAGTCACGGTGCGCTCGCGAATGAAAATGGTCTGTTGCTCGTCTGGGAGGTCGAGCTCGGTCGAAATACGAGAGTTGGAGGTGAAGGCTGGCAGCACCAGCGTCTGCGCTGACGCAACGGCCAACAAGCAACTAGCCAGCAGCAGCAAGAGAAGAGCGCGCATGCGTAACAAAGAAAAGGACACAGAAAGTGAGGGGTTAAAGGGGTCAAAAATGTAGACTGCCATTCCTAACTTGGCAAGCGATTCGAATTTAAAGCGAGGAGAACGCGGAAGCATGGAAACGCCATAGCTTATCGACGTGTGATGTTCAAAACAAAGAGCCACACCCATCAAACGTCACCAAAAGCGCGCTGCTTTAGGAAGGTCGACTTTCGCATGGCGCAAAAGAACAACGCTGGGATTTGTTTACAATAACAAACACGAAAACAAAACTCGATCCTTGTGCAGAACTGCAACAGAGCGCCTGTACGAGTCGAAGGCTGTCGGGCGTCTGCCTCGGTGTGGGCGTTGGGTATATCATCGGATGAAGAGAGGGATGGAGGAAGCGCTGGACAGAAGGGGGAAAGCGTGCCGAAGCTTGTCAAACTCATTCAGCTTGTATTCTTGGGTTTTGGTTTTAGTCGATTTCGCATCGCCATCTTTTGAACGACGATGATGATACATGTATTGAGCACCACAAAATCAAACTGGCCGACCCCTGTTCAAGCAAGCAATCCTCGTGAACGGAGATGGGAAGACAGAGCCACTCTCGTTTTGTTTTTGCAATGCCTGCCACAGTGAAGCCAAGCGTGAACGCGCCTGTGGTTGTTCAGTCGGCCCGTGCGCGTGTGTCTCAGTGGCTGTCGCCCGAGCCCGATGCGCCGCTGCCCCCAGTTGCGGCTACAACCTCAGCTGCTGCTTCTACTGCTGCTGCTGCTGCTGATGCAAAGGACGGTGCCAAGTCCAAGCAACAGGGCAAGACCAAGCCAGCCAGCACTCCTGCCTCCTCTGCCTTCTCTGCCTCCTCTGCCTCGTCTGCTGCTGCCAAAGTGAATGGCGGCTCTAGCAACAACCAGTCTGCGCCTCGCCCTGCACGGTAAGCGAGAGACGAGAGACTCGAACATGCTTTGACCTTGCTCGTAACTCACACTTTGTGTGCCATGTGTGCCCTCATCCCAATCCATCCCGCTGATCACATCCCTCGGATCCGCAACCAACCATCACGATCCTTTGTACAACCCGAAATCATCAAAACGTCATTCTGGATTTATTGGTTGACAAACAAAAAACACGCGCCGCTGACACATTGAATCGAATCCACTTCAGACTCGGCCTTGGCGCCGTGGCCGAACAGATTGACCCGGAAGCCGCTGCCAAAGCCGCTGCGAACGCTCAACTCAACACGCGCTTGGCCCGCCGCATCTTGAATGTCAAGCCATCGGCAGGCACATCTCGAGCAGACATTGGCCCGGCGCCATCGAGCACCCAATTTGGTTAGTAGGCTTTGGTTTGACGTTTGCTGGCATGCGGTTGTACACATTCTCACACCGACGTTGTCAACTTGCTTGGTGGCCTGCAGCTGGTCGGAAGGGAACCAAGCGACCTGCGAACGATGATGATGAGGAAGAGGATGCCTCGGAAAGCAAAACCGCTTCCATCGGTAAGGCTAAAAGCGCCAAAGCCAAGCCAGCAGCAGCAACGCCCGCGACCGCTGCATCAAAGCCCAACAAGACGTCCGACGTCAAGCACCAGCAAGACCGTCGCGTCAAGCCGCGCTTGGACACGGAGGACGCAGAATCTGGCAACGATGCCAATGAGCAATTCCCGGCCGATGCGGACGCCTCAGACTTTGCCTCAAACTGGGACGACACTCCCTCCAAAGCGGCAAAGTCGGTGCCAACTCCGATGGATGATACCTGGCAGAACGCAAATGTTGGTCACTTTTCTGGCAAAATGTCCACCGAGGCTCTCGACGGCGAGTCTCAAGTGCAGGCTGCCAAGCAAGCGCAAAAGCGCCGCCAGGCTCCCAAACCTCGCACTGTGGTCAACCCGGACGGCACTGTAACAGAGATCAAACCTAAAAAGTACCGTTCCCGGCAAAAAAACATTCGCAAAGACAACCGTCCTCCAGAGCTTGTGAGTGTTGTTGATTGCTCGCCTCGCTTGTTGACAAGGCCATTGTTGAAAGAGAAACGAAGGTGCGCTCATTGCCGTTGAACCATTGTTGTTTGTGTGTGCTTGCAGAAACCAAACTACCTCGTTCCCAAGCCCCGTCCAAACAACTCGCAAAAGCCCAAGCAACCAAGTGCCGCTGCCTCGCAATAGTTGAACATGATGTGTCATTGCTGCGCGTGTCTCGGACGTCATTTGGCTCCATCGAGTGGAGAAACAGTATCAATCAAAATCGACAAAGCACAAACACTTCAAAACGAATCATCACGCGCAAAGCGAAGTTCATCGAATCAGTCAGGAGTGGTCACGAGGTGTCCCGCTTGAACATAGGCCTTGTACAAGTGGGTCACGGTTGAGGTGGGCTCCATCTTGATTGTTAGACCGCGAGTATCTGCACAAAAAAAAAAAAAAAAATGGACGACCGCCGTTAGCACTGGCTCTCGAACATCAAACGGACCTCGGCAGTCCACCTCCTCTTCTGTAACTTACTCTTAATTTCCTTTTCTAGTCGTGCAAGATGCGCACGCGCCGCTTTTTGCTCGCGCTCGACCTGGCGCAAGAGCAGCAAGTGCTCAATCGAGATGAGCGGCTCGCTCACAGAAGGATCCTGCGCTGGCGGAGCAGCCACGGCTCCTGCATTCGCCGCGTCGATTTCCATTGGCTGCGCAGAGTCAGTCGACTCGTCAACAGTCATGGGTTTCTCTGCAACCTCAGCTTCGTCGGCCGCGAGTGCAGTGGCGGCAGAGATCGACGTGTCGAGCGGTCGATCGGCAGCGTCAGCCACCATCGCGCCTGAAGGTTCGGTACCAGCCTGCTGTGGCTGCTGTCCATCGGTTCGCACTTCGGCTGTCTGGACCGCAGAGGTCACGGTGGCGAGGGCAGCAGATGTCGACGCCAACACCAATCCGATTCGCGACAGATCGCAATACTGCCCAGATCGGACAGTGAACATGCGAGGCGCCATCACTGGGCGTGGCACAAGCCCGCTCAATGCCGTCGGAATTGGCGCAAACGGCTCTGCAGGCTTCCCCGCGCCAGAGTTGAAGACAAATCGCTCGGGCGCGCAGCGGAAGCACAGATAGTAATCCAGATTGTCAATCTCAATGTTCAGGCAGTCTGAGTGCTGCCACGTGTTGCAGCGCTCGCACTGGATCATCGGGCCGGCGTCAATGGACTGCGAGCACGCGCAGAGGACGAGATCCTCCGTCCCCGCATCGCGAGGTGCGCCAGTGGGCACGAGGGATTGAATAAACTGGACGACTTCCGGCGGGTCGGCTTTTCGCGACGGCTGACGGGAATGTGCGGAAGGGCTGGTCAGCGGCTGCTGGTGTTGCAGCTGTTGGAGCGCAATCAACCGGGCGCGAATGTCCTCAACCGATGAGCCTTCGCCCGAATTGGGCAAGGACGACGGCTCCGCGTCAGACAGAGCAGGGAGGCCATTCTCAAGCCACGACGGCTCGCCAGTGGTCTCCCGTTGGCTGCGGCTCCCCGAGTTTGTGCGCACTGGTGCGCGAGCAACACTGCCTGGGCTGTGGAGCGCACTGTCAGATCCTCGCGGCAAGCCAATCAATGGGGGCGCAGATTGTGGCGACGCGCCGACTGTAGAGCCATGAGCAGCTGGTGTCGCCGGCGCTGAGGATGCCGAGGTCGCAAACGTCGTAGCTCCGTCCTTCTCCATCTCCTTCGCCTTCTCCTTTTGCTTGTTGGCGATCGCCGATAACACAGCCGCAACAACAGATGCCGGCATCGTCGCCGGGCGTGGGTCAGGTCGTGCCTCGGGCCGCGGCTGCGACTGCGACTGCGGCTGCGGATGCGAAGAAGGTGGTGGTGGCGGCGGGGGCGGGGCATGTTTCCGGGTCGAAGGCTCGGGGTTTGAGGTCGGATGATAGTCGTCGTCGTCGTCGTCATCGTCTTGCATCAGCAGTCTTCGTTGATACGCAGGAAGAGTGGCAATGTCGATGACACCTTCGCCGTCATCGAGATCGGCCTGGGCGTTGGAGAAGAGAAATGAATAAGACATGATTGAGTTTGCAAGTTGATACAAGGCTTCTGTCACAGTAGAAATTGCTTTCAGGACACATACCTGATCCAAAGTCCGTTTTCGCGGGATTGGACCTCGTCGCTGGCGAGGTGCGACTGGAGCCGCGGGTGCAGGCGCAGCAGGATCAGGGTAGCGGCTCGATTCCGCTGGTGTCATGTGCCGCATGCTGCTGGGAGAGGCGAGCTTATTGAAGCCATCGTCGAACAAGATGTCACACGAGCCACCCTGCAAGAAAAATTTTGGAACGAAGTCAAAAAAAAAAAACCCTCCACAATGAGAATCATTGCACAACGAGCCAAAAGCTAACCAACAGGCGCTGTTACCTCCATGACCTGTCGGATAGTCGCGGGGTAGAGCTTGCGATCGAGCCATCGAGCCATGACTCGCTGGTGGGCAGAAAAGAATTCTGGAAGGGACGTGTCATCGGATGAGTTGAGTCGCGGCCGCTTTGAGACGGGTGACATTTCGTTGTCTGTGACCGACTCTGCGTCAAAGCTGCTGCTGTCATTCCCGGCACCGGTGTCTTCGTTGGGACGCTTTTTGCGCAGGTCAGCATCCTGATCATCGGACGGACCAGTCACTGGGTCGCTGGCGGCGTGATAGTGCTTGATGTGCGTCTCGAGCATGGCCGGCTTGCGGAATTCTTTGCCACAATCAGCAAACGGGCAAAGATAGACCTTCTGGTCTTGCAAAGCGTTGGATTTCAGACCTGCACCGGGAGCAAGCGTCTTGACACCGGCGATTTGACTGTCTTGCAGCTTGACGCCCAGACGACCGAGTCGTGTGAGCGCATCCAGTTCGCCTCCAGAGACGGATGTCGCTGGGACAACGCTCGGCCCCGCGGCGTCGTTGCTGCCAGTGTGCGCTTTGTCCGCGGGCGAGATGGCCGAGTGAATCTCTTGGACTGATTTTGGCGTAATCGGCGTGCAAAGCGCTTGACTGATAGAGTCGGGAAGGGACATGCGAACGGCGACAGCCGCTGGGGAAGTGGCCGCGGAGGCTGACGCGGAGGCCGAGCGACCGGGTGTTGGTGTTTTGGCCTGCGCGATGCTGTCTTGTTGGTGCTGCACCGGGGTTGGTGACTCGGAAGAAAGCAACGTCGGGGTGACTGCGCCACTCCTTCGTCGCCCATTGCCTGCATTTGAGTCGGTGGAACTAGAGTTGCTGCTGGCTGCTGCTGCTGTGGTTGGCGATTGCGTCCGGCTGTGCGAGCTGCGCCGCGAGGGCCGGCTGGCCTCGCCTAGCGGCTGTTCTGCCTCATCCGCGGACGATGCAGCTTGGCTGGACGAGGTCTGCATGGCCGACTGGCCCTTATTAGAAGAAGAAGATGAGGCGGAGGCGTCTTCCGCGGCAACCGGCGGAGCTGACGATGAAGCGCTGGCTTCACGCTGCTCTGCTGCCGTCGTCGACTTTTCGTTGTCGTCGCCTTTCGCGGGAACCACTACTGTGGTCCAACGCTGGCGCTTCGGCTTCTTCTTCCGCTTCACGATGGTCGGGGCGCGCGCCAGTGGTCGCCAGTCCTTTGACGACACGTTAATCCACTCGTCGTACTTGTCGCTCCATCGCAAAAAGTGCACCCAGACGGAGCTGTCTGACTCGTCGACGCCACGAACAATGGCCTCGTACCTGTGGAAGATGTGGGTTGGGGTTTTTTGAAAGTGAGCAAACAAGAAACCGAAAACAGAAAACCTCGGCCTATCGCTTTCGGCCCCCCCCCCGCCCCCGCCTCCTGTCTGCGCTTTTCTCTCTCTCGGTGGTTGGCAGAACTGTAATGGTAATGGGTTTGGTTTTCCGGCTTGGCTCTCACCAGTTGCCCCAGGAGTCCATTGCTTCAAGATGGCTTCCTCGGGTCAGCACGACGCCTCGGACTCTGAGCTTGGCGTTGACATCGAGATTGAATCCAGACGCACTCGCTGCAGCAATGGCCCCTGCAGCCGTGTTGGTCCCGCTGCGGCCCTTCTTGGTCGTCGGGATTGGCTTGCTTGATCGCGCTCCACCGCGCGGGCCAGCCGACCCGGGCGTGCGGACGTCCGACCCCGACGCCCCTCCTGATCTTGTTCCTGGGCTTGTGCCTGTGGCTGCTGCTGCTGCTGCTGCTGCGGCTGCGGCTGCTGCGGCTGCTGCGAGCGAGCGTCGGCCAGGTGGGCGCCCGCGTCGCTTCTTGACTGGCTCTGCTGCTGGCTGAGCTTCCGTCGCTGCGGCGCCACTGCTGCTCTTCAGTGACGCTGCAGTGCTTGCAGCTGCAGTGCGCTTGGGGCGCGGGTGGTCTTCAAACTCGCTCACAGCCGAGTCGTCGTCCTCGTCCTCGTCCTCGTCCTCGCCGCTCGAGCCGTCCTCGTCGCCCGTGCCGTCCTCGCCATCATCATCGCCATTCTCATCATCATCATCGTCGTCGTCATCATCATCGCCATCTTCATCTTCATCATCGCCATCGTCATCGTCGCTGCCGCCGCTCTCGGCTTTGCTGGCTGCTTTGGCTTTGCTGTCCAAGTCCGAGTCCGAGTTGGCCGCTTTTCGGGTCGGACGACGCCCGCGACGTGGTGCAGCAGCAGTAGCAGCAGTGTCTTTGGTTGTCGCTGTGGTGGTGGTGGCGTCGGCTGTGGCAGCATCAGTCGACTCTGCTGTTGCTGCTGTTGCTGCTGCGCGTGAAGCCGCAGACGACGATGCGCGCGATCGCAGCGACATCAACTCAGAAAACACAACGATAAACTTAGAAAGAACAAAAACGGGGGGAAAAACGAAAAACGGGGAAAGAAAAAGAGTGGAAAAAAAAAAAAAAAAAAAGAGACTGAAGTTGCATTGGCGAAAAGCAATCGATGAATGTACTAGTTTGGATGAGGTTGTTTACAGATTGTCAGCATCACGATCAGCGACAGGCTGGCGGATGGCTGCTGGTGGTTGATCACCAGAAGAGGACGATTGAGCGGAAGCACCAGACGACGACGACGACGACAATGAAGGATCTGTTGGAAGGTCCAATCGATCGTCCACGGCAGGTGCAGGTGCTGCCGGTGCTGCTGCTGCAGGTTTTTCTGCTGCTGCTGCTGCTGCTGGCTCGTTGCCAGAGGACGCTCGACGGATGGTTGATGACGAGTCCTCATTTTGACCCAACGAAGCCAAGGCCGCCGAGTTCGTGGACTGCGCTGCCCCTGTCGAGTTTAGCAATGCTTGAAGTGCACGCACCTGGGCTTGAAGTTCTTCCACCTGCGACATAACCATCAACGGATGGATGAGTCTGAAAGCTCAAGGCCATCTCAAAACCGATTGATTTTCAGGTACGCACCTGCTTTGTGAGAGCATCAGAAGTTGTGTGTGCCCGAGCGCATTCTTCCCGATAGCGTTGCTCGGTTTCTAAACAGGCCCAAGCATCATCGGATGAGTCATAGCAAAAGCCAACCATGCAGAGATTGATGTGGTCCAAACAAGCGATAAAGTACCTTCTTTTGTTGGCTTTCGGCGCACATTGAACGGATGGCAGAGGCTGGTCGAATTGAGAAGAGCGTGCTTCTCCTTCTCGAGTCCCTGTGTGCACCGCAGAAGTTGTGAGCGTCAGTTGAATTGTTTCCAAGCAAAAAAAAAAAAAAAAAAAAAAAAAAAAAAAAAAAAAAAAAACACACAGACCGGCGCATACCTTTGCTCCATCTGCGAAATCCCGATTGAGAGCTGCAAACTGCTCTTGCAGCGCTGGAGGCAGCGTTGCGTTGCTGCTCAACCCGCACTCGTACAGCATGCTGCTTTTGGCAGTGCGTATTCGCGTTTTGTCAACCAATAGGCATAGAACATGCATCAAGTCAGCTTCAGAGCATAATCCACGCGCCAATCTTCTCAACGAATCAAACACGTACGAATCAACCGGCATGCTGACGTTGCAAAAGAGCGGCGTCTTGAACAACATGCGATACTGGCAGGTCGCCGGCTCGCTCACGTCGACCAACTTGTTGCTGTGACCGCACGCAAAGAACACGCGGACCTGGCGACTCTCGCCCCGAGCGCATGCATCGCCGTGTGTCAAGTGCTGGCCGGCGTACTGGTTGTTGGCAGTCATCCACCGCGCAAACACGCCCAGAATGCCGTTGTACGGGTTCCATCGCGACGAAATTTCGTGCTGCGTGGCGTTTGCAAACGGACAGAACTGGTATCGGTAACTGTAGTCCAAAGCGCGGAGCAAGTGAGCAGGTGAGTAACGTGAGAAATCGGGTCACTTTGTAAATGACGACTCCAGCGCACCAAACAAGCCGGGAGTCGTCAAATAGGCACGTTTACCTGCTTTGTTGCTTGCTGAAGCATTGTCCCGCGAGCGACAGTAATTCGGGCGGACCTGCGAGACGTCAAAGCATGGATTGAGTGCAAGTGAGCGACACGAACCTCCACCCCCCTCATTGAAACTTCCGCGCTTTCCAAGCATGGCCTCGTGTACCATGGGGATGCTCGGGATCGACGCTGGAGCTGAGCGGAGTGCCGGCGTTCTGGAACATGGAGCCGCCGCTGTTGAACGACGAGCCGCCACCTGACCCCGCCGAGCCGCCTGAGCCTGAGCCCGAGCCCGACGAGCCCGATGAGCCCGTCGAGCCGGCGGTGCCAAACTGGCCCACGGGATCCGCAGCCACGCGCATGACGACCTTGCCGGCATCGGCGGCAGTCACAGGCGGCGGAAGCACTGCGATTGCTGCTGCTGCAGCCACCGCCAATGCAACGAGTACTGCCAGCCGACGCATTGAACAGCCACCAAAGGGAATGAATAAAGAAGAATGTTCAAGAAGAGTGGATCGGGGTTTTTGATTTGGTTTTCGGAGAATGATTCATCGATGAAGAGCAAACAAAACAAAGGTAGACTTGAGTGATGGATGGTGTGCTCGGTGCTTTGGTTGCATTGGACGAGCTTCTATGACTCACCTGGACATACAGCGATAATGAGTATGCGCCCATCACATTGCAATAGATCTGCAGCAGTAGATCAAAGCATTTCGCTTTGTTGTTTTGTCGATCATCCAAAATTTTACAGCAAACAAAAGAATTGACAACTTGACTCCCACCCCTTCGTCTTGGCTCCCACCCACCACCCACTCCGACTCGGTGAAAGTGGGTGTATGCAACTGTGTATTCCATTGCGCTGTTCTCTTCTCCTCGATGCCAGCACGCGTCAGCAGCGAGCGCGTGTAAACAGCAGTATCAAAAAAAAAACCAAACCTGTCAAAACAATCACCGATAATTCGCATTCGCGCACTCCTGTTATTTTGCTTCGTTCGCCGAACAGCTCGCAGTCGCCGGCTCGCCTTCGTTTCGTCCTGACTGCCTATCATCACTCACTCTTGCACAGCACACGTATCGACCGGAAAAAGGTGGGGGTGGCAGTGAACCTGAACAACAAGATGCGTCGAAGGGCTGCACGGAACGCCCTGCTCGGCGCCGCCTGTCTGGTGTGCTGCTTCCTGCTGCTCGCCGCTTCGTCGTGGACGGGCTCGAGTGAGTCCAGCAACGAGACCATGCAGCCGCCGCACGGTGCTTTGACCCCGCAGCAGCGCGCTGTGCTCCCTGCCGCAGTCCGCTACAAGTCAGCGAACGACGTCCAGCAAGCCCAGCAGCGCGAAGACGCCGCTCTTGCTGTCGCGCGCTACCAGGCTCAGGTATACACCGGCGGCGGCCTCGCGCTTCCTTCCACCTTCCGCATCGTGGTTGCTGGATTTGTCTACCTGTTGCTTCCGTGTTTCCTCGTTGTTGAAACGAAGCGCGCGCGAAACTTTTACTATCGTCATGGAACTCCATGAAAACGTGGACTTTTTCTTTTTTCTTCTTTGGTCGGAAAACGCCCTATTCTCCCCGAACCCATCCTCCTCTGCTCGAGTCCCCGCCTCGTGAAAGCACACAAAGAGTCGGGGGAGATCTGGAGAATGCAAAAAATGCGACGAAATGAACTGGGGCTTTGCCTTTTGACTATTGTGCTGCCCTTTGTTGATTGCTTTGACACTTTGGCTTTTTGCCGCGTGGATCTGGATCGGGGAGTGCTCGGTCGTTATTGAGGATATCAGTCGACGTTTGAGTTGTCACTCATGTTTGCAATTGTTGTTGTCTGTTCTTTCTTGCTTCAAAACAAAATCAGGGAATTGCGGAAGAAAAGATGCAGGCAATGCGCGACCAGGAGGAGTGGGTTCGAGGGCACCCCCTGCCCGACACACCCGAGCAACAGCCTGCAAAGTTGTATCACACAGAGCCCGCTTTCGTGCCTGGCTTCGAGGCAGATGGCAATACCTTCCGACAAGACCAAAAGCCGGCAGAGGTCGAGTCGGGACCAGGCTGGCACATTGAGAACGACGTTGTCGTGTTCGACGCTCCGGCAAATGCGGGCCTCATCGAATCCAATGCTGGCTCAACAGCCGAGAGCAAGGAGGAGGCATCGCTGCCCGAGATTCGGCAAGAGATTGAAATTGCAACCCCAGATCACAAGGACACTTTGCCCTTGGACAACGATCGCGTCGCATTGCCCAACGCCCCACAAGCCGACCAGCCGCAAGGCGAGGCTCGAGGTGATCAATTCAAAGAAGAGTCACAAGCCGAGCAACCGAAAGTAGACGGAGAGCAGGCCGAGCAACAAGCGACAGGAGTGGGATCCACAGAAAACCATGACCAACAACAATTGCCAGCCGCGTGGCCGATCGATGGCATGCCGCCTCCGCGCGAAGCCCAAGATCCGACGATTGAAGCGCCGCAATTAGAGCATTTGCAGCAAGAGGCCCTTGGCAACGATTTGAAGTCGCCGCTCGAATCTGATCAACAGCTCAAACACAACAACCTCGACGAAACGACGCCCGAAGACTCTTCTAGCGCAGATAACCAACCGCCGCAAATTGAACCTGCTGAACTACTGCCAAAGAATCCTGCAGGCGTCGACCAGCAGAGCGACGACCAGCAAATCGAAGGCCTGCAGGGCGAAGAGCTTGCCCAGCACGAGCCACTCACACCCACTGTGAAAATCTCGTCAAAGCTGACACCTCAAGTTCCGCCCAGCTATCTTGTGCCCTTGCTGGCTTCGCAAGACCCTCGCTCGGAGCTGCTGGCGAGCATGATTGTCGCACGCCGGCTCGAACGCACTCTCGCCCTTCCTCCTCAGTGGCAGCTGGCTGCGCCTGCGGGCTCGGTCTTGCCTCGGCATGCAGGTTTGTCCGCTGCGTATGCCTCGTTTCCGTTCGAAACCCTGTTCGATGTCAAGCACCTCAATGAGTTTGTCGAGACTGTGGCCTTCGAGACCTTCCGCAGCGAGTTTGATACGTTGCCGGACGACCCTGCCATCGCCAGCAGCGAGCTTTGCTTTGTTTCGCTTGATCCGGAACCCGCAATGAGTCCTCTGTTTACCCCTGGCTTTTTCGGAGACAATGTCGGACAGTTCAGCCCGATTCGCACTCTGGCCTTGCCTGTGACGGAAGAAACGTCCGCAGACGACCTGCGCCAACTGCTTTCTAGCGACCCCATTGCCTGCCAGCGGTCGTTCGAGACTGGCATGCTGCCTGCAGGAACGGACTGCTCTGCCGTCGTTTCGTGCTTGAGCTCGCGCTTCCTCGCGGTGCACTTCCCGTCAACCCCGCTTTCGTACTTGCTATCTCCTTCTGTCGAGGATGACGTCAAGGATGGACATGACGCCCTGCGCGTAGCCGCCTTTTTGCGCCCGTCCAAACATGTCTCGCGCTTGGCCGACGCGGTCGAGCTTCTGTTTGAAGACAGCCTCATCTGTGTCCACGCCCATGCCGAACTCGATTCTGCCAACCTTCAATGCCCGGAGAATGCTGCTGGTGCCGGATCCCTTGAAAAGTGCCGGATGCTGCCTTCGCCGAATGCCGCAAGCGTCTCGGCTGAACTCGGCAAAGCGATTGATCGCTCCAACGCTTCGCACATTGTTCTCGTGAGCAACATGCCCAACGGGCATCCGGATGTGCAGATCTGGCGAGACAGCTTGCCCCTCGTGCGGCTTCCCGATCTCGCTGCTGGTATTGCCTTGAACGGCCCTCCCGCCAGTTTACTTGACCTGCTGCAACTGCACCAACCGGCGGCAGCGATTTCGCATCCAACCCTCAAGCACAGCTCGACCGCCGATCTCCTCGCTGATCTAGCATCCGTGGATGCGGCGGATGTTCGCGTGCTCGCCAAGCAAGCCGCAACGTGGAGCGAGTTGTTGGCTGAGGATCACGATCTCACGTTCTTCAAGCAACCGCTGGTCATGTGGGAGGTCGAGCGTGAGCTTTGCAACCGCGCTCCAGTCTTCTACGCCACCAAAGATGTTGCTTGGTCGGAGCAAGTCGCCTTGGCCCGCATGGCTCGGCAGGCCAAGACGATCCAGCTCGATTTGTAAATGTAACCTGTAATTTTTTGTTTTCATTAAAAACCTCGATGTGTGCTTTTGTATTTTTGTTTTATTCTGCACCGCACCCGTGACACGCACATTGCAATAGCGAGTGAAACACTGTCAATTGCCACTTGAAGCATCACAAAAAAAGCACGATTCGTCATGATCGCACAACGCACATTCCTAAAAAAGGAAACACGGCGATGGAAAACAAATGCACGGCAATCCGCACTCCATTCGCCATCGCCCTTTTAAGCTCGCCCCTCTACATTCGGACAGCTCATTCCACAATGTAATGATTAAGTTCTAGGCCGCTTGGTTCCGCTTGGTGGTGGCTGAGGGCTTCTTTGTCGGCTTGTATTTTCCGTTTCGATTGTTTGTTTACGTGTTTGTGTTTCCGGTTGCAAGCCCTTCCTCCCGCCCGGCTTGAGCATGAGAGTTTCCTCCTCCCAACGGCATGCCTCTCCCTTTGTGTTTCAAAATCTCGCTCGAGGGGGAGGGGCGTGGTTGTGCGCAGCAGTACACCAGGAACAAACACCCTTCGCTCACAACGGTTTTTGTTTTGTTTTGTTCGGAGCAGAATGCGTGCTACGATTGTCGTGCTCGCTGCGTGCTTGGTGCTGGCGTCTGCCCAGACGCTCCAGTTGCCCGATTTCTCACAAAATGAGCGCATTTCCACCGAGCTCGATGCCAATCAGCAATCCATCTTCATGGAAGAACACACAATTCCGACCAACTTTGACGGCACCGATTCGCCCATGACTCTTGTTCGCGCTGTCGGTCCCGACAATGGCCTCAAAGCCCTGATTCAATCCAAGGTACAGTTTTGCTGTTTCGCCCCATGTGCGTTGTGTTTTCGAGTTGGCGAATGTGGGGGGCACCTCGGGGGCGTGCATTGTTTTGGAAAACAACGCACAGTTCCTACTTTTGTTTTTTTTTTTGTGTTTTCACATCGCTCTTGCTTTTTTTTTTTTTTTTTTTTGTATTTTTTATTTTACTTTGACTTTCGGGTTGTTGCTGTTGGTTGCAACATGCTCAACTACAACTGCTTCGAACCCATCCATAGGACAAGCTGACCATGCTCTCGGCGACCCAAGGCTGCCAGGTGCTCGAGTCGACCGAGGACCAGCCCGTGGCGTTCATTCCGGACGCCGCAGCCTTTGCCGACTACACCGGCCCCAAGCGTCAGTTCTTCTTTGGCTACCGCGATCTCGTGAACAACCACGACTTGAGCTCTGCCGAGTTCAATGGTGAGTGGCTGTGCGGCGCTGTCATGGCACGAATTCGACAATGTTGGTGCTCGTTGTTTTTTGGTCTCAACCCTGAAAATCCGCGTGCCTTTGTTGCTCAGAAACCCGAATCTTCCGCGGCATCTCGTGCAACGTCTTCACGGTCGCCAACATCCAGAAGGCGGGCGTTGCCTACGACGCAACCATCTACGCTCCGGACAGCGACTGGACTTGGTTTAACAGCGACAACTCGGACAAGTGGCTTGCTGCGGTCGAGCTGAACGGCATTCTGTGCGCGAGCCGAAACGAGACGTGCGACTTTGACAGCGCCAATGCCACCGCCGACTCGACCACGTTCACGCAGTGGTACAACTTTTTCTTCCCGCTCACTGACACTGGGGTCACCAACCCGTCGCTCGACCTTGGTCTGCTTGCCTTCTGCCCGCTGGACTCTTCGAGCGACAGCTCGTCGGTTGCCGCACCCGTCTTCCCCGAGACCGCCAACGCCCAGGTGCTCGTCACCAAGGTCGGCTCCACCGAGTCTGTTCTGACCTGGGAGGCGTGGAAGTTTGTCACCGAGACGACCGAGACATCGAGCTTCAACCTGACCGAGAACGGCTGGATTGTCAAGACCAACGCTGGCTTTGCCGACCAGTCCATCTTTGCCGTGGCCTTCTCGCGCAACCTGACCTTCACCATTGACCCTTCGTACGGCTGCAACGAGACCGACTCGTCCGACACGTCGATTGAGCTGGTGAACGAGAAGACGGACAACGTGTTTGGCCTGCCCGAGGCGCTCACCAGCTCCAACTATGCCAAGCGTCTGCTCAGCTCGTCCCCGCTCACCATCCACGGTCTGATTGATCTGTACCTGATTGGCAACCAGCTCAACCTCAACCTCACGTACAATGGCCAGCGCCTCGTTCGCGACATTGCCTGCAACTCGTGGTTCGACACCGAGCCCTCGTCGGCAGTTGTTGAACCTTCTGGGTCTGCTGAGCCCTCCTCGGCAGTTGTTGAACCTACCAGCCTTCTGCTTCTGCGGAGCCAGAGCAACCAATCGCCACACCCACAATCAAGGCTCGCCAGTACTTGCTCATCATGGACTTTGCCATCGCCGATTGGACCTTTTCATCCAGCAGCGTCGAGCTCGACTCGACGCCCGTGCGCTTCCAGCTGCTCGAAATGAGCACGGACAGCAGCGCCAATTCGTCCTCGACTGGCGCCTTCAACTGGAACTCGGATGAAATCACCGATGCCACCACATCGGGTCTGATCGTCAACAACTGGATCTTCGACATCTTCTCGATCAGTGGTGGTGTTCCCAAGGGCGAACTCAGCCTGCCCGAGTTTGCCCAGTGCACTGCGCCCCCATCCAACGCAACCAAGTACTATCCCGAGCTGGCATCCCGCTTTGTTTCGTACATTAGCATGATTGACACCGTGACCCCGTCCACGGGCTGGATGCAGTCGTGGTGGAACAACGACACCGACGGCCTCCGCTTCTCCTTCTTTGACGGCATTGACATCACCTTGAGCAAGATCATCCTGGGCGAGTCCAACCAGCTGAACACTGTGTTTGTCAATGACGGCACCTGCTCATCTCAGACCCTGCCCGTGTCCCTCAACCCCTTCCTCCCTGCAGACGAAGTCCAGCAGAACGAGACCACTGTTGAATTCTCGGCCAGCAACACGATTACTCCCGACCAGAAGGTTCAAGAGCTTGTGCTGCTCTTTGGCCGCCTCGACCTTGTGAAGGCTGTCTTCATCGGCGAACGCGACGTGAACGGCCTTGTTGCACAGTACTGGCTTGGTCACGACGAGACCTCGGAGCTGTGGTTTGGCTTCTACTTTATCAAGCCGCTTGATGACAGCAATTCTGCCCTGTATGTCCCATGGCGCCTCGAGGTCTCCAAGTTTGCATCATGCGAGTCTGAAGATGGATGCTCCGACGACGGATTCTGGTCGCCAAAGCGCGTCTACGAGGTGCATCGCGTTTACGACTTTGTTGGCTTGTCCACGCAGCGCAACATTCCTCCAGTGACGTTCAACCCGCCATCGTGCAGCGTCAGCCCCTCGAGCTCCTTGCCAGCCACCGTCTCCGCCACCAACATTATCCCGATTCCGCCAATCTCGGGTTCAGTTTCTGCCTCTGCCTCTGCCTCTGCCTCTGCCTCTGTCTCTGCCTCTGCCCGAGTGTCTTCCTCGCAGATTGTCTCTGCGTCTGTCTCTGCATCCGAGTCGATTGTATCTGCTTCCGGCTCCGCCTCGGCTTCCGCTTCTGTTTCTGGATCGGTCGAGTCGGCTATTTCGGCCTCCTCTGGCTCTGCCGTTTCTGGTTCTGCCTCTACCATCTCTGGCTCTGCCTCTGCAGTCTCTGGTTCTGCCGTCACCGCCTCTGCAATCTCTGCTTCCGGAGCGACTGCCTCAGCAATCTCTGCTTCGGCCGTCACCGCGTCACCGTCCGGAATTCCAATTAATGTCACCTACACTGTCTCTGGCTCCGCGGTCGTCTCTCCTTCTGTGATTATCAACGCAACTGCTACCACGGGCATTGTGCCAGTCCGTCGTGGTGCTGGACGCGGAGCAGAGCATGTGATGCGTCGCGAGGTGGCCAACGCCAACCAAGCCTCCACTGGCAACCACAAGTCTGGCATGGCCCTGCCTGTTGTTGCAGGCATCGCCTGCTCTACCCTGCTTGTTGGAGCTGCGTTTGGCGTTGCAATGGGCATTGTTTACCGTCGCCGCCAGCGTGAGCACGGCTACGTGCAGCTTTCGACCGCTCCCTTGGACTCGATCTCGACTCCGTAAACCGGAAACTGCTTGCGTTCTTTGTAAAGTGTTGGGAGAAGCACTGAAAAGTCTTGTAACTTGATTTTCCATTTTGAATGTTCGCTGCAAGTGCGAAGGTCATTTGCTTTTGTGTCACCCCAAATTTTCTTTTCTGGTGTTCCTGTACATATTAAAAATCTCCCACCCTGATTACAACCCGCTCGCATATGAAATGGCTACATACATGAACGAACAAACACTTTGCCAGGCGAATCGTTGTCGATCTGATCGTTCGTGATGAAACTGCAGGTTGTTGAAACTCGTGGTCACCGAATTGGCCACCCCATCAGCTCCACAACCGCAACCGCTCTTCCCCCCACAAAATTCGACAGACAATGATATTTGCCGATATTTCCATCAATCGGAATGGATGAATTGCCATCGCAGCAGCCTCTTCCGGCTTTGCTTCTGACTGCATTTGTTCAGTTCTGTTTCTTCTTCTTTTTCTTCGCGACTTTTTTTTTTTTTTTTTCTTCGCGACTTTTTTTGACAACCCGACTCATGCGTCGGAGCGCCTCCTTCCTCATCCTCGCACTCTTGGTGCTTGATTGCTTCACAAGCCACACACAACTCGCGTTTGCATCGAGCGTCAACGATGCCGATGAGGAGCTCGAGATGCTGGTCGCGCCAAAGCAGCAGCGCGCAGGTGGCAACGACGACGCGGCGGGCGCTTCGTCGTCCTCGGGCTACCGCGTCCAGGGCGAAGTTCTCGTGGGCAAGCCTGGGCTGAATATTCCCGGTGGGTGGCAGGCGCACACGCGCGTCTTGCTGAACGGCGGCGCAATGTCCGCGTTCGTTCGTCTCGACGGCAGCTTTGAGCTTCTCGATGTGCCCTCCGGCGTGCATCTGCTCGAGGTCGTCCACCCGTCGTACATGTTTGAGCCTGTCCGTGTCGAAGTGAGCTCCAAGCACAACGGCCGAGTCCGTGCCAAGCGAGCCTACTTTGGCGCCGCACCCGCGGCTGGCAGCCAGCAATCCAGCAGCCAGCAGTCCGGCTTGGGGTCCTCCATCACTGGCGACAACCTTGCCTACCCGCTCAAGCTGCAGGCGCGTGGCGCTGCGCAGTTCTTCCAACGTCGCGAGGGCGTGGACATTCGCGGCATGCTGATGAACCCAATGGTTTTGATGATGGGCGTCATGCTCATCATGGCGTACGCCATGCCCAAGATGATGGAAAACATGGATCCCGAGGAGCGCCGTCAAATGGAGGAAAACAATCCCATGAACCGCGCAGCCGAAATGCCCGACCTGACCCAAATGCTCTCTGCAGCCCTGAGCGGAAACACCAACGCCGCCAACGCCCGTGCCACTGCTCCCCGTCAACGATAAAGCGTATCGGCATGTGTGTATGAGTGTGTGAACTGGATTTGTGGATTTGGGAGCAGTCGCATGTGGATTGCTTGCAGCGAACTTTTTGTTGGACGATCTTTTGATCTTCATTTTCTGTGATGCTGGCTGCCTTCCTCCCTCCTTTTGATCTCTTTTTTGTATAACAATGGATTTGCTCAAGCTGGGCTGCATGGCTGTCGTTAGTGGGGCTGTGGTTGTTGTCATTGTTGTTGATTGGAGATTCGCTTGCGGAAAGTGTCAGTGCTGGACTGTTGACGGCAGTGCACCATCAACACGCAATGTACGAGTTTGTAATAGCCTATTGCTTGGCCACATCCAGCACAGCTGCAGATCATTGAGTTGTCAAACTGGTTGAAGCATTCGGTGCGCACCCATTCCTCGACAATCATCACCTCCTCTCCTATGATCACTCTCATCTAATACCTCCTTTTGGTATCTGATTTCCCTCCGCTCGTCTCTTTTTTGCCACCATCCGCAATGGGACGCCATATTTGGCCAGTCTCTCTTTGTCGGAATTGTTCGTAGGCTGTCATTGCGCTTTTTTGCACACTGCCCCCACTTCCACGGCCGCTGCTTTCCCTTCCTACCCCCCCCTCTTCCATCTAGAAATGGGGGTGCCTGACTGGTCTTTTCCCCGCTCTCGAGTTGCCTTCTGAGTCAATGTCGCGCTTTTGCTTTTTTTTTTTTTTTCTGAACAAAGCGAACAAAACACAACAACCAGCAGCCTTTAACACTTTTTCCTGTTGCTCCTCTCTCTCTCTCTCTCTATGTCTCTCTCTCTATCGCGGGGCGGTCGTCCAAGTCGAATCCACCCTCCCATCCATTGACAGAGGTGACGCGCACTTCCAGACAGTCGGAGAAGCGAGCAAAGCAGCGGCGCCTTTTCCATTGCGATCCTTGCGGTTCGCCTCTTTTTTTATTTTTTTTTTATTTTTTTATTTTTTGATGATTTTTTTTCTTCTCGCGCGCAGCTTCCTGCGGGGTGTGTATTCACTGACTGGTGGCCGAGACACTCCGCGCCCCGTTGCGTGCTTGTGCTAGTGGCTTGCTGGCTTGCACGGCTCGCCGCGTCCCTCCTGTGGATTCCCGTGGTCATGCACACAAAATGCTTGTTCAACGCGAATCTACATCACAAAAAAAAAAAAAAAAAAAAAAAAAATCATTTTTCGCTTTTTTTTTCTCAATAACCTCGTTTCGGACGATTTCGTTTGGTGCGTGTCGCCGATGACCTCGTCAGGGCTCGCTCGCTTGCTTGTGAGGCCTTCTATTCGACACTACACACAACCATCGACCGACTACCGAGTCCGCCAACCTCCACAACAAGTCCGCCTCCGACTCAACTCCTTTTCGTCCTTTTTTTTTTTTTTTTTTCATTCTCCTCCACTGTTTCTCTTCCTATTGTTGCTGTGTGCCGGGGTCTTCCATCCCTCGATTCAGCACACGCCACGCTTATGCTGCTTGTGACTGGAATGCAAGTTGCTCCCTTGTTTGATTTTGTGCCGTCTTCGCACACTTCCAGACCTCATTCTTGGCACTTTTTTTTTTTTTTTTTTTCCCCCTCCTTCGTTACCTCACTTGTCTGTCTGTTTGCCTCCCAGATCTCCTCGAGACCCTCCTCAAAACCAAGAAACACCCCCCCCAAAACAAAAGCACCGGAACAAGCCAATGTCTCTTGCGCGGCAAAAAGGACCGGCAATCCCGGCGCAGAAGCTCCCCAATATTGTGGCGTCGACCGCGATTGTGCGGCCGGGCGCTGAGGCAGGCGGCAGCAACGCCCAGCCGATGGACGACCGAGAGGACGACAGCCGCTTCTCGTCCGAGCCACAGTGGAAGGCTGCGCTAAGGAGAAGCAAGAAGGAGAAGGACTTCGAGTCCAAGAAGAAGGCTGCGGCCGAAGCCGAGCGCTTGGCAGCAATACCCATCTGGAAGCGTCACATTATGGAGGTCAAAGAGCGCAAGTCGAGCTCGCCCAACGGCAGCATCTCCATGACTCCACAGCAAGTTGCCGCCATGCAGCAAATCCACGACCCCGATGCACCCACCTCGTCCGCTGCAGCCGTCTCTGCCGCAAACGCATCCTGGATGGACAATCTTGCTTCCCGCGACACATATCGACCGACGCACTCGACCAATCGAGACTTTTCCGCTAACTCGGCCCGCTTCAACACGCTTGAGCGCGGCAATATTTCTGCCCTTGGCAACCGTCATATTCCCGTGAGTTTTTTTCTTCTTGTCTTTCGGTCGAGGTTGAGAGATTTCTGTGCTTCCACTCACCCATGGTTGTGTGCTTTTGTTCTGTACTTTGATTTTGGATGCAGGATGCTGCACCACTCGTTCCCAAAGCGCTGCAGATGAATGCCCAACCAGCACCGGCGCCAGTTGTTTCGACCAAACCAAAAAAGGTGGGGGTGCCGTGTTATTTTAAGGGTCGAGCCATCCTTTTCTTCTTTGTTTTGGAAGCGTGTATGGGCGGAGGATGCAATTTCTGACGATTCCTTGATTCCTGTTCCTGCCACAGAACCTCTCGGTCTCATTTTTCGAAGAAGAGAATGAAATCCCATACGTCGAGTTTGAGGGCGAGATTGAGTTCAACCAGGAGCTGGCGACAGAGATGGACACCGAGCCCATGAACGAAGGCAATGCCGACGACAACGAAGACCAAATTTTGTCCACGCTGCGTGTGGCGGCACTGGCTCGCCCAGACCAAGCCACGATGGCCCTTAATGTTGCTGGTCGACAAATCACCACCACTGCCCGAGACGAAATCACCGACGTAACCAATCTTGAGGATGATCTTGCAGCCATGATCTGGTGATTTTGCGCTGTTGCTGTTCTGCATTTGTTTGTCTGTACTGATGTCGAGTGCCTTGTGCTTCTCTCCCACCGCCGGCTGGGTTGCACTCGTGTGCTCGATCATATTTTCTTCATCTCTCGTCTTCCAACCTTCATTTGCTATCCGTCCTTACCTCTCTCTGTACTTTCCTTTTTGTTCGTTCGTGGCTTTGTCTGTCCATGTTGCTTGTAGTTTGAGAATAGATTTCTTTTTTTCCTTCTTCTTCTTCCTCTTGTTTTGGCTCGTTCTGTCCATCTCAGTCGCAAACTGTATTTTGCTTCACCGTCACACAGCATGAAGCCTTGGGTTTGGGCGGCGCTCGCTGCCTTAGTGTTTCTCCTGCACCGACGCGTTCTCAAGCCCCGACGCGAAGTCGCAGCACGTCGCTCGTACTTTCGTGGCAAGGTCGTGTGGCTGACTGGCGCGTCGTCAGGCATTGGCGAAGGTGGGTAATCTGGACAATGGGAGAGAAGTGACGATGAGGCTTCCGGATCACCGACGGACTTGACTGACAGACTTGACTGACTGACTGACTGACTGACTGACTGACTTGTTTTTGATGACATATCTCGTTGCACTTGGTCACTCGGGCGGGGCGGGCTCCAGCGCTGGCCATGGAGCTGTACAAGTGCGGCGCGACGTTAATCCTCAGCTCGCGACGCACCGCCGAGCTCGAGCGCGTCCGCCAGCAGTGCATTGCTCAGCGGTTGCCTGCAGGCATTCCGACACCGCCCGAGCCCCGGATTGTCGCGTTGGACTTGGCTGCTACGCCGGACGCGATCGCAAGCGCCACTCGCATCGTTCTCGCGCAGTACAGCGGCGTCGTGGATGTGCTGATCAACAACTCTGGTATCAGCACTCGGGCATCTGTGCTCGAGTCTCAGAATGAGATGGAGGCGCGTGTCATGCAGGTCAACTTTTTCGGCGCCGCGCAAATCACCAAGCTCGTTCTGCCAGGAATGCTGGCCCGCGGCACTGGCCATATCGGTGTCGTGAGCAGCGTCCAAGGCAAGCTTGGCATTGGCTTCCGTTCCGCGTACGCCGCGTCCAAGCACGCCGTGCACGGATACTTTGATTCGTTGCGAGCGGAGGTTGCCGGCCGCGGCCTCCGTGTCACTCTGTGCTGCCCTGGCTACGTGCAAACAAACCTGTCGCTGAATGCCCTCACCGGAGATGGCTCTGCACATGGCCAGATGGACGAAACCACTGCCAAGGGCTACAAGCCCTCGTTTGTGGCCGAGAAGATGCTCTCGTCGATGGCCCTCAACCGCACTGAACTGGTGCTGGCTCCGCTCGATGCTCGTCTGGCCATCCTGCTGCGGTACCTTCTTCCCGATCTACTGGCTCGTCTGATGGCGAAGCGCGCCGAGAAGCAGCGACGATTGGAGCAAGCTCCGGCTGGGTCACGGTGACCGACACCAGTTCCAACGAGGTTGAAATGATGGATTCCGTTTTGCAACAGACGGTGGTGTTGTTCATTTGATTTTGTACAGTGCCTTGTGCGACCTTGCCGTCTGTCTTGGCGTTTATTTCTTTTGGTTGTAAAATCGCTGAAATGCACATTTCGCCAAACCATAAGGTCAAGCACCATGCTTTGACGCGGGGGTGGGACGGTGTTGGGCTTCATCTTGTTGACATTCAAGTTGTTGCGGAAGTTTGATGATGAGCACAATAACAACAACAATCTTGGCGATTTCCCGTGGGAATTGAAATGGTGATGGCAGCGCGACCGATTCGACAGTCGGCCATGGGCACTCGCCCCTCCATTGAGCAGAGCACATCGCAGTGGCGAGTAGACCCAGTCCAGAGCAAGGGGGTGGGGCGAGCAAGTTTCGGCGGTTTTTTATGTTGACCGCTCTTCTTGGCGAATTTTTCGCGCCTTTTTTCCTTTTTTTTTTTTTTTTTGTTTTTCAATATTTTTCGTTTTATTTTTATTTTTTAAAAATCAGTTCTCATTTTGTTGCTCGTTCAAACGGTACCAAACGCTGCTCCACCACTGCACTCTACGCCAACCTGCGCAACAGAACGCATGCGCATAGTCACATGCCACCCACAGCTGCAGAACGGGGTAGCCGAACTGCCATGTGTTGTGCAGACGGATCGTCAGTAAAGAAGAGCCAAAAAAAAAAAAGAAAAAAAAAAAAGAAAAAAAATGCACGATCTCTGGTGCTTGCGCTCTGGAGCGTTGAGCGGCCGGCCTCTCTGATGCGACCGTCGACTGAAACTCCTTTCCCGCGTCGTGAGGGTGAAGGAGAAGGGTCGAGCAGGGAGGCCAGGCCAGCAAATGCCCAAGCCGTTTTTTGAATGACGGCATTCCACCTCCACTCTTACCGTTTTCCCCGGCATGGACGAGCATTGGGGGGGGGGAAGGGCGGCACAGTGGCGCGTCGAATGTTGCTCATAGGATGCCGTCGACGGTAGCTCGGAGCAGGAGCAAGTGACTCGACGCGAGCATCAACGTCTCTCTTTTGACGTTGATGATTTGAATTTTTCAGCCCATTCGTTTTTTTTTTTTTTCGGCGCCATTCCCCACTCCAATCGCACCATCGTTCGTTCTCGTTGCATCCTCGTTTTTTTACTTTGATTATGAGCTCGTGGAGACAATCGAGCTCGTGATTTTTTTGTTGCTTTTTCGCCAAGACTTTTGTTTTTCTGAAAAGTGAATCGCCAAATTCAGGCAAAACCAAAAACCTCGGGTTGCTCAACTTCTCATTGCAACTCACCTTTTTTTTTTTGGCTGATTTACAACCCTCTTGCACAGAAATCAAACCGATAGCCATGTTCGTCGCTCGCTCCCTCGTTGCCACCCCCGCTCGCGCCATCTCGATGCGCGCCGCCGCTCTCGGTAAGGGCCCTCCCCCGCAATTTGTGTGCACCCCTTTCCTTTTTGCTAACTTTCTTCGATCAAACAATCGGCGTGCTTGCTGTCGTGGTTGCAGCTCCTTCCAAGGCTGCCGCTGCCAAGCCGGCTGCCAAAAAGGCTGTGGTCGCCGCACCTGCCGCCAAGGGCGGGAAGCCGCTCAACTCCTACGCTAAGTTCACGAAGGAGAACTACCACCGCATCAAGGCTACCCTCCCTGAAGGCACTTCATTCGGTGACGTCGCCCGCGCTGTCGGCGCCGCCTACCAGCAGACCAAGAAGTAAAAACAAAGCCAGGCACACGGGCTTGCATGGCCACTGTCCCCGATGTGATTACTCGAGACGTGTCTTGCTACCGAACTGACATGTGTTTTGCGGCATGACTGGATTGTTGTTCTTCTTCTGCGTTCTGGGTCACTGTTTCAAAACCAAAAAAATCAGTGTTTTCAAACAAAAACTTGCTTTGTTGGTTACATCACAATACCGCCAGAGCGAACAATCACCCCCACCGCTCGGATAGATGCGGAACAGGATACAAATTTGGAAGATTCGGAAACGGCGGCTGCCGTGGGGAGCTGCTGGGCGAGAGTGTTTCAGCGTCGGACGGGGGCGAGCTCGCATCAGACTCTGTCGGGTCGTTCGGTATCCTGTGTGTGGTACTGGCATCGATATTTGTGACGACAGCAATAGGGGAGTGGGGTGATGGACGAGACGGCTTGGACATGCCGTCCTCTTCGGCAAATCGCTTGTGGTGAGGCGGCACCACCTTCTCGTCCGGCTCGCCCTGCTCGGCCTGCTCGAGCGTTCTCTTCGCGGATGGTGCAGCGCTAGTCTCTGCAGGTATCGCGCGAATCGGGCGAGGCTGCTCCTGCTCCATGCATGCAGCCCAGAGCAGCGATTGGAAGGCGTCTGTACCGCTGTTTGACTCCACGTTGTCGCCCGCCCCCTGCGTCTCCTCGTGCTCGCTGATGCATGGCCGCGGCAGCAGTGGCCGCAGCGATATCTGCTCGTAATAAGGCTGCTCCCTGGATTGCCTCAGAAGGTCAGCCCACCCCGACGCATCCTCGGCTTGATCGCTGCGATTAAGATGTGTTTTAACTAGCTGTTGATCGTTTTTCACGACATTCGCTATTGGACTTCGGTCGGTGTAGCACACCAGACGCAGCGGCGACGACGTTGGACAGCTATAAAAGATCTTGTACAGGTTGCCGTTGCGCTCGCGGTAGACGTGCTCGGACTTTTTGGTCGTGTGGGTCATGTACGCCTTGCACCAATTGTACGAGTCTCGCCACCGTCGAATCAGGCTGCTATCAAACACAAACCACGACCCCAGCTTTATTGACCGCTTCTCCTGCACGTGCAGGTGGTTTGTTCGGATCTCTATGTTGTTTGCGTGTGCTTGCTGGAAAATCCAGTCCACCGTGTCGGGTGTCCAGAATGGCGTCGCCGGCACACAACGCTCCATCCCAATATCAATCTGATTGTGATTTTGTGATTCTGAATCGTGAATGAAAAATAAAAAAGAACTGAAAAAGCAAGCTGTGTTAGCAAGCGCTTTTTATTGTGAGTCAGAACTCTACAACAACAACAACAAAAGGCTTAGCTGTGCTCAGCGCTCAGAAATGGTAGTCTTGTTTTTTTTTTTTTTTTTTTTTTTTTGTTTCTTTTCCCACTTCATCGATGCGCAGTCGTCGGTTGGTCGTTGTGCTGTGCTCGGTCGCGCTGATCCAGCTGCTGGTGGCTGCTGGCTCGCTGGCCCAGGAGAACGCTCATGCGCACGCACACGCAGCCGTCAATGGTGCGGGCAAGTACGGAAAGGCAGTCAACGTTGCCGCTGCCGCGCGTCAGCAACACAGCCAAGGCCACAACCACGCACATAGCCACGATCACGGCCATAGCCATAGCCATAGTCACGGCCATAGCCACGAGCATGCCCACGCTGGCGAGCCGCGGATTGTCGCTGTCGCAGCCGTGCCAATCCAAGCTGCAGACCAAGCACCCAGCCAAGCACACAATCACAACCACAACCACGACCACGACCACGACCACAACCACGACCACGACCACGATCACGACCACGGACATGGTCATAGCCACGAGCATGCCCACGCTGGCCAGGCGGCAGCGGCAGCGGCAGTCTCCAAGAACGCAATCACTCCGAGTGCCCAATCATCTCCCGTTCCGGACCAAGCTCACAACCACGACCACCACGATGATTGCTCCCACGACCACAGTCACGACGACGCATCTGCCACGTCCGTTGCTTTTGGCAGCCCCGCCTGGATCCATGCGCTGGGCTCAACCGCTCTGATTAGCATTCTGCCGATCGCCCTGCTCTTCTTCATTCCGCTGGATAAGGCTGCGTCTGCAACCCACGCCTCGCCGCTGCTCAAGGTCCTGCTCAGCTTTGCGGCCGGTGGTCTGCTTGGTGATGTCTTTTTGCACCTGCTTCCGCACTCGTTCGCCCCGCACTCTGAGGGCGGCGACGACAACGGTGGTCACTCGCACTCGCATTCGCATTCGCATGCGCACTCTCACTCCTCGGCCGATCCGCACACGGCTGGCCTGTTGATCGGACTGTGGATTGTGTCTGGCATCTTTGCCTTCTTTGTGATTGAGAAAATCATGCGCCTGCTGGGTCGCCAGTCGCACTCGCATTCCCATGCGGAGCCTGCTGCCTCCGATTCAGCCAAGAAGGCGGCCAGCAGCAAGGACGGCGCAAACAAAGACGGTCATGGCCATGCTCACGAGCACCACGACCACCAGCACGAAGAAGAGGAGCTTGCTCGCGCTGCCGGCATGAAGGCTGCGGGCTGGCTGAACCTTGTGGCCGACTTTGCCCACAACTTTACGGACGGCATGGCGATCGGAGCCATGTACCTGCACGGCGGCCGTGTTGGTCTGACGACGACGATTGCCGTGTTGATGCACGAGATTCCGCACGAGCTGGGCGACTATGCGATTCTGATTCGCTGCGGCATGTCCAAGAAGCAAGCCATCCTGGCGCAGTTCTCCACAGCCATCGGCGCGGTGTGCGGCACCTTCCTCGGACTCATGTCAGAGGGCATTGCCGAATCCTCGTCGTGGATTGCGCCGTTCGCTGCCGGCGGCTTTATCTATATCGCACTCGTCACCGTCGTGCCCGAGCTTCTGGACGACAGCCATGTCCGATCGCGCTCCACCACGTGGGCCATCCTCTTCTTCCTGATCGAAGCGCTCGCGTTCGTCGCTGGTGTCGGGTTGATGGGTTTGATTGCTTTGTTTGAGTGAAACAGTGATGCCAACCGGTCAGTCAGCTCGTCTAATACAGTAGTATTTTTTTTTGCACGCTCGTGTTCATAGTTGTATTTACTTGGGCGGCAGGAGGGGCGGGGGTTTCCAAGGCGAATGAGGCGAAAGTGAACAAATAAGAAAGAAAGAAAGAAAGAAAAAAAAGAAATCAGTTCCTTTATTTCTTTCTTCGTTTTCGAGCGCGCCAAATGTCGGACGACGACCTGAGCCAGCTCGATGCGCTGACCGAAGACACTCACAGCAGCAACATTAGCGACGAGAGTGTTGTTCTCGGCCTGCACGAGCACGGGGACGGCAACGACGTGTCGCTGTTCGACGAGCACCCGCTCGAGCACGACGATGAGGGTGAAGAAGAGGACCTGTACGGCGGCGGCGGCGGCGGCGGCGACCCGTTCCAGGAGCAGCCGTTCCAAGAGGAAGGCGAAATGGAAGAGCTCGACCACCTTGACACAGCCGAGCTCGAGTTTGGCGCCACAGAGCATCCCGGCGACAGCAGCACAGCTGAGGCCGGGTTTGAGTTTGGGCGGGAAAATTTGAATGTGGATTCAATGCGCCTGCTCGATGCACTCAATGCCGACGAGTCGCAGCTCGCAGACGACAGACACGCCCTGCCATCAGAAGAAACAGACGCGACGGACAAAGCTACACACAGTCAACACATGCAGGCGGACTCGGCGCCATCGGAACAACGGCAGAGAGTCGTGGCGGCGGGCGCTGCTGAGACCGACAGCCGACCGGCACTCCAGCGCGCGCTCGAGCCCGCAGCAGCTGCCAGTCGACCACTGCTGGCATCGACAGCCACTCGCGTCTCACCAACGAGGCTTGGCGGCGGCGGCGGCGGCGGCGGCGACGCGTACGAGATGGCCATCCTTGGCGGCACTCCCGCGCGCGGACCTGCTGGGACGAGCTCCGCTCTTCCAGCAATGACAACCCCACAGAGGCGCGTGGGTCCCACCCGCTACATGAGTCTGGATCTTGTTCGTCTGTTGAGCAAGAAGCAGGTGAGTCGATTGCAAAAAACAAAAAGAGATAAAAAGAGAAACATTGGAGTTAAGTGTGTCCTCACTTTTACCTTGCTGGACTCCGTGAGCAGGACCCCAGAGACGTGATTTCACTCACACTCAGCTTCCCGAACGACCCGATGGCGGGAAAGTTTGATCGCATCGAGCAGCTCGACGCGTTGGTGAATTTGCGCGTGCTGGATCTCAGTTACAATTTGCTTGCTCGCATTGAGGGCCTTTCTCGCCTGGCCAACCTTCGCGACTTGGATCTCTCACATAACAACATTGAGCGCATTGAGAATATCGAATCGCTCGGCCAGCTGGCGCGCCTCAATCTCGAGCACAACAACATTCGCGCCATCTCTACGTCCGTGCGGAGCCTCCGGAATCTCAAAGTGCTGCTGCTGGGGAGCAACCGTCTTGAGAATCTTGGCGATCTGGACGTGTTGAGTCCGCTGATCAATCTAGCAGTGCTCACGCTGTCCGGCAATCCCATGGCTGTTCCACTGCACGCGCGCGCCTATGCCATCTTTACTGTGCGCTCTCTTGACACGCTGGACGGCGTTCAAGTTTCGTCCGCGGAGCGAGAGCAGGCTGCAGTGCAGTTTGAGCGAGGTATGGACTGCTTTGCCATGAGCTTGAAAGCGAGGGCACACGGCACTACAAAACCCCCTTTCTTACTCACCGGCTGGCGTTTGTTGTGTTTTGAACAGCTGCCCTTCTCCAAGCGGAAACCCACGCCCAGACGCTCGATCGAGAGCGCGCAGCAGTCACACAAAAGCTGTCAGTGACCGAGTCGAAGGTCGCACAAACGCAAGCGCAGGCTGACGCGCTTTCCCGCAAGAATCGCGAATTGAGCGACGAAGTTGCTCGATTGGCGGCCGAGCGAGCTATTGAAGCCGAGAAGGTGCGATTCATCGATTTTCAAGCTATTTTGCTTGTTGTACAACAAGTGGAGCTGGAAGAGAGAGAGAGAGAGAGAGAGAGAGAGAGAGAGAGAGAGAGAGAGAGAGAGAGAGAGAGAGAGAGAGAGAGAGAGAGAGAGAGAGAGAGAGAGAGAGAGAGAGAGAGAGAGAGAGAGAGAGAGAGAGAGAGAAAAAGAGAGAGAGGGGGATAAAACCACACACGCTCACTCTTCGTTTTTTGACTTGTAGCTCTCCAAACTCGCGGCAGAAAACGCCTTGCGAGACAGCTTGCTGGTAAAATGGCAGCTCGAGCACTCGGAAAAGGAACACAACGAGTTGCTGAAAGCGGCAGGCCCCACCACTCCGGCTCGCTCAACTGGACGAGCAGCGTTTGCACCAGCCACCGCGCCCACGCGCTTTGCAACCATGCCCGGATTCACTCCTCGCAGGCCCACCACTGGCCAGCAGCAGGGTCTACTTCAAGCTCCTGCAACCACGATGCCTGCCTCGCGCTGGGGTGTGACACCGGTTCAAGGCAGAACAGCTGTCGACACCCGACATTTATTCGAGCAGGCGTTCGCTCCTCGGTCCAAGGACACTTCCGTGTTACTCGATGAAACAGTTGAAACCATTGCAGCAGCCGAGCCGTTTGTCCTTCGGATGACGGACACTCCGGATGCTCGCAGAACCACCACCGCTGATTCCCACGTCCCCAATCTTCGTTCCATCCAAATCAATCCGGCTATGTTTCTGTGCCACAGCAACAGCAACAGCAGCAGCGGCAGCAACCACCCCAGCAACAACAACGACAGCAACAACAGTTCTCTGACGTGCAGTCCTCCTTCCTTCGAGGTAGCAATTTGAACGACTCAGTGTACCCTTCTCAAGGGTCTCAAACACCCCGGGGCGAGCGCATGCCATCGACTGGCGCCACATACACTCAGACACCCCAGCAACAATCACAGCCTCCGCGCGCTTCCTACTCGCAGCAAATGTTTGCCTCGTCAGCATCTCCTTATGCACACACTCAAAGCTACCCGCCTCAGCAGAATGTTTCGTCGCCTCAATCGCGCCCGTCTCAACAAGGGCAGCAACATCAGGCCCAACCACAGTTTCAAACACAAGCCCGGCCGCAGCAACAACAACCGCAGCAACAACACCAGCAACAACACCAGCAACAACACCAGCAACAACACCAGCAACAACACCAGCAAACCCAACCTCGAGGCTTGCCATCGCTGGAATCATTGAGACTGACAGGAGACAAGTTCCCCTTCCCTGAAGAATACGCACGAATGAAACTGTCGCAGCTATTGCAGGCGATTGCGGTGCAGGAGGCCAAATTGCGCGAGGGTGCTGAGCAACGACTCGAGCAACAGCTGGCACTGGATCGCGATGGGTCGGCGCTTGCCGCTCTGTCGGACAACCATGCCCAGGTGCAGGCAGAGATGGACCGGCTCGAGGATGAGCTGGGTGCGCTCAAGCTGCTGACGGTCGAGCAACAGGCCCGCCACTTGGAGGCTGTCAGGGCGTTTGCGGCAATCTCGCAGGCGTTGGAAACCAAGCAACGGGAACACGCCGAGTTGGCGTACCAAAACAACAGCGCACAGCTGCTGCTGGCAGAGTGGCAGGACGAGCTCGTCCAACGGCAGGCCAACGTCCAGCACGTGCGACTCGAGTCTGACGACGCGAGACGCTTGGCAACCGAGCACCTCGAGGAAGCTCAACAGGCACTTCTAAGCACGCAGGAGCGGATTGAATCCACGCGTGAAGCTTTGCAAAAGATTGAGGAAGAGTCCATCGAGGCTCAGGCGCAAAAGCGAGTGGCTGCTGCGCGCCTCGAAGAAGTCGGGGAATTGCTCCAACAGCGGCTGACTGAAAACGCGCGCATCACGTTGGCCCTGCAGGCCCAGAGTCAGTTGCTGGAGCGCGTCGAGATGGACAAGCGGGAGGCTGAGAAAGCCCTTGCTCACACGCTGGAGCGACACCGTGCCGCCGAGACGCTTGCCGCACAGGCCCAGGCCGAGCGCGAGCAGGTGGAGTCAACGTTGCAAATACTCCTCAGGCAGCGCGATTCCCTTCAGCTGGAGCTGGCCCAGCTGCAAGAGGACACTGCGCGCCACGCACGAATCCTGGATGCGGCTCGGGCCGATGCCCAGCTCGAGCGCACTCGCTGGGAGCAGCAACGCCAGCAGCGCGAGCAGCAGGATCAGTTGGAACGCCAAGAGCGCGAGCTCAAGCTCCAGCGAGAGCGGCAGGAGCACGAGCGTCAGCTGGCGCTGGAGCGCGCTGCCGATGAAGAACGGCGTCGCGTTCGTGCTGAAGAAGTAAAGCAGCAGCAAGCAGAAGACGCCAAGCGGAGAGAGCAGGCCGAGGCAGCGAAGCGTCAAGAGCAGGTCGAGGCAGCAAAGCGGCAAGAGCAAGCAGAGGCAGCGAAGCGTCAAGCGCAGCAGCAGCAGCAGCAGCAGCAGCAGCAGCAGCAGCAGCAGCAGCAGCAGCAGCAGCAGCAGCAACTGCAGCAGCAACAACAGCAGCAGCAACGGCATCAAGCGGCCGTTCTGTCGCCCGTAAAGCAACCTGCAGCCGCCTCGGAGGTAGCACAACAGCCACCAGTGGTACCGCTCTCAGCTCCGGCAGCAGCAGCAGCAGCAGCAGCTGGCGTCCATCCTCAAGCCTGGGCTGGCGGCATTCCGACCAGCAAGCCCGCCACAGCCACGGGCCGACCAATCTACCTGCCTGCCGATGGAGATGTGGCGTTGCTCCCGCCGATGGCGTACTGGGAGACGGTCGGCACTGTTGTGGGTCGCTCTGCAACCGCGGCGATTGCTTCTCATCTGCAAGAGCACCCGATCGCCTCGTCGACCGCGGCCCCGCCCGTCCTTCTTCCCAATGCGATGCCCAGCTTCCAATCCGTTCCTGCCTCCTCGATGCCACACTTTTTCAACTCGTCCAACTTTGATGGGCGTTCGGCAGGCGGACCTGGGTTGGGCGCCGCCCCGCCCATGTTCCCTCCTGCGGCCATCATCCCGCCGCCAGGCGCCAGAGTGTGGCGATTCGACACGCCAGACACCTATCCAGAGATTGCCCCGACCGTCTACCCTCCTCGCACGACAATGCCGCACCTGCCGTCGACCGCCGCCGACGAGCTTCGTCAAAAGCTCGCTCTCTGGCGCCAGCAGTTCGATCGCGACTTGAAGCTCGAGCTCGAGGCCAGCATGGCTGCATTGACGCGCCCGAAACAGGCGTACCACGACCAAGTTGTCCAGTTGACCATGCAGCTCAAGAGTGCCCAGGATATTTTCTTGAACAACTCGACCATTACCACGACCACGCATCAAGCCACCAGCACGTACTCTGGCTCAGTCATGTATCATCATCATCACCATGTCTAGTCGAGACGGAGGAGTCGAGGCGGTCTTTCCTTTTTTTCTTTCTTTTGGGTTGATACAGTATTACATCCAGGTGTTATTATTATTTTCATTTTTTGCAATACAGCTTTTTTTTTTCTTTTTTTTTCCTCCGTTGTCGTTGTGATTCACTGTCGTTGTTGGACATGTTTCATTTGTTCGTTGTTCTGGTCTTTACGATGACAACATTTCGTGCCCGGATCTTGTCAAGTCTGTTGATATTCATCGCTCACAACTTGACACTGTGAGTCATGATTTTTTGGTGCTCAGTCTTTTTTTTTTTTCCGTGTTTTTTTTTTCTCGTGTTTTTTTTTTTCACGTCATCGCATCGCCCTCTGAGCATTTCAATCCCCGTCCTCAGCCAACACATCAACCGAACATTCAGCCACTGAAGCCCACATTACTCTGGAATAAACGAAACGGAGAGAGAGGTCTTTGAAAACATCAACAACTCATTTGCCGCGAGCGGGTGCGAATGGCGAGTCGGAATCCTGCAGTCGTGCTCGGCACGGTGGTGCAGCGAGCTTCCGTGACGGAGCATGCCGTGTCGTATTCCGATGCCAGCATCGTTCCCGAGGCGGTCGTTGAGCCAGGCTCGCAAGGCCGGGTGGGTGCCACAACAGCAGACTTGTCAACATTCGCAGCGGGTTTCGCGCCATCGTCCGTCGCGTCGGCGATTCCCATCTCCGTCGGGACTGTCGGCGCCCCACAACTATCACAGCCACCGCCGGTACTACTGCTGTCAACCGTGGCAGCGGCAGGGCCGGCATGCGAGACTGAGCCTTCGCCGGAAGTGCATGTCGATGCGAATGCGAATTTGAGCGTTTCGGCGGTCCACGCCAACCCCTTCCCTTCGCCAGTGTCGCCAGTTGCGCCCATCGTCGACCTCGCCCACAGCAGCAGCAGCAGCAGCAGTAGTAGTGACAACGACACCAGTCGCAGCACCGTTCGCACTAGTAGTCACAGCCGGAATGGCAGCAGTAGCTGCGGTTCCAGTCGAGAGTTCGATGATGATGAGGCGGCGTCCCCTGATTCATCGGGTGCTGCTTCCGTGCATCTGCAGCCTCCGCCCCAGCGGCGACCAGTGCACGCGAGTGCTGATGCGTCCTCGAGCACGAGCGACGCCGCGGACGCGAGCAGCACTGCGCCTCGGACGGGCGCATCCGTTCCACACGGCTTTCGCAGCAACGGTAACACTCTGGGCCACCAAGCATCAGCAAGCACCAGTGCTCCTCCCGAGTCCTGCACCGACAGAGTAGCATCGGTATCTTCCGTGGCAGTAGGAACGGCGGGAGCAGAGCGAGAGGCAGCAGACGTGGCGTCAGTTGCGTCAGTTGCATCGGAGGGCGCGCTGAAAAACACTGCGAATCCAGATCTACCATCATCGCAGCAGCAGCAGCAACCCCAGCCATCTCCCAGCAGCAGCATTAGCAGCAACAACAGCAACCCCATAAACAGCCCCAATACGCGTGACAGCCACGGAGACAGCAGCAGCAGCAGCAGCAGCAGCAGCAGCAGCAGCAGCAGCAGCAGCAGCAGCAGCAGCAGCAGCAGCAGCAGCAGCAGAAGCAATCCCAGCAGCGCGGGCGGAGGGGTGCCGGCTGTGATTTTCCCCGTTGCGCCTCCACATCATCAATCGCCGTTCCAGCATCCGCCAGACACCCTCGTCGGCAAGTACCGCATTGGCAAGACTCTCGGCGAAGGCACCTACGGCAAGGTCAAGCAGGGCATCCACATCCACACTGGCCAGCAGGTAAAAAGCAAAAAAAAAAAGCAACGAAGCGAAACGAAACGAAACGAGCCTTGTTTTGGGGTGTTTTAGGACGTTTTTTATGAGCCGGGTCAGATATCCCCCGCGTCCAATTTGTTACGCACCCGTCGCGCCGCCCCATGCCATTGCGGATGGACGCGTTCTTGTGCACGGTTGCTTCATTGGATCCGCGCCCCCCCCCCCTACTTCGTGTTTTGGGTCCTTCCCTTCGTCTGCGACGATCTGCCCTCGATCGGAAAGTGTTGCTTGAGGGAGCAAATACGCCAAACCTCAATCTAACATCACCCTTTTTCTAATCTTTTTCTCCTTTGAGTGCTTAATTGCAGCGAGGTGTGCAATCTCGGCGATACATCCATCAAAGGATGCACTGCACTTTCCTTTGTCCTGGAGACTCACCTCCAGCTTCACTTTTTTTTTGGATGGGTGATTGTCTGACTCATGTTTTTTTGTGCTTTTTGGGTTTTTGACAGGTCGCGATCAAATCCATTGAAAAGGCCAACTTGACAACAGACAAACACGCGACACGGCTTGCGCGGGAAATTCGAGCGCTGAAAGTCCTACACCATCCCCACATTGTGCACATTTACGATGTGATTGAATCCGAGACATCGATTACGCTCATCATGGAGCAAGCCGCTGGCGGCGAGCTGTTCGACTACATTGTCACACGCACGCGGGTCAACGAGCCCGAGGCGCGCAAGTTTTTCCGACAGATTCTCTCTGCTGTCGACTATTGCCACCAGGTGAGAAAGCGTCAGCAGAATATACATCCACACACGCACGCACACACACGGCTTGGAGGCGGGGGGAAGGGAAGTTGGCAGAAACGTTTTTTTGATTGTCGATTTGGTTCTCACCCCCCCCCCGCAACCCCTGCTCCTCGTGCCCTGCAACGTGCACGTTGCAACAAACAAAACATGACAGAACTTTATCGTGCATCGCGATTTGAAGCCGGAAAATCTTCTGCTGGACGAGAACAAGAACATTAAGATTATCGATTTTGGCTTCTCCAACATGTACGAGCATCAAGCACAGCTGGACACGTTCTGCGGATCGCCGTATTACGCAGCACCCGAAATGGTGCGCGGTCGCAAGTACACGGGTCCCGAGGTGGATGTCTGGAGTCTGGGCGTCATCCTCTACGCCTTGCTCTGCGGCAGTTTGCCGTTCGACTCGCAACATGTGCGCAAGCTGTACGACCAAATTGCGTCAGGCATGTACAGGGTTCCTCCTCATCTCTCGATTGGAAGCCAAGCCATCATTCGTGCCATGCTGACTGTCGATCCGAAAAAGCGCATCACCGTTGAGCGCTTGCGCTACCACCGCTGGGTTTTGGAAGGGTACTCTGGCCCGCCTGACTCGTCCTTGCCGTCGCGCGAGCCCATTCTGAAGGTCGACCCCGAGGTGACGTCGGAGCTCACCCGCGTCTTTCGCTTCCGTCAGCATCTCGTCGACCAGATGATTGGCATTCCTGAGATTCAGCCCCAGGTTCCGGCCACCACGCAGCCTTCGACGGCTGCCGCGCTTCTCATGGCACAGCACCAGCTCCTGCAGCAGGCTGGCGAAGAGGATGACGGCCCTGCAATTGACTTTTTCGATCCGAGCGACTCTGATTCCGACTCGGATGGCCTGGACGCCGCACTTGCCAACGATCGTCTGGACCAATGGGCGAATTTAGTGGCTGAAGCCGCGGAGGGTGGGTTACCTGCGCTCGATGACTCGCCCCCTCAGCCGCATTTGATGGCCATGGCCGCCGCACCACAGCAACAAATACAGCAGCATCAACAAGTACAGCAACAGCAACAACAACAACAACAACAACAACAACAACAACAACAACAACAACAACAACAACAACAACAGCCACACCAGCCGCATCATCATCACCCACTCCAGCGGTCGTTAAGCCGCTCGCGCAGCACTTTGCGGCTTGATCCGCGTTCGGTGTTGAACCAGAATGCCAAGTTGGATGCCGAATCTCGCGCTCGCTTCCGCACCTTGTGTTACCATCCCATCCGATGCATGTACTATCTTTTGGCGGAAAAACGGGCGCGCGATCGCGTCGAGTTGATCATTCAACAGCAGCAGCAACTGTTTGCTCAAAAGTCTCGGTCGCGGACCATGTCCAGCAGCAATCTGCAAAGCATCCAAGAGCTTTCTGGCCACGCCTTCGCCGCCGGTGGTGCAGACGCGGACGACGACAACATGGCGGCGGGCGTCAGTCGGACGCACCCGCACTCGCGCAGTTCCTTCTCCTCCGAACATCCAATCGATTCCGAGCCAACTTCCCCAGCTCGTCTTGCAGCTCGTGTCTCTGCACATGTCGCCATCGCCGCTGCTAGTCAGAGTCAGCACGGCGAGACTGCACACCAATACCAGCTGGTGACAGCCGCGTCGCTCGGGGTGGCTCGGCTCATGCCGGACGGCGAACCCATGTCTGCGCCACTCACGCGCACGCCAATGTTCTTTGACGCGCACTCTAGTATTTCAGCGACGCACTCGCCCGTCCAGCAGCAAACGATGCATCAGCCGCTTGCACGTCGCGGCAGCGCCAAACATTTGGATTCTGGCCACCATTTGCCAGTACCCATGTCTTTGCCCGTTTCGTCCGATCAGGTGTTGCCCATACTGTCCAAAACCATCCGCGAGCGACGTCTGGCCTCGCAACCCACGGCACGCACATCAACCCCGCCGCCCCAGGTCATCACGAGCACTTTCGTGACTGGCGCCCAACCAACCCAACCTCTAGACTCTGTACCCGCGTCGCCGACGCACGAGTCTGCAGCGTCGTTGACAATCGCCACCGACGAGGGCGCATCTTCTGGTTCGGGGCGCCTGTTGCACCCTTCCTCCAGCACGCACTCGTCGCATTCCTCGCGCGCCAGCTCCCCAACGGGCTACTCTGGCTCATCGAGTCTCTCGGCTGGCGGCGGTACGCCCTTCTCCTCCTCGACACAGGTTTATCCTCCCAGCTCCAGCCGGACCAACCCTTCGTATTTGGCACTCTCGTCGCCCAGCTCTTTCGTTGCTGCTGCAGCGCCAGTGGCAGCCAGTGGCAGCAGCCCTCTTCCTCCTCGTGGAGCGACGCGCACACGCGCCCAGTCACAGTCGGCGGCAACAGTACAGCCTGTCAATCTCGCCGCGACCGGTCACGCGTTGATGACTGGTATCACGTCCCACGACAAGACCATCTCGACTCCAGCTCTCTCCCAGAATTTCCCAAACGTTGCTGCCAACGCCTCGCCCATGACGAGCCGCGCCCATCCGTCACACTCGGCGAACGCTGCTGCCTCTGCTTCTGCCCCGTCGTCCACAACAAAGCCCCGCCTGTCCCGTCGGCTCACGATGGATGCCGTGTCCATGCTCAAGTCGATCAGCTCGAAGCTGTCCCTCACCGCCTGGGGTTCGTCGCAAAACCAGCCCAGCCCCACATCCAGCAGCTGGTCTGTCACGTCATCGCAAGACTCGATGGACGAGTCGGCCAGCCGAGCCGCGCCCATCCGAACCCTCTCGGGCTTCTTTAACGTTTCGACAACGTCGTCCAAGCCGCCCAAGGAGATTCTGGCCGAGGTTCGCCGAGCGCTCGTCCGTGCCAACATCCGTTTTGCCGAATCTGGCTACGTCCTGCTCTGCGAGGCGCATGATGATTCCAAAAAACCCTCGCAGTTTGAGCTGGAGGTCTGTCACATTCCGCGGCTGAGTCTGTACGGTCTGCATGTGAAGCGCATCCGCGGCGACATTTGGCGCCACAAGCGCGTGTGCAGCACCCTGATTGCCAGCATGAATCTGTGAAGGAGAAGAGGGGAGTGTTGGTCATCTTGAAGCTGCTTCGCGCGAGCCCTTTTGTTTTCAGTTGTGTTCATGTTTTCGTTTTTGTTAGCTTTGTCTATTTTTTTTCTCGTTGAATAGACCTGATTTTTGCCGTGGTTTCTGCACGCTGTTGCCTGCGGTTGATTGTGAAACAATTCTCTGCGCGGCTGTCACTGGTGGTTCGTCGGTATTGTGTTGACGCGTTCGAGCAACGAGCAAAGAAAGAAAGGGGGCAAATGGTCTGTACAGCTCGCCCCTTTCGCTCCATCTTTGAAAACGCTCTTTGAACGCAGCAGCAGCTGGTGACCCTGCACTTCCACCACCAATCACACGCCACAACAACCCGAAACGCCCAAAGCCCGACGAGGCGAGGCGGATGTCGATGAGGAGGTGTTTTTTGTTGTTTGTTGATGGTTTTTGTTGTTTTGAGCAAACCGCAACGCACAGAAAAATTCCATTTCAATACAAAAAGGCGAGCGAGTTTTTTGGTAATCGAATTTTTGGACTCGCGAGGGGGAAGGCCCGACCCCATGCCACCACAGAGCAGGCGCCGGGTGCTTCTTCGACGGAGGCAGAGCAGCGTGGTCGACGGAGGGAAGTGGGGGTACGGGGCGAGCAGCTGAAGAAGTGTTGAATCAAAGTCTCGCGCGCGTGCCGACCTTTGATTGCACGTTGTGCCTTTCGCTTTTGTCTTGCTTTGACTTGTTCACCTCGTCGCTGTTCACTCTTCTGTGCCCTCCACTCATGATCAGCCTCGTTTGCGCGCGCAGAGAACGCAGTTGGATTCGTTCGTCAACACGCGCGGTTCGCGCCTCGGCACACATTCCATATTGTATTTGTTCATTGCCGCTTTTGGCGAGACCTCAGTCCATTTCCCAAACCAAAGTCTCCCCTCTCACAAACAACCAACCGCCCCCGGCGCTTTTCTCTTAACACATACATTCACACATCATCATGGTTGACTACGTTGCCGTCGCCGAGCAGGCAGTGCAGACCATTCTGGCTGTCGCCGAGGACAAGTCCATGGAGCTCGTCAAGTCGACGGTACGCGCCTGCTTTGTTAGCCATTGTCTACTTTGCTCTTGTCCTTCGCTCTCTCTCTCTCTCTCTCTCTCTCTCTCTCTCTCTCTCTCTCTCTCTTTCCTCTTCACTTGATTTTGCTTCCTGGTCTCTCTGTTGTCACGGTCGACGTGTGCGGTGTCAGATCCCCACAACGTTGCTTATTTTTCGCTTCATTTTTTTTTTTTTTTTTTTGTTTGAGTTCTAGTTCTCACCCTTTTTCGTTCGTTTTGCTTCTTCTGCGCTGCTGCTTCCTTGCTTGAATCACAACAAACACAGAAAGAGACCAAAGTCTATGCCCAAGCTGTTCCTGGCATGCACCCCAAGCGGTAAGTGAGCGAGGCAAGCGCCTGCGTGTCGCTCTTTTTCCGCCACCTCCTCCTTCTTTTTTTTCTACCGCTGCCTCTGTTTCTCCTTCTCGTGCTCGCTCGCTCGCTGCTCTTGTTTCTCCATCTTGGCTTTTCCGTGACCTCCTTCTCCTTCCCCCCCCTCCTCCTTCCCTTCCCAATTGACGTGCGGGACAATCGCGCTCGCTGGCTCTGGTTGGCCGCTCGTCTCGTGCTGCCTCTTTTTTTTTTTTTTTTTTTTCCTTTTTTTCCCCCTTTCTCTTTCCGGTGCTTCGGTTCCCCGCTCTTTGCCGCGTCCGCACCGGCTCAATTGCCCTTTTGTTCCGCTCCCTGTTTTTGGCTTTGGCTCACGTGGCTGTTCGTACTCGCACTCGCACAGATACCGCATCGAGTCAGAGTTTGACGCACCGCCGGCGCGCGTGGCGTCGCTCATGCTTGTCAGCGAGCGAACAAAGTGGGACGAGCACGTCAAGTCCATGAAGCTCCTCGAGACCTTAGCCGACGGCGTTACGGTTGTCCACACCACCATGAACTCGGCCATGCTCGGCGTCATCTCTTCGCGCGACTTTTGCGACGCGGTTGTCTTCCGACCGCTCGAGGGCACTAACGACCTGATTCTTGCTGGTGAGGAACCACAAAACCGCCCATTCGCGCCCTCCTGCTCCATCCTCCTCCTCGTCCTCATCCTCCTCATCCTCCTCCTCATCCTCCTCTTACTCGCAATTCTCAGTCCCAACCCCTTCCCTGATACCTGCGGGCGTACCTTCACGGTCGGCGGCGGGTTTCTCATTTGGGGAGTTTTTTGTTTGAGTTTTCGGCGTTTTGAGAAGTTGCGGTTTCGGTTTCACGTGGACCCAATTGGATGAGTTCGCACCCCCCCCCCACACCCCGTTATTAGCTTCCGTTTTCATTCTTGATTGAATGACGCGGGTGCCCCTCCATTTCGATCTGCTTGTCACTGGAGCGAGCGGGCTGGTGTGTGGAAGAGTGTGGTGAGAATGTTTTCAACTCACATCTGCTTGCTTGCTTGCTTGCTCTCTCTCTCTCTCTCCTCGTTCTCGCATCGACGCATCGGAATAGGCGAGAGCATCGAACACAGCGGCGCACCACATCAAAAGGACGTTGTGCGCGGCTTCCTGCACCGAGGCGGCTGGATTTTTAAATCGTTGGACAACGGCCTCCGAACTCGAATGGTCGGCGTCCTGCAGGTACAGCTCGGCGGACAGCTCTCCACAAGCTCCATCCTCGACACTGTTATGCCAAAGATGCAAGTCAGTCTGATGGAGGACCTCCGCAAGGCACTCAAGAAGACCGTTGCTGCTGCCGCTCACTGAACAAAGCAAACAAACAGGTTTTTGTTCTTTTTTTGGTGCGTCGCGAGCGGGTGCGTGCCCTGTACTGTATGAGTGTTTGTTGTCAATTAAACTATTGTGTTTTTTGCCAAAGTGCGCACCGGCAGGGACTGTATCGACGAAATCCATCTTTTCTCGCTGCTTCCTGCTTTCCTCAGAGCCACCAAGTCTTGTACAACAGTGGACTCAAACACAAGAATTTATTTTTGTCAACAGAAAATCACAAGAAAACGCAGGAAGAGAGAGAGAGAGAGATAGAGCGAGAGGTAGAACTGTAAGGGGAATGCAAATTTTTGGCTTTGTTGTTTTTAATCGCGGACGTTGATGTGGAGCTCGGCCTTGACGTCGCAGACATACTCAAGAAGCTTGTTAATGACGGCCTGCTTGTGCTGGGCAGCATCGTTATCGATGGCGACGAGCTTGGTGTTGGTCTCCTCCTTCAGTCGCTGGGCAATCTGGGTTGTGTCGCCTTCGTGTGCCTTGACGTGAGCCTGGAACTGGGCCTCGCGCTCGCTCTTGAAAGCGGCAATCTCGGCCTCAGCCTCATCCTTGGCCTGCTTCAGGCGGGTGGCCTTGCCTGTGTTGGGAGAACAACAAGCAAGAGACGGCAGAGGTGAGCTGTTGTTCAGAGGTGTCTTCCTTGACATCCAAGATTGCATCTACCGCAGAATGACAACGCCAACAGTCATCCATTGCGCACTGGTCAAAGCGATGGGGGGGGGGATAATGATAGAGGAGCACACAGTGCGGATGGGTTTGGTTCGATAGACCGATCGACCGACCGACCAGCTGCCACATCAGCACTGGCACGAATCGCACAGCAGCAGCAGCAGCACGCACTGAACTCGAATCCCACAAAGCGTTGGTCCATGACACAACAACGAGAGAGACAGAGACAGAGACAGAAAAACCAAGCTTTCTTTATTTTTGCTGGCTTTTCCATTACTGCATTCGATCGCCATTGTAAACTCTACAGAGCACTTTTTTGCCATCCCACGCACATCCCCCTCTGTTCCCAGGCCCTGCTGAGTTTGAACTCATCCCCCCCCCCAACTCTCGTCACGGACAAGTCGATCGCGCGGAATGAGTGCTGGGGAAAAGGGAAAAAAAAAAAAAAAAAAAAAAAGTCATGAGTGTCTTTTTGTATTTTTTCGATTTTCTTCCCCACTTTTTTTTTTTTTTTTTTTTTTGCTCTTTTGCTTGGCGATTCCAGCTGTGAGTCGCACTTAAAACCCCTTCAACTACAAGCAACATCACTCTTTGTCTCTCTCCTTCTCGGCTAGGCGTGCGCTGCTCGTGCGACAAAGAGCGAAACGGCGAAGCGAGCAAAGGTGAAAAGGGGGAAAAAATCAAAAAATCACTGCCACGAGGGAAAAATCAAAAAAAAAAAAAGAAAAAAAGAAAAAAAAAAAAGCAGGCTTTCGAACCGTCCACTGCAGAGAGCGAGCCAGTGTAGAGAGAGAGAGAGAGAGCGAGATAACCAAAAGGTGGAGAAGAAAGAGAGGAACGTACGCTTGCGGGCCTTGGCAACAATTTCAGCAGCAGACTTCTCGGCCGCGAGGAGCGCCTGGATGCCTTGAGATTGGTTGGACATTTTGGGGAAAAAAAAAGAAGGACTGAATGAATCAAAAATCAAAAATCAAAATGCAACTTCCACCCATTGCTCTGGAAATGCGTTTAAGTTAACATAATAATAATAGATAGATGCAACAACAACAACAAGACAATAAAAAAAGGCAGAGCACTTCAAGATCGCCCAGCAGGCTGGCGTTGCAAGAGTCGCTGAACTGCCGAATGGAGCGCACCGAGCTCCGAAATGGTTGCAGAGGACAGCACGTCGGGAGAAAGGTGAACCATCTGCTCGACCTCGGCCCGAACAAAAGTGATGGCCTGTTGCAACTTGTCATGCAAGGGGCCGTCCAGGCGATGCCGAGTTGCGGCTGGCTGGTGAGCGCTGCCGTCTTCGTCGTCGAACGCGCGCTTGTTGCGGGAAACACTCGACGTCGCTTCGACTGAGACAGCGTTCAATCTCAAACCCTCTTCCAGGCTGGCGCGGAGGTGATTCATCTGTCCGCCTTCACACTCCCCGAGGCTGGAGACGAGATTTCGGATGCGCTCGGATTCAAGAGAAGGATCGGACACGGCTGCTCCAAACTGGTCGCTTCCAATCGGGGTCGAGCACAGAAACTGCTTGATAACATCCATGCGGTCGGGCGGACAGAGCTGGCCAATGATATCCTTGAACGGGGTAAACTGGGCAAATTCCTGCCACGCGACGCAGGCGGGTGTCAGGACGAGCCAGTGCTGCTCGGACAGCACGACGTTAAATAAGTGAATCCAGGCCTGCAAGAGCTCTGGACTTGCATGCGGCTGCCGAAGACCCTCCACTGAAAAGTGGGCGCAGCGACCGAGCAGTTTGCAAACGATGAGTTTCACTCCCAAAGGCTGGCGTTCAATGGACGCTGCGAGTGCTGTGAAAATCTAAGAAAAAAGGAGCCAAAAAGCGGACGCAGATTAGGCGAGGCGGGCGGAGGCGGGCGGGCTGAGCGCAGGAGATGATGAGAGCCAAACAAACCAAAGCAAGCAAAAGCATACCGAGGTCAAGTGGTCAACAGAAAGTCCTGGGTAGAGTGCGTGGACTGCATTCAGCAGCGCACAGCATGCCTACAACAAATGCAAGCAAGCACGAAAATAACAGACATGAGACAACCGCAAAACGCCAGCAACAAGAGTTACACCTGGCAAACCTGTGCTGGAGCTTCCCCGCTCCCCGCTGCAGGAAACACGGACGCGGAGCATCGAACGATTGTGTCGATAAGCGTTGTCAAATCACGCCGTGCGATTGTGCTTGCAATAGCATGGGACGTGAACAGAGTTGCGATCGCGCCGCATGCAAGGGTCTGGAGAGACGAAGAAGAAGTCGGTCAGAATTCAAACATCTTTTCTTGACAAAACAAAAAATAATCACCTGGATTTCATGCACCGAGGCTCCTTGGTTGGGTTGGCAGGACTGAACAAGGGCCTGTGTTGCCGGAGCGACGACTCCCGAAACAATGCTCGACACGCCCGCTTGGACAACCTGAAAAAAAAAAGAAGAAAAAAATAATGCATCCCACTCGGACTTCAAATCAGCGGCAGCCAATTCAAGGTCCTCGACAGCGTCAGAACATACAGCAATCTCTTGCTCGGACATGGCCTGACCCGAGGCGGCAAAGTACCGCCAGAACGCCAAATTGGCGAGATTTGCAGCCGGAGAGAAGGCCTCCACCAGTGCAATGTACTGGTCATCTGGAAGTTCGCTACTCAGCCGAGAAATCAAATGGCCCAGCGTCACGTGAAGTGGCTGATCTCGAGGAGTGCACACAATCTGCGACACAATTCGTGGGAGTTTTAGTCGAAAAAAAAACCGATAACAAAGAAGTCTCCGTGGTACTGCCAACAACTCCCAAGTTCAGTTCAGCTCCTCCTCAGCCATACCAATTGCCCAAGGAGACGCAAGTGTGCGCAAAGGGTGTGCGCAGGCAGGCGTGGCGCGAGAAAGCTCCACACGTCAGCCGCAAGGGTTGCACAGAGTGAGTTTGGGGATAAGACTTGACGCATTAACGCCCGCTCCAGAACACTGAACTTTGCTGCGGGTAGAGCGACGGCAAGGTCGCACAGCGATTCCCAGGTGTGCTGGTACAAGGACACACGGAGCAGCTGCGCCTGTTCGGATGATGGCACAGCCCCAGGCACCTCCACATACAACGTGCACGGCAGCAATATTTCCGCTCGCGCCTCTGCAACTTGCGCAAACACCATGTCAAGCAGAGGCAGCGCACTTTGTTGGTCTGCAGCAGCATTTGGAAACAGCAGGTCGAGAACGGTCGCGGGCAGTGGGTCGCGCGTATCGGTGCTGAACGTGCAGAGCGCCAGCACAGTCGTCAGCTGCGCCAAACGGAGGGGTCGGCCAGCAATCGCGTCGGACTGGCAAGACGAACCCAAGCACGCACAAAAGAGCGGGTTGATTGCGAGGCATTTGACGATCGTGTCTGCGTTAATGACCAGGCTCCGCAACTCGGAAAACGTTACAGCAGTCACGTTCTTGGAAGTGAGAGCGTCCAATATCAATCTGGTCGACGAGATGACGCGCGAAGCATGCACATCAGTGGTGTGTAAACGGAACACGTTCCCAACAAGCAAGCCAAAAAAAAAAAAAGAAAAAAAAAAAGAAAGAGAAAACATCGCAAAAGGGACCTACCCTTTGACCGACAAGACAATGTCAATAACTTTGGCATAGCAGGACTCCAGTGAGCTTGCCAATGCCTTGACGGTGTGGAACAGATGAGAGAGATAAAACCGACAAACACGAAAGCAGCGCGTAAAATTTTTCGAGTCGCCAAACGACGTCGCTGGCTCGTCTGGCGTTTGGCCAGTGACAGTGTAAGGCGTCGCAGTCACGCAGTCCTTGAGGTTGCGAAGAAGAGGAGCACTGAGGGCATCCACAATCGCGCCGATCTGGAAGCAAAAAAACAAAAACACGAAAACAACACCAGAGTGAGGTCCAGCGTTGAGATTCGTTCAAAAGACGCTCCAACTAAACTTGCAGGAATGTTTGATCGGAGGGCTGTGGGTGCAGCTCGAGAGACGAGGCGAATCAGGGCTTTCCAGGTTGCGTTCAACATTGACATGTTGCGCTCACTCAGCGTGCAAAGCTGAACAAGCCCCTCGCAAGCTACAAGTGCAACATCCAAGGAACAAAAACGAATGAGTTCAAGGTGACGCACTAGAAGGCAGCTCCGTTGAACTGGACGAAATGAAATGCACGGTGAAACGTACTTGCAGCAAAGGCCACCATGTCAGAATGCGACAAGTTGTCCAGTTGGACCCGTTCGCTCAATACAACGGCATAGTTGCCAAACAAGGTCGTACTTGTAGCAGCACATTCTGCCAAGCGGTCTGCCTTCAGTTGCTGCGAAACGAAAACAAGCAAACAAACAAAAAAGCGTGAGGCACAAGTGCGAATCGGCTGAAAAAAATTACATCGCCAGGCGTGTGTGCGCCTTTTACCCGTTGAGCCAAGCCCACAGCAGTGAGCGTTTGACACAGTGCATTTGCCGCATGCGAGATGCCATCAAACGAGAGTTGCAGCTGGTTTGCCGAGACCAAGCTGCCAAAGACAACGTTCAACGCACGAAGCGCGTGCTCAATCGTCTGTCCACACAAACAGCGGCTTGAGCATTTTTTTGGTTTTCAAGTTGTCATCAACACAACAATCAAAGTTCACCCTGTGAAGACCTCATTATTTTCATACCAGGATGGCACTATCGACCTCGTTGGCAGCTGATGGCTGCTTGCCGGATCCAAAATGGGCTTGAATCGCTGCACTTGCCGCGGCGACCCTGGCGGCCATCTACCCTCAGAATATGACAAACCAACGAAAACAGCGTCAGAATCCAACAATGCTCAACATCGTCACAGCGACGACGACGCCTTTGTGCAAAGCATCAGATTTTTTGGCGGGAAAAACGAAAAAAAAAACCAAAAAAGCCAACAAACTCGCATGCAAACTTGTTTCACTTTGGGAACGCCCTTTGTGTACCTGGGTGAGTGCGGGCTGCAGCTCGGACGACACAGCGTCAAGGAGCTCGTTGGATGACAGAGACGACGTCCACGAGGCGGCTGACGAGCCAGCGCCAGAGCCAGCGTCTGCAGGTACACTGGTTGCGCGCGAGGCGGACAAGCGGGCGGCAAACTCGGCTTCGAGCTCCGAGTCCTGCGCCGAGAGCGTCGAGGCCATGGGTGGCATTCAGATGAATTGGGGGTGGGTGGCGTGAGGGCGTGGGGATGGTGCAGAGGGACTAAAGTTGAGACACGACGAGGAAGATTGATTCGAGTCAACAAAATGGACAAAGAGCTGGAAGACTGAGCGCTGATTCACAATCTCAGTCGATCAAAGTAGGCGGGACAAAGCAAGAAGGGAACTGCTTACAGTATAGTTTTCAATTGTTCACGAGCACGATCATCGACCAACGGATCAGGTTGAAAGTAAAAATGCATTTTGCAGCGAAACTTTCACTTTGGCAGTTTTTACACCACACACACAAACACACGCACACGTGCGCGCATGGAAATAGTGCAATATGTATTGACACTATCTACAAGATTTCTTGCGTCTCGCTGGAGCTTGAGCTTGCCACAGAGCTTCAGTGGTCTTCGTTTGGCTTTGTTTTGTTTTGTTTGGCAGAGATTTTCAAAAAAGATACAGATCAACAGCAAAGGAGAACAAAAGAAAAAAAGTCACATAGTTACACACACTGTAGCAGTTGCTTAAACACTGCCGAGATTGGCCTCGTCAATGAGCTCGCTGAGATTCTCGTTCTGGAGCGAAAGATCTTCCGGCATGACATGTCGGAAGGAAGACTTTTCAATCCGAGCCTTGCTGGGGCGTTGCCACAGCCATGTCGACTGCGCAGGTCGAGCGGCCGCAGAGGTCACCTCGCGCACGGCATCCGACATGCGACGCTGCACTTGCTCGGCGGTTTCCTTGACGTTTTCGGTCGAGAGGCGACGAATCGAGCTCCCAACGGGCGAGTCCGTCGTCATCGTAGACGGATCCTCTGGAACGGGTTCGTCGCGCTGCATGCGCCGCTGCAAGTCTTCAGCAATGTGCGTGGCATTGTCGCTCGAGGCGCGACGACGAATGGAGCGGCCTGCGCCAATCACGGGCGAATCCGTCGTCATGGAGGACGGATCGTCCGGAACGGGTTCCTCGCGCTGCATGCGGGCAAGCATGCCGTTGTCGCCTTTCGGGTGCAGCACAATGCGCTCGCTCAGCTCTTCGGTCGGGACTTTGACCTGCGGCTCCGACGGGCGACGGCGGAAGAACGACCAGCCTGGCGCCGACGGCGACGCTGCCGAGCTGACCGCCGGGGTGGCCAGAGGACTGTCGTAGATGCCACGCTCGCGGTTGTGGGGGTCGAAGGGAGCCATTCGGTCATTCGCGATGGGAACATGCTCGTACGCGCCGACCACGGCGTTCTCATTTTCCCGCCCGGACATGGGTGCCGGGTTTCCCGTCGACCAATGGTCCCAGCGCTCCTGCTCGTGCGTGTCAACCATGACATGCTCCTGGGACGGCCTGCGACCGCGGAAGATCCAGCCGAGCCAGCCGCTGCTTGGCTTTTCCTGGAGTTGCACCGGCACGTCTTTTAATTCGGAAGGAAAACGCTGCTCGGTGCCAATCGCCGTGGCCTCTTGGGATTTGGTCGTCACGTCCGACGGCGCAGGGCCAAACGGCGTTTCAATGGGGCGTTCGATTTGCGGCACTGATGTGTGTGATTGGCAAGCGAGAAAAAACAAGTATGGCAGTGGGTCGGGAGGAGGGGGATGGTGTCGAGATAAAAACACAAAACACAAAAGCAAATTGCGAACATGAGATGACGATTTCGACGGCAACAAAATTCCAATCTCTGTCACCACGTACTTTTGTTTGGAGATTTGCTTGGAGAGAGATTTTTATTGACTGGCCAACGCTACGAAAAAGGAAGTGCACCTTTTGAAACCCAAGAAAAACTTCCGGACACTGTACTGTAGTTTGTGTGTGTGCTCCAGTTTGTGGCACTTGAAGTAAAGTCACAAAAGGGGTGTATGATTGGCTTTAGACATATGGGGCAATTACAGTGCTCGAAAAACGATGGGCAAGCAAGAAAAAAAAAGTAGCTCAAGACCACACTTTCAACACACCGTCGCGGCCGCCGCTAAAGATGAACGGATGAGGAAGCTCGGTAAAAGCCAAGTCGTTGATGCCGTCTAGGTGGTTGACAGCTGGGGATCCTGTGCCGCGCGCAGTGGCGGGCTGCGTTCCAGTGCCTGCGGCTGGCGGCGGAGGGTAGTACTCGTGGAAGACATTCACGTCGCCCGCTGCGAAGGCGCTGTACGATGGTCGGGGCTGGAGGTCGGTCAGCATGCGCGAGCCACGGGGGTGCTCCAGATCCCAAAGACGCAGCCGGCGATCAGTGCCTGCAGAGACAACAAAGCTGCGGTAAGCAGGACACAGCAAGGCCGTCGTGCTGTCCGTGTACTTTGAGGTCATCTGAACGTGCAGGTCGTCCAGCCCGAGATCGTGGATCGGGTCGGCGGCGTTGTTGGCGGGGAAGACCAACTAGGTTGAGAACCAAGACCAAATTGCGAACAAAACAAGGCACAAAGTCAGTGCACGGCAAAAAAGTCACATGATTCAAATCGTAGCATTGACGGCTCGCTCGGCAGCCCACCCCGGTCCTCCACTTCTTACTGATGCTCGCTCTTTCAACAAACAAAAATCTCAAAAACAACCACACGATCTCCCAAACCAAAAAACAAAACAAAACAAAAAAGCTCAAAACAAAACTCACAGGCTTGGTGCCGAGGGTCATGGTCGTGGAAGGAGTCATGTTGGGAGCGGTCGGCGCAGGTCCGTCGGGCGATACTGGCAAGGGCGGTGGGGGCATGGCGAAAATTTGGGTGCAAACGCCGCGCTCAACATCCCAAGTGGCAAATTCGCCGCCACTGCCAGAAGTGGACGCCAGCACGAGCGGCAAGCGATACTTGTTCGGGTAGTTGGAGAGACGAACGACTGGCTTTCGTGCAGGATGCAGCCAAGACTTGACTGGCAACTGGAATCGCAAGTCCCAGCAGTCAAAGTAGCCTCGCGTTGTTCCAAGCATGAGCCAGTTTCGAGAGGGATCGACGATGAACGAGGAAATCAACCCTGTACCACATTGACACAAGTATCCACCAGCCGTGAGAGTGAGCGCAAGGCACATAGCGAGTCGGTGCTCAAAGGAGAAACCAAAAAAAAAAAAGCGCGCCAATTTCCAACCATGAGTGCGGTCATTCTTGAGCTTCCAAGTGTTGCGGTCACAGCGCAAGTCCCATCCGTAAATGTTTCCGGAAACAGTTGCGTAGGCAAGTGTGGATTGAGCATCTGAGGGAAAAAAACCAGAAACCAATCAGGGAACGCCGAAAAAACAAAAAAACGAGTGGCAAAAGCAAAATGGATGCGTACCAGCTTCGTAATGCATCAAATCCACCACAGCGCCTTCTTCCTTGACATCAAGGCTGCGCAGGTACAAGGGCGCAAAGCCATTGTACTTGGCAATATTGGCTCCGGCAGTGGAAGCGCTTGTCGACTCGACGCTGGAAGAAAAAAAATAGAACGAGGCGGTCAGAAACAAATCGCAGCGAAGCGTCCCCCCCCCCACAAATACACCAAGAAAAAACAAAATAAAATAAAACACCAGCAGGACCGAAAAAAAAACTCATACCGGAAGACGTGGAGGGTGCCATTATCAGAAGCACTTGCAATACTGTGGGAGTTTTCGCACGTCGTGATCGCTTTGATGTGTCCGCCTGTCCAAGAGCGGATTGCATCAACGACGCATGAGACCCATGAGGTCCACGAACACACATACACAAACACAAAAGACCGCCGGACAATACGCTACCTTGCCGGGAGTAGGTTAATCGCGAACGGTTGGTGACATGGCGCTCCAGGCGCTCCGTATCCCACACCTTGACAGTGCCGTCGTCCGAGCAGGAGGCAAAGAACTGATTGTCTGGCGAAACGACAATTCGGTTGATGCTCGCCCGATGCTCGTGGAAATGAGCGACGAGAATACCTAAGACCACCACGGCACGAGAGGGAGCGTGAGCACACACGCGCAAAATGTTGATTCCGGCAAGGCCAAGAACAAACAAACCTTGTGGAGTCCAGCTAGCGTTCGAAGATGGGAGTCCAGGAGGAAACGCCGACAACCCAGCATGACCCAAGGCCGTCGACGTGGCCGAAGAGGCGGTAACGGTGGCTGAGCGCGACTTGGTCGTTACTGGCGCCGGTTCCATCTTGACGAGAGGCATTCCAGGCGGGTAGACGGAGGATGCGTCGCCGAGGTCTGAGCCGAAAGAAAATAAAATTAAAACCACATGGAATCAACATCGCAGTTCCTTCCCGCACATCCGACAAACCCCCCCCCCTCCAAAAAAAAAACACCAACAATAAACAAACAGAAGAAACAAAACGACTCACTCTGTTGCCACGTTGGGAATCGTTCTTGCAACTGGCGATCGACCAGCTTCCACAAGTCGGCTGCAGAAAGTATTCCCACAGAGTTAGACACATCACGATGGAGTCATAGTGTCAGTTGCAAAACTAGACAAAAAAAAGCAATGCTCGCTTACAATGACGTGTGCGGTCCAGCTGCAAGTCTGGTGCCGAATGGAGGTTCTCGGCAGCAAGCTTGCGCTGGTACGCTTCCGTTTCGGCGGACGAGGGCTGGGGTGGGGAAAGAGTTGCTTGGCGCTGTTGGGTGACTTTGGCCTCCGACTGCGCGTAGGTTGGCAGCTCGTTGCCACCACCGCCCAACGTGGGCCCTGCGCCAGACTTGCCGCTCAGCATGACCGATCGCGGGCGCGGCGCATACCCGCCTCCAGGAGCAGGAGACAATGGGCGGGGATGCATTGCGGCGCCCGGTGGCGAGCCGGACAATCCCTCTGCAGTGTACGGTGGCGGAGGAGACATGGCGCGAGCGCCTGCAGCCGCCTGTTGCTGCTGTTGTTGCTGTTGTTGCTGCTGTTGCTGTTGCGAACGACCACCACCAAACATGAGCTGCCACTCTTCGTTGACATGCACGCTGGAGGTCGCCTGAGAGCGGCTCGTGCGCGGGGATGCCGGACCGGTCGACAAAGTTGGTGCAGCCCCCATCTCGGGCGCGGACGAGCCACTGCCAGAAAACGCATGCGCCCCCTTGAAGCCTGCAGCGTTGCCACCGTTCTGCCTGCTCGACTCGAGCACAGCTCGCAGGTCAATTTGCTGCACTTGGACGGGCGGGTCCAAGTCCTCCAGGTTGGCAAACCCAGTCTGCAACTTCACCAAGGCCGAGTCGACAGAGCCAGGACTGGACTCGCTGGGCTCGCTCGAAAGCAACTTGGACGGGTCCAGGAAGGATCCGTCTGGGACGTGGTTGAAGTTCATGCCGAGATTCAGCAGTCGACGGCGGCGATGGGCAATAATCTCGGTGAGAATGAGAATCTTTTCTTGGTCGCTGTCGGTCATTCCGAGCGATTGCAAACGTGTAAACAACTCTCGCTGCTGCTCCATCACATGGGCGGGCAGGCTGGGCGCATCAGCCGCAAGTCCATCCATTGGCACGGCGGCAACACTGCCCGTGCGTGAGTGGTCTCGACTGCCAGATGATCCGCGCAAAAAGGCGGTCTGTGCACTCTCGCCAGGCGCAGCTGCAGCGTCACCGACGAACGACCCCGAACGGCTCGAGCTGCGAACAGCATCGGGACGCGTTGGCACTGCGCCAGACTGCGACATGAGTCGGCCACCGCGTGTGCGGCTGGCAGTCGCATCATCTGCACGCTTGCGTTGGCGTTTCGAGCGCTCATCGACGAGGTAGGCAAAGAAGGCGCCAATATCCGGGATGGCCGTCACAAAATCAAACACGGCGCGCTTCAGCGGCTTGCGCAGCACCTCCAGCAGAGCCAGGTCGCTGTCTAGATTGGTGAGTTCGCGATGGCGAATGTATGGACGCAACGTGGGCAGCAGAATGCAGGTGAACTCGGCGAGCGTAAAGCTGCGGGCCGAGGCCACAATGAACGACACGGTCGAATACCGAATCCAAATGTTGGGGTGGAAGAGCAACGGCGCAGACTCGTGGATGAGCGAGAGCACAGTCGAGCGCTGGAAGAGCCCGACCTCGGCCAGCGTGCCCAGGGCGCTGAGAGCGCGCTCGGTGACAAACTCCTCCTCGTCGTGGAAGCCTCGAGAGAAGAGCGGCAGAATGTACTGCTTGAGTCCCACACCGCCAACATAGGTTGCGACGGCAACGATGCTGTCAAAGAAGGCAGCTCGCAAGCGCCAGTCACGGGCATTGAGGTAGGTGAGAATGTGGGTCAGCAAAAAGTCCACAGCCTTTTGCCGTCCGAAAAAGATGCAGAGACGCCCAACGTCCGAAAGCATGGCGCGGCGCACGAGAAGCGTCGGGTCTGCCACGATCGTGTCCAACATGCCGCGGAAGGTCGCGTGAAGCTCCTGCAGTTCCTTGTCGTACGAGCGCTGGTACGGCATGGAAGTGTTGACAATGTGGTCCTCTCCAAGCGGCTGGCCATAAGGTGCCGCCGTGGTCGGAGTGGAGGCACCTTGCTTGGCGCCCGACGACAGAGACTGGCTGCGCGGGCGAGGGTTGGACGGTGTGCCTGATGGCGTAGGCGTGGCGGTGCCACTCGCAGAAGAATCCTCCGACAGCGACGCAGACATGGTCAAAGCCGTCCGCAAGAGACTGGGAGCTGCACCAGTCTCGCGCTGAGCGGACGATGGCGTGGCAGGGGTCATGGCGCCACTGCCGCTACCGCCGGCGCCGCCCGTGACTCCAGATTCCGCTGCTGCGGCTGCTGCTGCTGCGTCCAACAAACCACCGTTGTTGTTGTTGTCCGCAACATCGTCAGAATCAAAGTCGCTCGCAGGATCGATATAGGCAGTCGGGTCTGGACGAGCTTGCGACAGCTCCAAGAAACGCAGGGCGGCTTCAGACAGCAACGCGACATTTTCGGCGCAGGCAACGCGAACGGAGACCTCGGGATCGTTCACAAACTCCTTGACGCTGGGGAGAAAATACTCGGGGAAGAGGTTGGAGTCGGATGGCGAAACATGGCTCACCCACCCAACCAGCTTGGTGAGGTTTCGCAGCGCAGACACGCGCACCATCGGGGACGGATCCTGCAACAGGTGTGTCATGAATGGCAGAATGCGCTCGATGCGGCACTCGTCAGTGACAACACCGCCCAGCTTGATGAGCATGTGCAGAGCATCAAGACGAGAAGAGGCATGCTTGAGCGAGCGAATGCAGGAGGTGATGACAGAGACCAGAATGACCACCATCTGGCTATCCTGCGTGGGTGCCCGTGCATTGCGCTGTTGACCAAGCAGAGAGTCGTCAACGGCGTCCGCGTCGTCGTCATCGTCGCCATCGTCGTCGTCGTCGTCGCTTGGCGCCGTGATGGTCGGGTCTTCGGTCAACGTTGTCGAAGCCGTCCGATCTTCCTCTGCAATCGAAGCACTCAGGTTGCTTTGCGATTTGGATGGCGTCGGTGGCTTTCGCGAGGCTGCAAGACCGGCGCGTCCGCTGGCTTGGTGAACATCAAAGCCAATGCTGGCGCTGTTGGAGCGGACAATCCCGGGCTCGATTTCAGAATTGAGCTGTTGCGAGGCACTTGCTGGTGGTTTTGGGGGCCGAGAAGCCTGCTGCTGGAGTTGTTGTTGCTGCTGTAGTTGTTGTTGTTGTTGTTGTTGTTGCTGCTGCTGCTGCTGCTGCTGCTGCTGTCTTTGAGAAGATCCTGCTGGTTTGGACATCTTGGTCGTCCCTTCCATGCCCAAAACGCTCGACACAGAGCCGCGCCGACTTGACGAAGGCGACACGCGGCCCGTGTGAGCAAGCTCAAACTGCGACATGAGGTGTTTGAACTGCTTTCGAAGCAGGAAAATGGTGTCGTCGGGTTGGTGCTTCAAGCACAGCTCAGCGACAATATGGTGCAACTGGTCGAATTGAGGAGGGAAGACTCGGTTGCGCCACTGCTGCAGATAACCTTGCGCAGTGCTGCGCTTGGTAGGGTCGACTTGGAGCATGTGGCGGATGAGCGCCACTGCGTCCGGATCGTCAATGCGCGCCAGCATTGGAGAAATATCGTACGTGCCTTTCCGATAGGCAAGCAGCTGCGAGAGATCGAAAATGTGCCGCCCTTCAAGGAAGAGCTCGGCCACCACGCAGCCGAGCGAGAAAACATCCATCGCCGCAGTCAAGTCTCCCTCGGTGCAGACATCCGCGGTGGAGTCGGTTTTGTCGGGTGAGTAGAATCGCTCGGGCGCAATATAGCAAGAGCGACGGCCCGACGTGTCAAAGAAAAAGGAGAAGGCTGCAGGGTTGTCGTCGGGCAGGAATGCCGGCTTGAATGGGGCAAAGTCGACAAGGAAGGCCCAGTTCCAGCTCGTCACCACCACATTCTCTGTCTTGATATCACCATGAAACAGGTCTCGCTCGTGACACAGCGCGAGGCCCTTCAGCAGCTGGTACACGAGCCATTTCTTTTCGATTGCGCCGAGGAACGGACGCGTGCTAATCCGGTCGTATAGCGTGGTCAAAAAGTACTGCCGGACCAAGAATCCTGCATTGGCAGTCTCGTACCATTTTGTATATGGGATTGCGTTGTGGTTGCCTCGGAGGCGCTTGGAGATGACTGATTTGGGAACAGAAGGCGAAAACAACCAAACTTTTGTGAGGGAACCACCACCAATCTCACCCCGTTGCTCCTGGTTTTTTTTGTTCCTCGCTTACCATCCATCTGCACATTGTATTTCGCCAAGGAGAGACTTGGCGCCATCTTTGTGAACACTTTGGTGACATGATCCAAGCCTTGAAATTTGGTGCGCGTCGTTTTCATAAAGCGCGTGCTGACCAAGCTATTGAACAAACAAAAGCCAACCCACCAGATCAAACCCAACACGACCAAGGTGAGCAACAATCCGCACTCACTCATTGTCTGCGCTTTTCCTTCGTGGATGTGGATGTGAGTGAGTGAGTGAGTGAGTGGTCGTGCAGCCAAATTGAATTGGCTGGACATTGTTCGTTCCGATGAGGCCGGTGCTGTTTGTCCGGCTTCGATCTCAATACAAGCTGAGAACGAGCAACAGGGCAACATTGGAAGCCTCGCGTTCCAGCAACAGCAATGAATGCAATGCAATGGAAAAAAGCGTACAAAAAAAAAAAAAAAAAAAAAAAAAAAAGAAATTGGGGCAAATGCATTGTGCTTTGCATTGGTGGTTCAAGCCAAGCGGTTTTCAAGAAAGGAGGCGAGTTTGCTCGAGCGATGGCAGGAGTGGCTGAAGTGCTGGGTGCTGGGCGACACAGGGGGCAGGGGAAGCGGCAGGGGTCGGGAGGGAAGAGGAGGACCGGCTTCAGTGACACAAACCTCGAGACAAACTCTGGCTGGTCGGGGAGCTCGGTGAGCAGCTGCTCCACGCCGACAATGGGTCCGGACGCAGCAGTCGAGACCTGATTGCCCATTTGTGCGATTGCGGGCAAGGGCGGGGGGGGGTGTTTGCAGCTGTCTTTTGAAGGGAGGCGGAAAGGGTCGGAGTTAGGAAAGCTGGAGTGTGTGGAGTGAAAGGACTGGTCGGATCCAACTCTATGGAGAACTATAAGCAGAAGAGGAACAAGAAGAACAAGAACAAAAACAAAGAAGAAGCCTGCAAATCAAAGGGGGGGAGGGAAAGGATTGGCTGGATTCAGCCATAACGGACCTTCACCTCCCTTTTTGCCCTTTCCCTTTGCCCTTCCCATTTCCACACGAGGTCAAGTCAGATCACAAATGCATTCACAGAGAAGAAGGCTGATCTCCCACGTCGGTCACCGCACTCTTACTTTGTCAGATTTGTCAGCTTGTCAGATGAAATTGGTGCTGGTCGTCATCGCCGCTGTCATCACGCTCGCGCTCAACCCAGGCGCGGCAACAGCTGCGTCGCTTCATGGCATGCTGCCGCAGCGGCAAGCAGCCGACCCGCCGGGCGCCTTCCAGGTCCTGCTCACTGGCTTTGGCCCGTTCATGAACTACACAACCAACCCGTCGCAGCTCGTCGCCGAGGCCCTCCACGACCAGTGCGCACAGTTCCGCGCAGACAATGTCGTCAAGCACGACTATGCAGTGTGCTTCCGGACCATGGTGCTGCCGGTGGCCGACAACGGCTCGGTCGCGGTGGCCAGCTACCTGTCCAAGTTCACCGAAGCGACGGCCGACCGCATCCCGTACGATGTCATCATTCATATGGGCCTTGAAGATGCTGCCAAGGGCCTGCTCTTTGAGACGATAGGCTTCAACCAGCGCGCAAACGCCTCCACGCCCGGTCCCATCCAGCCCGGCGGTCCGACCCTGCTCCCAACCACAGTCAACCTGGGCCATGTGCGCATCCCCGAGCTGTACTCGCTGGCTGAGCGTCGGCTGGGACGGCCGCTGGCGACAGACGCCGCGCTCAAGGTGAATCCGACCCGCTTCAGCGCCAACGACACGACCGAGGCCTGGTCGCGCGATGCAGGCACCTTCTACTGCAATGAGACGCTGTATCGGACCCTGTACCAGCTGCGCTCGCGCAATCTGTGCCGCTCGCCGGCATTCGCGCTCATCCCAGCCATGTTTGTTCACCTGCCCGAACTCACCGTCATGTCCACCGATGCTGCCTCGAGCTTGATCACCGAGCTTGCCGGCAAGCTTGCTCTTCCTCTTGCACAGGGTGTCTGCAGCGTGGTGGCTTGAGTGCCGTGCGTGTGAAGAATGTGTAGAATGTGTAGAATTGAAAGTTGGCAGATTTTTTTTTTTTCCTCTGAGCAACTCAAACCGAGGGTCACTTTTTGAGCGTGTTTCTTCTTTGTTTTTGCATTATTCCGTTTCTCGGACACAGTATCATCCCATCCACTTACACCGAAGTGGATCAGTCTTTTGTACTTTTGTAAGATGCATTTGTTGATCAAAATACTGAGTCCCTCTCTCGCTCTCTCTCTCTCTCTCTCTCTTCCGTTGCGTTTCTACTTGGGATTTGCAATGCACCTTACACACTCACACACACACACTCACACACACACACACATCCACATCCCAAACCCCGTCAAGACGCGTGTCTCTTTGCGTGTCTCCTTGCCGCTATTGCTGAAGCGGGTGTCCTTTCGCCTTTTTTCTTCTTCTTTTTGATGCTTCTTCTTCTTTCTCTCTTTGCTGCCCGCCCTCCCCGATTTCACTGCTCTCTCTCTCTCTCTCTCTCTCTCTCTCTCTCTCTTTCTCTCTCTCTTCCATTGTTTTCGTCTCCCTCTTCTTCATCTCCCAATAAGCCAATCTTCCCCTCTATCTTTCTCCCTCCAAAAAAGATTTTGTTCCCCAACAAGTTTTCACGTGGAGATTTTTTTTTTTTTTTTTTTTTTTTTTTTTTTTTTTTTTTTTTTTTTTGGGCTTTCTGATCTTCTTTGTTTCACTTCTTTTGCCTTTTTTTTTTTTTTTTTTTTTTTTTTTTTTTGTAACCCTTGCTTTGCTTTGCTTCTTTTTTCCCCCGCTTCTGGGCTCGTTACCGCATTGCTCCTCTCAGTCTTGAAAGCTGTACTTTTAGCCACAGTTGAACAACTTGAACAAAAGCGGGTGTGAAAACCTCCGCTCACTCACCTGCTTCGCTCCCCCCCCCTTGTCCACACAGACCCGCCCTTCATCAACACCGTCGCAATGTCTCGCTCGCAGGCCTCCGCGCCCGTGTCTGCGGTCGCAGCGGCAGCGGCAGCGGCTCCGCGTCTGTCGACGCCTGTCTCGATTGTGATTGCTGTGCTCGTCACACTGCTCGCACTCGCGCTGTACTCGCCCCCGGTCGCCTCGCTCGTCATTGGCCTGCTCTTCAACATTGTCGGCGCTGTGGCCATCGTGCTGTATACCATCAAGCGCGTCCGCTGGCTGCGCATCCGCGTTCTCCGTCTGCTGCTCAGCCACACTGGCTGGGCGTACAACCCCTCCGCCCTGACCTCGCAGATTCTCCTCGGCCTTGTCGGACTCTTTGGCGGCAACAAGCCTCGCCTCTGGGAGCTGCAGTCCACCCTGCCTGCGCTGCCCGTGCCCCCGCTCCACCAGACCGTCGACAAGTACCTCAAGTCCGTCCGACCGCTGCTCAACGACCAAGAGTACGCCACCACCAAGAAGCTGGCCGACGATTTCATCCGCATTGGCGGCGACGGCGAGCGTCTCCAGAACATGCTGCTCGCCCACCGTGACGCCGAGGTTGCCAAGGGCACGAGCTGGCTGTGGACGTGGTGGGAGCAGATTGTCTACCTGAGCGGCCGCGATCCCCTGCCCATCTACTCGAACTGGTATGGCCTCGACCGCATCGACCCCGTGCTGACCTCGCAAGTGGGCCGCGCTGCCAACGCCATTGTTGCCCTCCTCAAGTTCAAGCGCATGATTGACACCCAAAGCCTTGCGCCCAACCGCGTGCAGGAGACTGTTCCGCTCTGCATGCACCAGTACTCTCGCATTTTCGGCACGGTGCGCATCCCCGAGGACCCTGTTGACCGACTGGTCGTTCACTCAAAGTCCAAGCACATTGTGGTCATGTGCAACAATGCCATCTACCGCGTGGACGTCTTCCACGACGAAGGCCATGGCGTTGCCCAGCTCTCCGCCCACGAACTCCGTGTCCAACTCGGCCGCATCATCGACCTCCAGACCCAGTCCTCGAGCGTCCCCTCCGACTCGAGCGAGCCCGTTGCCATCCTCACCAGCCAAAACCGCAGCGTCTGGGCCAAGCAGCGCCAAGAGCTCATCGCCATGGACAAGATCAACAAGGAGAGCATCGAGGTCATCGAGTCCGCGCTGTTTGTCGTTGTGCTCGACACCAACGAGCCCGCCCCCGAAACCGTCGAGGAACTTTCGTACGAGGGTTTGCACCACCACGGCCGTGGCTACTGGTTTGACAAGAACCTGAACATTATCTTTTTCAAGAACGGCCGCCACTCGATGAATGTGGACCATACGTGAGTCGTCAGGAGAGAGAGGGGGGGAGAGGGGGAGAAAGAGAGAGTGTGTGTCTGTGACAGATAGGTGGAGCCCGCGCTGACTCCGTTATTATGTGTGTGCGCGCCCCTGTTCCACTTTTTGTTGTTGCAGCTGGTCGGATGCCTCCGTCATGGTGCACGTCATGGACTTTGTTTACTCTGTCGAGAGCACGGCCGACCATTGGACTCCGGATGTGACGGATGTCGCCGACAATGCGCTTGCACCCCCGACCCGTCTGCACTGGCACCTGACGCCCTTGATGCGCGCGACGATTGCTGAAGCCCACAGTGACTACATGAAGACTGTTGTTCCCATGATTGATTTGGAGGTATGCGTTCGTTGCTTGTTTGCGTTCAACCCGTTTTTCTTGTGCGCATTTTGAGCATTTTGAGCAGCTTACTCACGACATTCGGACGCTTGCATCGTCGCATCCAGGTGCTCAAGTTCCAAGTCTTCGGCAAGGACGTGATCAAGAAGATTGGCGTGAGCCCCGATGCGTTTGTCCAGATGGCCATCCAGCTCGCCTTCTTCCGCATGCACAACGAGCCGTGCTTGACGTACGAAAGCGCCGCCACGGTCCGCTTCAACCATGGTCGCACCGAAACCGTGCGCTCGTGCTCGATCGAATCCAAGCGCTTTGTCGATGCCATGCAAGCCTCGGGCGTTTCCTCTGAAAAGAAGGTCGGAGGCCCGTTTGTGTTTTCTCAATCCTAGGGTTGTCGTGTTGGTTTGTCGGCTCATTTTTTTTTTACGTTTTTCTCCGTATTGTACGATATCAATGCAGCTCGAGCTCCTGCGTGCTGCCTGCAAGAGCCACGTCAAGTTCATGCGCGCGGCCACCAACGGCGATGGCATCGACCGTCACCTTCTTGGCCTTCGCATCTTGGCCCGCGGTGCTGGCATCGACTCGCCCTTCTTGGCCGACAAGGTGAGTTGCTCTTTTGGTGTGCTTGATGTGACTGAGTAGATTGGAAGGCGTTCGATTGGCTCACTGCATCGTTTTCATTGACTGCTCATTGCTGTTTTTTTATTTTTTATTTATTTTTTTGAATTCCAGGCCATGTCCCTTCCCTTCCGTCTCTCGACCAGCCAGACACCTGCCCTGCGCATGCTTGGCGGTGGCTTTGCTCCCCTTGTTGCCAACGGTTACGGCTGCTCGTACATTGTGGACGACTTCCGCATCTGGGCGCATCTTTCGTGCTTTGCCGCAAACCCTGAAACCGAGTACGTGTGAACTGCGACCATTGCATGGAACACTTTTGGCAAAGAAAAGCTTGTGTGCGTGGGCAGATGATTTCTAACCCGCTGGTTGTCATTTTGTTGCACTTGCTTGCCTCGCAGCGTCAAAAAGTTCTCTCAGCTCCTGCGCAGCAGTCTGCTGGACATTTATGAGGTTTGCCGTTCTGATCCCAACTTGGAAAAGCTGCTGAGCACGCGCACCTACCGCATGTTGCGCTCGCAGTAAACATTCCGTGTGTCACAAAATAAACACAAAATGCGCTCCAAGCTCCAATGTCTCGCTTTGCATGAACTGCAAATCAGCTGAACCTGGTTGCGATACGTGTGTACAGGATTTGTTAGAGTGTCGGATATTCAAGTTGAAAAGGTCGAAAAGAAAGATAAAAAAAAAATGTACGGTCCGGTATTGTGAGGTCAAGTCAACGCAAACGTGTTGCTACTCCCACACACCCACCGAGCCGATTCGCCACTGGCGTGCTCTTCTTACGCACTACGGCCTGGACAACCAATGCACGATGCGGGTTTTCCGCAGTCATGAGCCGGTGTTGCCTCAGGTGCTTTTTTTGCGCAAGGACTTCCTGAAGAGCCAAACAACCAAAAAGCCGCGATCTGGCTGTGCGCGTCGGTCGCGTTCGTTCGTGCGAGTGCGTGTCGTGTCTGCGTGCGAGCTCAAATGCGTCGGAGCGCCAAGAGCAGCAAGTAAAGGGGGTGACAGACTGGTTTCAAAGGGCCTGCTTTCCACATGGTGATTCAGAATTTGACGCCGCTTCCATTTTGGGTCGGCGTTTGCCGCCATCGAACCGCGTTGTTGTGCCTTTTGCCAGCCCTTTTATCCTTCTACATGAATTGTTGATTCGCCTTGTGGCAGATGAGCCGAGTGTGAAAACACACGTGTGGTGTGTGTATCTTGATCATGGCTCTGAAATGAAAGATTTTCAAAGACTTTTCTCGTTCTCCAGCAATCACTCCAACGCCGTTTCTAGCCATGCGTCACATCGGCATCACACGACACTGTATTGCTTACTGCTTTTGCTAACGTTGCAGCAAAAAACGCAAAGTCAAAATGTCTCGGCCAAAAAAAAAAAAAAAAAAAAACTCAGTCTTTCCCGTTTCCCAATCGCCCCATTGTTTGAAACCATGGCATCGCTGTGCCTACTCCGGGCTCGCGTGGCACTCTGCGGACAGAGCTACACTTGCGCGCCTTCGATCTCTGGCCGTGTTGGTGTTGCGGCTGTGACTGGCTTCGGATTGCAGCCAGCTTCGAGCTCAACGTCGATCGCCCGCTCGCTGTCCTCGTCTGCGACTGGATGGCTGCCTGCCGCTGCCGCTGTCGCACGCCCAGGGTCGAGCTGGATGAATGCTCGAGTCACACTCCCCGCGATGGCGAGCAAGCCTCTCGCACAGTCCCACTCACGCGGACTGTCGCTTGCCGCACGGTCGCTTGCTGCCGAAAAGCCAGCCAGCGCCACCTCCTCCACCTCCACCTCCGGCCCAGACGCAGCGACGTCGGCAAAGCCACCAAAGGAAGAAAGCAGATTCCGTCGCTTTGTGCGCGAGTACGGTCGCGTCGGTCTTGTCACCCTGATCGCCATTGATCTCGTCACTTACGCTGCAGTTTATGCGGCGCTGAGCTTTGGCGTCGACATCCCCGCAGTGTTTGACTATCTGGGCATTGAGCATGCGTGGTTCAACCCCAACGCAGGCCAGTTTGTTGTGGCGTACGCCGTCTACAAGGTCACCGCGCCACTCCGTTGGGGCTTTGCTCTGGGCGTCACTCCTGCGATTGTCTCCAAGCTCCGAAGCATGGGCTGGATTGAAACCCCGCCTCCGTCTCCGCCCTCGCCCCCTTCCAGCTCGTAATTGGACATTCCGTCGATGGTGAAGGGCGGTTTTTTCTGAATTTGGCTGAATTTGTCGGGATTGTTGCTGTAGCTCAATTTTTTTTTATTTGGAAAAATCAAAGCATGACATTTTTTTTGTTTTCAAAGCCGGCATGTTGGCACACAGAAAGCTGCTGTTTGTTGATCATTGGTTTGCGTGTTTTGTTTTCGTTTTTTTTGCACTTCGATCTACATCGTATCACTTTCAGTCCGAGAGAGAGTGATGAACGGAGAAGGCAACACCAAAACGAGCTCCAACAACAAAGATATCACAGTCAGCACAAACACATCGAGCGACCGTCGGTAGGGTCGACATCAAAAAGATACGCATAATTGGAGGAAACAGACAAGAAAAAGCCTTTGCGGGGAAGCCGCTCAATTAAAAAAGGAGTTGTAAACAGTGCTGATTTCAGCCGATTTGTCAGCGAAGAGCAACGCGAACGTGAGCCAACCAGTCGCGCTGCGAGGAGCCCAAGTAGTCCTCTTGGCATCGCATCAGCTCGAATCGTGCGAAATGGGCGTACTTTGGCACAGGCGGGGTGTAAGGGGCATTGGGTGGAAGCACACGCGCTGTCGCGGTTCCAGTTTCCGGATCAACAGATCGAACAGACCGGGGGCTGGGGCTGCTTGGAGCGCCAGTGCGAGGATCATACGCATTGTATCCAAGGGCAGCTCCGGCTTGAGCTGAAGGCTGCTTTTCCGGCGGCGGAACATCGGGCTGTTCCAGTCCAATTCGTTGGCGCCAGCGCAAGGACTGAACAACGTGCGCCGCATTTCCAACGAGCGCGTCAAGCGTGGTTTCCACCGGGCTGAAGATGCGATACTTGTTGAAGCTGAGCAACTCAATCACGGTGGAAACAGCGGCGGTAGTCGTGCGCTGCACTTGGCCATTGTCATTGTTCAGATATCCCACAAGCTTGTGCATTTTCGAGTCAAGCAGCATGTGTGCGAGGGACGTTGCGCAGACGCCTGCCGCGACAGAAACGCCGCTCCGCAAAAGCGAGAGCACCAACTCGACATCTTCAGCAGTGCTGATGGAATCCAGCACGACATGTTGGCTGCCTGACTCTCGCACCGACGCTTCGACTGCTTGATCCCGGCTGCGGTGCTTGAGGTTCGAGCCATCCAAATGAATGCAATTTCGGGCCGACTCTGAAACGACCACACTGGAGGTGGGTTGCCCGGTATATTCGTCCACATAAACAGTCGTATGCGCCTTGGCGGCGGACTTGCTATGGGTGGGACAAGCGTCCACATCCACAAACACAGTCGGCGCATCGGGAGACTTGCTCCAAAAGTCGCGAATGGAGCGCAAGAGCGCCGACTTTCCTGCGCGACGGCCGCCAACAACGAGCACGCCCACCGCTCTATTTCCGCGAGAAAATGCCACAGAGGAAGGCTGGGACGCCGACAACTGGGGAGCAGGGACCAAGAGATCGGCAATCAGACCGCTCAGTGCAGGGTAGTCGTCGTAGCACGCAATCAGCGACATGGAGCTCGAGGTGTGGTGAACAAGACGAAGGTGAGGCTCGTCATGCCACTGCTCGTCACCTGGGTTATTAGCTGCATGCCCATGTCGATAGAGATATCCAGGCTGGGACACTGCTGCTGTGTTTTGCCGACGCGAAGCCATCTCTTGAGTGTGATGATCCACCATACGCTGGATTTCTTGCAGATTGGCTGCTGAAATCACAGGTCCGGTCTGTGAACGATGGCTTTTGTCTTCGACAACAAGCGGGTGTCCAACCACCAGAGTCATACGGAGAGGCAGGGTCAGCCCGTCGCCGCTGTAAGCGGACGGCGGGAACGTTTGCAACAAGAACTGTCGAATGCTCGCGGGCATGAGGTTGGCCGCCAAGCCGAGATAGGCCAGTCGGCGTCGAGGCGGAGGCGGTAACTCGTCCGCTGCAGCGTTCGCCTGTGCGGTGTACTCCAGGTTTCCCGATGCCGACATGGACAACGCGAATGTCGTGTTCAAGGCACGACCACCGGGCACTTGAACGATCACCGACTTGGCAGAAGTGGAAGGAGCGGCGGGATGTTCAAAGTCATTTGAAGAGTGTCCTCCGTTCGCCAAGGAGGATGCAGCGCCACCAACGGCAGAAATGGATGCCGCCGAGCTGCTGCTGCTGCTGCTGCTGCTTGCCCGCGCGGCAGCGGGTGACGCGCCGTTGAGCTTCGAGGCAATAGGCCCACCGAGGTGGTTTGGTGCGTTCACCCACAGCTGCGAGGTCGCATCATCAGTGCAGGCAAGAATGCCTTGCCGGATCATATCACGGGCACGGAGCAAGTGAAGCGTGTCGTACGCAGCGTAGACAATGCTGTCACGGTCGAGCGGACGACGCTGCCAGAGGTGCTTTTCGGTGCGGAAACGAGCGGCGAAGGTCGCCTTGAGAGGGTTGGTGGGAAGCGCCAGTTGCTCGAAAAGAGCGTTCAAGCCGACGCGGGCAGGGACATTGGCACCGGTTCCCGACGGAACCAGAGCCACGCCAGCCTCGTTGTGCACCAGCTGCCGCAAGCTCTGCAGAATCGCATACTCGGCCTGGGTGTCGGCATAGTTATGGACAGCGGCGATGCCAGTGGAGCGCGTGAGCAACGCAACATCCTTGCGCGCGTCATGGAAAACCTTGACAATGGTCTGCCGCGCAAGAAGCACACCGAGCGGCGCAATAATGCTCGCAGGGGCACAATCGCTCAAAAGATCGAGCAGATACACCACACCATTGACATGCGTTGGCGTGGCAGGGGCGGCGATCTGAACGAGGCTGAGCCGCTCTTCTTCTTGACCGGGCTGCCCGTCGCCAATCCACTCGCAATCCACCGCGACGCGGTCGACAGAATGAAGCACTTGGAAGGCAGCGGCTGCGGATGCCACGGTGGAGACTACAAACACGGGAATGCCGTCGAGAAACTCAAAGAAACCGAGCTGACGTGAGTGCGCGGCGTCCTGTTGTGGCTCGGCAGTGGTTCGAGAAGCGGAAGCGGAAGCGGCGTGCGGCTGCGGTACTGCTGCAGCTTGAGGAGCGCTATTGAGTGGCAACGCCGGATGGAACTCGTGCGATGCTGCACGCGACCCTTTCGGTGCGGGAGGCGCCGCGGCCGCGGCCGCGCCTTTCACGGTCGTCGAAATCGGAACCCGAGAAGCCGAATCATCGATGACCTTTGAAGCACTGACAGGACTCGAGCCCGCTGCTCCTGCTGCTGCTCCTGCTCCTGCTCCTGCTGCTCCTGCTGCGGGAGATGGGCTCGTTGACGCAAGTGGTTGCGCGAGAGCTTGGCTGCCGGGCGCAGGGTGCACCACAGAAGCGATCGGCTGCTGGGGAGGCTGTTGGGGAAGCGGAGGCGGGTCATTGGCAGGATGGCGGTAGTAAATCCCAGGCCGCTCAGTGAAAGCAAAACTGGAGCCTTTCGCGTTGACAAACTGGCCGAGCGATCGGTAGACACGCGCAATGTAATGCTTGAGGTCTGCTGGCATGGCGCCGTAGACGACATTCGTGTGGGCCTCGAATGCGGCTCCGGGACGATGTTGCAGTGAGAGGCCGAGGAACAGGTGCATGCGCACATGCTTGTCGAGCTCCGTGTCGGGGTTCCGCGCGGTTGCTGCTGATGCTGGAACGGGTGTATCACTCAGGACGGTGGCATCTTCAGGGAGCCGTTCGGGTTGCAACCGTGGCGAAGCAGCACCTCCAGCCGCAACACCTCCAGCCGCAGCCGACGACTTGGCAAGGGTGGCGGACTGGACGACGGCAGCACGCGATGCACGAGGTGCAGCGCGTCGGAAGACGCCTGGCCGGTTTTCCACAAACTCAAATCCGGACGACTTGTGCATAATGAACTTGGCCAGCGAGTGGTAGGTGGACTCGATGCCACGGTGGAGCGCGCTCGTCAAATACGGCCGCAACAAGCGCAGGCTGGACTCGCCCGGAACGTCACCAGGTAGCGAGTCAACAGCAAATGCAAGCAGCGTGCGAGCTTGGTTCTCGATCGAGCCAACGAGCTGCGGTGGTGTCACTGGCTGCCCAGCAGCGTCGGGAGTTGGAGAAGTTGCCCGCGAAGACGTCGAGGAGGAAGACGACGCGCGAAATTGGGTAGGGGAGAACAAGTCTGGCACGGGCTGCTGCTGCTGCTGCTGGGCTTGTTGCATCGTTCGTGCGGCAGCCTTGAGCGGTGATGGTGTTCCTGGTGCGCCGAGGGGCGCCTCGCCACCCTGCAGCGGCTTCTTGCTCACAAACTTGTTGGCGGCGCTCGTTTCGTCAACGATTTTCATGGATGGCACGCCGTCCGATGCAATGCCAATCATCTCCTTGCCTCCGCGGTTTGGAAACAGAATGAACAGTGCTGGGTATGCGAGGACAAAGTCGCGGAACGAAGCGCACGAGTCCTTGACGAGCTTGGCCAGCTCGCGATGCGGAGCAAATGCCCCGCCTGCCTCGGCGCGACCGTGGATGCGATGCGGGCGGCGCTCGAGCCACGTCTTGAGGACTTGGGCAGCGTGGTCCAGCTGCAGGCGCTGGGCCTCGGAGACCTGCCGCTGGGCAGCGGGAAGGACTACTGGCGACGAGGAAGTAATAGTCTGGCTCGGCGGCTGCGAAGCTGCAGCAAAGACGACGGGTTCCGAGTAGTCCAGCCCCAGAGCGTCGACGGCACCCATCGTCACAGTGTCAGCATCGGCATCGGCGTCGGCACTAGCATTCGCAGTTGGACTCGTCAGCAGCAGTTCGGGGGATGCCAAGTCACCGTCGTCGTCAATGGACGGGAGCGCGATGAGCTCGCCATCCGACTGGCTCTGGCTCTGGCTATGGCTCTGGCTCTGGCTCTGGCTCTGGTGGTGGAGGTGGCTCTGGCGGGTAATGTCGTTGCTGCTGTTGCTGTTGCTGCTGTTGTTGTTGTTGTGAGCAGCGGCAGAGGCTGCAGCAAAAGGCAGTCCCTTCAGCCGCTCAGTTGCTGCCGGCGAACCCAGCCAGTCGTCGTTCAGGCTTTCAAAGATGCTCAGGTCGTCAGCAGTCAGTCGGTCGCCCGCCTTCGTCCAGCCTTCCGCGCCATCGTCGCCAAGCAACAGATGCTCGTCGTCCATGATGCTGCTCTTCGATGCTCGTCGTCCATGATGCTGCTCTTCGAAATAGCACAAAAAAAAAAAAAAAAAAAAAAAAAAAAAAAAAAAAAAACTCAGAAAACTCAGAAAACTCAGAAAACTCAGAAAACTCAGAAAACTCAGAAAACTCAGAAAACTCAGAAACGACGAAAAAATTGTATTCAAAACCTTTATTTTGTTGTTTCAAAAGCGAGTTTCGTTGTTGTTGCAGTCATTTCGTATTTGTTATTGAAGGCAGAATGAGCGAAGTCAAGGACGCGATCGAGGACATTGCGGCTGGCAGCGTTGGCGGCGTGTGCATGGTGATTGCAGGCCATCCGCTGGACACGCTCAAGGTCAGTGCACGCCAGCCCATAAAGACATCGATTTCCCTGTTTCCAGAGGCGGGAGAGGTGATGGAGGAGGAGGGGGGTTGCATCATGGTTGAATCAATCGATGAACTGAGGTTGATCCGTTCTGCCCCCCCCCCGCCAAAACCACCACCATCCGTGACTTGTCGATAGGAGAGTGAATTAGCGCGTTAGTGAGTTTGTGAGTGAGCCAGGAGAGAGAGGCTGAATGACAGAGTGACTGTTGATGCGACCGACTCAGTGAGATAGCCACAAAAAAGCCTGCTCCTCGTGCTTGTTGGAAATCTTCGCCCATACGTCGCATCACCTAAACGTCCAATCTCAAACAGCAACAGCAACAGCAACAGCAGCAGCAGCAGCAACCACAGATCTGTGCAGCTTACCTTTTGTCTGATAACGGAACTTTGTCACTGAACTTGAGACTGTGGTTGTGGTTTTGACTGGTGGCAGGTTCGCATGCAGACGTCGGGCACTCCAGGCGCACCTCAGTTCACGAGCACGATGGACTGCCTGCGCCAGACCATCAAGAACGAGGGTGTAAGTTACCATGCGTGCTTTTGCTCTTGTATTGTGAAGCAGCGTTGTGTGATCCGAGTGCGCGGTTCTGTGTGCGGTCTGAGCGAGGTGAAACACAAACGCCCCTTGACTCCTCAGTGCCTCGAGACCGCACGCGTTGTCTTTGTTATTTGTGCGCTGTTGTGTTGTGTGCTGAGTGGGTGGTGGGGGACTAGGTCTTATGCTCACCAAGTAGCATGTGGTTTGCATGGATGTTGCTAGTTCTGGGGTCTGTACAAGGGCGTCGCATCACCGCTGGTCGGTGTCGCAGCCATGAATGCTACGCTCTTCTGCGCCTACGGAGCGATCAAGTATACTCTTAACGACAACAAGGTGAGACATTGTCGTGTCTAATAAAACTGCGACAGTGCAGCAATCTCACTTATATTTCATTTGATTGTTTCGCTTCTTTTTTTTCGCAGCCACACGGTGAAAAGCAGTTGCCCATCCTGCGCATGCTGCTGGCCGGTGCCGAAACGGGTGCTGTGGTCGCCCTGGTCGAGTCGCCCGTCGATTTGATCAAGGCCAAGATGCAAACGCAGTACGGCTCGGGCTCGACCGCCCAGTACAAGAGCACGTTCGACTGCCTGCGTCAAGTCACCTCACAGTTTGGCATTCGCGGTGTCTACCAAGGTCTCGGCGCCACTCTTCTCCGTAACGTGCCTGCCAACACCATGTACTTTGGTGTTTACGAGCAAGCACGTCGTGAGGTAGGCGTTGAAGATCTGTGCCGATATTTTGCGACAATCACTCACTCTGAGGCTTTTTCGTTTGCTTCTTCTGCTTCTTCTGCTTCTGTTTCTTCTGCTTCTGCTTCTTCTTCCTCTTCTCTCTCTCTCTCTCTCTCTCTCTCTCTCTCTCTCTCTCTCTCTCTCTCTCTCTCTCTCTCTCTCTCTCTCTCTCTCTCTCTCTCTCTCTCTTTCTCTCTTGTTACATTGTACATGCAGTTTGCCAATGGCAACTGGAACAACGTGGACAAGCTGACGCCGCTGCAAGGCTTTGCTGCTGGTGGCTTGGCTGGTATTGCCTATTGGATTGGTACCTACCCGCTTGATGCCATCAAGTCCAAGATGCAGACCGATGCCAGCGATCGCTCCAAGCGTTTGTATTCGTACGTAATCCAATCGATTTCTGATCGTGTGTTGCATGTTGTGGGGGGGATTTAGCTCCTCTGGAACTCACAACCACGCTTTTTTTGCAGGTCGATTGCGGACTGCGTCAAGCAAACGTACCGCACCTCAGGCATCAACGGCTTCTACAAGGGCTTTGGCGTTTGCATGTTGCGTGCCTTCCCGGCAAATGGTAAGCGCTGGGTTTTCCAGGCAATCGAGGGTTTTTGGTGATGACTTTGGTGGCATTTCTCTCACACCAAAGTACGACTACGGTGTGCTGTTGACTGTGTCTGGAATCGCAGGTGCTTGCTTCTTGGGCTACGAGACAGCCAAGAAGTTCCTGGTTTCATCCGAACACTAAGCCCTTTTTGTTTGTTTGGGTTTGTTTTTTCGTGTGTGAAAATGACAACAATGCAAATCCATAAATCTTGTTTTATTTGTATGCACCAAACCTGCACTTTAATAGTCTCAGTCTCTATTCTTCTTGTTACCCTCGGCCATGTCGGCAATGGAAGTGCTCGTGAACGATCGCACTGGTCGGAAGGCTCGCATCAAGTGCAAGTACGTCTCCCACCTCACTCCGGACCCTCCGACCGACAAACAACAAAAGGGGGGAGCTGGAGGGAAGGTTTATGTTGTGCTTTTTGCCTGTCTGTGTGCGTTGGAATGGCTCGCCTGGATGGCTCGAGCGCGTTGCGAAAGACGTGCGCCACACACTCACTCGTCCACCATTGTTGCCCCGGTCTCGGTCTCGGTCTGTTTCCAGCTCGGATGACACGATTGGCGATCTCAAGAAGCTCATTGCAGCGCAGATTGGCACCCAAGCCGACCGCATCGTGCTCAAGAAATGGTAACGCGATGCAATGGAAATGCAATGGAAACGCAATGGAAGTGCAAGTACACTCACTCTGGGGCTCCGATAGGAATAGCATTCTCAAAAACCAAATCATGCTGCAAGATTGTATGTAGAGTGTGAATCCAACGGCGGGTTTTGAGTTTGCTGCATGGCTTACTCACTTGTTCGACTGCTTGCAAACTACAGACGAAATCTCAGATGGACAAAGTCTCGAGTTATATTACAGCTAGTGCAAGAAAAGAAAAGTACATCTTGATGGTTGGAGAGCGATGCATCACATGCCTGTCAACGAGCGAAAACGGACAACAATCACGCATTACAGATCCAATCACTTTGATTCAGTGCTGCGGATGGTGGGCATGACCATGCTGCTCGTGTGCATGACTGTGATGTTGGTGGAGCGTTGGGCTTTGAGCGGCATCTGGTGGTGAACCTGCAGGGACCGAGGGAGCAGACTGGGGATTGCCAGCCCAGCCACACTCGCAATTGGCCTTCCAAGACGTGCCGCCGTCGTCGTAGACTTCCTTCTTCCAGATGGGCACGGTGGCCTTGAGCTCGTCGATACCATACCGCATGGCGGTGATTCCGTTGGACCGGTGTGGCGACGAAACGGCAATAATGACGCTCGCCTCTCCAACGGGCACGAGGCCGATGCGATGCAGCAATGACACCTTGGTGGCGCTATGTGGAGGCTGTAATAGCGTGCGGCCAATCTTGCGCATCTCTTTTTCGGCCATGGAGGGATAGGCTTCGTACTCTAGCCGAACGACCTTTCGCCCTGGAGCGCACACATCACGGAAGATTTCGAAAAGAAAAGCAATGAGCGCAAAAGGTCCGTTGCCACCACACGGTGCATTCAACACTCCAAACAAGCGCAAATAGTCGTACCGTTGAAAGTGTCGCGAGTCGTGCCAACAAAGAGCGAAACGGCGCCGCAACTGTCGTCCTGGGTGAAACGCATTGCCATCATCACATCGAGCGGGTCGGCCGTGATCAGTGTCTGAATGCGATCGTCCTCGTCCGTTGTAATAACTGCGGCCATGGTTGAAAGAAAGAAAGAGAGAGCGGGAGAGAGAGAGGGAGAGAACAAGTGATGGCAGAGGCTGGTGTGGTGCTTTTAGCCTCCGGACAAGGGCGGGATGACTGCGAGCTCGTCGCCTGCACTCAGCGAGATGGATGATTCTAGATCGGCGTACTCTTCGTTGACTGCGAGGATGACCGAGTTTGACACTGGCTGCAATCTGCAATCCATGTGTGATGAGACGTGTTGTGTGAGGCGACAAAAACGAGAGACGCGGCCCGAGCAAATGCGCAGTGCTTACGCTGGGAAGCAGGCGATGACTTGAGCAAGGACGTGTCGCGCAGTGACAGTCGCGGTAGGATGCAGATTGAGACGCAGGACGGCCGACGACAGACCAACCAGCTCGCGACTCTTGGCAAAGAACAAGACGGTGACCTGTCATATCGTGCATCATAGTGTTGGGCATCGTGTTCATTGAGAGTCAATGTTCCCTTTGTGTTGGGTTTGGGGTTTGCACAGTCCAAGTGTGCTTCGTTCCTGACGTACTGTTGCTGGAGATGGAGTTGAGGAAGACGAAGACAAAGAAGGGTCGAAACGCTCAAGCAGAGGGAGTGAAGCCGGGTTCATGGGCCAAAAGAAAGGACTGAGATCGTCAGCTGGCTCAGACACGACAGACAGCATGACAAGCAAGCGCAGGTGGATCATCAGATTGTGAGTGAAAGAGTAAATCTAAGAACTTGGTTTTCGCATTGCAAAGAAGAGCAGCAGCACAGCTTCCATCGCATCGCACTTGTTTTCTCATTTCACTCGACCGATTCCTATGATATGAGTTGGGGGGGGGGTTATTGCTGCATATTAATACATTATATTGTTGTTTCACTCTCAACATCTCAGTCCAAACAAAACCAAAACACTCCGCACTTCAAAGCGGAGCATTTTCCATCTCTTCGTTTCAAACCCATTCACTGCATCTCAACTCAACATTTGCTGACCTTCCATCCAACGAATGGCATCGACAGTGACGACGCCCGAGCCCGCCACGACCGCCGCCGCCGCCGCCGCCGCTGTGATCTCTGGCGACAGCTCGTCCATCACCAAACCCGTCCTCAGCCAAGAGCAGGTCAAGCACGTCCTCGCGACCTACTTTGGCATCCAGGCCGAGCTGCTCAAAGAGTTCCCTTCGTACGACGATCTCAACTACTTTGTCCGCGGCGTCGGCGTCGTCGTCGAGTCTGCGTCGCCGGCGTTGGCTCAGATCGAGAATGGCGCCTCGCACGAGTACGTCCTCAAGATCAACAACTGCGGCGAAGATCGCCATGCGCTGGACTTGCAGAACAAGGCCATGATGCATCTGCGCTCGCTCAAGTGCCCTGCGCCGCCAGTGATGCCCAGCCTGGTGAATGGCGGCGCCGTCATGTTTGAAATCAACCCGTCCACTCTGGCGCTGGAGCCGACAACTACAACTGAAAGCGCGTCGTCGCCGGCATCACTGCCTGTGCGTTTGCTGGGGTTTGTGCCAGGAACATTGCTGTATGAAATCAAGCCGCACGCAGCGCACTACGAGGCCGTTGGCCGGTTTGTCGCGACCATGGCAGACGCGTTCGACACGTTCGACCACCCCGCCGCCACCCGCGATTTCATGTGGGACTTGCGACATGCTCCGCGCTTCCGAAAGCACCTCGAGCTCGTCAAGCTGCCCGAGCGACACGCGATTGCGCAGTCCATCCTGGATGCCTTCGATGCCACAGTTGGTCCGCTCATGACCGAGGCGTGGGCCAATCCTCCGGCCCTCGACGCCGAGACCGGGTTGCGCATTGGCATCATCCACGGCGACTGCAACGACCACAACATTCTTGTCGCGCAAGAGCCGCCGCAGGTCATTGGCATCATCGATTTCGGCGATGTTGTGCGGTCTCACCTCGTCTTTGATGTGGCAATCGCTGCAGCCTACTGCGTTCTCGACCAAAGCGATCCCGTTGCCGTGGCGGCCAGTGTACTCTCCGGCTATCTTGCCAAGCGCTCGCTCAATCGCACCGAGCTGGAGGTGTTTGGCCTGCTGCTATGTGTTCGACTCGCCATGTCCGTGTTGATGTCCGCCCGCAAGCAAATCATGTATCCCGACGACGAGTATCTCCGAGTCACCGAACGTCCGGCCTGGGCTGCATTGACCTGGATTTTCAGCCGGCCAGGCGGGCTTGCTGCCTTTTCCAACGACGTGTGCTCGCGTGCCCAGCAGGCACAGGTTTGATCGTGCGACCAAGAAGCGGGGCTCAGAAAGCGACATTGTGCTTACCAGGGCAGGGCAGGGAGGTTTTGGATGTTGTGGGATTTGTACAGTATTGCGAACTGGGTATTGGAACGAGGGCCCCTTTGATTGAAAATGCGTGTAGATATTGGGGGTTGGACACCCGAGAATGCAAATATCACGACTGCTGGAAATTGGAGGGACACTATCGTAAAATGCTCTGCAGGCTTTCATAAACCAGTCAATGTAAATCTATGGTTTGAGTTTTGGAAATGTTTGATTATTGGATCGCACGAAAAGAGCATTGGAAATGCGCAATCACTTTATGTCCGTGCACGAAAACGGCGTTGGAAATGAGCGTTCACCAACAGTGACTCTTGCAAGGATTATGTTCTTCACATCAACTACATCGACATTACAAAGTGCTCAAGCGGCGCGACTGGTCCAAAGCCAGCAGAATTGACAAATTTGTTGGGAGGGGTTTTTCTGTTCACTCGGTAACCTCCTCCCGCTGCAGGCACGGCGTCACATACGTCAAATTGATGTGGTTAATGGTGTTTTGACAGCCTTCAGGGGTTACGGCTGCAGTTGCTTGCCGGATGCGCTGCGAAACAGACTCGCCAGTTTCCAACGAGTGCTTCTTGAAGTCCGCCTTGACTGTGTTGAACACGTACTCGATGGGGTTGAGAAAAGACGAGTAGGCAGGCAAGAAGACCATGCAGTAGCCTCGCTCGGCGAAAAACTCGCGGACTTGCTCGGTTTTGTGGATGCGACAATTGTCGAGCACGATCCACGCCTTGTACCGCTTGTTTTGAGGGAAGCTCACACCAGGGTGCTCCTCGCTCTGCACGATATACTCGGAATTGTCGTTGCCCTCCTCTGCTTGATCTTGCTGGAACTCTGCTTGCGTCGGGTAGTACTCGTCGTCGTCGTCGTCGTCGTCGTCTTGGTGGCGGCGTTTGCGTCCACGGACAGGGGCTCTGGCGGCAGCTGCGCCCTGCTGGTTGTCATGGACGTTTTCAACTTGATGGCTATGATGAGCTTGCAGCTGTGAAGCAGAAGTAGCCAGCGTCGGGGCTGCGGAAGAGGATGCTGGAGCCGCCGCTGCACTGCTCGAACTCTGGGCGGCAGGCTCTTGGCTTTCAGCATCATTGTCCGCATCAATGTCTGAGGCGGCATCCTCGGCATCATCCTCCTCGATCATGTTTGCAGGTGGAACGTCCGGCTCGATGGGTTGCTCTGGGAGGTCCTTCGGGTCGACTCCGACCGCTTCGTCATCAACGAAGCCTTCTTGCTCCAGATGATCAAACAGCTTGCCCATGGCATCCTTGAAGACCGTGCCTTTGACGCCACCCATGCGTACATCCTTGAGAACGAGGCCTTGCATTCCGATGGCGGCGATGAGCGTAAAGTTGGGAGCACGTATCGTCTTGACCTGCTTGATTGCTCGCTGGCCCTTCGGAGCGCGGCCGCGCAAGCGGTGCTGGTTTGCGTTGAAGCCGCTTTCATCAACGTAGAAAATGCGATGGATGGGTGGGGCATGCTGCATGAATGTCTCGGCAAATTCTTTGCGTTGATCCTTGATCCGATCAGAGTTTTTCAACTTGACCTGCTCGTAGACGCGTTTGAAGCTGTAGCCGGCCCGCTTGATGGCCTTGCCGATCGTGCTTTCGTGCACCCTAAAGCCAAATTCCTTCTCGAGGTGGTCATTGAGCTGTTTGTTGGTGAGATTGACGTCGTCGTCAAGCTTGTGCTTCAAAAACGCCAGGTGGTTGTCTTGCAGCACCGAGTTATTTGGAGGGAGGCTCTTGATCGCATCGCTATCACCTCGCCGACGAAAAGCGTCGTAAACTGCGTAGACTGTCGATGGAGGGATGCCCAGCTCGTTGGCGACTTGTTTCGGCGGGCGTCCCAAATCGGCAATCATTTTGCAGATCGTTTCTCGCTCTTGGTTTGTCAGATGCCTGCGGTGCTTCAGCGGTGAGCTTGAGCTTGCATGGGGTACTGAGTTCTCGGAGTCGGACATGGTTGAACGAAGAGGAGTGAATGCATTTACGACGCCAAATTCGGCACAATCCAATCCCCACGGCCTATTTCTGATAGCCACCCTTCCTATTCCTACTTTCGCTCGGGTTTTCCATTGGCTCAGCCGAGAGGTTAATTTTCCCGACCCTCTTATTTCCAAAAGCGACGGAGCGATTTACGATCATCGACGGCTTGTCGTTCGCTTCTCCTACCATTTACAATCCCTTTTCCGACCGTTTCCAATCCGTTTTCCTACCATTGACAATCCTGGCCCTCGCATTGGCAAACCCCAACAATCCCATTTTCAAAAAGTGCCTCTCATTTTCAAACCCGTCTCTGAGATTTTTCCATAAACTGCTTGGGAATCCAATCCCCAGTTCGCAATACTGTACTTGCAAACACACTGTAGCAATAACAACAACTCGGATTTCGAACGATGAATGAAATGAACTGGTATTCTCGATCTACTACTACGACTACTACTCCTACACTCATCACTGAATCGCACATTACGCGACAATCAAACCTCCTCCAGTCATCTCTGTTTGTTGGGTTTTTCGAGTTGCGAGTTTGACCGGTAACGTTCATCCATGAACTCAATCCGCGCGCTCGTTGCTGCGCTTGCAGTGCTCGCCTTGCTCATCCAAGCCATTCGTGCTGACTTGGATCGCCCCGCTGCCGACCATGCTCACGGCCATGTTGACGAGGACGACGCTGTAGAGGACGACGCGTTGCGAACGGGTGGCTGGGAAGACCTCGCCGCGACCGATCCGTGGGCCAAGCACGACTGGCTCGATCTGCTCACGCCAGGTGCCTTAATGTCTGGATGGTCCCACAATCCCATCGCGGGCGTGTTGCTGTCGGCGGATGCTGCAGATGCGCAGAGTCGCTCGCTCGAGTCGAGCTCTGCCACCGTTGTCGTTGTTGCGCAGGCCGATGCAAACCACCAACAAACGCCTGAGCTTGGATGGAGTCAGCAGCAGGAGTTGCCAGCAGTTCAAGACAGTCTGCAGGCTGAGCGAGCGACGGCTGCGGATTTCCCATTCATCTCACCCGCTCAGAAGCGATTGGCACACCTCGATGTACTCGCTCGGCCGGATTTGCTGTTCAGCAAGCTGCTGCATCCATCATTGCATGCACACATTCATGTGGTGCTTGTCGGATTTGATGTGCATGAAATGTATCGAAACTTGTCGCCCGCGTTTGTCGACCTCGGCACCTTTGAACGCCTGCTCAACGTGAACCACCACGAGGGGCATTGGTCGGCACTCCATGATTGTACCAGCAATGTCAGTCGAACGAACAGGCACGGCCACCTCCGACCTGCAGACGCCTCGACGGATTGCCGGTATCAACCTCGAAATCTCACCACCCGATTTGTCGCGTCCTACCATGTGACTGTGGGCGATGCTCAGCTCCAGAGTGACATTCGCCAAGCCCGTGATAGTGGACCGGAGAGCGTCAGTCAAGTCCTCTTGCGGCACCAGCAGCAAAACGGCCACCCTTCGCTGAGCTTGTATCTGCTGCATCTGCCACCCGTTCCACCATCGACCCACAATCTCGAATGTGCTCCCGGGCTTCTTCGCGAGACCAGTAGCACCCAAGTAACCTGGGTGGATCTCACCACCCACGATGCCTGGAAGGGCGTTGTCGAGGCAGGCGGTAGCTTGAACCTGAGCGACGTGCCTTTTGTGCTCCCCTCGCCGAAAAGGCGGACAGAATCAGTGCCATATACCCATCGTCTGAGCGAATTCGTGGCAATGGCAACCAACGGGTGGCTAAAATCGCCCGTACAGCAGGTTCCCAGTCCAGATGCCGAGTCGGTCGTGGTGCACATTCTCCCGATGGGCATGGCGGCACCGGAAACGCTCGCGGCATTGCATCCAATCGTGGCCCGTGATGCGGTTTGGCTGCAAACGCGTCTCCAGCAAATAGCTCCCCCAGGCCAGATCATCCGCGTCGAATGCCACAACGCGACCGTTGTTGGGTTGGGCCATGGCAGCCAACTCTCTCCTCAGCCGTGTTTCAACGATAAGGTAGTTTGTCGGTGCAGGTGTAGTCTTGGTGCAAACAACGCGTTTGCGGACCTTTCACTCACGCTGATGTATTCACTTCTCCAGGCGTTGTGCCTCCGACCAGATGTTACTACGAAAGTGGCTCACGGCGTACTCGACCAAATGCGGCTCTCCTCACGCAGCGCGGGCCGGCATAATGCCGAACTGGAGGTCTTGGTGCCACTTATTATTCCTGATTCAACCGCAACATTACCAATCGTCTTTGACTCTGGGGCGTTGACTCAAACCGACTGGGCACGCCAGACGGTTGTCGCGTTGCGGTTGAACGACGCCGCCGGAGGTGAATTCTTGCCTGATGGCCTCGTGTGCTCGCCTACCACCCGTAGAATTGAGCTTCGTACAGCCGCGGCGCAAACACGGCGCGCTTTGGTGCGTGGCGTTTCCGGGTTGATCTGGGGCGCTCCGTTCGGCGAATCCTCCCTTGCAGAGTTGGAAGCAGACCCCAACGGCTACATCTCCTCTCACACGATGTTACACTCGTCGCTCGCTGGCGCTCTGTCGCCAGGCACAGGCGAATCTGCCGGGTCTGAAGCCGCGACCGTCGTTCGATCGGTCTACATTTCGCAACTCGAACAAAGTCTCACGGACATCAAAGACTTGGTTGAAGATCTCGTGGTATGTGCCTGTGGGTGCTGTGTGTGTGTGCGTGTGTTGTAGCTGTGTTGTCACTGCTTGATCGTCTGCTTGGCTGAACTGACCTGTGGGCTTTAGGATCTCCACGTCGACCTTGCCGATGTATTTGACAGCGACCATCAGCTCGTCTACGTCCAGCGATGGAACTTGTTGCTTGCCAAAGTGCATCACTCGTTGCACCGTGCTTCCATTGGGGAGAACCGGCACGCCCTGTACTTGCTTCGCTCGAGTCGCCATGATTTGGAAGGTTTGCACAGCCTCATTCATGCTGCCAAGAGCGCCCTCGCCTATATTCCTGCATATGCACGACAGCGGCAATGGATGGGTAACCAAGCAGCCGTCCCTCTTCAACAGCAGGTGCGTGTAGAGACTGCTGCACTGCAAAAAGCTGTTAGGATGTGGCTGTTGTTCCCTCATCGTATTGGAGTGTGTGTTTGGACAGCTGGCCATCACTTTAGTCGACTTGCGGACCTTTCTCTGCACACTTTTGGTGCTGGCGTTTGCGGTTGCGGCTATAATGGCTGGCACATCGCTCTCGGTCGCACCAACAAGTTCCGCTGCTGCCTCTCACTCTCCAGCCCCAAGAACAACCCAGCAGCTGTACAACGATAGTTTGCCGGAGCCTCTGTTCTCTGCATCGCGATCGTCGTCTTTGCTGCTTCCCTCAACCTCCAGCATGGCCGAGCTGCCGTTCACCGTGTCAGCTTCGGCTCCTTCTTCGGCCTCCAGTCCAGCCGTAGTTGCCCGTTCCGGCTCAAACACTCCCACCACTCAATCTCCCGTCGTGTCCCAGCTCAGCTTGGATTCGTTTGTTGTGAATCGCCCTTCTGGGCGGCGCTTCAAAGTGAATTAGATCGAGGATTTGGGGGGTTTGGAATTTTGAAGTTGCAAGGTTTGTCCCCCTTGAGTGATCTCTGTCGCTTCCTCCTGTGTTCATCCTGTATTTTAATTCTAGTTTTTATTGCATGCATCGGATGATTGTCACGTTGGCCAACATTGACCATTCTCTGGTTCAAGATTCAAGAAGAAAAGCCGATTCAGTTTTCATTTTTTTTGTTTCAAAACACACACTTTCACATACAATGGCTCTGCACGTCCCGAAGGCCGGCTTCCAGTCCATGATGAAGGACGGTGCCAAGGTTTGTGCTTTGCTCGATCGTTTGCTCGTGACTGCTCGTGCCTGCTGGTGCTGGTGCTGGAATGGCAGGGGCAGCATCGAAGGGAGGAGGCTGACTTGGCCATTGCGCCCCTCCCGCCGCCCTGCCAGACTATCGGTCCCCGCCGACCGATCCACCGTTTTGCGTGGGGGTTGGGGGATGTGTTGTTCATTGCGTTGTGGTCGCATTGCCACAGTGAGCTGCGCAGTTGAAGAAGGTCCCTTGTTTTATTTGAGGTCGTGAAACTTGGTGATCGCGCCTGGTCTGGTGCTTCGTGATTGTGCTGCCGGCCAAAGCACCATGATGTCAGGAAGAGTGCGAGGTGTGTGTGAGAGAGAGATGGCAATGTCGACAGACTCGAGAATCAAAGCCAGTGAAGTTTGCTTCAGTTTTCTCGTATTCATTTTTGATTGTTATTTTTATGATTCTTTTATTACTGTTCTTATTGGAAACTCCATACAAAAACACATGCGGCCGCGTGTTTGATTTTTTTTTTTTATTTTTGATTTTTTTTTTTTGATTATTGAGGAAACAAAAGCGACGCTGCATTTTCTCGTGGCTTTGGCTCAGCTCTCGTGTGGTAGCTGGCGGTGTGCCCTTCTACGCATCCACTTGCAGATTAAATCCTGCTGTCGATCGCACCGCCACAGTCAGTTTGCATCAGCGCTTCATCTTTTCGTTTCCTTTTTTTTTTTTTTTTGTTTGAGATCGCGAATTTTTCCATTGAATTTTTTTTTTTTTTTTTTTTTTTTTGCTTGAATCAATTTTTTTTTTCTGTGAAACAGTGAAGTCAGTCAACAATCGTCTCACTTTGTTTTGTTTGTTTGCAAATACGATTTTGTACATTCAACCACACTTTGAACCGAACAAAATTGACGCGTTTTTTAGCACTTCTCTGGCGTCGAGGAGGCGGTGCTGCGCAACATTGCGGCTTGCAAGGAGCTGTCAAAGGTTGTTCGCACGTCGTTTGGCCCGAACGGCATGAACAAGATGATCATCAACCGTCTGGACAAGCTCTTTGTCACGAACGACGCTGCCACCATCATCAAGGAGCTCGAGGTCGAGCACCCGGCTGCCAAGATGCTCGTCATGGCCTCCGAGCGCCAGGAGAGCGAAGTCGGCGATGCCACCAACCTCGTCCTCCTCTTTGCCGGCGAGCTCCTCGAGAACGCCGACAGCCTCGTCCGCATGGGTCTCTCGACTGCCGAGATTATTTCAGGCTACGACCTTGCCGCCAAGAAGGCCCTCGAGCTGCTGAGCGGTAATTGCGAGACGGATGGATGTGCTTTTTTTGTCGTTGTTGTTTCTCGTTGTTGACTTTGTGTCGTTTGTCTGCCCGCCCCCCCCGCTCTCTCTGCCGCAGGCCTCGCTTGCTACACTGTTGAAAACATCCGGGATAAGACTCAAGTTGCTTACGCCCTCAAGACAGCTCTTGCCAGCAAGCAGGTGAGTGGTGTTGTTGTGACTCATTTTTTGTTTGTGCTTGTTCCCTCAATCTTCTCTTGCTTCTTTCGACCTCTAGTTTGGCTATGAGAACTTCCTCTCGGAGTTGGTTGCCAAGGCGTGCGTCGACATTCTGCCCAAGAAGAACACCAACTTTAACGTGGACAATGTTCGTGTTGTAAAGATTCTCGGCTCGGGCGTGCTTGCCTCGACCGTCATCTCTGGCATGGTCTTCAAGCGTGAGGTCGACACCCACATCTCGGAGGTCGCCAACGCCAAGGTTGCCATTTTCTCGTGCCCTCTTGATGTCAGCACAACCGAAACCAAGGGAACTGTGCTGCTGAACAACGCAGACGAGCTCTTGTCGTTCGCCCAGGGCGAAGAGGCCCAATTGGATAAGGTTTGGCAACAGCAATCCGCTCGTGTTATTTTTTTGTTTGTTTGTTTGTTTGGTTTTGGTTGTTGATCGTTTCATTGTAACTCATCGTTCTTTGCACGTTTTCGTTTCATGAAAACCAATTCCTGCCTCTACTCACAGGAGGTCAAGGAAATCGCTGCCACTGGCGCAAATGTCGTTGTGTGCGGCAGCAAGGTCGGCGACATGGTCATGCACTTCCTCAACAAGTACAACTTGATGGTCGTGCGCGTGCCGTCCAAGTTCGACATCCGTCGGTTGTGCCAGGCCACTGGTGCCACTGCCGTGGCGCGCTTTGGCGCCCCAACAAAGGAGGAGCTCGGCTCGTGCTCGCTCGTCCACACAACAGAGATTGGCGAGGAGCGCGTTGTCGTGTTCAAGCAGGATGGTGACGAGTCGGCCATCTCGACCGTTGTGGTTCGTGGCTCCACCCCGAACATTATGGAGGACATTGAGCGCGCCGTCGACGACGCCGTCAACGTGTTCAAGGCCCTGACCAAGAACCCCCAGTTTGTCGCCGGTGCTGGCTCCACTGAGATTGAGCTTGCCCGTCTGCTCGGCACCTTTGCCGACACCCGAACGGGTCTTGAGCAATACGCCATCAAGAAGTTTGCCCAATCGTTCGAGGTTGTCCCCCGCGCGCTTGCCGACAACGCTGGCGTGAGCTCTGGCGAACTCATCTCGCGCTTGTACGCCGCCCACCAGGCTGGCAAGACCAACGTCGGATTTGATCTCGCCTCCGAGGCTGATTTCGCTCCCTCTGGTGTCACCGCTGCTATTGGCGGCGCTGCTGCCGTTGCTGTTGCCGATGCTCGCGAGCTTGGCGTTCTTGACCTGCTCGCTGCCAAGGCGACCGCCATCAAGTTTGCCGCACAAGCCGCTGTCACTGTTCTTCGCGTGGATCAGGTGGGTGTTTTGTTGTCTTTGTTGTGTTGGGTTTGGTCTGCTTTTTTTTTTTTCTGCTTCTCGCTCTGTTTCTCACCCATGGACTTGCTTCCATGTCTGTAGATCATCATGGCCAAGCCTGCCGGTGGCCCTAAGCTCCCCAAGGACGGTCAACGCGACTGGGACGAGGACCAAGAGGCTCCTCAAATGGAATAAACGGACAAACAAAAACAAGAGTTGCTTCCTTTGTGTACGATTACAGCTTCTAACACACGTAAACGTGATTTTAGTTTTCAACCAATTGCAAGTTCTATAAAGTAACTGTGAAGCGCAAAACTGCTGCCATTCCAAATGCTGGTTTCATTTCACTCGCCACTTTGCTTACCGACCACGAGCGTGAGTACCGAGCGCGACTCTGGAATAGCCGAGGCTTTCCATCATTACACTGTTCGAGTTGCAGCTCTGTGCTCGAATTTCAAACAATGGTGTGGTTTCCACTGAATTTTCTAAAACTTTCTCAACGAGGAACAACCATCACAATGGCTACCCTCAAATAAAATGAAGGTTTGCTCACAGACCAACGTGTGTCAGGGTGAACAAGCGAAAATGGAGCATCGAGTCACTCGTTGTTTCATTTTTGAAAATGCTGACTTACCAGAGTATGTCTGAGAGCCAGCGCAAGCTGTATGATAGAGTCACGGACACGAGTGAATGGCTTCTGTAAGAGAAGCGCTTGAGTTGATTGGAACACAGTGTTGACAGCGCGTTTGTGTTGACGAAAATGGAGAGACAGGTGGGATGGGAAGCAGATTGGCAACGATGGAGCACAAGCGGTTGCTGAGGCACTCAAAGTGAGCAGGACGCTGGTGTCCATCGAGTAAGTCATCTCACGTTGCCTGATGTATGTGAGTGGGTGATCAAGTAGAGACAGCAAGAGCGGCTCACTGATGGAGGCGATATGGACAGATTGGGTCAGAATCACATTAGCGACGTTGGAGCGCGCGCGATTGCTGAGACACTCAAAGTGAACAAGACGGTGGCCGAGGTTACGTGAGTCTCGTTTGAACTGATGCATGGAGTGGTGATTGCAGTAGATGACAGTGAGAGTACTCACTGATGGAGAGGGCAGTCTGCGCCAGAATCAGATTGGCGATGCTGGAGCGCAGGCGTTTGCTGAGGCACTCAAGGTGAACACGAACCTGAGGTGGCTCAAGTAAGTCATCTCACTTTTGCCGATGTATATGAGTGGATGATTTCAGCAGCGGAAATCCAAAGTTCTCACTGATGCATGGGATGAACAGTTTGAGCTCGACTCAGCTTGGCGATGCTGGAGCGCGGGCGATTGCTGAGACACTCAAAGTGAACACGACGCTGAAATATCTCTAGTAAGGCATCTCACTTGTACTGATGAATGTGAGTGTGTCATCCGGCAGAGCATTCAAAATCCTCACTGGCTTGGGGATTTGCACAGTCTGAATCGCAATCAAATTGGCGATGCTGGAGCGCAGTCGATCGCTGAGGCTCTCAAAGTGAACACGACGCTGATTGACCTCCAGTAAAGCATCTCACGTTTACTGATGCATGTGAGGGATTCATAAAAATTCCGAATGCTCACTGATGGAGGGGATGGGCAGTCTGCACACGAATCGGATTGGCGATGCAGGAGCACAAGCGATTGCAGCAGCACTCGGAGAGAACAAGACGATGACTGAGCTTCAGTAAGTGTTTACATTGAGCCAGCATCATTCAGAACTTGCTACGCTGTCAACCTGCTAACGCTTTGAACGCCAGTCTATGGAACAATTGCATTGGCCAAGTTGGCGTTCAAGCGCTTGGTGAGGCACGCAAAGTCAACGGCATTCTGACTCGGCTGATGTAGGTTGTTGGTTCTTGCCAATGAGAGCCGTTGATGCTTTGTCCATGTTCCTCGAACCAATACTCAATGGAAACGGCCCTTCGGATGGTTCCTTTATCTTTTGCTTGTTCATTGCACAGCATCGAGGACCAGATAAACCCGCTTGCATTTTCCTTGCTTCCACGACTGGCAACTACTGAAGACTGGCAGAGCGTGTTTCACCTGCTGACAGGCCGACACGAGAAGGAGAATCAGCCCGCACCTCTCCCTGCACTACCAGCCGAGATTGCCGAGCTCGTTATGGACAAAGCGGAGTACTTGCAAGGCGTGCAGCACATTCACCAAGCGTGGGCTAAGGACCATTATGTTGATTTTCTGAAACTTACAATGCCGAGAAGCAGCAATGGAAATTCAATCCGAGTGAAAGCGATTCAAGTCCTTCGTGAACGACAGTCCGAAGCCACATCGGACCCTTTCGATCTGATTGTTCGAGACGAGCTAGGTGCTGTTCGATACGAATGGGCTGCAGAAGCGCCTGTCGTCGATTCGACCATTCAGCTGGTGACAATTTCGCCAACAGACCATCCTGTCATCCGCCAACTGCGCGCGGGTTGGGAGGTTGAAGTTCAATTCGGTAAGGAGTACAGTTTTGTGCGACTTGCGTCGCTTTCTGTCGGGTATATCGAACGACAATGTTAGGGATTCAGATCGGTGCGAATGCAAAACGGCGATTTGTTTCCAAGACTTTGAAGAAAGGTCCTGTGACTGTCAGCGGATATCCTTTCTAAATAACACCGTTTCTCGATTTTCACTCAAAGCCCACACTATTCGATTTGCTCATCAATGCAAAAAGGGACCAAGGAAAAAGGCAAAAAAAAAGACTCAGAAATTGAGGGGGAGGGAATTGGGATTTTGTCGGCGTCGCTACATTTTAGGAAGGTATGGATCGTCTTGCTCTTCTTGCACAGCTATGGAGCAGTTGGACACTGCGATACCAGCGATCTGACTTGCAACGAGGACGCACCAGATCCATGGCTCAGAGGGAGCGGACAGGTACGTGATGGCGAGGTAGGCCAGCCCCGCGGCGGATAGGGCGGCACACGAAACTTGCCGCGGCTTGCCGTAGGTCCAGTTCCAGGTCGCATCCACAAGCAGAAAGCTCAGCGGCTGCGCAATGATAAAGAGGGCATCCATCGTCGATGGCACGTAGCGCATGCAGTAGACGACATAGATGGCAAACACGAATGCCAGGCCGCAGAAGAGCAAGGCCATTGGAGCTGTCTCGGGAGCTGTCCTGGGAGCTGTCTTGGGAGCACCATGGAGACCATCATCCATCATTGCAACTGCAACATCTGCCATCGTGACCAACATCCAACACAGCAGCGCAACGGCGAGATGGTATGTGAAGGGGAATCGTTCAAGGTCGAAAGCGGCACAACTGGCGCCAAAATGACTTACTTGCTTGCTTCTCAAAACTCTGCGTCGGTGCAGCAGAGCGATTGGTCGTATGGTCCATGACTGCCAACTGCAAAACAATGAAGACTGAGAAAACAGACACTTGTTGATCAAAGTGATACAAACGCAAAACGAAAAGTTCAACTTGTTTTCGCTTGCCTACACTTTGAAGTCGTTCATGCATCACCGTAGTACTCCTGCGGACAAGAAAAAGGCTCTTTTCATAGAATAATGCTAAATTTATTTGGGTCGCGGCATGATAGAACCAAGGGCAACACTTCACGCTTTCGAACAAACAAACAAACAACAAATCACTGCGTTGTGTCCGGTTCATCCTGACGACGAGGAGCGGACGGCCCTTTGAGCTTGCTCAACTGGCTAGGGCTGAGCAGTGTCTTTTCAGCTTTGGCTCGCTCAGCAGCGATGGATTGATCGCGCTTGGCGAATTTGGCAGCGCTTGGCTGAAACTTGCTGTGAATGATTCGGCGCACACAGTCTCCTCGCGCGATGACGATGATGATGCTTTGTCACATTTCGATTTGTTTTCAAAAGCAATCTGCTTTTTGGATGGATTTGATTTCAATCCAGTTTGTTTTCGTGCAGTCAAACTTTTTTTGTTTTTGTTCTTGAATTCTGAAATCTCGTTGTTTCAAAAAAGAAAACCAAGGTAACTTTTTTGTTTTCCTTTTTTTTTTTTTCTGGTCTGCTTTGTGTCGATTACGGCGCCGCTCGTTTGCGCACCGCGTCCGCCACTTTGACTGCCGGTAGAAAGCGCCACGTCCGATCACTCAGACAGACAGAGAGAGAGGGAGAGAGAGAGACAGCAAGAGATCAAAAGCGAGAGGCTGTGAAAAAAAAAAAACCTGAAACGCAATTTTCAGCAATTTCGAAATTTCAAAATGGATTGAGTTTCGCGTTTGTTTCGACTTTGGATTGGGGTGAAGCTGGACAGTTGCACTCTGCGTGAACATGTTGGTATGGCTGACTGACTGAGTTTTCTGCCGTGTTTGGCCGCGGGGGGGGGGAAAGCGCAGGAACAGGAACGGAGCACACACAATGAGCCCACAGCGAATGCAACAGCAAGACGAAGCACACGAGGACGACGTCGCGCACCGGCCAATCCCGGCGGCGTGGTTTGACGTCGACGAGCCGCTGTTCGACCGTAGCTTCCGCGCGTCGGGCGAGGCGGGCGCGGCGAACTTCACGGCGGACGAGCTGGACGGTGATGACGAGGCGACGCGTTTGAAACAGAGCAACGCCAGCTCCAGCTCCAGCTCCAGTACTGCAGCTGCTGGCTCGACGTTGTTGACACGAGCGCAGCAAAAGGAGCTTGCAGACGCAGAAATGTGCAAGCAGCGCAAGCAGATTATGGACCGCTACTTTGGCCGCACGAGCGCACCGTGGGACACAATGCCGGACAGCCTGAAGCAACGCCCAGTCGGCGACTTGACAAAAGTGCTGCCAGTGGAGCTGCTCTTCATCATCTTCCGCTCGCTCGACACACAGTCACTTGCGCGCTGCAGTCAAGTGTGCAAAAGCTGGCAGCGACTCATCGACGCCGACGTTTGTGGATTGCGCCTGTGGCAACTCAAGCAAAATTCGACGCAGTGCGATCGAGAAGCCAAGCCACCATGCTGCCTCACTATCAGCCATAGCATGCCCCGTCACAGCGCAAAGTCCGTGTATGCCCTGTCGCCCGACCGCAGCAGCGCTCTTGGCCGCGACTGGTCTGCTGGTTTCGCCGCTCTCTCCACCGCCGCTCCGTCCATCCCTCTTCCGTCGCACTACGAGTCTCACCAACCCTATTGCATTGCCTTTGACCGCGTCACCCAATCTCTGGTGAATGAACGCATCCTTTCGTCTGTCGCGCCGGATTTGGAGGCTGGAACCGAGACGCAAGTTGAGCGACTCCGCGCCTCGGCTCTGAGCAAGCGCACCGTGGCCTGCATTTATGACACACAGACGCGGTGGGCCGCCGGAATGCTGTTTTCGGTCGCGAAACGCCAAGTGTCTGAGGACACGAGTCGGCCTCAAACACCTGCTCCGATCGAGCATCGTGATCTGTTCACTGATGACACGTGGGCCCAAACGTCCTGCTCGCGCATTCCTTACATTGGATCGGGTTTCAACACTCCCGAGGGCTGCGCGAGTCCGCCCGCTTTGCTTGAATCCAGCCGAGTGACTCGACCTTATCCTGCCGACGACGAAGACGTGCCTCCTCCACCGCAAGTGCGTCAGAACTTGCATTTGACATTGGCGGCATCCCGCAGTCATAGTTCTGCTCCGTCGGCGCATCCACCAGCGACGGCGACGCGAGTGGCCCCACCGCCACAATCAGCACAACCCTCGGGACAGACTTCCCTGCAGCTCGAAATGTTCCCTGTTGGAGCCTCGCTCAACTTGGACGTGAGTGTATGGGGTGAACTGCTGTCTGTTTTCTAACAAGGCAGCCATGCTGCTGAGCTGTTGAGCCAGTGCTCGTGTTAACAATGTTGGGTTTTGTTTCTTGAATGGTTTTTTTGTTTGTTTGTTTGGTCGAGGTGGGGTTGTTAATCTTGTGGTTTTGTTATTGATTCGGTGTATATTTTGAATCTGCTTTTGGATGCTTCACGTTTGGTGTTGTGGAGGTGGTGTACGCGTTGCACCGTCTGTCATCATTACATGTTTTTCCTTTCTTTGGAACAATGAATGTTGCGCCGCATGCCATCAAAAAAAAAAAGTACCAAGCGAGGCGATTACAAAACCATGGTCTGCTCGTACGTGTCGTAGAGAGCTCGGGATTCTTTCGAAGGCGCCAGCGGACCAGCGTGAGCGATCGAGGCGGTTTGCGTGTACAATGCAACATCTGCCAAAAACGTGTGGGTTTGAGTGGTATCGAGTGATGTGCAGAGTTAGCTGCTGCAAGCCGCCTTCAAACGAGAAAACAGGAGCACATAACAACGAGCGTTGCACAAGGACACCCTACCTGACGGTGCAATCATGGTGAACGCAGTTGGATAGTCAATCAAAAGGTTGGACAGTCCGGCCACGCTTGTCGTGTGAAGCCCAACACGCGGCTCGACGCCATCGTTGCGCGCCTCTCTGACGGTCGGCGTTGTCAAAACGGACGGGTCCTCGCGCAGCCGCACAAATCGCTCATACGTTCCGCAGTCCGCGACAGTCGGCTCCTCAAACATGCGACCATACTTGCCCTCGACCGAAGTCAAGCCGAATCGTTTTTCCAGAGCGGCTGGGCTCGAATCAATCTGCACAAGGCCAAGAAAAAAAGGAAAAGGAAAAGGAAAAGGAAAAGGAAAACGGAATCGAAGGTGAGAAACAGCGGGACTTTGCGCGCGCTGTGCAAGCATCAAAAAGCCCAACAGCGTTTTGGGCAGCCAACCACTTACAGCTGGTGCAGCATTCTTGACCTTCTTCTTCAAGACGCGTTGACTCACGTTCTCGACAACGCGCGGCATTTGCTCTTCTTCCTTTTCATAGCCAATCCACCTCTTAACGCCGAGGTTGAGACTGAGACAGCATCGACAGTGAGCGAGGGAGGGGCACCACAAGGCGTAACATGCTCAACTTGTGACAGCACGATCTCTTACCCCATGCTTTGCTTGGGTTGCGCAGCGCGCACCTTGAAAGGACTGGGATCGGCGGGATGTGTCTTGTGGAGGAGTCTGCATCAGAGCGAGGAGTCGTGGTCAAGATGCAAGAACGCGTACGAATGTTGTTCGTTCAGGAGCGGAACCTGCGCTTACCGAGTCGAGTTGATGTGATGCGCATACAAGTCGTCGTACGACGTCAAAACAGAGGGATTGTAGTAGTCCAGCATGCACTGCAGACGGTCGGCTCGCTGAATGTTGGATTTGGCTGCCATGCGCGCGGCAAGCAACTCGTCATCTTGCTGGTCCAAGAAGAAGATGTCTAACAACGCAAAAGTCAAACAATGACGCGAACGCCACTACCCGTCAATGGCGACCCCAGTGGCGCATTCGCAAGGTGGTATCCAGGTGGCTGCCAATTGTTTTTTTTTTTTGGGGGGGGGGGTCGAAACAACAAGAAAAACTTACCCTCCTTTCGTTTGCGACGCTGTTGGAGGCGCTTCTCGGACCAGCCAATAGGCAGGCTGCTCTTGGACCACCAATGGCGATATCGCCAACTGGGCATCCAGTAGCCACCAGCTGGGTCGTGGTAATGCAAATAGTAGTCGGATTGGATTTCCCACAAGCTTGGGCGAGCAGCATGGGGCACAAAAGTGCCCAAAAAGAGGTTGATGGCACCTTGCTTGTCGACATCTGATTGTCAATCCAAGGTGCGGATGGGTTGGCAAGGTGAGCTGGCATTCCAGAGCACGCAAAAACGCAAAGAACCTGCCACCACCGTCCATACCTGTGAACGAATTGCTGTAGTAGCGATGGATGGTGTGCAAAATGTCGCGTGAATGCGAAGTCCAAGGGGAAATCTTGCGGTACGTCTCCATGGTGTTGACCAGTTGTGAACCACCATACTGGAAAGTTGCCCAGGACAAAGTCAGCAACCTCAATCCAACCTCACCAATGATCAGAGCAAAAAAAAAATAACAGTACCTGCAGGGCGATCGTGTCACCGTGATCCTCGTACATCTCGGTGAGCAGCCGCACCACGTCCGAATCGAACTTGAGCTTTGGCTTTTTGATGACACCCAGAGCGTAGAGCTGACGGGCCAGCGCGCTTTTGCCCATCATAAACTCCACAGCATTGGTGCGATCGAGGCAATCAATGCAGTTGACGCGCACCACGCCCTGCTGGAGTCTGCCAATAAACTTTTCGTGATACGGGCGGCCTCCAGCGACGCAACACCTGCGAAACCCAAAGAGTCGGACCGAAGCCGAAGACGTTAGCTGCTTGATGAAGCGAATCGTCGACAAACAAAAACAAACAAGTTCGGGCAAAAGGGAACACCAAAACGTAGCGTAGCACACAGACAGCACGTACAAGTCAGGCTTCATTGCGTTGCAGTGAAGTTGCGGACCAGCGTGGAAGAAGCCAGTGGTGTTGATGATGTGGCTGGCAATGACTTCCAGACGCTCGATGACGTTTTGTTGGCTCTTTTTGCTAAGAGACGGCCAAAAAAACAAACAACAACGCAAAGCACCAGCAATTAGTACACGAGACCAAGATGACCTCACTGAACGAAAATTCAGGCGCGTTACCTTTTTGCATGTTTAGCCATGTCCCACGCCTTGTACACAATCTTGTGCTTGTTGGGCAGGAATTGATTCAGATACTGAATACAGTCGCCGAATTCCTTGTGCAGAATTGACTCTCGAGGCTTCTTTTCCTTTCGCTGGAGCAGGGAGGAACAAAGGGTTGTGAAGGTGAGTCTCGACCAATCTGCAGCAACCAGCTATCTTACTTTGACAAGGTTGAGCACCACAACGGGCGTGCCATAGCGTTTGAACAAGCTGTCAAAATGCAACGCAGCGGCCGAGCAAAACGGATCGGCTCGATCAACTGTTGAAGGGGGAGAAAGTGATGGTGAGCTGAGACAGCAAACCAACCGAAACAAAAAAAAAATGAATAGACTCAAAGTGGACTTACTCGTAATGGGTGGTTTGGGAATCATGCCGGAATTGTCCTGCACAACAACGCGCAACACGAACATTCACAACAAAACGGACAGAAGACGACACAAGTCAAGGGCCGCTCGATCGCCACCACCACCCGCATGTCAATACCAAAAGCACCATACCTGCGACCAGAACAAAGGAATGGAGCCGCGCATTTGCACAAACGACGTGAACTTGCCACTGTCATGAGCAAGAGTTGTCGTGTCGAATGTAATTTGTTCAGACTCAACGTCATTCGCCACCATGCCCTGAAAAAGTCAAGCAGAGAAAAGGCAGGTAAGAAGGAAGAAGAATCTGTCACTCGTAGGGGGCAAACGCGCGAAACAGTGCGCTCACATGCTCATTGGCGCCGCGTTTCAGGAATCGCGTTCCGGCAAAATGGCGGGATCGCCGCGCAATCAGTGTGACATAGACTTGATGCCCATACACGTAGATACCTGCCAAGCAGACAAGTGAAAAGTATGTGAGCGCACTCGCAGCCAAAGCAAACCTGGGGGGGGACGGGAAAAACAAAGCGGTGGCCTGCGTACTGGATTGCGCAATAAATCCGTGAATGATCGGAAGAATCCAGTCGCGCGAGGCATGGCGCTGAAGCTGCTGCAGCAGGTGGTGATTCCACACAAACATGTCGTTGAACGGGGGCATTGGAGGCGGCGGTGGAATCGAGGGCTTCGATGGCGCTGGTTGCGGATCGCTCGGCGCGGCACTTGAATCTGGCTCGCTCTTGGTGGGAGCGGCGTCACCTTGAGCCTTGTTGAGGTCGGAAGATGCAGTCATCTCTTGGCTGGAAGATCCACGCGGAGCCTTGGGGTTCTCGCTCTCGTCCGCAGAGGAGTGGTCCAGGTAATCGTCGTCGTCGTTGTCAGACTCGCTCTCGGAGGAAGAGGAGAAGGTCGCGTCGTCACTGGATGCAGAAAACAAGTCATGCATAAAGCTGGGAGCCTCGATCGGAAACCGGTCCTTAAAGCTCGTAAAAGCGGGCTCGGCTCCGGGTGGTGTCGATGGCGGACTTGTTGCTGAACTCTTGGCATCAGTGGTCGTTGGAGTACTTTTACGTGGCTGGCTGGTGGAAGCAGAAGCTTTAGCTGAGGAGGCTGCAGGGGCGTCCGTGGAGGAGGCAGCAGTCGCGTCGTCTTCTTGCCCAGCGGTCTCGGCACCCGAATCTGCATAGCGCTCTCGCGTGTACGTCATCATGTTGAACTGAAGTGTGTGGGTGAGATCGTACGTGTAGCTGTAGTAAAAGTTGCTGGACAGATCGACGTTTTGAAACGTCTTGAGGTAGCTGTGACAAGAACAACACAATTTTTAAAAAAAAAAGCAAAAACAAACAATTAACAAAAAAAAAAAAGTAAACTCGGTGAGTGGTCATAACACCTCAGAAACTATCGGTTGTAAACAATACAGCAAAAAAGAAACGTCACCGAATCTCATCCGGATGGCGCTGCAGTCGGACAGACGGATGGCAAATGCTCAGCATGGTTGTTTCCTCAATCTTGTACACGTAGTGAGCTCCAATCAGCGCCACTCTCCGCCGTTTTGTGATGAGAATCATGTAATATCCTTCAAGAAATCGGATGAACCCTGGCGGTGGCCGAGATTGTTGAAAGCAAAGTGAGCAATCCCCAAAAACATTTGATTTGGCTGAGAGTGCATTACGACGCGGATTGTGAGTGCATTACCAAGCACGCCGAACGCAGAGACGGTCTTTTGCAGCCCGCCGTGGTGGCGCATGCTCTCGTTGATGGTGCCCAGCAGCTGCTGGATGCTGTAGCGGTCGTAGGTGCCGCTGAGATCCTCCATAATGTCCATGTCATACGGATCCGAGCGATCGACCTTGAGCACACGGAACCGCGTCTCGGACTGGTTGGATCCCACGATGATGAACTTCTGCTCGTCCGTCCGTCGAGGTGTTTGTGATGTGTGAGCATGAAGGGGGAGTGGATCAGCCAGAGGTGAGTGATGATGATGATCATCTCTCAACAGCAAAACCACGACCAGCAGACAGAACGCGCGCTTTTCTGACCTGCTTGGTTTCGTAGATGATGATCTTGTCGAGTGGCGAGAACGTGGGCCGCAGCACAAACTGGCCGCGGCTGGTGTCGCGCGGGGCGGCCACTGCGGCGGCGGCAGTCAGTGTTGGAGTCGGAGTTGTTGGGTGCGCCATCGCCGCCTTCTCCGCCAACCGAAAGAGCAACCAAACACCAAAAGTAAAAAACGAGTGAATAAAATGTAAAATAAAAATGGATGGAGGGTCATTGTTGATGGATGGACGGATTCTTCTGCGTTGGGTTGCTTGTGAGGCTGTCTGCTGGCTTTTGCAGTGGGAACTAGTATTTTGGTCATTTAACACAGGAAACAACAAGTCGATATAGCCATGGCATGAGCATAGAGCACACCACATGCAAGGTGGTTTCTTTGCATCCTCAAAAAACAACGATTCCCAGACGCACGACTGGAATATCCGGTCACGGCTTTGCGTTTTTCGAAAGGAGGTCCAACTCACGCTCCAGCGCTTCGATGTGAGCAATTAACTCGACATAGTGCTTGGCAAGAAACTCTTCCATTGCAGTCACTCGAGCAACCAGGCCAAACAACGGCTTTGAATCAGTGGCGAGGAGACTGAGACAACTCTCGATCGCGCTGACTCGCGCTTCAAGATCGCCCTCTCGACCTAGAGAAGAGGCGAGCTCACGAAAGCGTTGAAGCTGCTGCTCTTCAAGCACAGAATCGACAGCAGCCGCTTCACCAGATGCAGCCCCAGACTCCGGTCGGCGGACAAACTCAGAGTTGGCAAGGCTTTCACTTCCCGCAAACCCCGGTGCAGCCTCACGCGCCGAATAGCTGGAAAGGAGCGCTGCAGACGACGACGGCGTAGCCGAAGCGCCTCTGTCTGCCTGGTCAGAGCGAAGCGCAGTCAGAGTTGGAGAGCTTTGGGCGCCAAAACGCACCCGCTGAGCGCCAAGCTGCGATGGCTGCTCTCGCCCCGTCTGGCTGGCCAAAGGTCCCCGCGGAGAGCTAAAGTTCAACGCTCCCGCAGTTAGTTGCTGCTGGAAGAACGACATGGGTGACGGCGGCGGGGCGCGGGATGCCAGCGGCGACGGCTGGCGGGTTCTCGTTGCGTGCATCGGGTTGAACGCACTTCCCGCGGGATCAACGACCATTGAGCTTGGGCCTGCATCCATCGCGTCGGAGTACCAATGAGGGTAGTGCGTTCGGTTTTCGTCCGAGTCCAGGAGCTCACGCGAGCGCGAGCTTCCATCAGGCCTCGCCGCGGCTGCGGAAGACGACGAAGAAGCAGAAGGTCGGTTTGCTCCAGGTTGAACTACGATGGACCAGCAGCAGCAGCAGCAGCAGCAGCAGCAGCAAAAGAAGACGACGAAAGCATCAAGGCATACAATACACAGCAGAGTTTCAGTATTGGTAGAGGGGGTTGGGCGCGGGGGGGGGGTAAATCCAGGCTGGAAGCGCGCGCGCATTGTGAATGCACGGCAGAACTCACTGGCAGTAGGATAGTTGGACATGTTCGAGGCCTTTGGTTCAAAGTGAATTTAGACTAACTGTCGTCTGCCCATCTTCTTCATCTTTCTGTAGCATTGGAATATAGGTTCCAGAATAAAGGGGGATAAAACAGTCGATTTCAAACTCGTGATCTTACACGAAAACAAAAAAAAAAAAAAAAAAAAAACACTCAACAACAACAAGAAACAACACAGCACAGCAACATCAAACACCAAAAAAAAAAAAGAGAGAGAGAAAAAAACTACAGCATTAGAGAAAACAAACCTCGTTTCTACTCAATCTGCATGGCAGACTCCTCAGTCTCAACTGACGGGCGAACAACAACTGGCACGTCGTACTCTTGGTCGCAGCCAAGATAAGAGTCGCACATGAAGGAGAGCTTGAGCACGTGTGAGCCACCATTGCTGGGTGCATTGAAATCCAGCTTGAGCTTGGCAGCACGCTTCAGAGTGACGCGCTTGATGGCGAGCAACGTGTTGGTCGCGGAATCGCCCAAGACCACCCACCAGCTCTCGGGCTTCTTGACGGGGTAGAAGGGAGCAATGACTGGGCCAATGTCGTCGCTCTCCTCGTCAACGCGCTCGAGGTTGACGGAAAGCGAGGCGGGTTCGCCAGCAACAAGGTTTTCTGCATCCGCGAGCTCGAACGTGAGGTCAATGTTGGGATAGCGATTGCAGAAGGCAGCAACGGCCTCCATTTGCTTGTTGCTCATGCGCAAAAGGTCGTTGCGCTGGTCGTCCTCCATGTCCATGACATCAAAGACGGTCTTGATGCCCGCAGCCTGGCAGCGTTGCACCACCTCGTTGGTAAAGTGCGGAAGCTGCTTGAGCACAGAGTCCTTGTCCCACTGGGCTTGGACAACCATCTGAGACAGTTCCATGGCAGCAATGGCGGGGCTGAGCCAGCTCGAACTGCTCAAAACATCGACGCAAGCCTGGATGAGCAGGATGGCCTTTGGCAAAACAGTCTCCTGGTCGCCCTGGAGCTCCGCAGGCAACTGCAAGCGGGAAAAGTGGGCCTGCAGCAGCATGTTGGCCTTGACGTGCGGCTCGTTGAACTGGGGATTGGCCAGACGGTTGGGAACGCGCTGCGAGAGCTGCCGCAGGACAACATCTTCGCGGTGGCGGACGGGCAGCAGGTCGTATTCGGCGGCAGAGGCAACAATCTCAATCAGACCCTTCAGCTTGGTCTTGGCAGTGAGCGAAGTGCTAAACAGCTCGATGGTCGCATAGTTGATCGAGTAGAAAGCGGCAATGATGCCCAGATTGAGCGGCGTGATGCTGTTTTCGTCCTCGCCAATGGCAAGACACTTGGATTGCTGCAAGTCACTCAGCGTGTTTTCGACCAGCTCTGACAAGTGGTCTGACAAGTGGCGGTTGGTGACACCAGTCAGCGAGTAAAAGTTGGGGTTTTGTGTCATGCGACGGTACATGAGCGTCCAGGTCAGGTAGTCGACCGCATCCTGTTTGTCCTCGATGGTGCGCGTGACAATTTCGGCGTTAAAGTGGTCGTGCAGGTAGTGGTTGAGGTAGGACTCGACCGGCAGGGGGTCTTGCAAAAAGCGCTTGAAAAAGTCCTTTTTGGTGGATTGGCAGAGAATCACGCAAACACCAGAGTCGCTCGACGGCGAGTTTGCGGCGCCAGTCATTTGCAGCACATCGGCCACGGGATAGTTGACGTAGCGATTCTCGCGGCCCTCGTAGAACTGCGTGTCATAAATGATGACCAATCGGGCAGACAAGCCGAGGCTCCAGCACAACTCACGCACCACCACGAGCACTTGGATGGCACCGACCTCGTACAGTCCGCGAACGGTCTGGCGCTCGGTCATCGACAGGCCTTCGTGGTAAAAGCCAACGCCGTTGCTCAACGCCTCGCGCAGCAACTCGTTCGTGATGGTGCCGAGATGCGGGGCAAGTGCGTCGGGCGTGACGTGCAAAAAGCGCCGCCGGGGCTCGGCAGCGGCAGTGGCAGCCGCGTTGCCGCCAGCCTTGATGGCCGCGGCGGCAGCTGCGCGAGCTTCTGCAATGCCTTCGGCCACGGCATAGTTGACCAAGTCCAGCGCGGTGGCTTGCGTTTGTTTCCGGGACGGAGCAAACACAAGGACGGGCTTGGACGGCGAGTGCTCGACAATGGTCGTGTAGGCGGTCTTGGCCATGCTGATGAGGCGGGTTGCCGTGTGCGCAATGTTGAAGCCGCGGACTTGCAAATCCAGCGGTAAGGGGCGCACGTTGGGGTGGAAGTTGAAAATGTTGCTCTGCGACGCACCGAGCCATTGGCCAACGTCCTTGGCATCCGACAGGGACGCACTCAAGGCGAGAATCCGGATGGGGCGCTCCAGTTGGGACGAAATGTAGCGCATCCGAGAGCAGACATCTCGAGACGGGACCCTCGGGCGAGCCGAC